AATCGGGCCCTGGAAGGGCTTTCTAAGGCATGGTTCGAAGTCTGTGTAGCTGCATTCAGTCATGAGTTATCGTGGAAAAACTGCTGATTTTGGGATGATTTTTTCCGAGATGTGTTTCTCCGTCACCGTCGAAGGGTTCAGATATTGAGTGGTACCATTCGAGAGCCCTTTCGCGTGGCTTTCCAGCCATGGTTTCATTGGGTCCAGATTCCATCATATAAGCGAAATCCCCCAAAACCTCTGGCTCAGCCCTCCAACCCAGAACTCGGTATAACCAGGTCGACTTCAAGACTCGAGTCGCCTTTTTGCAAAAGCACAAGCACGAACAGGCCCAGAGCAAGCTCGCCGACGCTGAAAAGAAGCTCAGGCTGTCGACCTTCAGCCTTTCCATGGCCAAGGCGCTCGTCCACGACAAGGACAAGGAGATTGACGAGCTCAAGGCGAGCAACAAGGAGAAGCAGGCCGAGCTTGCCAAGCTCAAGACCACCAACAAGGAGATGCAAGCCGAGATTGAGTCGCTCAGAGCTCAAGTTGAAGTCACGACGCAAAACGAGGCCGACCTGCTCACCAAACTTGCCATGGCCGAATGTGCACTTGAGCACGACGGTCCAGCCACAATGCTAGCCGACGCCCTCGCAGAGGTGGATCGCCTGCGTCGCCAGTAACTTATGCATGTCTTTAAACTCAAAGTGTAGTCGGCCTGGCTAGAATCCTCTTAATCTTCTCCCACACAGCCTCTGCTTGCCTGAGAATGGAATACAGTTCGCGAGGACCTTCTTTCGCCTTGAGCGGGCTAGTCGACATGATGCGGAGGGCGACAAGAGAGGCGCATGTATGCGGGCGGACACGGCCATCGAGCAAGGATAGAATGCAAGAGGCTGGATCAAGAGGCTCAGTGGTTTCAACGCTCGAGACTGTAAAGAGGCGATGCGAGCCAATGGCACGGCCTCGCCACTGGGCCCCACTCTCCGTCACCATAAACTTGTTGTCGTGGGCGTCGTGGGCATTGGAGACAAAAGGGAACAAGTCGAGAAGCTGTTCGAGGAGGAGGGGAGCTGTAGACAAGTCGCGATCTTCAGTGATTTCGTCGTGATAGGCAATGAGGTCGGGCAGGTGCGTGTCGGGAATTTGGAGGTAAAAGTGCACGGGCACGAGGGGAAGTGAGGCGACGACTCGACCTAGAGCAGGCCTTGAACGACGAAAGGCATCCGTCGACCAGGGATACCAAATGGTGGGTGTAGGCGTCTTGAGAATAATCTCGCACGGAGGAAGGCGGGCATTGAGCGTTTCCGGGACATTGTCCAAAGTGTCCGATATGACAAGGGTCGTGTTGCAGTCGCATGCAAGTGTTGCAGCTTCATACACTTCAATGTCGGTTGAAGTGACAGTGCGTGTCCCACAGCGAGGACAATAGCAGTCTCGTTGGAGGTGCATGTTGAAGAGTGAAGAACCTCCACTTGGAAAACGCCCCTTTTGTCAACCACACACTCCACCATGCGCTTCCCGAGTCGCCCTTGTCAAGATCCGACCTGCGTCGAGCCGGCCGTTGTCATTGCGCTCGACACTGTACTTGACCGCATCGAGCTCGACGACCCCAGTGTGGACTGGTGCAGAGTACGAGTTTGCTGTCAAGACGATCCGTGTCCTCGCCACCCAAGTTACACCTTCCCCCTACGCCTGTACCAACATTCTACCAATTGCAACTCGGCCACGGCCCGCAACCGGCCTACAGTCGTGTCGATTTCCATGGTCCAAGTCTCTGCCATGAGCATTACAGCCAGCATTTGCGCTTCTTGCGACCAAGACGGGGACGTGTGCAGTGTCAGTGGCATCTTTTGGTGTTCCAGCAACTTTAGGCCACCAGTTCGCACACTCTTGATCGACTATACCGCACAATGCCAATTGTGGGCCTCGACTCTGCCGCCGCCGACGTATGTCAATGGTACCAATGACCAGGGCGAGGACATTGAGGGCGACGAGGAGGACACTGGCGGCCACGCCAGCGAGGACAGCCAGGACGGCATCGACGGCAGCCAAGCCGACGGCAGCCAGACACCCAGCAATGACCAGCTCCCTGCCGAGGCTTCCGACGACGAGACCCAGGACGACGTAGACGCCTTTAGCGAGCAGGACGAGGCCAAGGACGACACTTCCCTCTTTAGCCAGCAAGACGAGGCCGAGGAAGACGTTCACACATTCAGCGAGCAAGAAGGTCCACTCACCACGCCCCGCCAGGAGAATCGCTTGCCCTGGCAAACTCCAGTCCATTCTCCGCCTTCCACCCCAGCCCGGCCCGCCAAATCGCATCGCACAGCGATTATTACAAGTCCCAGCTATTGGAATGGTTCACCAATCACTAGCTTCGTCCCCGACTCAGTTCCACCACTGTCCCCAAGCAAGTTTTCAGACACGTCACCCATCAAGCTCCAGACGCCACGAGCCGAGTGGCCTGCCTGGACACTAGAGGCCCAGTCTGGGGTCCTTGACGATGTGCACTCTCCGACCGCAGAATGCACCGAAGAGACGGAATGGGCGATAGCAGACCACTATCATGCTGCCTTGCTTGCCCAACAAGAAGAGGACGATACCCAAGCCAAGAAGGCAGAGGAGGCAGAGCTTGATCGCGAGCACGCCAAGTGCCAGCTGGATCGCGAGGCCAAGCAGCAGCAGCGTGCGCTTGAACAAGCCCTCCAAGAGCAAGTGGCTTGGCACGAACAAGACGACGCTTCAGCCAAGGAGATTGAGCATGCCAAGCTTGATCGAGACGAGGCCAGGGAACAGTTGGAGAGGGAATGTCAGGCTGTCAACGAGCAGGCTGGACACGACACCGAAGACCTGCTCGCCAAGGACCTGTCGCGCATCGACATTGACCAGAAGGCACATGGCCCAACAACCCCGCCCAGTTCGCCCATTGTCGATGACGACTTGTGCGACATTGACGGCGAGATGCTGCGCATGATTGCGGCAGTCGATCCAATGCCTACAAGTTCACCAGATGATGACTGGGTCGACGGTCTCGAAGAGCAGCTCATTGCCATGGTCAAGGCTGCCGAAGACGAGCACGCCCAGATTGCCAATGGTCACCAGTGCGACAATGACAGCGACGACTACCAGCCCGACCAGCTCATGGCCCCCAAACCATACCTTCCCTCCAGGGGCCCCATTGATGCACTTGCCACCAAGATGCTCTCGCCAAAGGTCGACTCGACGACTCGCCAGGCCTGGATTGACCTTGCCGTACAGGTTCGTGCCCAGACCGAGCGCGTGCGATTGGCCTACGACCAGCTTAGGTCCATCTGGCACCCCGACCCCCTACCACTGGGCTCCCAGTCGCTCAGCTACGTGCCATTGGGTCTGTTGCCTCCAGTGGCAGCCCATTATGGCTGGACCTTGGAGTTTGACAATCTACAACCCGTCGAGGTCTACTGTGCTCAAGCGTGTTGCAAGCTGGGCATGCCCCTGGCATATAAGACGGACCTGACATGTTCATTTGCAGCAAGCCACGGAGACAAGACGCTCATCATTGCCTTTGACGCTGCACAAGGGTGTATTCTCTCGTGCTACACTTGTCGAGTCGTCGCTCAGCCATGTTCTCTTGCGGGCCGCACCATTGCCAAGCTCGACTTTCCCTACACCAGTCTCTTGCTCAGTAATCAAGTTGCGCCAGCACGTCAAATAGATCGTCTTCACTGGGAACTGGACAGGATGGGTGCAGCGTTGCGCGAATGTGCAGCGTTTCGTAGACTCATAGGATATCCATGATGCACTACAAGGATCCACATGGGTCATCCACGTTCAAGACACCGTGGCAGGGAGTACCATTGGTAATATAGGTCAGCATCGTGTCCCAGGCTGCGGGAATGGCCGACTTGACAGTGAGGTGCTTGCCGCTCAGGCTACACTTGTCGGCTCTAACACTGTGAATGGCACAAGAGTCACAGGCGTAAATCTTGCCGCATGGCTCGTAAAATGTAATGATCGTGTCGTGCTTTCGAAGGCTTGCTGTCAAACACGGCAAGCTTGGCTTCAGTGGCCATCGGGGAATGGCTGACTGGTCCTTGTGGATAACCTTGCCATACTCAGTCTTGCAAATGGGGTGGGAAAACCTATACCTCTTCTTCTTCTCCAGGCTTGCCGGCGAGACGATGGTTGCATTGAACCCATTTGTCCAGAGGGGACACATCCACCAGGGAGTGTGGTCCACTGGCTGGACATGGACGCCGGTAACGTCGTCAACCATTGGCTGGGCCTGGGCGTCGAGCACGATCTCACGGACTGTCAGTGGCCACGACATGATTCGCGAGTGGGCCGGGTAGCGATCGGGGCGGGACGAGCGTGCAGGCAGCGATCGGGGCGGGACGAGGTGCGTGATGTGCAGGTCTCGAGACCTAGTGGGTGGGCCGAGCCAGATCGGTGCAGTACAGGCGCAGGTGTCTGTATGAGTAGGGCGGGGAAGGGCGGGCCTGGTGCAAGGCGTAGAGAGCGTGTTGGCGAGAGGTGTACCGTCGTGCACGTGCAACTGGGTGTGCGAGCGGGGCGACTGGCCGATGTTGTACAGTGGTAGCGCTCAAGTGGGAGGTGCGAGGGTGGTACAGTTTGTGCGATGTGCAAGTGTGATATTGTGTGGAGTGGGCGCAAGTAGTGTGGGTGGCAACAGTCGTGTGGAGGAAGAAGGGCGCAACTAGCACTTTGCATCGTCACACTCCACCATGATTACCCTCTCCACACTGGCAACCACTGGCTCGGCACACTCGTGTCACAAGCTCACCATCAAGCTCGGCCCCGATCCACCTCCCAGCCACCTAAACTGTGAGCTGCCCTTTGTCGGCAAGGCCTATACAGCTGCCCAGATTGCTCGGCTGGTCTAGATGCCGACATTACTCGTTGGCCTCCCATTCTCTCGCGCCCCGTCACGTTTGCTTCACTTCAACGCGATCTGGACGCCCTGTGTGCGCGCACTGACAGTCTGGATCATTCCAACGTCTATTCCTTGCCCTCTGAGCGCCCCAGTCCCCACTTTGTGCTCGTCGCCGCCATTCCCGGCCTAGTCTTGATCGAGCCAGCATCTCGTCGCGTCATACCCGGTCTGGCCTTTTGCCTGGCACTGGCCGTGCGTCTCGCCACATGGAACAGACCCGTCCCCGAGCTGGGCATTTTCCAGTGCGACTTGCCCCCGCCTCTCTACAGTGGACCATCCAACATCACGCTCGCACACGCCATGTTGCGCATGCCATTTGCCCGCCAAGACGTCGTGGCCATTCTCGATGCGCCCGAAGCACTGGTTACAGACTTGAGGGCAGCGAGCCTGCTCGGTGCCAGCTTGCCCATTGGTCTGGTTCCTCCCGTCAAGGGTGCCCTCGGCATCTTGGGTGACCCAGCGCCCCTCGACCAAGACATGATTCAAGACTTGCTCAGCCTGGTCGGTCCCGGCCTGACTCATGCCATTGCCATTGACGCTCGCATCGACTCTAGTCGCCCCCTGACACTGGCCGAATGGATTCATCCCGCCATCGCTGCCAATCGCCTGGCCGACTCGTCTAGTGCCACTGCCCATGCGGCTTGCGCTGCTGCACGCTTGCATGGATCATATGAATGTGGTCTCTTGCCCGAGCTGCCTGCCCTCTGCAGCATTGGCAGAGTCGACGCCGAACACCAAGTGGCTTGTTTTGCCGGCGCCCTCCTCGCCATTGACACGGCCACGTGCCTCTTTCTCGAACAACCTACCTTTGCCGGCATTTTGCCGCTCAAGACGCCCATGTCTTCGCCCCTTGCCCGTCTCGGAGAAGCACTGCTCCGCTCGTCCTATGATCGCGACCAAGTGTCAACCTTGACCGGGACCAAGTGTCAACCTTCATGGCTCGCGGCGTCGACGCGCACTTCTTTTCCCAATTGCTGCGCGCCTTCAACCCCATCTTTGGCTCCGTCTTTGGTCATCTCGACAATCTCGATACGTACCTCGACATGGCCAGTGTCGCCGCCAATTTCAAGGTTGACAAGCCTACGGCGCCCCGGTTTACGCCCGAGCGTGTGTCCGAGGACTTGTTTATCTAGATGCACGTCCTGTACAAGGTACCACCCCGACCTGGGGCATTAGAACGGATCGGATGTTAGCAATCGTCCACATTTGAACGAGAGCTCGATCGTCGTCCAGTACAAGGTACCACCCCGACCTGGGGCATTAGAACGGATCGGATGTTAGCAATCGTCCACATTTGAACGAGAGCTCGATCGTCGTCCAGTACAAGGTACCACCCCGACCTGGGGCATTAGAACGGATCGGATGTTAGCAATCGTCCACATTTGAACGAGAGCTCGATCGTCGTCCAGTACAAGGTACCACCCCGACCTGGGGCATTAGAACGGATCGGATGTTAGCAATCGTCCACATTTGAACGAGAGCTCGATCGTCGTCCAGTACAAGGTACCACCCCGACCTGGGGCATTTGGACGAGACGACCACGTGTAAAGTGCCCAGTACAAGGTACCACCCCGTCAGGGCATTTGGACGAGAGAGAGCCGAGACGTTGCGCCCAGTACAAGGTACCACCCCAGAGGGGCATTTGGACAAAACAACGAGTATAGAGTGCCCCGTACAAGGTACCACCCCGACCTGGGGCATTTGAACGAGAGGGCGTAAAACGCATAGTGCCCAGTACAAGGTACCACCCCGACCTGGGGCATTTGAGCAATCGTCGTCCAGTACAAGGTACCACCCCGACCTGGGGCATTTGGACGTAGAGAAAGAGAGTCGTAGTGCCCAGTACAAGGTACCACCCCGACGGGGCATTTGAGCAGTGGCCGTCCAGTACAAGGTACCACCCCGACCTGGGGCATTTGGACGACGAGGAAAAGAGTCAACGTCGTGAAAAGAGTTTTGATGATCGGAGTGATCGGCGTTTCGGCGTAATGTGGTTGCTCACCACGTACTAATACACGTGTCTTTGCACTGACTTTCCCCATCGTCCAAGTTTACACGACGCGGAATTCTACTTCCACATCGAGTCTCCGGCTCCGCCTCCCGAAGAGCGCCAATTGACAAGCAACAATCGCGGGGCTTCCCTTCCCCCTCATTCAAGTTGCCAGAGAGAACAAGCCGCTCGTTGCGAAGGACGAAGAACCCGAAGTCTGAGGAGTCATCAAGCAGCGGCCGGTTCATGGCCGCACGCATCCACGATGGCGCTTGAGCGACGCCAATACGTGATGGATCACAGCAGCTTCGGCGCCTCCAGTGGCGACCTTGCTGAGGTACGTCGAGCTTCCTCGCAGCCCTCGCATAGGACTCCGGCTTAATTCCGGCCTCGAATTGGGTTTCGGTCTGGGTAGCAGACGTGCTAAGGGCCCCGAGCCGCGTCGATGGGGTGGATGTCCATGTTCACCATCCTAGGTAGGGGTCAAGGCATCCGTCGCTGAGGGCACGGACAGCTGCGATCCAGCCAGATCCCCATCCGCAGAGAAGCCCGCGACCCTCATTCCTGGCCGATCACCGTTAGTTTTTGTGAGGGAGGGTGTCCTCTGGCTTTTATGCCTGACGAGCAAAGCCTCGTCCTCGCGGGCCACACGTTGAGAGGACAACCTACTCGCCGAAGGGGACCGCACAGAGAACGGGACCGAGCCTGATGTTCAGAACGTCGCCCACGGCAGTGTCAGTCACAAACCGGCTGATGAAGCGACTTCTGGAACAAGATCCAATGGCACTGGGATCGATGATAGCGGCGTCGGTGGTCTCGGAGGGCATGGACCAGCAAGGAGAGTTCGGAGAAGACAGCTGGATCGCCATTCACGCGATACCCGGGATCGAAGCCGACGCCCACCGAAGGGGCATTGGGATAGCGCGCTCTCGGCGCGCAGCTCAGTGCTGCATCGGAGCGTCCATAGTGCCAAACACCCTTGCCGATGGAGTGCCGAGAGGGAAGCGTGCATGGACACGTGGGAGTTACCCCGTTCAAGCAAGGGCGGGTGAAAGACGCTACTCCCACCATGGCACTTGACGTGCGACACTGCTGCGGCACAGACGTGCTCGTCACACCGAGTCCGTTGGCGGCAGAACGGACACTGTCGCTTAACTGACTGCTCCAGCTGCGGCTTCTCAATCTATGACGCTCGCGACACACTCTAAGTGTAGTTCCTGACACGCTTTTGTTAGCGGCCGCGTCCACTCGCAAACGCCGTCGGCGCCCGTCTCTGTATCTCTCCCGTGTACACGGCAGACGAGAGCTCGTGGCGTTGCATTCTAACAGCCGCCGCTGATGCACTGCACCGCAAGAGCTTAACTGGAGGTTGTTGATGCGGCGCTGCCCGCTGGTTCGAGTGCCAGAGGTCAGGTGTTGCCGAGTGCCTTTCGCGCCGCTCGCGCGTACCTTCTGCGTGCGGCCTCCGACAAACTCTATTGGAAGACGCGGGACTGTGGGCGATATTTTGACTCAGGGGGCTTCAGTACGGACCTGGCAAGCACGGCTTCATTCACACCTCGATAGTCCTCACTTGGTCAGTTTAGTCGGTGAGCTCTACTCGCTGCCGAAGGTCAGCATAACTTAGCGGTCGTCAATTTGTTCAGCGCAGCTGAACTCGAGGCACATCGCCAGAGCGGTCGTCGAAGGCCCTCTCGCGGACGATATTAGCGAGGGGCAGGACCGCTCAGCATTGTTTCCCACCAGCGTCCATGGTAAGCGATAGTCCATATACAGCCAGTGCATACGTGGACAACTACCAGATTTGAGTAAAGACAGAAACGGGACTTCGATATTTGGAACAGGGGCAACTTCGGGACTTCGATTGGTGTGAGCAGCTTCACCTGGGCATTGGTTGAACAACGAGTGTGCAGTTGATACACTTAAGCGTTGATCTGGCGGGCAAGCCAGATGGGAGCGCTAATGCTAGCGTCGGTGGTGTAGAGGAAGTGAGCGGGCAGGATGAAGAGCGTGCCGAAGCAGACGGCGTCGGTGGCAGCGCAGTAAACCTTGGTCTTGCTAGAGGGGAAGTTGGGGATGCCGCCGCCGTTCTGAAGGTTCTTCGTGTAACCGAAGAGGACAACGCCCTTGACCTGATTCTTGATGGTGGCCGAAAGCTCGCTAACGGCGTTGGACATGACGGCGGTGCCCTGCGAGTAACCTCCGGCGACAATGGGAGTGTTGGGACACTTTGTGTTGGCCATGGTGAAGAGACGCTTGGCCTCATCGATGGCGGCCTGCGAGGTACCGGCGGGAAGGAAGTTCTCGGCGAGGCCAGCAGTGTAAGGACCACCGACACCCTGGACCCAGACGTCACCAAAGCGCGAGTCGAGACCCGACGCCACACTAGGTCCGGCGGAGGCACCCTGAGATGAGATGAGACAATCGAACCGATCGGAAAACGTACCATGTTGCCGATCTCGGTCGAAGCACGAGCAAAGATGAAGATGACGTCAGGGCAGTTGTTCGAGTTGCCGTTCTCGAGGTCGTTGCGGGTCGAGGAAAGAAGCTGGCGCTCATCGATCTCGACGGGAGTGGGCGCAGCGGCGACGAGAGAGAGGGCGGTGGCGAAGAGGGCGAGGAACTTCATTGTTGCGTTGATCGAGTTGTTGTTGCTGTGAGATGCTGTTTAAACGTCGCTGAGAGACCGACTTTATACTTCCTCTCCGGATCGAACATACGCCAACTTCGCTAATGCTATCTATTGACCGATCCGGCTTGTTGAAGGTCGTCACTCCCGTGGGGCTCAACGTTGGCTGCACCGTTGAGTGGGACACGCTCAACATACCCCGCGGCGGCTCATGCCGGCGCCCCACATCCTGAACGGTCAGCTCAACGCATGGAACCTCCAACGCCGCCGAGAATGCGCCACAATGCTTGGGCCATTGAGTGTTTCGGCCATTAAACCGGCGTCGCTCTCTTTCTATCCTATCAAGATGCTTCCGATATCGTTGCGGCGAGAACCGCTCTTGGTGACCCATGCGTTTCCAACCTGGAACGCAACTGCCCACCTGGTAGGCGCATCGGTAACCGCATTCTTGTAACCGACAGAAGGAATGACTGTCTCAGAGGAATCTAACGTGACTTAATCTAGAGACCGAGCCCTTGTGGGGTTCAAAACTCACCGAATCGGAATCGTGCCCGAATTCCGCATGGCGCCCGTACCGCATGGCCTGAGCTCCCTCGATCTCACAACGTTCGACGTCGGAGTTGAAGAGCTTACTGCAACGCATATGCATCAAAACGACGCGGCGAGACATCGGCGCTTCGCGCAATATCAAGGTCAGGTGACACGTTAGTCGGCAAGCACCGTTGGCACCGGATGCATGTTCATTGGCTCATTGACAGATCGGAAGGACATGGAGGTCCATCTGGAGCTGAATGTTGGGGTCGTCGGTCGGAAGCATCAGTTTGCCGGGGTCGCCATGGATCCCGTCGAGATCTTCCTGGAACATGCGGATGCGATGGTGGTTAGAGATGTGGTCTGCGAGGTCGAGAGGAGTGGAGGTCGCCGAACAGGAGGGGAAGAAGCACTGGAGGATCGTATCGGGTTTGTGAAAGATGAGATGCGTGGACAGGTGACCAACAAGGTCCTCGTAGCCCTTGAGTCTCTCCTCCGGATCGAGAGTGGTGTCGTGCACGCATTTGGGGCAAAAGACCTCGCGCCGCCATGCCGAGAGTATTCCACCCTTCCCCAAGCATCGGTCGTCTGACTTGATTAAAGTGACAACCTCGTCGATATGGGAGTCCATGTGGTCGGTGAGGAGCATCCTACCTCTCACAAAGCGGAAACATACGGTACAGTAGACGACTAGGTGTTGGCCGCAATGGGATTTCCGTTCCTCGTTCGACTCCTCGTAGGATATCAGGCCATGGTGGTACTCGAGATGCTCGGCTGTCGCGCGCTCATTGCAGGCGGTCATATACGCGGTGGGTACCATACAGCGGTGGTCACCTTCGTGCTTTGAGGCAAGGTGAGCAGCGAACTCCTTTGCTTCGCCAACATGTGCTCCGCAGCCCTGCCAAGGGCAGGTCTTTAACTCGTGGATCTGGCCCCACATTTCGAGGGCTTCGTCGACCTGTTTGGGTAGAACATGGTGCAAATGCAAATGCTCGACGATGTCTTTTTGCGGAGGGAGAACCTTGAAGCACTCGCAGCCGACCGCTCCTGGCTCTGATGGTTGTCCAGGATAGGGCTGCACGGTTGTCGCGGGAGCAACCACGGGCTGAGCTAGAAGTGCGTTTTCACAAGCATCGTGCCAGCGTTGAGGCCTCTCATCAGCACTGATTTCGGCAAGGTAAGCGGTGCGCTGCTCGTCTGGCATCTGCGAGATAGGAATGACGGTTGGCCCTTGCTGCTCCTTACCCGCTTGAAGTCGTCAGCACCTACGGCACTGACGTATAACAAAACTTACCGGCACGGTCCGCAAGCAGTTTCTTCGTCCATCCACGGCGCATCATCAGTCGAGCTATGAGCTAGGAGTAAAGGTCGTCGAGGGGGGAAAAGGGAAACCTGCGAACCCGATTGTGGACGACAGTGAACGACTGTGTTGTCGCTCATCCCTTGTTAGCAGACGATGACGAGCACAGCGGGATCAAACCGCATTGCATAGTCTGAGCAAGGCAACGGGCACATACTCGCCCCTCTTTTGTGTCCATTCTGAGTGATCCGTGTGTGATCAAAGGGCGCATTGCGTGTGTGGTCCGCGCTGGAGTTGAAGACTGCGCCGGCGACGGTGGTGGTGCAAGGGTGCGGCGGGCGCCGCCGCGATTGGCCGGGTGTAGCCGACTAGGACTAGATCAGGGAGAATGCATTGGGAGAAGCTAGCTGATGCTAGCGTCGGATCTATGGACACTAGAACGGAATCAAAGGCACGTGGCTTCAGGGTCACGTGGTCCTAGGGACCACCCGCTACACACCCCGCGCGGCATGCGAGCGGCGTCCCCGTCGCGAGAAAAAAGGTTGAACATGAAGGTTAATCGCCAGCGTGTTCTTGAAGTTCGTAAGAAAAATGCCTGATGGAATCTTCGATGTCCAATTCGTTATCAGGGTTGAAATGGTAGATGTAGAAGGCGAGGTGCTCGCCGTTGAATTCTTGTTGATGTTCTCGGTGTTGGTCGACGATGTCGCCGCCACCATAGAAGCGGAGTTCGGTCTCATCGCACCATTCGTCGGGCCAGACCGTTCCGTCGGGTGAGTTCTGGAAGCGTACTCGCCATTTGATCTCGCCGTTGTGTGTTGGTCGGGCGTCGATCACAGACTGGAGCTTCCGCACCGCGGTCGGTCCGGTCCCTCGACGGTGGAACTTGCGAATGTGGGCGAAACTAACTTGGTCGTGAATGCGCATTCCTTCGGCGAGGCGAAGCTTGGCGACGTTGTCAAAGGGGATGTCTATAATTGTGAACGGTCCCCAGAATGTTGGGCCAAGCTTGCTGTGTTGGAATTGCTCTCCTTCTTCATCACGCGGCTTGTATATAGCCGTCGCCAGTAGAACCTCGTCGCCGATCTTGAACTCAACGTCGCGATGTAGCGCGTCGTATTGTTGTTTCTGGTTCTGTTGTGCCGCCTGCAGGGCTTCGACCGCTTCGCGTGCGTCCATGTGCAGTCTGGCCACGAGGGAGCGAACCTCGGGATTAGGGTTCGTCGGGGAAGAGTCGTGAATGAAGAAGGGGGCGCGACCGAGGTCGAGCTCGAAGGGTGTCTTCTTGGTGGACGCTTGAACGCTCGAGTTGTGGGCAACCTCAAGTGTAGAGACGTAGTCTGACCAGTTGGATCCATCCTTGTTCACGTAATGACGTAGACCTTCTTTGATGACACGTATGACACGTTCACAACCGCCGTCGGTTTGTTGGTGGAACGCTGTCGCCAGTCGATGTTGTACTCCCAGGAAAGCCATCAGGTCCTGCCACATCTCAGATGTCAACTTTGAGTCTCTATCTGAGATGATAACCTTAGGCAGGCCAAATAATGAGAAGACAGAGTCGAACATAAGCTTGGCGAGCAGGCGAGATGTCATACCCTCCTCACAAGTGGGGATAAGTCGTACACGTTTGGTTAGACGATCGAGCACAACTAGGCATGCGTCGAATCCATTGGACGTGGGGAGTTTCGTCATCCAATCCATCTGGATTGTGTGCCAACGTTCGGGGCAGTGGGGAATGGGTTTGAGGAGGCCGGGTGGCAGAAGGTTGTCTGGCTTGTTCTTTTGGCAAGACTCGCAGTGTCTGACGAACGAGCGCACACAGCGCTGAACGCCCGGCCACCAGAAGTGCTCGACAAGCCGCAGATAAGTCGACTCGCTGCCGCGATGTCCTGCCATGGGTGTGTCGTGGAAACGGGAAAGAATATCGTCGCGAAGAGACTTGTCGTCGGGAACGTAGATCATAAACCGTGGGACGTTGCTGTGGACGGTGTGTAGGATACCGTCACTGAGGACAAAAGGCTTGCTCGGGTGCCACATGGTCTTTCGCCAGTGCTCTCGATCGTAAGGCTTGGTGTCGGGAACGTCGTATCGGAGAAGAATCTCGTCAACAATCTTGATGAACTTTGGGTCGTCGTACATCGCTTCATTGATGCGTCGGATCGTGTCGTTGTCCGGTAGGATCTCCCAGACAGCGTGAACTGCGCCTTCGTCGAGGTCGCCAAGTTCGTCAGTGATAATCGATGCGGAGTGGTCCGGTTTCGTGCGGGCCCCGCGAGGCGGTGGATGGATCGGTGTTCCCCCCATCCAGGGTTCGGGAATCTCCTCCTCTGGACGAGCACGGTCGCGGTCCGTCGCTGGCAATGGATTGCGGCTGCATTGGTCGACGTGTTGCATCTTCTTGGCCTGCTTGTAGACGAAGTCGATGGTTGAGTGATACGACATGAGAAGGGCGCTTGCTCGCTGCATTCGTTTGCAATCGCCTTTGTAATTCTCGAGTTGTTGTAAAGCCTTATGGTCACAGAGCATCTGGACAGTCCCACCCTCAATGTATGGGCGGAACTTCTCCAGTGCCCACATGAGTCCAGCGCATTCAAGCTCTGTCGCTGCCATGTTCTTCTCTCCGTCGACGGTCTGTCTGGAGATGAAGGCGATGGGCCGGAGGTATCCTTCTGGAGTCTTCTGAGAAATAACAGCACCGAAACCGTCGAGGCAAGCGTCGCTCTCGATGTAGAACTTCTTGTCCGGGTTCGGGTGTGCCAGGAGGACATCCTCAGCAAGCTTCTCGATCAGCAGGTTGTAGGCCGCTTCGTACGTCTCGTTCCAAGGCAGGTGGTGAGAGTTGAGCTGTACTGCCAGACGGCGAAGCTCTCGGAGAGGCGTGGCTAAAATTGCGAAGTTCTTCACGAATCTTCGGTAATGTGAGGCGAGTCCCAGGAAACGTGAGAGCTCCTTGACTGTGGTCGGTCTCTTCTGCTTGGTGATTGCATCGGTAGCCTTCTTTCCTTTGGCTATTCCGGCGTTGGAGACATGGTGCCCCAGGAGGTCGATGGAATTCACGAACAGATGGGACTTCGACGGATGGAGAGTGAGGCCGCCGTCGATCATCTGGCCGAGGACCCAGCGAACGTGCGTCACGTGGTCATCGAAAGTCTTGCTGTAGACGATGATGTCGTCTATGTACGCGAGACACCAGAGCCAGCGGCCTTCTGCTAAGAGCGTGTCCATCAGCCTTTGAAACGCTGCTGGAGCGCCCTTCGCGCCGAAAGGCATCCGCAAGGGTTCGTAGAGTCCATCCTGGGTCCGGAAAGCTAAACGCTTCGCTGCCCGCGGCGTAGTCGGAATCTGGTAATAACCTTTGTTCAGGTCGAATGAGGAGAACCAGTGACTGCCCTCGAGCGAGTCAAGGATGTCGAAGACACGGGGCACGGGGTATTGGTCGCCCACTGTGATCTTGTTGAGTGCCCGATAGTCGACGCACATACGCCATTGACCATTCTGTTCGACCATTATCACAGGTGAGGACCATTCCGAGGTAGAGTCCTGGATGAGCTGCATGTCCTTCAGAGCCTTGATTCTTTCTCTGATCAGCTTCCGTCGAAGAGGACTGGCGTGATACGGGCAGTGGGTAGTCGGTTTGGCGTCTCCAGTGTCGACGTCAAAAACCGCCCGTCTTGTCAGGCCGATCGGGTTCTTCTCTGAAGCGAAAGCGGCCCGTTTGCAGTAGAGAAGGTTCTCAACCTTGCGGCGCTGGTCGTTGTCAAGATTCTCGTTGATGTTGATCTTGTCGAGGAGCGTCTTGTACTCCTCCCAGTCCTCCGAGGTGAGGTAGTCTTCCTCTGTGTTGATGAAGTTGGCCATCTTCGTTTTCTCAAGCTCATGTGAGAGTGAATCGACGACTTGTTGGATGTCCTTAAGTTCGCGCACTTGGTCGCGAGACTTAGGGATTGCCTTCCCAACGAGTAACCCCCGTTTGAGCTTAATCGGTTTGCGAGTCCCATTGAAGAACTCATACATGACCTCGTCGGTGTGCGCTGGCTCGAGCGCTCTCGGACCGCGGATCAATCGTGCTCCGTTCTCCAGTGGGACGGGTTCAATGAGGAAATCGGATTTGAAACCGCCGGTGATGACGTGGACTGGCACTTTCATGCGGCAACCAGGTTGAATGATGTAGGCGTTCTTCAGTCGGACGTCGCGAGCGTGACCGTAGTTCATCGGGTCTTGTCGGCGTCGTCGAGCTGAGGTGATGAGATATTCTTGGTCCTGGAGTTTCATCCGCCCTCGAGACAAGTCAATCACAGCGTTCATTGCGATCAGAGCGTTGTTCCCCACCAGGAGTCCATCCTTGAGGTCGGGAACAACGTGGAAGCGGATGAGGAACACCTGGTCGTGTCCTCGCGCGTCTTTCCTGGAAAAACGCAGCGGGAGGATGGTCGATCCCAGGGTTCGTGAGGTGCCGTTGACACCGTTGATCGTCAAAATTGCTGAATCTTCGATGTTGTAATTCTCGATCTCGTTTCGGAGATAAGCTTCGCCGACCAGGCACAGGTCGGCGCCAGAGTCGATGAGGACTCTGTGTGGCTGGTTGCTTGTTCCGATGCGAGCGAACGCCAACGTCGGCGTCGGCACCCAATCGGACTGTAACCAGTCGTTGAGTTCGGCATCAGCGACTGGTGCTGAAGAAACATCGTAGACGTGTGCTTGCGGTGTCTGAGTGCAAGACGGTCGCTTCGTCTCTGAGCTTGTTTCTCCTGCATTGGCGATCTTCTCCTTCTTCTTCTTCTTCTGACGAGGAGCGTCGTCTTTGGTCCCGTCGTCCTGCTCTTCGTCGTCTGAGGAGGGGAGGAGTTCGATCGTCGCTGTGCATTCTGGGATGGGGGTATCATGAGGTTTCAGCGAGCAACCATCGTGTGTGGGAGGTGTCGGTTGTTGAGGCCTCGGAGTTGTACGGAGAGAGAGAGCATTGTTGTCGTTCTGCACATCGTTTTGTTGTTTTCTCTTTTCTTGGGCTGCGAGCCAATACACATTGTTTGGTCGGTATGTCAAATCGTAGGGGTCGTCAATATACACATCTTGTTCGTCCGCACTACTGGCGGGAGGGGCGAAAGGACGGCCCTGCGGCCGCATTCGATCCCGAGGCAGGGGCGTCCTGCTTCTGCTGCGGGTTCGAGTTGTTGGCTAACTTGTCGCAGTCGGCGTCGTAGTGCTTTCCGCCGCAACCGTTGCATGGGCGACCTGGTGGCCACGGCCTGAACGGGTCGCGCCCAAGGAACTTGCGCTGGTTGTCGAGCCACTGGCGTTTGTAGTCCTCTGTGTTGTGGCCGTAGTTCGCATTCCTGTTGTTGGAGCGTTGACCCTGCTGACGGTCGTTCGACTGCGTGTCGCGTGACTGCTGAGACTGGTTGTTGTTGTCTGAGGACGACTGCTGATTCTTGTTCCCTTTTGGCGCCCTAGAGTTGGCACTGCGGGAGAGGTCCGACAGCCAACTGACGTAGCCAGGACGAGGATGGCCGTTACTGTCGCGCATGTCCAGATTCTTGTCCCACCATTGGGCGTGCAGGAGGCCAGCTCGACGTTCCATCGATGTTTGGAGATCGTGGAGAGAGTCGCGGTCGGGGTCCCAGGTGACGTTGGCACGCCACTGCATGGGAGTCCCACCAAGGATCTGGAGGCCAATCTCGGCGTCGGACATGGAAGGGTTCCCACGACGAAGAAGGTTCTTCTTCTCGTGGAAGTATTGCCTGACGTCCTCGTCGTTGCGGATGATGCGGTGCGCGGCTGCTTGTTGCTCGATCAACTTGATATTCGTGGGGCGGAACGTCTCCAGCAGCCTGGCTCTCCAGTCCGACCATGTGCGAAGCCGCTCCAGTTCGCCATCGGTGAGAGTGATGAACCACTCATTCGCTGAACCGTGGAAAAGCGTGCCGAGTCGGGCTATGATCTGGTACTCGCTAACCCCCGTCCTCAGGTGGACGTCGATGGCTCGGACAAAACGTTCGATACCATCCTTGTCTTCGAAACCTTCAAACTGGGGGAGATCCTTCGTCTCAATTCGGACTGGCGGAAGCTGCGGCTGGTAGACCGGATGAGGGTAGGCCATCGCTCCGCTGGGCATCATGGTCGAGTATGGTTGACGAGCACTGGGGTGTTGTTGGACCGGTGAGAAGAGGTTCGAGTGCACTTGGTTCTGCGGGAGGACCGGCTGTGAGGACGTGAAAACATCGTCTGGGGGATGTTGCTGCAGGCGGTGATGTTCATGCGTCCCGTGTTGACCGTTCTGGCGCGTCGCTGGCCGCGCCGCAGGCTGGCGGTCGTTGTCGTCAGCCGCCCTCGCGAGATCAGTGCCTGGAGGGGCGGAACTATCCTGTTCAGGGACCCTTTGAGTGATCGGCGAAGTCCGTGTCGCGCCTCCACCTCCACCTTCGCCATGGCGGATGTTGTCAGCGCTCTCCTCAATAGCTTGGAGCTTGGTGGGGGAGACAGCATGCTTCGGCTTCGGGTGCAAGATCGGTGGTTTGTCGGGCGGAGCATCTTTCTGGGTCGTCTCCAGCTGTCCGGAGGTGACGCTGGGCGAGGTCTTGCTCTGCTTGCTGTTCGCACGACTGATCTCCATCGCCGCGACGCGGTTCTTGACGCCATCGAGCTCGCTGACCACCGTGCGCGTGTCCTTGGACAGGCCGGTGAGCGTGGTCATGATGAGCCTGCGGAATTCTGCCTCAGACATGTTGTCAGGGTTGACGCCTGTGTCGTCGTCTTGGGGGGCTTGTGCGGGATCGGATGGCTGCTGCGTGCCCGCCTTCGCCTTTCCTTTGGCACCAGCCTTCTCCTCAGCCGCTTGGCGGCGACGCTCCTCGTCGGCAGCTGGGTCCGGTGTCCTCTGCTCCGACATTCTCGGCTCGTCCTTGGGGTTGGCGTCGAGTGAAGCTGAGATAAAAGAGGTGTTGGAATCGGAACGAGTGTGTGTCGACGTAATTCTTGATGATCGACGGTACGTGGCCCTCTCCTTGTAGGAAGTTGGTTCGATTGAGGCCGTCCGTGGCCTCAGTCCAGAGACCGTTGGGGAAGATTGTGTTGACCGTGGTGGTCTACGATATGGGTGGGTTGTGGGGGAGGGGGTCTTGAAAGCTGTGTCTTGCGACGGCGAGGAAAGGGGTGGTTGGGGGGAATGGTGGTGGATGTAAACAAGGAGGTAAGGTCGCTTTTATGTCGTAAACTTGTTGTTTTGGGTCGAAAAAAAACGGGAGCGCTACCTGTGAAGGCTGGCTCGTCACTAGCCTTGACGAGGGGAGTGGTTTCCTAAGTCGTCCACCAATGTAGCCGACTAGGACTAGATCAGGGAGAATGCATTGGGAGAAGCTAGCTGATGCTAGCGTCGGATCTATGGACACTAGAACGGAATCAAAGGCACGTGGCTTCAGGGTCACGTGGTCCTAGGGACCACCCGCTACACCGGGAACCGAGAAAGATAACGGCAGCGGAATCAAATCCTTGCCGAGGTGACCGATACGCCGATAAGCCATGCTCCGTTTTGCGAGATGTAGACTACGCTTGTCGTCCTGCAGCGATTCGCAAGCACCTGCTGGCCAATTCTGGTGACTCACTGAGATTCATATTCGACTCTGTGAGGGGCATGAGATCGGCCAGACACATCAATTACGCCCTGCGCGGTCTGCGGAGCAACCGGGGGCGGCGTTCCCCCGCAGAGTCAGTCGTCAGACGTTCGCAACGGGGAAGTTTGCCGCTCAGATCCACGGAAGGCAATACATAGGATTGCACGGGCTCCCCCATCCACCAGTGTCTACATTGACGATTGGGTGTACAGACACCGGCGACAGCCAGTCACCCCGCTCGGACGCGCGGCCAATGCAAGCACGCGGCCCCCTGGCCCCTGGAAGGCAGAAGAGGCGAAAGGGTTTCAGGACTCCTGGAGAGCCCGCGACCGAGCCTGACAGCGCTGCACTGACGCCTCTGGATCTTGTCCGCTCACACATTCTCCTCGTCACCCTTCATACCAAGTCTGTGAGCAGTATTGGCGGCCTCCTGCTACACGTGTTCCCAGAACGCACCGCTAGAGTCCATCGATCTGATCTGGCTGGAGTCGTCGCGAAGAATGTTCCCCATCGCAGCATCCATGCGCGCGATACGGGCTCTGTGAAGACCCTGAATGGCAACGCTGAGGCTGGCCTTAGCTGCACTGGCTCGTTATACACCGGTCAGAGCGTGGAAGGGATAGTCAGCGGTGGAATGTGATATCGGCCGACATGAACGCACGGCACTGAGCGCCGTCCCGTTGGTGGTTGGATCCCTGTTCATCCTGCTACAGTCTGAAAGCGACGGCGAGACCCTCGGAGATCGTTTGAAATTGGTACAGGCCAAGCCAGGGGGGGCGCCTGGCCGCCAGGAAGAGATAACGGAAAGGAAACCCGAGTTAGGAGGCCGAGTAGTCGCCGACCATGGGCCCGCGTATCGTGGGTTGGAAGTTCCGGGACGCTGCATGCACAGGAAAGCGCTATGTCTATTACGCATGAAGCTGCATAGGTGCGTGCTGGCATGTATTTCTGCTCCTCAGACCTGGTCGAATCGAAAGGGCTAGGCGATCAGACATTGAATCTTCTGTGGGTCGTCCGCAACGCATCCACGGGGAGGACTCTGCTTGCCCCCACCATGCCGCCTTTCTGTGTGGGTTGATATCCGGGTAGGAGCAGGACACTTCCCTCGTCCAGTCCCTTCGATTCCCTCACGGCGCCGCGCCTCTCGTCGACCGCCCTTTGCAGAGTGCGTCAAGAGACCCGGGACCAAAGCGCATCGCCCCGCGCGGGCTCATCAATGTCCTCGGCCTCGTCTGTCCTTGTATCAACGTATCCATCCATGACGTTTCCATGCTCTCCGCTACACCCAGTACCACCACCGCTTCTCACTTCGACGTCCTCCCGCCACCACAATCCCGCAGCCTGACCATATCTGGGGAGCTTCCCGTCAACAGCCGGGCCGCCTGGGCGACTCAGTGGCCAACACCGGACAATACTGCAGCACCTTCCCATACGCTGATCCCAGGCGCTGGCAACTCCGCCCAGAGGTTTTGCCAAGGCACAAGAGTCGGGCTATCGTTTGCGCAACGATGCAGACTGGAAGCTCCTGGCCCTCATGAACACGCTCAATGCGACCATACCCGCGGGCAGTGGTCCTCAAGCCAAGTTGATCCGCGTCCTGTTTGGCATGCTGCCCAACCAAATCACCAAGGACATCGCCCAAGCATACAAAAGGTGAGAACATACACGAAAGCTGAGTTGACCGCAAAGGTCTTGAAGGGATAGGACCCCGCTGTCGAGCAGATCATCGCTTTCAACCGGTCGTGGTCTAGTCATCAGACCTACGTCCGGCGTCTTGAGGCCAGAAACGAGGAGATGGAGTCGGATCTCGACGCCATGAGGGTTAGCCAAGAGTTGTCGGAGTAGAGAGAGGAGTTGCGCCTGAGGAGCACATGAAAGCGACGTCTATAGAGTTACACCGAGGGAAGGCGACACGATACGGATCGTTGCATGCAGTAGTCGGCCATTGTTTGGTCCCGCAACCACCGTGGGAGAATGGCTCTGTTCAGCTCGTGGTCGGTGTCGAGAGCTCACGTTTCCCACGGTCGCGAAACGACCAACCTCCACCGGATGACGGAATCCGAAGCAGTGATGAGCACCGCTTGCATTGGAGGTGCGGGCTGCGGCGCCGAGACCGCCATCGGCGGTGCATCACCCCACATCAGTGAGCACCGCCGCCGCGGTCTCCTTCACACACTCATCATGAGTTCAAACAAGCACCCCTACGCCCCTTCCGAGGACGATTCAACAGTAAAGCTCCTAGACCAAGCCGAAACGGACGAATCTGCGGCCGTTCAGCCCGTGGCCGAGCACACCCCGCGACCCAGCATCGACTACTACGTCTGTGTACCCGTGTGGATTCGCGCCGTCCCTATCATCGCGTTCGTCACCGGCCAAGCCGCCGCAACCGTGCTCGTGACCCTCATCACGCTCTGTTTCGAGGAGGGACGGAAACGCTTTGGCACAGCCGACCTAGTCCTGATCCTCTTGTCTGTCGTGGAGCTCGCTGTGTTCGCCTTCCTCTACCGCCTCTCATACGTCACACCGATTACGGGTCCCGAGGCTGCGGCCTCGTACGACCCCACCCGAGCCCGGTTCCAGTACGTCATCACGCTGAGTGGGAACCCGGAGATACACCCCCTGCTCTTCTTTGTCTACGGCTGGGGAATCTACTACTCCTTCTCCGAGTATGGACCCATCGCGGCCATCAGGTCCCTCACCTTTGTTTGTATCGCGCTCAGCATGGGGCTTCTCATCGCCATGCTTCGCAAACGGCCGCTCCGCCGTCTGTACCCCGGCCTGCCGTTGTACAGCCGCCCCGCACCAACCTTGTAACTGAAATACTTCCCAATCTGCCAGTCCACGACCGTAATCCGTGATGCTTGTAATAAATCCTACCCGGAAGATGGCGTTGTTTGACCCAGTCGTCCATGCACTCCACGATATTCCAGTTGATCCAAAGCAATCGTGACGGGGGCTGAGGCACTTACGCAGACGGCTACCCCTTCCCTGTTACAAAGCTTAAACATCTCCAACGGTGCTGCGTTGCTTAGTGTATCCGCGGTGTTGCAGGCATAACGTCAAGATGCTCCAATAGCCCAAACCGTGAGAGTCTCGTACCCAATGGCGTGACGTTACCACTCAGCGTGCAGCACTGATAGCTGAAGCGAAGGGCAATGGTGTGAAGACGCCGTGCGCCGGCCGCAGCTGTCGCGGGTCCAGGACACTTGTACAGCTCCGCCGTCAACAGAGCGTGCGAAACGGTCGGGGTCCTTTGGCATCGCTTTCCACACCATACGCATTGCTCTCGCGCGTCCCACAGAATGCCCGGCGAGAACACCCCCATCCGACCCCGCGATCCGGGTCATCGCACCGAGGTTAAGCAGTATGCGGTGACGTCTTGCGTGTGGCTCCTCTTGCTCGGGATTGTGGTGTTCATACAGGGCGGGCTTACCGGTTCTCTGTTCAGACAACTAGTCGAGGCTGCTCTGTGGTGGAACGCAGCGCCGCTGAACAAGGGCTGGGTGGCCTTCCAGATCTGCTGGGACATCTTCTACCCTCTCGCGCTCTGGAGACTGAGCTCTGTCGCGAGGCTGCCGGACGACGCAGCCGCGGTGCCGGCTTACGACGAACGCAAGAGCTCCTTCCAGTACCTTGTCACGCTCCGGGACTCCACGATCGGACAGCTCGGACTCACCCTCTTCCTGGCCGGCTTTACTTTGGGCCTCATACCGTGGCGCAGCGAGTACTTTCGCGACTACAGGTTGATCGGAGCAGCATTCTTCCTTGTCGCACTCCTGCCGGCTGCGCTCATTGTGTCTCGGTGCTCGTCCAAGCGGATACATCCAGCGTGAGTGGGGACTGTCTTCTCTCGGGCCTTCCCACCAGCGGCTGACACGCAAATAATGGCACCCAGGATGGCTGACGGCCTCCGCGGAGGCTGGAGTGCGGTGAGGAAGTGGAGCGTGAGGACTGCCGCTCTCTGCCGGCTTGGGAAGGTGCTCTTGTAATCTCAAACCTTATGTACAAGAGCCGAGCGCTGCTTTCGGCCCCAGCCCGGCGACTTTTGTATGATTACTGTCGACTGCACCTCCAGCGTCACTACTCACGTACCTGCCTTCCATCCGACTGCATGCCATGTCTGTTTATCGCAGAACATAGTAGTGATGCACGTTGAGCATCCAGTTGGTCTGCAGATGGACGCACAGCCTTGGCCAGAACGGCGTCGCAACTAGCCCTTGTTTGATATTGGGTGTTCCTGTTTCAATAGCAGTTTCATTACCCGTTCCATCAACGTTTCATTAGCCGATCCGTTGCACATGCAGCACCGCTCTCGCCTAGCGTCGACAAGCTGACGCGACATTTCTTCGTGCAAAGCTACATGCCTCAGGCTCCAGCTTGACATATATCTCTGCATGGACGTAAACTCGTCAACTAAAGCTGCATCCTCTCACTTCACTTCACTGACACCACCCCACCACCAACTTCGACCATGAACTGGAACAAAGACGGTAGTGACTCCAAGGAGAAAAGCTACCAGATCACAACGCCCCTATGGCTGCGCGTGATTCCCATCGGAGCCGTTGGCGCAGGCATTCTCGGCGGCGAGCTCCTCTCGCTCGCTGTTCGAACCGCCTTTGGGCACAAGAGCTGGCATGAGCACGGCCGCGGCTGGATCTGGGTCGTGACGCACCTAATCCCCGTCATCGTCTTCTTCATCAACATGGCGCTGACGCGCGTCTCGACGCTGGCGCCCCACGAGGTAGCGGTCTACGACTCGAGCAAGGGAAAGAATATGCTCCAGTATGTCTTCACCAGCAAGCACGGCGGGCCCCGTAGCCTCACCTTTGCCATGTTCTCAAACAGTCTCGCGGCCGGCATCTCCCTGCCCATGCTCTGGGACGGCAGGGCCACATGGCTCCCCATCACGATCTGCGCCGTGAGCGTCGTCGCCGTCCTTGCCCTTACGGCGGTTCTCTTCACGTGCACGGCGCGACGACTTAACCCAAACGAAACCCTCCAGCAGTATCATGCCTAAGCTGGGCGAAATGCCACAGCCCCGCGGCGATCTGCATCCGAAGCCGCCAATTACCCTTGATCCCTAGACGAATCCCCTGTATCCTGTACCGAAAGCAATGCAAGAGAACACTCACAGACGCTGCATGAGCAACTGAGTAGCCGTACTGACTTACACCTCATGCGCCGCGGCCCCGCGCCGCTCGCGCGCCCGAGAGCGCGATCGACTGCGCCGTCGACACTGTGCTCACGTGGTTCCAGGGATGTTGATCCAGTGGTTAAGATGGCTGCCTTCCATTCGTGGTTCGAGCAGCTTACCGGGGTTCGAATCCCCGACATCTCAGAGCGCATCGCTTTTTACCCTGCATGGAGGCCCGGGCTCGTCCTCATTTCCCGCTGGCGTGGACTGCGGAAGCAGGAGGTGGGCGAGGCCGTGTCGTAGCGATTGAGCGTTGATAGATGCTGCCAGCCTTCGGCTTCCACCCTCCGTGGTCCGTCACGTGCACGCCCGTCAGTCTAGTCAGTCACAGCTCACCCAGCCGGCAAACCCATAGATACCATGCATGTTACCGCTCTACGCCTTGCCCGTTCCGACGCCCGCCGCGTCCTCGACACCGGGCACAGTCCCCGCGGGCGGAGGTTCGCAGAACTGCTCGAGGATGAGGCGGTTGTGGTCCCAAACATTCGCGGTCCAGTACACGTCGCGGCGCACACGGTCCCACGCCTCTTCGAGCGTGTCGTACCGGAGCAGCATGACTGAACCGGCCATTGGCTCGACGCCCTCGGGGAGCAGAGCGAGATTCTCGGGCGCGAAGAGGTGCGAGTCGGGATGGGGGCGGAAGCCGCGGCCGAACTCTGCTCGTCAGCCACAACAGTCATCATTGGTTTCGTTGCGGCTGTTGCACCAGAGACGAGGAGCAACGCCGGCAAGTGTAAAGGGATGCGGTTAGGGTAATGGTGCGGCAGCTCTTGACATACCAGCGTGACCCTCCTGAACGGTCTGCTTGAAGCCCTGGAAGTGTTCGCTCCGGACACGCAGGCGTGTCTCCAGGACGTCGGGGCCTATCCTGTCGGGACAGTACGCGAGGAAGAGGGGCATTGCGTCGATGAGGAGAGAGTGTGATCGAGAGGAAGGACAAAGGTTGCTGAGGTGGGCACATGTCGGTATCTCGGTCCGGAGACATCCGACGGGTGGTGGAGGCCGGGAAGTGACGTCACGTGCAGCTACAGTGAGAGTTCGAAGGGCAATGTTCGTCAGCTAAGTCGGGTTGGGAGATTTGAGCAACCCGAGGCATAGTCATCGACCTGTGTAAATACGCGACAGTGTGAGTGAGCAGCTTTGCCGACAATAAGGCCGGCTCTTCAGGAACCGGCCGGACAGTAGGTTGAATAGGACCACTGCCTCGTCAACCTGTCCACGAGTAGCGACGAGGCACCACGTACGACTTGGAGAGACATGCTTTCCTCGATGTCCACTGCCCAACGCCTCAGCTCGTTTGGGAACGCTCATCGTAGACTAATTTCCCGCGATCTCGTCGCACCCAAGCTCTTATCTCGGGCATCTCCGACCTCGGCGGCAAACTTGGTTCGCTCCGGAGATTCCGCGGCGATCCTTGAATCAAGACTACTAGTTGACACTCACTGTTGATCCCACCTCCGCATCCACCATGCCCTCCGTTGTTTACGCCGAGCACGACGGCGTCGAGATTGGTCTCGACTACTACCTTCCCCCTGGAAATGGCAAGTGCCCCATTTTGCTCTGGTTCCACGGCGGTGGTCTACTGATGGGGTCCCGCAAGGCGGCATGGTCGCATTTGCGCAACGCTCCCGAGAAGCACGGGCTGTGCATGGTGACTGCCGACTACCGACTGGCCCCACAAACACGAATGCCGGGAATCATGCGAGATATCAGCGCATGCCTGGCTTATCTTCGTTCATCCGCGTTTGCGTCCGAGACTGGGGGGCGCGTCGACCAGTCCCGCGTCATTGTATCTGGCGGCTCGGCGGGCGGCTGGCTCGCACTCCTTCTGGGATCCGGAGTGGGGTTTGAGGCGTCTGGACTCGCAGCCCCAGAGCCGCCCCTCGGTGTCTGCGCCATCTACCCTATCACCGACATTACAGCGCCGTTTTGGACCACCCCGCAACACCGTGCGTACTACTTTCGTACCTTGCTAACGTCCAGCCGTGTCGTACGTTGGTCACGAGATCCCCCGCAGTGCAGTGGCCGAGTACCTCGACCCAAACGCACAGGAAACGAGCTGGTGTCCACCCGACTCGCTCCGCATGCAGCTGTACAGCTACATGCTGCAAGAGGCGATTGAGCAGGATCTCGTCATTGGGGACTGTGGAGTTCCAGCCTCCGCCTACTCGATTGCCCCCGGCATTGCGTCGAGCAAGTTCAAGCTTCCGCCGACCTATATTGTGCACGGAACGTGAGTCTCACAGTTGCCTCGGCTGACGGCAGGATCGACGACAAGGTGCCAATCAGCCAGTCTGAAGATGTCGTACGGGCCGCGGATGGGGCTGGGCTGGACGTCACGTTCGACGTGCTCACGGGGATTGACCATCTCTATGACAAGGACCCGAAGTACGAGATGGACAACATGTACCGTTGGATCTGGAAGCTCCTGCAGCGCGCTTAGATATGCATGACGGAGGCTAATTCACGTGGCATGCCCGATCTGCAGAGGTCACGGGGCCAGGCCAGACCGCTATGCGCGTCGCGTAGATGTTCCCGAGACAGACCCTCTTCCTCGTTGCATTCATCCTCTTCACACTGACCCACTTGCACTGACGCTTGCCCGCTCGACGTAGAAGAGCCCAGCTGTTGAGGGCAGCGGGTGAACCAAGTCGGGGAAAGCATGGCGGATGAACCTCGAGCACAGTGGTCATATGACCTTGCTCGTGACCCACACGGTGGTCGCGACTGGCTTACGACGCGGAATGCACCCGGCTGTTACCATGTTTAGCGTCGGAGGTCCAGCGTTCTGGATCTGTGCTGACACACGAACCCTCCACTTTCCGACGGCTAACAGCGACCCACCTCAGCTGACAATGCTTCCCCGCTCTCAGCATAGGCACTCGCTTGAGCTGGGATATAAACTGGCTAGACTGCGGTGGGCAAACAATGTGACGCCAGTTCCCAGCAGCAGCAGCGCCCGCCATGAACAACTTGAACTACTCGGAGGGCGGTCCCCGCGACGAGCACATCCCCGGCACCCATGTCATGCACGACCATGACGGCCTAGTGCTTCAGCGCGCGCACGGCGGGACGGGCTATGTGTGAGTCACCACATTGCGAGGATGATCTGGGGCCCTGACACTGATCCCAGACTTGTGCCGCAGCCCAGCGATCGGCCGGATGATCCATTGAACTGGAACTGGAAGTGGAAGTTTGCCGTTGCAGCGACCCAGGCGCTGTACGTCATCTTCACCGTGTCGTCTGCGCTGTCAATGGCGCCAATGAACGGGCTCGCCGCCAAGGAGTGGCCAGAGCAGAGCGAGACGCGTATCGGCCTGCTGACGGGCGGCTGCGTATTGTCCCTCGGGTACGCCAACTTTATCATCGTCCCGTGCAGCAACATCTTTGGACGACGCGTGACGTCGCTCGTCGTGTCGGTGTTCGTCATTGGCTTTGCAATCTGGGAGGCGGAAGCCAAGAGCTACTCGTCCTTCCTCGCGAGCCGCATCATGACGGGCGTGCCGACGGCTATTAGCGAGACGCTCATGGTGCAAGTCATTGCAGACTTGTTCTTCGTGCACGAGCGCGCCCGCTGGATGGGCTTGTATTTCAAAGCCTTCTTCTTTGGCCTCTTCATCGGCCCCATCATCAGCGGCAACATGGCGCAGCGCTATGGCTGGCGCTCATTCTGGTGGCTCAGCACTGCTCTCGGCGTTTTCAACACGGTCAATCTCCTCGTCCTCTTCCCCGAGACGCGGTACCGACGGGGGCCCGTGGCCGACTCTGACCCCGTCTCGCCTGGCGAGAAGGACGCCGACATGCGTCTTGAGGCAGCCGGTGAGAGCGTCACTGGCCGCGGTCGCCCTTCGCGACAGCAGTTCAAGCTCTGGCAGCCGATCAACCCCGACTGGCGCCGCACGCTCATCAAGGATGTCCTCTCGCCGTGGCTCAAGTTCTTCAACCCAATCATCTTCTGGGCTGGGTGCACCATGTACGGCTCGGCCAATGTGCTGCTCTTCTTCAACCTGACGCAACAAACGCTGGCGGGGGCTCCCTGGCACTTCTCCGCGAGTGCAATGGGGTACGCCAACTTTGCCTTCGTCATTGGCGGGCTCATTGGCTTGTCTACTGCTGGGCCATTGTGCGACTGGGTCGGCAACACAATGACGCGCCGCAACAACAATGTGCGCGAGGCCGAGTTTCGCCTCATCGCCATGATTCCATTCATAATCATTGCTGCCATTGGAATTGCCATTGGAGGCCTGGCTCTGCAGCGTGGCTGGGGTTGGGCAGTAGTGCTCTGTGTCGGATACGGCTTCACTGGCGTGACTGTGACCAGCCTTCCGACAATTGCCGTATCCTACGCCGTCGACTGCTACACGCCCATTGCCGGCGACATCATGGTCGTAGCAACCGTCATCAAGAACACGGCGGGCTTTGGCATGAGCTATTGGGTCTTTGACCTGATTGCACGCAAGGGCATCTTCACGTGCGCCATGGTTCAGTTTGCGACATGCATCGGCCCCGCCATCCTCGCATTGCCCATGTACTTCTTTGGCAAGCGCATCCGCCGCTGGACTCGCAACTCGTCCTACCACAAGGAGGACTGAAGTTAAGGGCTAGGTTGAGCACCAGAAGGGTTAATCACGAGGTGTTTGTCTCACGATTAGTAGTAACTCCGACTTGAAATGCACATTCCTTGTTGTCGGTGAATAGAAAACGGTGGCTAAGCGAGATAGCCGACGAGTCCGCGGCTCCTGACACGGTCCGCCATGACGATGGTCACTCGACCCCTCATGTCGCTCCACCGCCGACGTTCCCATGTTGTCATCACTCCCACCATGAAAGCCCACATTGACCACCTCGTCCTCGCAGCGCCGACACTCGACAAGGGCGTCGAATACGTTGAGAAACTGTTTGGCGTCAAGCTTCCTCGCGAACAGGGCTGCGCACACGAGGGCAAAGGCACGCACAACGTGGTTGTCTCCCTTGGTGATGATGTCTACCTCGAGATCTTGGCTCTAGATCCCAACGCGAAGGAGCGCAACGACCCGCGCTGGACGTGGCTCGACAATAAGCCAAACGATTTCCAGCCGACCCTCGAGACCTGGGCCGTGCGGTGCAAGGACGTGCGTGCCGCGCTCGAGGAGACGGACATCAAGCCGGGCAAAGTGGTCGAGATGCAGCGCGGCGACATGAAGTGGCTCATCACGATTGCCGACGACGGAAGCCTAAAGCCAGCAGCCGACGGAGCGTTCCCCTTCATGATCCAGTGGGAGAATGACTCTCCGCACCCTGTCGGGAGCAAGCTCAAGGATTCGGGGCTCCACCTAAAGACGCTCCAGGTCCGCTCACTCGACTATCAAGACATCATCTCGTGTCTGCACGGCATTGGCCTGCACGACCATCGCCTGCGCGTGTCGCTCGGCGAGGGCCCTCGCCTCGTTGCAACCATCACGACGCCGGACGGCGAGCGCACCCTTGAGACGCACCACTAGTCATGTAGTCAGAAGAGATGAATCAGCAGTACCCCGCACAAGTCGCGCAGGGCTCGGGACCGATGTCACGTGACCGTCAGCGGAAGTCGCTCGTCGGCGTTCAGTTCGGTCCGCACAAATGACGCATGGGGCAGCGACAAAGCATATAACGATCGCTGATGCTGCCGTGATGTCTCATCATAGCCCACCATGAACCACCTCGTGCCGTTATCAAGACTCGCCTGTGTCGGACTACGAACGACTGCCAGCCGAGCGCGGCCACTGCGATCACTCGCCCTCCTCGCAACCTCCACCTTTCCCTCGCCGCCGAGATCACGACCATACTCAACTCCTTCGTCCACCACCCACGACCATCCCACTCCCTCTTCATCTCCGTCGACGTGCTCGAGCAAGACAGCCGAGCCCGTATCCAAACCTCGAGCATGGGCTACAGCGGCGTTCTGGAAGTGCAAGCACACCTGGCGTCGAGCCAGTCTGAACACTTTCCGGTGTCTGATCGGGTGCTCGATCGGTGACCTCGGTTCAATGACCTATCTCATGGCACACCATCCCGATATGGACATGGGCACATCAATGGCCATTTCCATGGCGGCGGGCATATCAACGTCTATTCTACTCGAAACGTCGTTGCTGCACTGGGGCAAGGACCGGCTGGGTTGGAGCACTGCTGCCAAAACGGCCCTCGGCATGAGCATGTTTAGCATGCTGGGGATGGAGACGGCGGAGAACCTGGTCACTCTCGCACTCCAGGACCCGTCAACGCCACTGGCGAGCCCCAACTTCTGGGCCATCACTGCCCTCTCCATGGCTGCAGGCTTTGTCGCGCCGCTGCCATACAACTATATCCGTCTAAAGTTGTATGGCAAGGCTTGCCACTAGTCGGGCTGCCAGCGAAGTTAACCGACCTAGCACCCTCGAATGGGATATCCCCCGGAAGGAAGCAATGAAATACGCGCGATCGCGATCGGACCGGAGCGTTATCAACAAGAGTTCAATCAGAAGCGCGCCTCGGACCCTGAGTCCAGCACAATCAAAACCATCACCCGCCGACCTTGTTTCGGGACGTCAAGCGCCGTAGTGCCCAAATGCATCACCCTACCACGGCAACGATCTCATCAACTAGACGCATACAACGGATACTGATGACTACTTTACGACTTCTCGATGACAAAGCCCTCGGGACCGCCCTCGACGAGCGTGGCAGCGAGCTCCCTCTGCTTGAGGTACGCCTCGGACTCGGAGTAGGCTGCTGTTAGTGGGCCCTCATCGTTATCTTACCCTTGACAGCGTCGGCGTCGGCAAAGACACGGGTGACGGTGAAGTCGATGCCGTCCTGGGCAAACTTGGCTCCCTCGGCGGTGAGGGCGGCGGCAATCTTCTCGGCAGCCTCGGCAGAAACGGCCTTGCACTTGGCGACAACGGTGATGGGCATTGTGTGTTGCGTTGGTGTTGCAATAGCCTGTTCGTCGCAGCCTCTTTATAGCAAGCTTGCTCATCGCCCTCCGGCAACTACCATCGTCCTCTCCGGAGCGAGTCCCAACGCACAGGCCAGAAGCACTCAGGTGATGCAGTCGGAAGGAGCATCTTGCAGCCACCCCGCAGCCACACCGTAGTCCATCCCCTTACGCGTCAGCGTTCGGCGCCCAGTGCGCCGCCCCTATACCGTCCCATGCAGTCGGCCCCGAATCTGCTCGGTCTTGTTCTATGCGTTGCATCCCTACAACCACGCGTCGATTATGTATGGAGATGTAGATGATCTGATTGAAGGTCCAGGCGTCTCAGACGCTTTCGTTTGCTATGTTGATTCTCTATTATTGCAGGACGACTAGTGCGGCATGCCAGAGCGAATGGCCATCTCGTGTGGGTCGCGAGCAATGGTGTTGATGGCTTCGCCCTTGCGCGTGACCTCGTCGAGCTGATCCTCGACCTTGGTCCTCGTCTTGTTCCAGCGCCAGGCCGGGATGCGACGCTCGTAGAGCTCGTCAATCTCGGCCGCTGAGCGCCACTTGGTCTCGGGCAGGAAGAACCAAAGGAAGATGGCGATGGGCGTCGCGGTCGCAAAGAAGACGAAGCCAGACTTGAGCCCAATCGTGGTGAGCATACGTGGCACGGCAAAGGTGAACACGATGCCAATGACGGCGTGGAGAACGTAGCAGAAGACGCCCGTCTTGATGCGGAGGTAGGCCGCGGGGAGTTCGGCAACGTAGAGCGTCTGCGAGTTGCCGGCAATGGTCGCGGTTGCGGCCCACAGGCACGCAGAGAAGTACAGACCCGCAAAGCGGTTCTGGCCCTTCTTCGGGTCGACATAGTTCATGCAGCCCCACAAAAGCATGGAGATGGCCTGGAACGAGTAGGATGTCGTTACAAAGGGTCGGCGACCGTAGCGGTCAAACACGCTCATCATGAAGAGGACGACGACGCACTGCACCGTGCTCGTAATGACAATGACCTGGAACGGGTTGCTAAATCCAGCATAGGCGTAGGTCAGGGGTGCAAAAGAGTAGAGGAGCGGGAAGCCGCCGAGCTGTACCGAGGCCGAAATGATGGTTGCCGAAATGGTGCGCTTTCCATTGGTGCCCTTCCACAGGTCGGTCCATCCGGAAGCCTTGTTGGCCTGGATTTGCGATCGCTCGTGCTCGACGGTGCGCACGATAATGGAGTACTCCTCTTCAAAGTCGTAGCCGGGAACGCCGCCGTAAAGCTTGCGCAGCGCCTTCATCGCATTGTCCTTGTCGCCGTGACGAGCGTAGAACCAGGGCGACTCGGGGACAACGAGGAAGCAGAGCAGCATGAAGCCGACGGGTCCCCACGTCGCATAGATTGGCAGGTGCCAGTTGAGGGGGTGGCGCTTTGTGAGCTCATTCATCATGACCGACGCGAGGAGCGTCGCAATGGCGCCCCAAAAGATGGCTGCCGAGAGAACCAGACCACGCACGCGGGTGGGGCAAATCTCCATGCCGTACGGCGCGACAATGACGCCAATGATGCCAATACCGGCGCCCATAAAGATTTGGCCAACGAGCCAGACACCCTTCGAGTTGGCTGTCGTGAGGCAAATCATGGAGCACGCCGTGAAGAGCCAGGCGAGGAGAAGCGAGAGCTTGCGTCCGAAACGGTCAGCAAACCAAGTGATCGAGAGCATGGCAATGACGCCGCCCGCGCTACCGACGGCGCCCCACGCCGAAATCCAGTTCGGGTCGAGAATGGTCGAGCCGAGCATGCCGATCGGGTCTCCAAACTGCTTGATGAAGCCGGGGTTGACGAGGATCGCGCCCGTCACGACCATGGCAAAGTACTCGAGCATGCGACCGGTGAAGATGCAAAAGCAGTAGAACAGCGCCTTGCGGAACGTCCATAGAGCCTGCCCAATGGTGAGATTGTCGAAGCGCGACTTGTAAAGCGAGCCGGCGTCGATGCTCGACTGCCACTCCTTCTTGTCGATTTCCATATTGTCGAGCTCGAGGTCTTGGACAGTCTTCTCGATGGCGTTGAGAGTCGCAGTGGATGATGTTGATCTTGGACTCATCGTGAAAGTCGCTCGCTCGTCCTTTTGTCGTTCCTTTCGGTGCCAGTCTTCGATCGTACTTCCTCCGCTTTCGGCACGGAAGGGCTCTAGGGCTGGCGAAAACGACCCACCATTGTCTTAGCATGCGTCCCATTCATATATGCTTAACCCGCGCGGCGATGATGACCAGCAAATGGGCAGCGCGCTGTGAATTGCTCAGTCGAGCGGACCGAACCTTAAACAATAGGAGTACGAGTCGCAGCGATCCCGTCGTGGTCACAGGTCGAGGTCGCTCCACGAACACACGTAGAGTCAGCATACAGGTAAGTTACTGCAGAGTAATTGCTGCGGTGGGAGCGTTGCTGCCGAATGCAGCGCGACAGCCGCGCTTGGCGGTAGGAGTGAAAGCATGAAAACGTTAAGGTTGAGAACCCCACCTGTTTTGAAGCGGTGTACGGCAGAGGCTGGATGTAGATGCTCTTGTACGAGCGGTCTTCAGCGGAAGACACATGCGGTATGCAAAAGGTGGTCCCATCCAGGTCCGCCTAGTGAGCCAGGTCCGTCGAGGTCCCACCAGTAGGGCTCGGCGCCGCTTCCCAGAGTTTCAAGTGACGCGGAGAAACGGCTCTCGGGGCGACATCACGGCACGGCAGCGATACCCAGAGCTTGTTGGTGCCTGACACGGTCTCAACCCCCCTCGCAAGGTGGTTCGTCACCGCCAGGTACGTGCTGTCATTGGCCAGGGGATGCCGACACGGAGCGATGTGCACGAGAGAAGCAGATGCATGGATGGGTTGATCGCCAAGAAGCTCTGAAGGGTAAGTTTGGACTAAACTGTATGTCACGTTCGAGAGCATATGAGCAATTCATTGAGACATGAATGCTGTCAAATGCACGAGGTCCACCGTTCCCTGGCCGTGCGACGCCTGCAACTGTCACTTGCAGTGTTTGGGCAGGGCTGCCGGGTCTGTCACGTTTGTGAATTGCTCGACCTCCCGTCCAAAGTCGTATTCTGCGCATGCGCTCTGCACACTGGGTATAGACGCAAAGCATAACGATGGGCCTCCGAATCTATCTGTTCTGCGCACGTCCATAAGACGCCACAGAACCAACAGATTCACAGACGGAACAGATAAAGGCAGGGCGCGTGGGGTTCGGACGGCCTAGATAGTGAACCCCGTGCAGGGACTGGCGGAGATTTGCCGATGCCACCACTTCCGTTTACTAAAGGAACGGTCCTCCATCAGATCGACGAGCTGTTGTCACGGACGGCAGGAACAGGCACAGACGGTCCGACAACAATGCCCACTGGCACGCTCCACTATCCCGCCCAGACGGGCTGCGAACTCAGCAAGTGACGACATGCGGCACGCATGCTACGCCGTGCTGACACTCGCTAACGCGTGCCAGCGACTGCAGAGACGATGAGGCGGCGGCGTTGCTTGCAACCGACTGCGCCGGAACTCCCGTTGGCTGGTGCAGTCATTGTCCCGAGACATGATCCTATCTCTGCCGGAGCCGGTTCCGACTCATGCTCAGACTCTGACACAGACCGTGACGACCCGCAGTTGGCTGGAGCCTTCGGGGAGTTGACCCAGAGTACGCATGAAGAACACGTGCGGCACCTTCTATCAGCTTGTTGGTCGCTCGAGCTCACTTGCCTGCCAGGACGCGTCACAGAGGTGAGGACAAGCGGAAGCAAACAGCGTGATTATCAGCGGATCAGCGGAAGCAAACATCACATGTCTGGCTGGGGAGTGAGCATCGCCTATCCCTTCATCAACATACCTGTCCTGTAAAGCAAAGTCCTTGAATCAATGTCCCAACGGCCACAGCGATGTTCGATTGTGTCTGCCGCATTCCTGGATAGAGCGAGAAGAAAGCGCTACGGATATCTCACCCACCATCGGCACCCTCACAGAGCTCTCGCAGCTGGTACTCTGACGCTCTTGGTTCCGTCCACGTCACACGAGAGCTGACAACAGGGTGCGATGCGTCTCAGAGCCTTCCCACGATCGAGCTACGCATTCAAAAACATGAGATGTCGGGGATTCGAACCCCGGTAAGCTGCTATTCCGCATGGAAGGCAGCCATCTTAACCACTGGATCAACATCCCGGCGCCACTGGATGGCGCTGACGGAAGGCGGGCGGCGGCGAGCGCACAGGAGGGCATCGGTGCGAAAGTCTTGGGCCGATGAAGATCATTGTGTAGGAGGCGCCAGTGCCGGGGGCCGGCGTGGTGATCGCCCAACGCTCTGGGCGGTATCGCTGCCCAGGCCCGCCGACGAAGATCTTGCCGACGAAGGGATGAGCGGCCGTAGGCTCAACGTGGACTTTCGAGCCATACAGTGGGCTTTCGAGCAAATCTCCAATTGGTCTGGCGACGGATAAATGTGCCGTGCCATAAAATATCGCACCGGTCATACCGGCCGTGAGATCACCCAAGTCTAATGTCTGGGTGCTAAAGGGCAGAAATTCGCCGACTCCTTGAGCGATGAACAACAATCAAAAAGAGATTGACCACTGACAGGATCGAACTGCCGACCTCCGCATGGACTAATTTGCAAGCTGCGTATTAGTACGATGCTCTAACCAGCTGAGCTAAGCGGCCTTAGATCATTCGCTGGCCGTTGAGCAATGCAGCTGGGATGTGTACGGCTGCTGGCCGCCTGGAACGGTCCCGTCGTGTGGCAATTCAGTTCACGACAACTCACTTCTTCCTGTCACAATGATTACATGCATCGACATCCCGTGTCTACTACACCAAAGGCATGTTGAGAATTAGAGACACACGATTACAGCAATGGGTCGGCCCCATTTCAGGGTAACCATGCCTATCCCGCCCGCGACAGCCGGCAGGCACCACGCTGTGGCGTGCGCAATCAAGTGTTTTGGCCAATTCTTCAATGCAATCGCCGCCACTGTGCGGTTGAACATCCTGAAACCTCCTCCAGCGACAGCGACGAGCGTGGTCTCGGATATACCGAGGTGAGTTCCCGGATATGTGTTCTGACCCTCGTCACTCAATGATAATGATGCAGTGGGGACATGGAGAGGGAGTAAAGCGCAGGCAAGGTCGCGAGTGGCAGGCGAAAGTGGTATGGGTCTGGTACACCGCTTCCGAACAGAAGTCAGGGCACCGCAGAAGCGCCTGAACCAGCTGCCCGCTCAGTCGGCGATGGAGGCGGTGGCTTGCTCTCAGAAACGAGGTCCGACGTATACACCGGCAGGCCGTCAAGGGGGTGCTCCCGGCGGTTTCCATATCGCTCCCACCACTCCCTGGCTTCCTTAGCTTCCTCGTCGGTGCGAGAGTTGAAGTATTGGCCGTGAACATCGACATAACGCGGTACAGAAGCATACTTGGGATCCTCGGAGTAGCCAAAGACGACGAGGGGCTGCTTCGGGATGGTATTTGGGTCCGGGTACCAGGGTCGCAAGTACGCGGCCTCGTCTATCCAGTCAGGCTTGTATGCCGGAGGGTTTGAACTGTCGTATCCCGGTTGCCAAAACTCTTGCAACACGTCCTCACCAAAGAACGACAGGCGCTCGAACAACTCGTCCGAGTACAGCCACGCTTTGGCACGCAAGGGTTTGACTACTCCCAATTCGGATGTGTACTGGGCTTCAGCTGGGCAATCTCATGACAGTATTGACTCACACTGTTCCAAGCCCAGCAGAGAATCTCAAACATGCCCCACTTCCCCTCGTGCCACTCCTGCACTGTGGTATACTTTAGTTTGTACAATACCCGAAAATTCCGAGCCCAGGCAGTTCTGTGGGATCGTCAGGTTCTTATCCGTTTACCTCAACTTACAATTGCATGGCCTTGTCGGCGTATGCCAAGCTTAATGACCGTAACACAGCTTCCGTATATTCAGTAGAGCCGGGTGTGAGCTGACCTCGCTGTTCGGGAGCGAGGGCGAAGTCGAGGTTGGCGTAGCGGAAAACCTCACCCCAGGCGCGGCTCGCATCGCGCGCGATCCACTGAAACTTCTCGCGGACCATGCCTTCTTTGTACAAGAAGTCGGGGTATGAAAAGCGAGTCGCGCTCCATTCAGCACGAGGAAATGCGACGAGGCGGGGCGGCAGAAGGACTCGGTTAATGTCCGGCAGCGGTCCCCCTGCTTCAACCATCATTGTTCTCGTTGGCACTGCCGGGGACTCGTGGGGCTGTAGCCTGTCGGGTTGGGGCTGAGTCTTCGATGTGGACGTCGACTGGTCGGACATGCTGAGCTAGTGGGTCGCAGTCACAGGCGCCATGCATCATCCAGAAAACCGGTAGTTGGCCGGCAAACAAGCGAGACCAGCAAGCGATGAGGCAAGCCAGCGGGCGGTCGTCCCAGGCAGCGAGCAAGTCGAGCGTTGCGAGATGGTATGTAGTAGGAGATTGGAGATGGATGGGGTAGAATCTGGTGACGATGGGAGGAAAGATGGTGAGTGTTGAAAAGGATGAGTGGCCGACGAGTGTTTATGTTGGGCAGTTGATGTGCGCCCCTAGTTTCATTACGAATTGCTACCGCCAGCCGTCATGGCAAGGGTGGCGCTAGCATGTAGTACTGTCGCGTTTCCACAGCTACAATAATCGGCTAGTATGCTTAATGCTCGCATATGTTGTGTCTGCTGCGTTCATAACCGAGTCGCACGCTACTTCACAGCTTACCGGCATGGGCTACTGCTGTCACTAGCGTTATTGCTAGACTGACGAGGGCAAGGTCGCCCCTCTTGGGCACAGGGTGGATTCCTCGCCATGTCGTCGAGGGGGGTTGAATAGCAGCTGAATTCTGCAGAGGACTGGGGGATGCTTGCTGGACCCGGTAACGATTCCCGAAAGATTAGCTGATGGGACATAGTGGCCTCGGAAATGTGACTATCGTCCAACGATAGTGCCTCGTTATATCAGTCGGTAGATAGTGTGACTCTTACGCAATACAAGCCGATTGATCACACAGTCATGGGTTCGAGCCCCATACGAGGCTTCCTTTTTGAGCTCAGGCCCTTCCGAGGTCGGTGAGTTGGAGGGGGATGGCGGACGGAGGAGAAGAAGACTTCTATGGATGGTTGACGAGAAGGAGCACGGAGGCAAAAAAAATCTGTGGAGGTCGTCGGAGACCGTATTCATGTCCGCTGATAAGACGGATATTGGCCGATGCCGAAATTCCGAGAAGCTGACAGTGATCAAAGAGACGAACCGTGAGGGTGCGTGCCACCTACCCTGAGGCACTTGAAGCCCCTCAAGCCGGGCTCCAAGCAGCCCTTGAGTCACGGCAGAGGGGCACAAGTGGGCATGAGCTTGGGCATTGGCTCCGGGGTCAGCCGCGGGCGCTGCCGCCGGGCCCTGCGCGACTGCGCCCTGGGCGCAGCACTCGTCCTCGGCCGCTTAGCTCAGCTGGTTAGAGCATCGTACTAATATTCAGACGAGTATTAGCCCATGCGGAGGTCGGCAGTTCGATCCTGTCAGTGGTCAGTTTTTGCTCTCTATGCATTCGTTGTTGATGGCTGGGACCATGCTTGAATTGGGCACGCCATCGGGCGGGCCGTCTGGATCTCACAGAGGGCAGAAGCACCCCAGCAATGGCTGTGCATTGGAAACAGTACATAAGAAACAGTACAAGATGACTCTTAATTGAGGCTGAGGGAGATGGTGAAAAGGGTGGTGCAGACGGGTTTGACCGATGCGTTCGAAGGCCGACGATTTGACGACGGCTGGTTTAAGAACCCTACAGCTCTGAATGAGGTGTCACTTGGCGGACTTGCTGGGACTCTTTTACTAGACGGCCGTGGTCACTTGTGAGATGACGATGTGCCTGGGTTTGAGGTCGAGTGGTCAGTAGCATGAGATATCCGAGAATGCTGGAGGATCGAGAACCCAGCGACTTGTGGGAAGGTGGAGACGCGGGCGAGCTGCTAATTGCAGCCTTCGTCGGCGAGGCTTGCTGAGCGGCCGTGAGAGACTGCGTCTGTAGGGGCTGTCGGGGCGGTGCCGGCGGTAGGTTGCCGCCCTCGACGGCCCCAGGGCGTGGTGACGACTTTAAAGGTCCGGGGCCGCTTCAGATCTTCCAGCTGCCCAGACTGCGGGATCGGTTGGCTCAGTGGAGGCCATTCCGATTGACTGTCGGTTGTGAAGCGTGCGGAGCTGGGGTGGTCTGGACCTCTTGGCGCGCCTTGAACCACTCGTCATATGTTGGTGAACCGAGCAGCCTGTCGTCGCGCGCTCTTGTACTTCCGTACATAGATCCCCATTGCGCCATCACTTCTAGTTGTTGCGCGGATGGCTGGCCGACCTCATTGCCTCGCACGTTTAGTAGATGACCTTTTCACCCTGCAGAATGTGACCCTCGCCTAGCTCATCGACCGAGATTCCCACGCCCCATCGCTCGAGCGGCAGGTCCGCCTCTCGCGGCAACCACGGATAGACTATCGTCATGTCCAGGAAGTCGCTGGGCAGGTCTTGGTGTTGCGTGCAGTCCACCAGTCGTTCTCTAACAAGGTTGAGGGCCTCCACTACAAAGTCTCGACCCTCTATCCTTCCATGGCCGTGCAAAATGAACTGCTCCCGGGGGAAGGTCTCTAGCAGAGCTTGATGAACCTCAGTGGTCAGCATCGGATTCAGCTTTGGGCTGACAATCTCAGACTCCCTGGACCGGGCATCTCGAAGAAGAAGACGAGCGGGGCCGAACCCGACTCCAGCCCAGTCATCGCGCGGGAAGCGATGGTAACGCGGAGGGAGACTAACGTTTTCGGGAGGAGGATGACTATCTGCAGATAAGGTGATGACGTTGGACACGGTCGACTGGAAGAAGCATTTGACCAAGCATTGATTATGTGGTTAGGATCAGTGAATCGGAAGAGAAGGAGCGTGATATGAAGCTAGGTTGTCGATCCAGTTCAGGTCCGGGTGGAGGTCATGCTTCTTTAGCTCTTTAGTCCCACATTGTGGGCTACGGGTGACCGTGGTCGACGCAGCTGGAAAACGAAGCCTTCAGTTGCGAGAATCTTAGCCGTGTCATCTTCAATCGCACGTCGCACAACACGGCGCGCAACTCTCCGCGATGCTGTCCACCTGGGACATTTGTCACATCGTGTGCATGCTCTACGTCTATTTGCATCTACGACTGAGCAAACCCCGTCTGGCCCGTAGGCCGAGTTCTTGACTTCTTTGCGGTGCCGCCTCCATTCCAACGTCTCCCCATGATTCCTCGAATCAAAAGAGTACATCCAGGGGGAATCGAACCCCCACCGCATCCAATTCTAGTGGCAAGGATGCATGATACCATTTCACCATAGATGTCTTCGTTGAGAAACAGACGGCAGCGTCCGGGGAGGTTACGGCTGAAGCTTACGTAATCGCTGACAGCTCCCACATGCTCTTGATGGTATCGCCAGTGTCTGTGACAAGTAACCCCAAACGGGCAGATCTGCTGGCACGCCGCACCGTTCGGTGATCATTCAGGACACCAGGCCAGGCGTATGGTCGGGCGCGAGTTCTGTCCTCCGCTCTCTCTAGTCCATTCGGCAGCCTGTTGCCCGCGATGCGAGAAAGATATACAGGAGGCTAGCAGCACGCGCACTCCAGCGGGCGTACTCGGGCGCAGCAGCGCCCAGGCACGGGCGCTGGCACAGCAAACAGCAAGCAGGCCCGGGATGTTGATCCAGTGGTTAAGATGGCTGCCTTCCATGACCTGGCCGAGCAGCTTACCGGGGTTCGAATCCCCGACATCTCAAGCGAGCGGCGAGAGCGCGAGAAGCGTTCCCTTTTGCAATGCTCGATAGGAATTAGGGCATTGCCCGGCGGATGCAAACCCTTGACAGACCATGGACGAGAGGACAATGTCGCTGTAGCCGCGACAACTGCTCATTCCGGACGTCTCTCGACTACTTTTTCTAGGGCGGGTAGGGGTACACGTACAAGAGAGCTTCGCCATCTGGCGCGTAGATGACCGACTGGTACGGTGCCATGTTCTGGTATGGTAGTTCGGCAGCGCCGATACTCGCGAGGAAAACGACAAGTGTCGGCCCCGGTGTGCGAGGGAGCGTGGATCAAGCGGCATCAAGACGAATCGGTGCGCATGGAAGGGTCATTACGTAAAACCGATTTCCCACCGTATCCTCGAGGCGCTGGCAACTTTCTCTTGACAGGGAATGCGGCACAACTTCGGCTTCGGGGCACAGGGGCATTGCGGCATTGCCAGTTACAACACTTCAATCACACTCGTCTACCATGAACCTACAGCCAAAGTGCATGAGCTCCGACCCCCTTAACACTCTACATCGGCCTGCCCACTAGCGGCCGCCTCCACTCCTGCGCGCTGTCAGCCCCAACCAGGATGCCGACTCACTCATATACCTAGCTTGCTCTCAATCCGATCGAGTCTCGCTGTGATGTTATCGAGGCGATCCATGATCGGCTTCAAGTACGCCTCGAACCTCCTCGCCTCCTCGGCCCATGTATCGTTATCGAGTGTGCCGCCAGTGTCGTCAAAGTCGCCCGTGATCATGTAGAGCACGAATGAGCCGGTGCCCAGAACGAAGACGAGGACGAAGACGAGCACAAATGCCTGCTCGGGACGCTGATCGAGATGTCGTTTGAACTCGGCGAAGCGGTCCTGAAGGCGGCCCCATCTTGATGGGGGTGGCGGCGGCCGGTCGCCAAGTCCTGTCTGCCGCGGGACGGGCGCGTAGCTCATATCACCAAAGAGAGGGAGAGAGTGATACTCATGAGGTCGGGATGCACATGGAGCGACGAAAACACGTCGCTGACATTGTGCGCAAAGATGGCGATCCGAGCAGGGACACGGACCCGCGGGCGGTGGCGAGGCTTGGCAGCGGGGCTCCGGGCCTTTCACGTTGAGAGGTCAGGGCTGAAGGATACTGAGTTCGGTACCACACTGGGTATGGATTTGCATGAAATCATATGCATGCTTCGGCAAGCATGCGGGTGCACCGAACTCTTACGAAGATCAGAGAGCCATCATAGGAAGAGCCCGGCTGGATGCGCATGGCCATCATACGGAGAAGCTGTTATGGGGCCCACGGGTTTTGCGACCGGAGAAGTCGAGCCATGCACTATCGCAGGCGGGCAGATGGACTGGGATACCGCGGGTGCCTATCCATACATAAGGCCAGGAGTGTAGTTGGAGGGGACATGTTCGGAGAACGAGGCGGAGTGCACCTGAAAGCCCGGCACCGCATCTTTGACAGGAGGAACGCACTTGAAGAGGTAGCAGATGATGCGGTTGGGGACAGGGGTCCAAAGGAAGAGGAAGAAGAGCGCTTCCACGATATACAAGACCGCCTGCCAGACTATGAGAAGCTGTTCTTTGATGTGTTCGAACGTCGTGGCGTGATCAGGGGGGACGTCGCGGGTGTCTGGTTCCTGGTTCATGGCGTTGGGTGGAGTAATTTATGAAACTGAAGAGGTGGACAAACGGTGCCTCCATCTAGAATGAGCGGTCATATGTTTCTTCTGTGAGTTGCCATGCACACCTGACCAGTGGCAAGAGAAGGAAGGCCGTAATGCGACGGGGACCTTGTACTTGAGTCGGCGTCTTTCCCTTCTCTTGTGGCTGGCAGATGGGTGACGCGTCAGGCTAGACTTCCTTTCAAGCCAGCCGTCTGCAGGGACAACGATAGCGCTTATCTCGCTTACGCAGTTTGATTCCGCAATCTCGGCCACTTCCCTGGCCTAGGGAGATCGTGCTAGCCGTGAGTTGATTCATGGCGTCCAGCCGTTCTCACGACGCATGCGGCAGCTTACTTGATGCTACAACGACGATGCGAACGCGTTACGATGTGAGAACGCCTTACTTAGATCCCCCGCGGCTATCAGAAGGTTCCCATGAGGTTGAAAAGTTACACTTATGCAGTATCTCGAACTGGGGAAACCCATAATATGTATCACGAGCCCTTTTCCCGGACGGCGTAGACCTCAACTGATCAATCATCATGCCCAATCAACTCCTCAGCAACCTCCACCGATAGCCATCAGAACGAGCCTGACACCCCCAACGCTGACTCTCCGAAGTCCCAGCCTGTAGATTTGGAAGCTCAGCAACTACAGAAGAAGAGGCCCCGGTGGTACACAGCCGTCAACATTCTCAGCTACCTTTTGGCCATTGTCTGGATAGGCAGCGCCTTCTTCATCAGTTGCATGGTCATCTTCGAAGTCGGCATGATGGTGCACAACACCTCTCCAACCCAGAAGGAGGACCTGGAACGAGCTGAGCTTTTCGTCAAGCCACTTGTCGATCGCCTTGATCAGCTCATTCACGTCATCAACTCGACGACACCCGTTGGTGGAAACCATGCCACACAAGGCTGAGCCCCGAGTCAGCTTCCGAAATCCCTCCATTCTAGCCATCAGACAATGTCGTCCATACCCATACACGGCCCTCCAATACGTGTGATACACACGGTGTCGTTAACATGCATAGAGGTCTGGAGCTACCATTGAGTACTTCGCTTGTGATCGCAGTGGAACACTGCCTATGCGATCCAGGCCCACCTGTGACGTCAGTGCCGCCGCCCGTGGCACTTTTTATGAATTGCTCATGTTTCGATGCGGGGGAGTGCGGTGAACATGAGCGACTGTCGTGAGACGCATGAGCACAGACGGGCACACAAAGACGCGGACCAGATCTGTTCCTGCGTCATCGCCTTTCGGAGATCTAGACGGCACGTGGCGGACACTTGACGGCCACTCGACGGGCAGTGGCACTGCAGAGCACCGCTGCCGAGTAGCGAGGAGGCATTCCACCTCCAAGACAGACCTATTTAAAACCCCAGACAGCGCCACCATCGACTACGCAAAAGCTTTTGGTACGAGGACAGCTGACGACCACCGGTCAACGCACTGTTCCGCGATCCAACAACGCAGACATTATAATGCCAGTGCCGTCTGAGTACTCATGCTCTTCGCCGTTCATAAATCCTTGCGCATACTCTTTCAACCCTACGCGCCACTGACCACCCAAACAACTTTTCAACATGTCGACAGCGACACAAATCCGCTGTCTTCTTCTTCTTCTCCTGAGCGTGCTCGCGCTGTCGGTCCACGCGCAGTATGGCGAGTACGGCGGAAACGGTGGCATTGCCCGACCGTCGACCACACTCACCAGGTCTCCCTTGGCGACAATCTCTGCCTGGAGAGCCGGCGCCTCGTCGTCGTGAGTAGCCACTCAGCCACGGTTGCGCACGTGGTCTGCGGTGCGCTGGCCACCATGTTCTTCCTCCCTGCCGGAGTGCTGCTCGCCCGTTCGAGAATGCCATTCTGGTTCCCCGTCCATGCGGTTTGGCAATTCCTCCTCAGTCTCGGTTTTGTCTGCGCCGCTTTCGGCATCGCCTGGGCGCACTTCTCGGGCGGGCTCGATTCACCCCACCGCCGTGCCGCCACGGCTCTCTTCACGCTCGTCATCGCGCAGGCGCTACTCGGTGTCTGTGCCCACTTCCTGGGTCGGAGGATGACACACCTGAAGACGAGGACGGGACGCTCGGCCCTCCACTTCTTCCATTGGTTCCTCGGTTTTGTCGTCATTGGGCTCGGGTGGGCGGTGGCGTACCTCGGCCTCTCGAGCGAGTGGGAGAAGCGTGGCCACGGGCACGTGAGCGGAGGATGGAAGGCGGGATGGGGAGTTGTCCTCGGTATCTGGATCACGCTGTACGTTATCGGACTGGGTTTCTTGCCCCTCCAAATCAGGAAAGAGAGGGAGCGGGTGGCGCCTAGAGTCCAGGGGCCGGAGATGGCGGAAACCGGAGAGACTGCAGCGATGGTTGGACCTGCACCCGAGCCGGGGTACCCCAAGATGTCTTACGAGACCCGGTCGAGCTTCTAGCATAGCTGTCGGTAATGATAGGAACAATGAGATGAAGTTTGAAGTCTACCATACCACGAAAGTACGTCAAGTCCAAGGACTATCGCCGTCGTTGTCTCCGCGCCGTCGCCCGCCGAGACCGCCCCGGCGGCGACGCTAACGTAATCAATCCTCGGCCGCTTAGCTCAGCTGGTTAGAGCATCGTACTAATACTCGGACGAGTACTAGTCTATGCGGAGGTCGGCAGTTCGATCCTGTCAGTGGTCAGAGAGTGCTCGTTAACAGCGAGCGCGACGTTTTTGTTGTTCAGCGGAGCGAAAGAGAGTTAAGGAAGTGAGGTTGGGAGAGGGTTGAGGGTCGGATTGTAGACAGGGTTTCCAGTGTGGTGGACCCTGAACGGCTTAGACGCGCGCTTGGGAGTCTGCTGTTTCAGTCCAGGGTCCCCCAGTGTCTAGCCAAACGAGCGTTAATGCTCCATGAATACACTTCCGCCTGCAGGCCCTGAGTGCCAGCAAGCTCAACATGATTGCATGCTGTAGGAGCCGTGGTGAGTCCCACAGGCTGCTTGGCGATCCCATCAAGCAGTCCACAGGCGACAGGGTATCTCCCCGCGCGGCCGTCGGCCTCCGTGAGCGGCTTTCCGCCCGGCAAGGGCCTGCTTAGCTCAGTGGCCAGAGCGTTGGTTTTCGGTTTGTTTGCCGTCACCGCCAAGGGTCGTAGGTTCAACCCCTGCAGTAGGCTTCTCTTTTGCTGTGTTTTACTGGTGGGTTTGGCTATGCATCGTGTCCATACTCGTGGATGTGGAGCCTGCTGACGCGATGCATGCACGCTAACCTTCAGCGCGTAGCAGTTGCAATAGCGGTGAGTGTCCGTGCCTGGGGTCCAGTTACATTCTCGGAATGGAAACAAGCCCATGAATGCGGAGAAGCCGCTCACATGCCATAGTCATACACACTGAAACACATACAAGAGCCAAGACCGATGCAAGGGGGGTCTGGCAGTTACCAGATCTTGATTTTGTTGAGGTGGAAGAGATGCCCGCGCACTGCGCGCAGGAAGAACATGTACGCGATCGCCCCAGCAATGACGGCGATGTAGCTGACGAGGGCCGTCCACTTGAACTGCTTCGGCGTAGCCGCAGCAAGCGTGAGAACATACTTGGCTAGGTCGAACACGTTCTGGAGCGCGATCTGGAGCGCCGTGAGCCGATTCCGGCGCGGGTGGCTGTCGAGTTCGAGCTGGAGCACCTTCAGCTGCGCGAGGTCAAAGCTCCACAGTCCAATACGGCTGAGCGCGATACCGCCGAAGAGAAGAGCGCTGTTCCAGCCCGGTCCGTGGGTGCCGTACCGCGGCGGGAGAAAGAAGGCAGGCAGTGTCGGCGCCAGGCAGGCTGCCTCGAACCAGATGCTCCAGGCTCCAGTCCTCTCGAGGCCGATGCGGGATTCTAGGAGTGGCATGACGACTGTGCCCAGCAAACCGGTGAGGACGCACACGCCACGCATGAGCGCGACAAAGCCGTCGTCCCATCCCCGCGCTGCCTTCAGGTACGCGATGAACGTGCCGTCGTAGCTGAGGGTCGTGAGGTAGATCGTGGCGATGGCGACCGAGCTGCCAAACACTGGCAGCGAGGCGAACTCGCGCCAGTCGCGCGCTTCGCGCTGTGCCCACTGAACCCAGCCCGTTGGCTCGACCTCAGCTTCGCCGCGGCTCGCACGCCGAGCCAGAAGCGGGAAGGCGGCGTACACGTGCCCGATCCACGCCTGCTCCGTCGCCAACGTCAACGCGCTGAGTGCGAGTAGGGCACCGGCAGCCAACTCGTAACCGCGCAGAGTCAGAAGGGACACGAAGAGGGGTGCAACAAGCTTCGATATCAGGTCGATCCGACGCATCCAGGTGTTCAGGTACGTGAGCTGGTCGGGCCGGCGGGCGATGGACATAACCCAGTCTCGCTCGACGGCGACCGTGATGCCTGTGTTGGCGAGGTCGATGGCGGCGCTGCAGGCTACCGTTGATAGTAGAAGAGCCCAGACCAGCGTTGTCGGGCCAGGGTCTGCGCGGCCGTGGAAGGCATCGTTCGCTCCAGAGTAGAGCGGGCCAAAGAGAACTGATGTTAGCTTACCCTGGAGCACTTCTCAGCAGTATAGAGCAACCGATTAACGGACCACTCACCAAGGAACAGTCCATAGCTTAGTGCTTGAAGGCACTTCTGTGCTGCAATCGCTCGCCTCACAAACCACAGGCGCGGGTATCGGTCCACCAGCCCACCAACCGAGCCAGAGAGCGCCAGCCCGGCGAGCTTGGTCCCGAATCCGACCAGGGACGCGGGTACTAGTGAGTCCGTGAACACTTCGATGAGAAAAAGAAAGCAAGCGAAGTTGTACGCTCCGTCGATGAACGTGCTGCTCAGATGCTGGAGGAGCAGGCTGGCCACGGCCCATTTGCTGAGCTCGGCGGGCTCAGGCGAAGCAGTGACCGAGGCGATGAGCGGTGCGTCCTCCTCATCCCTGTCGTCCAGGGCGCGCTCGACATCTCCTTGCTCACCAGAGGTGCGGTCGCTGTGGGGAGAGGCGTGGCCGGACGTGAAGACGGAGAGCTCAGTCGACTCGGTGTGGTCCGTCGACGTACCCGACGTCCAGGCTGGATGCCGTCGTTCGGAGCGAAGCTGCCGAGTGGCTTCAGGAGTCGGCGCCAGAACGGGCGCTTCAGACTCTGGACGTGCCATTACGGGTCGTGCTAGGTGGTTGGGCCCATTCGAAGAACAGTGTTGCAGACAATAGCAAGTCCGGGTAAGTGGTCAAGGCTATCTCGGTTAGCGAGGGTGTGACGAGAAGAGGGGACCCGGGCGGTGATCAGGTGGTGGGGCGATAAGATAATTCCGCCGCACACGGCCGTGTGGCGAGACACGTTCGAGCGCCGCGACTGGTTGCAGAACTCGTCAGCTGCAGGCGAAGAGCACGCAATGAAAGAGGGGACCGTGCGGAGAACGACATGCATGCTGCAGAGAGTGTGTCGACGAGCACGACGTGCGGCGGAGGGTCGCGACATGGCCCTCCAACCTATCTCATTCGGCCGAACGTAGCCGAGGGAGCACGTGACACTCCGACATAGATGAAACACAACGTCCCGGAACCACAGGAGCCCGCACTCCGAGCAACAAAGCGTCTTCTGCAAATTCCAGCCCTCCGACACCAGAGTGTGTGTCCTCCGCGCCCCTGCAATGAAGACATCACTAGAAGCAGAGAGATCGAAAAAGATTGACCACTGACAGGATCGAACTGCCGACCTCCGCATGGACTGATAATCAGACTGATTATTAGTACGATGCTCTAACCAGCTGAGCTAAGCGGCCGATGTTTTGGATCTGACAGCGTTCGACGGGGCGGAGTCTCGACCCGTGCCGCCGGGGCGTCAGGCGTTTGTTAATGTCTTACATTGTGGACTTGAACTCCGCATTGCCTGCGATTGTTATGCCCGGGTAGGCCATTAGAGGTGTTTGCACTTACTTAGTACACTCGGCCTCTGAGCTGACAGTCCCATCGTAGGCAAAGCGTCAGCGGCGGAATAAGCACAACACGAACGCGCGGATCAGGCAGATCATGACGCGGATGTGTCGGATCTAATTCACCTCCCGGACCTGGATCTGTAGTTTGTTGCCTTCCACCATGCTGGTATGACCCCTCCCACCCTCTGAGTGCTCGATGAGGCTCCTCCGCTCACTTGCTTACTCGCAACCTTTCCTATTGGGTTGAGGTGCCTCTGCCCGCTTTTCCCGCCAGCTGCAACGCCACGATCGCATGCCAGGTCCAGATCCGATTCCTCGGAAGCCGCGAAGTATGCTCTCGTGATTGTGTTGCCGCGTCTTTCCTCTCAGTCAGCGCCGCCAACCCACCCAACCCTCATTGTTTCTGCAGGGCTTGAACGCCACCCTTGCACGGGTCGCGCGGTGTCGCGTTACTCCTCATTCGTCACCACGCTGCAGCCGTCCAGTCAGCGTCCGAGCGCAGATCGATTCTCGTCATATCCAGGATCCAGCAAGCCGAACATGTTCCTTCTGCTCGGTTCCTGCAGATCACCTGACGTTCAGCTTCCATGACCTGCGTTCGACTGGGGAAACGACAATGCGAACGCCGATCGGCCAGCCTGGCCCACGACGAGCTGCACCGAGGGCACCTTATGCATAAACCTTATCTGGATCTCGGTGGATGTGCTTGGCACTTGTGTTCCCAGGCTCCCTGTTGCTCGTTGTTGACGTTGGGATCCGATATCGGTATAAGAAGCGTCAGTCGAGGCCGGGAGGCTCTCCATCGAACCACCATGGTCCAAGACACACCCACCCCTTCGCCCATCACCACGCTCGTCAATGAGCTCACCCCAGTTTTCGCGACAAACCTCGAGAATGCCGGTGTGTCCTCCTGCAAGGCTGAGGAGACCGCAAAGGCGGCGGGGGAGAAGGTCAAAGCCCGCTTGACAGCGTTGCTGAAGGAGGCCACATCGGCCGAAAAGTCCCGCGTAGGTTCACAGCTCTATGGGCTTGCTCACTCGTAGGAGAAGATCCTCACTGTCTCGCCCACGGTCCGTACCCAGATCGCCGGTGATGCCAAACAGGCACTGTTTGACAGGATGTACGTCCTCGCGCTCGCTACGTGGGTGCAGGCGGCGCTCCAGGTGCTCAATGGCAACTGCGAAGTGAGTCTGACTTTTCCTTCACCACCATAGCCACTCTTGGTCTCCGCTCGCGCACCAGGCGGCGCTAATGCCTGGGCGACCACTCCGAGCCCGCGCTGAAGTGTGCCCCGCTTCCGGCGCTGTATGCCCCCGACGGAGCGAGGCTGCGCGAGTCCCCGCCCATGAAGGTTTGGAACAACATGTGCGACAACATCGAGTCGGCGTACGAGAGTGCGAAGGACACAGTTGGTGACTGGCTGATTGCGGCGGGCGAGTGGTTGAAGGAGTAGAGTCTGGACGCTGGTTTCGTACATTGGCAATGCATTGACGTTCTGCAGTGAGTGGTTGCTAAGAGATACAACAATGCATGGAGGTCCCGGGCTACGAAGCGCCGCGGGAGTTTAGTACATCTCCGGAATCTGTAGCTCGAGGCTCTGCCAGAGCTCGTCAATGTCGAGCTGAGGCAGGTCCTGCAGCGATGGTGCCTGTTCCTGTTGCTGGGATGGGTCCGCAATTCCTAGTGTCGTCAGGACGTTCTCAATCATGACCACTGCCTGCTTTGCTGACGGGCGCTGGAATCGGTCCGAGATCTTGCGCACGACGCGCATGCTGCTGTGCAGCGCTTGCACTATCGGCAGGCCGGGAACGCGGATGAACCAGCTCCACTGGCTCAGGTCTAGGAGCAGCGTCGCCAAGAGCGACGTGAAAGCGTTCATGGCGTAGAAGAGCTGATACCATGGCGCAGACAGGGAGGCGTCGGCATGTCCGTGGTCGAGAATGTTGATTGTGTGGATCGCAGTCTCAACGATGATGCCGAGACTGATGCCGAATGCGAGGTCCCGGTGCCGCGCTTCAAGGTGCTGAAGCGACGTCTCGGCCGCGACTTGCCCGTGCCGCGCTCCGCCGGGGATGTAGTCGTGGATAGCAGCGAGCATGACGCGGCGGTGCAGGAGCAGCCGCATCGTCAGGCCACGCAAAGTGAGCACAGTTGCGAGACGGGGGTCTTCGTGGCCTGCGTCGCTGAGATGGGCGGTATCGCACCACTCGGCATACGCCTGCTCCAGCGAGTGCGTCTGCGAAACAACGTTGCGGACGAACGCAGGCGATGCGTGCCGAAAGCTGACAGGCGGATTGCGCACAACATCGGCCAGCGCCTGGTGCAGTCGGATGCTGTCGCGGAAGAACTCGATGGAGGCTGCCGGCTCGCCTTCCATGATCTCCGGGAGAGGAATCGTGCAGCCGTCGTTCGTGATCGCTGAGGGTCGAGCGATACTGACGGTGACGAGACGGTCGAATGTATAGCACGCCCACCAAGCGCGGTTGCGCATCTCCCGCTCCATGGGCGGGAACCGCCGTCCCGTCTCCGCGTCGTGTAGCCCAACGGCGTAGCCCGCGCGGATAGCGTAGCCGAGTAGGTCCCAGGAGAAACCAGGGTGGTCGATGCCCTGCATCAGCATCGCGCCCGAAAGCAGCGCCTGGACCTTGGTTGTGCTGTGCGGCCAATCCTGGTGTTTCCTGAGCATACGCAGAGCGACATAGCCGACATTGCATGGCGTGTACTCGTCGTCCGAGATGCTGTCAACGATGGCGAAAACAACGAAGTGCAGGCAAATGATGGGTTGGTTTTCGGGTGCACGGAGCGCTGCGTCGTCGGCTGCCAGCAGAAGATCATACGAGTTGCGCAACGCCTTCATGTCGATGAACGGGTACACGCGCCAGGTGTACGCCTCGAACCAATCGAACATTCGCTGCGCCTGGGCTCGGGTTGGGAGGTTTGTGCGGTCGGCGTAGAACACCTCTGGCGTCGGTGCAACGCCGAGGAATCCAACATCTGGGCGGGGAGCGGCGTTTGCGCGTGGTGCAAGGCACCAGTAGCCCGGCAGCAATCGCTCGAGGAGCATGTGGTGGAAGGAGATGCCCGACATGGCACCGTATACCTCGCTCTCGGCGAGACCAAAGCCCAACCCCGACGGCTCGGCGCGTGGGGTCTCCCGCTGCGGCGCAAGAAGCAATCCCATACCGTCGATGGCATTCGATGGCGGCGGAGAGTCGAAGCTTTGGATTTGATCTACGGGACCGCTGCCATGTCCTGCCCGCACCGTCCCATTCGACGCCGCATGAGGGTTACTCGACGAGCCAGATGGTGGATCGTACGCACCCAGCGGGGAAGGAACAGTCATCTGCGTGCTGCGCGGCGTTGGGGCGTGCGCCCGCGGTGCTGGAGGGGCTGATCGATCGCGCTCCAGATTCATGATCCTATCTTCGAGCGCCTTCAAATAATCCTGACTGACGAGGACCTGGCCGGCGGCGACGGCTGGCGGGGCGTTCGAGTCAAGATTATAGCTGCACTGGAAGCCGTACTCAATGCATGGCGTGCATTGCGGATGGACGCCGTCACACTGGAATCAGGAATCGGCTCTGGGAGACAGTCGGAGGGAAGGAGGATCGTCCCGGATGGTCGAGGGGAGGTAACTTGTACTCACCTTGGTCTTCTTGGCGCGGCAAGGGCGGCACGCCTGCGAAGTGCGCTTTCGCTTCTTGACGGGAGCTGCCTGGCTATCGGGAGTGCTGGACATGAGTCATGAGGTGGATGGATGGATGGATGGAGGAATGGTTGAGAGGCGAGAGTACTATCTCAGGATGGATGGCAGTGACGAGATAACGTGCTTCGGAGATACCGGGTCCGTCCCCGCGCACAGCCGGCCGTACTTGATTCCGCACATGCGCTAGCGTCCTTGCCCAGTTCTCAACTCAACACCTCTCGAACACCTCGATACATGCTCTCTAAGACCTCGTACCGTCGCAACCTGGTCACCTCGAACCATGTCGGGAAGCAAGAACGGGGTGGTCGGTGAAAATATTGGAGCGCTGGTGCGCCGTGAGATTGAGTGCGGGGAGCCAACGGGCTGGCACTGGGTGGGTCGACCCTATCTATATACGCATATGGTCAGGCATCATCCCGTGCCCCCTGACAACGAGCGATGTTCCGGATCACTCAGAAAAGCTGATAGCAGCGAGATGCTCGCGGAAGCGCCGGATCAAGGGTGTGATCCGACCGTTCCCCCGTCGCACCCGAGATACCCGCGGATCCACCACCCAGCCAGCCTCTACCGCTGGCGCGCGGCTCTTGCTGCCCTGATGACGGGTCAGGGGTGTCACGAGGGCACCCAAAGATCTGCCGAAGCTGCTGAGATCAGGAAGCATGGTGTTCCTCTCAACGCCAGCATCGTGAGTGCTTGCTTGGAATCTCCGGATGACCACTCAGTCACTCGTCATCCCTCACCCAGACCACAAGCGAACGCCAGATTCAGGTCCTGCCTGGTATAATGTAACTCACTCTGAGTGTCCTGAACCGTGCGCCGAGTCGAGCAAAAACGTTCTCCGCCAGGGAGTCGAACCCTGCTCTATCGCGCACCCTTCGAGCTGTTGCCAGCTCAGGATCTCCCGTTTGAGAGGCGATTATACTAACCGATATACTAGCGAAGAGACGATGGTGAGGGCCCAGCGAGACCGCAGCTGCACGGCGGGCGCTGGGTGCGAACAAGCAAGCGTGAGGAATTGGAGGGGCTGAAGAGGATGCTTGGGAGGGAGTGAGTTTCTTGTGGTCTGCAACCGCCTCGCCGCCTCGCAACCGTGAGCAGGGACTCACATGTCTGTCCGGACCTGATGAGTAATGACCATGGTGACCGTCCATTGCGTTGGCGCATCGCTCACTGATGGCGCGCGCGACAATGCTCGGGTGACGTCCGCATGGCGGAACCCCTACTGGACTAGTATCCTAGCCTCGATCGGTATAACAGCCGTCGTGCGCACTGACGACCTACAAGATGAAGCTAAGCTCGATAGGCTGGGATTCGGCGCCCAAAGCGTTCATACGACTCTCTCTGGCGAATAGCTGACAGAAGTGTGACCCAACAATGCGAGGGGCTGAAGACAGTCCCACCACCAGTGCCCCCTTCCAAAGCACCTCTTACACAAGCCCTACCATGTTGCGGTGAGCTTGCGACCTATGCCCAACACCTCCCCATACCACCGATTACCATGCACCGGCTATGATCTCCGGGTCCGCACCGCCTTTCGGATCCTGCTCCTGGCACATTGCATCTAACACACGCCAGGCTTGCCGTTTGCCGACCACCAACATCTCTGTGACAACCCCGCCCAGGGTTCTACCGTCAACGGGACGTACGTCATCCCGCCTACCTGTTTCTGGGCGGCGGTAACTCTGCGCTGGCAGACTTTGGTGAGACAAGTCCGTGAGCGACACTAACCGGGTGTGGCAGCGAATGCAATGGTGCATAAGGCTGTTCCGCGCATGCCGAGATTGCTCGAGAAGCTGCCGTGGGCAGACAGTTCCCCCGTAGGTGGTTGGCCGAGAAGGGCGCTTAATACTCTCTCGGAGCTTTTGCGGACCTGGCAGCCCTGGAGCACCCTGACACCAGGACTCCGCCACAAGGTTTTGCGTAAGAACGAGCTGATAGATGAAGGTTCTAACCCTTTGCAGAGGCGGCAAATGATGGGAAATTCTGCGTTTTTGGCGGGCGACATCAGGGCTGAGCTACAGGAGACGCGACGACGCATCTTTCAACCCTCCGAGAACCCGAATTCTCCGTCCCAGACCCTCTAGTCGCCCTCTCTTGCAATTCACACCTGGCCACGAACTGGCCAGCCGAGCTTGCCGGTTCGCCATGTGCCGTGCATAGTCGTCGATTCCGTGCGTTTCATCCTGAATACATAGGATCCAGCAGCCATATATCAGCCTCGGCTGTCGGGATCACTGTTTACTCGCTCAACAGCGACTTGAAACTCACTTAATGCTCCTCCTGCCCCTCTCCGCACACGACCTGAATTGTTTGCATGCTAAGATATCTCCCGCACCGCGCTTCCGCTTCTTCGAGTTGGTCGACATCTTCCCCGGCCCAATGCGGTCTTATTCCTGGCCTATGGTCCAAGTCCAGTGCAATCCGAGAGCAGTGTTGAGCCCAGAGAGCGCAAAGAAGCGAGCTTGGCTACCTTCCTCCGCAGCGTATAAGATGAGCTGTCTCTGAGTGAGACAGCTCCAGCATACGTACTCCCACCGCCTCCTCCTATCTTCTCCCAGTCGCTCCTTCCTACCCCACACTCGTTTCCGACTATGCGTGTCGCTGCCGGCCTCACGCTCATCGCGGTGGTGCTCCCTGCAATCGATGCCTTCCCGCACATGGCGCGCAGCCATGGCCACGCCGAACGAGCCGCCGCGGTGGAGTGGGACGGAGTTCTCGATCTGTTCAACCCGACCAAGATCATCGACAACGTGCAGACGATTGCTGAGCAGTTCAAGCTGCCGGACCTCGACCTGCCGAAGCTCGAAGGGATCGATCTCTCTAAGCTTGGCCACCTGGGGCAGGACTTTGACCTGAACAAGATCTTCAAGGACGGTTTGGACATCACGAAGGTTGACCAGGGCAAGCTGAAGGAGGACCTCGAAAAGCTCGATGTCTTCATGATCGGGGACAAGTTCGATCTCTCCAAGATCGGTGATTTCTCAGGGCTGCACCTCGGTGATAACGTCGATGTCTCTGGCGTAAAGGCTGGTGTCGCCACGCTCGCTGGTGGCAACGTCTCCGCTGGTCTGGGGCAGATAGCTCAGTCCTCAGGCGGTAACGTAGCAAACGGTCTGCAGCAACTCACGCAGCAAACTGGCTCTTTCCTGCAGCAGCTGGCTGGCGAGTTCAAGACCTTCAACCCATTCACCATGGGCGTCTTCACGCTCCAGCTGCTAGCGGCCCAGACCAAGGTCCGTTCTGATGCGAAGAAGAACCCCAAGTTCACCGACTTCCCCAAGCCTCAGCTGCTGAACACGTGGCAAAACGAGCTCACCAAGGATATGATCTACGATGCGTACAGCTTGCATCGCCCCGACGACGAGGATGCATGGTGGGGCGGCGGCGAGGATGCCGACCACCCTTATCAGGCCCCTGGACCCGATGACCAGCGCGGTCCGTGCCCTGGACTGAACACGCTCGCGAACCACGGTTACCTGCCCCGAAATGGTCTTGTTACTCCGTATGAACTCATGCGGGGCGTATGGGAGGGCTACTCCATGTCGCCCGAGCTTGCCTCTCTCCTTGTTTTTTCAGCCTTCGTCATGAAGGGCAACCTTTGGACGCAGAAGCTGTCCCTCGGTGGTGGGACCCTGCTGTCCCCTGGTGGCGTCGGTATCTCCGACCACGGTTTCCTCGAGGGAGACGCCTCGGTCACGCGCGGGGACAAGGTCGTCGGCGATCAGGTGCACCTGAATGCGACCCGCTTGGAGAAGTTCAAAGCTGAAATCGCCCAGTTCGGGGACAACGGCGACATCACGCCCGAGGTCTGTGCTGCCTCGCGCGAGCGTGCATACCGTGACTCGCGCGCCGAGAACCCCTCCTTCGACTTCAACCCCCTTCGCATGCTTGTCGCGTACGCCGAGTCGGGCTTCGCGATGGAGGTCTTCCGCGGCGCGCACAAGCGGTGCACGGCCGACACGATCGACTGGTTCTTCGCCAAGGAGCGTTTCCCGCCCGGTTGGAAGCGGCGCAACATCCCCCTCACGAGCGGAGAGATGCTTGCCTGGGGCATGCTGTTCAACAAGATCCGCCCCGTCCAGTCCGGATACAACGTCGGCGGCGCCTTCGTCCCCATCCCGTCTATTCCCGGATGGACCAACTTCCTCTCGGCCGGCACTGTCAAGATGAACGCGTGCAGTCTCGCATCCATGTTCATCACTCTGCTCCCTACCGGTGTCATCTCGTTCGCGCTTGGCAACGGTATTGGGCCAGTCATGCAAGGCCTTACTTGCTGGTAAACTTGACAAGCATTGCTGCGTTGGTGAAACCCACATCATCGACACTTCGACGATTGGGCAGCTTCGTAAATATGGCGAGTGTGAGGGTTTTATTGAACTACTATGCATAAGCACTGACAAATATGGAGAGAGGCAGCACCAGCGAGGATGGAGGCGGAACTTCAGGGACCAGTGCTCGGACGAAGGGCGTGCGCGAAACATCCATGCCTTGTCCCGTCACTCGAGAAGCTTGACACAGCTCTTCAGGATAGCCTGGATGTCGTCAGCATCTCCATTTCGTGTTTGCACGGCGCCAGCCCTGTACGCACTCCTTTGATGTTGTCATCTTCAACGCTTGTAAATCGGTATGAGCCCCGACTTTTTCCAAGCTCGACGTATATCTGTGTCCTCGCCTTAAGGTGCAGCTCAGGACCAGCCGTGTAGTCATCGGTTACTTGAGCAAGTTTGGGCCATGAATGAAGATCGTCGTTCTCCGTATGCACCCCCAGATCATCACGGCTCTTGGTGGAAGGGGACTCAGAGCTCGGGCCAGAGGCAGCTCCGATCATCGGCGGCGATCGCTTTTCCGAAGCCACCATTGCCGTTTTGCATTGTCGATTATGAGTCTCGAAAAGCGCCGCTAGTTCATAGGCGCGCTTCTCGGTAAACACCCATCTGAACTGTCCATACTGTGACAGCAGACGTTGCCTGGCTTCTCTGTTGACCCCTCTCATCAGCAGGTCGTGCCATTGTGCGTGACTTCGGTGGACGATTCGAGTACGGGACAGATCATGGAAGAGCATGTGGGCAATTTCCGGTTCGAATCGAGTGTCACGGTTGGAAACCAGGGGCTCCCAGGTGAGAGATGTGTTTGATGGGTCAAACATGGCCGGGACGTGCTCTCTAGTACCTGCCTCCTCGGTTCCGGACCCAGCGACTGTTAGGGTCAATGCTTGGCAAAAGTGACGGTACATGAAGTCGCGATCGATCGTGCCGCTATATGAATCCAACTGTTGCAGCAGGGTGTCTCGGGTGACCTGCAGCATTGTTTTAAGCTCCGCGAAGTCCTGTCTGTTTGCTTTCCCTAGGCGCCTGTTGAGAGACTCGGTGAGCATCTGTACCGTTGTGTCCAGCTCCGGAGTTGCTGCAAACCCAGATAGACCCGTGAGAGGTCCCATGACAGTCTTGATGACGTCCGCGACCAATTTCAGTCGGAACTCCATACGCCGCGATGCTTCTTGTCGGGCCTCGATTCGTTCCATCATGATGTTGGCTACTGTGCCAACCGCACATCCACGCAGAATCCCAAACGCAGCGACGTGGTACGTTCTCCACTGGCATTCCATTGTCTCCGTTCTCTGCTCTCTCCAAGCGTTTAGCACCATTGAGCCCGCAAATACCTGGATGCGCGTCGATGTGGGAACCTCGATGTTCCTATTGCCTAGAGCACCGATGTCTTGCAGGATTTCTTGAAATGAAAGGGGCGTGGACAACAGAGAGTATGGGGCGATGGGCCGATGCAGCCACGCTTTGAAGATGAGAGACACCCGACGGCACACCGAAGGCAGCGCAGCGTTGAGCGAGCAAGTGTCGCTATTTGTCGCAGTGAAATACACGCGACCCAAGCAAAGCTCTAAGAGATCCTTCAAAGATTCTCTCTTGTTGCACAACAGCCAAATAGCTCCGTTCCTCAGGAGATCACTGAGAATGACGTCCATAACCTCCGGGAATATGAATAGATTGATCCTGGAGGGCGGCGCAGCACAGAAGGCCACTGTGATCCCGTTGATCCCCTGAAGCAAACACGGCTTTCGGTCCCGCAGGGAGCATGGGGGGGTATAACCAGCTTCAATCCAACCTTCCCTCCTGGAAACTTCGATATCGCACTTCTTGTAGACCCCCCACAGGTGTTGGGCGGCTGTTGCATCGAGTTGGGGTCCGAGGAACATGGTTATAATGGAGCACGTGAGAGGTGGGAAGTCGTGACATCTGCCGTCTGGGATGGGTCCACGGTACAGGTAGGAGAGCCATCGATATCTCAGGTCGGTCATCTCCATGCGATCCGGCTTGGAATACTTCAACAGCCTGACCATTGGACCCCCGTGGAACGAAATGGGCCGCTGGAGATGTAGTATTGGGACGGACATACCGAACACGTGCTTGTCAGGAAGCAGCCCTGCAGGAAGGAGTCGTGCCCAGCTGCGTGATGTTGCGATTGATTTCGCACTTGGGAACGTAGCGTACGGATGAGGAGCGGTGTGATGCCATATGTACTCGGCCAAACGCTTCAAGACCCATTGAAGAATGTTGCTTCGATTTGCCTCGCTCTGCGGATCGTAATCGAAAGGCCAATATCCTTCGGCATTACTTTCTGGGTACAAATGGCCAGAAACGTCTCGCGGTATGTTTGGCACGTCCCGCTTAATCATAGTCTTCCTCGGTTGGCAACGGCAGGTGACCTCAATCGACTGGCCCGCGGCCCAAACCCCATTCCGGGCCTTCAGGTGCAACGTGCGGCTGTGAAGAGCATCGAGATCAGTGATTACTTGCGGTGAAAGTCGAGAAGGAGGAGCGTTACAGAATTCCAGAAGATCGGAGACGTAGTGCTTTTTTGAGCAGGGGTCGACGTCTAAGAGCCATATGAAAAACTCCTCTGCCATGTCAGCCATTTGCCGGTCTCTCATTGCGGCTACTCACCGGATACATAGTGCCAAGGGGAGTGCGGAAACCCGGAACCATGAGCAAGCTTCTTAGTGAGGGCGAGAAGTGAAGGCGAAACAGGCGTTTCCTGATCGTCTATCTTCGATGGGGTGCTGGCCGACGCTCGCGAGCCTGAGGTTGTCCCGTCACCCAGGAGTCGATGGTCGGCAGTGTCAGGAATGGGCTCGGCACCATTCTCCTCTTCGAGTAGAGTGGCGATGGCCATTGCGTTCGTTTACAGTGACTTGAGAAGGAGAGTTGCCTAACTGATCGTTGTGTCAATGTAAAAGTGGGAAATGTCAGCAAGCGTTTGGAGAGCTGTTCATTTGGGCGTAGGTCTGGGGAGTAATGGGCACAAGCAGCCAGCATGGTCGGGGATCTATGAGTGAGATGTGAACATCAGGAGGTGACAATCCGTGGGGCTGGAGATCCGAGCGGTCAAAATGGGTGTAGCCTATTGTTCCTCATCAGGGTGCAGGAGGGTGAGTGTTGGCTGAGGCCTTGGAGATCTTGCCTCGCCGCGTCCGGCATGCACTGCGCCGCAACGCAATTCTGAGGCCTTCGGGCCAAAGCGGCTTACATGAGGATAATCCCGCGATGTATGCATTTGAAATGCTCCATAACTCTTTGCTTCTGCTCAGTGGGCGTTAGGGTTGTTGAGTTGTGCGGTCACGGCAAGATTGAGCCCATGTTGGAACCTATCACGGCGTGCCAATGCTTGTTCGACCATACACAAGGCCAAGAAGGAAGGAGTAGATAGTGAGGCACTCGTCTGGTGAGGAGGTTAAGTTGTTCTGGATGCGAGACCCCAACACACGGTGGTGGAGGCGGTGTCACCAACTCAACGACCCAAAGATGGGGCGCTGGTGTCCACTCTCCACTTGATTTGTTGCTGTTGTGCACAGGGCGGCGGCACTGGAGGTTGGCAGAGCTACTCCCGGCTGCGGTGCTACTCCCGGCTGCGGTGCTGTGGAACAACCCCAGCGCCTGTTGTGGTGTTGCTGAGTGGGATGGCCAGAAGCAGGAAACCAGCTCGCAAGGGGCAGGCCATAGCGAAGGCGCGGAGGCAGCCAGGTCTGCGAGCAGTCTGGACAGTGGAAGGAACGAACACTATCATATCTCACGCTAAAAATGCTTCTGTGGCAGCAACCAACGGAGACGATGCCTAAGAATGTCGCTATACATCATCTCCAGTAGCCGAGGTGGCTGGAGCAGTCTGCGCCTCGCACCTGTAGGGAGTGCAAAGTACACAACCGTGAGCCCGTTCACCTCCCTTAGCCGGACGGGTTGGTCGTCCTCCATCTCCTCCGGTACCGACAGTCCATTCGCTTTCCATCCTCCCAGCATAGTGATGATGATCTCACAACGGCGGTAGTTTCCCCACAACACCCATGCGACATCCTCGTCAAACTCAGGCTCGTCCATGATGCTCAGCAGAGAGCAGGACAGAGGAGGAAAGTCCATGAGGAGAGCCTCAGGGGCGGCGCACCTGTGGAGGTATGATAGCCACTTCCTTCTCAAGTCCAGCTCCTTTATTTCACTCGGCCAGTCATAATGCACGAGCTCGATGACCATCCCTGTAGTTGACAGTTTGGGGAGGGGAGTCACCGCAAGGCTGGTGTGCGGGTTGTCGTCGGAGTGAGGCGTCGAGTCGAGGGTCCAGGGAACTGGGCCAAAGTGCGTCTGCACGGGCCCACCTACCTGAACCGGGAACTCGGCGCGAGGGTGAAGCATGCTGTGGTGCCAATAGTACTCTTTGAGGCGGGCAATGATCCACCCCAAGACATCGGCGGACGTATCGAACGCTCGATCAAAGTGCCAGTTGTCGGAGCCCTGCCAAGTCTTGCGGCCCGGCCCCCTGCTAAGCTGGCAGTAAACGGGACCTGGGAGAGGGGAGACGACAACGGCCTGGCAGGTCGGAACGCAGGTGCAGGTAGGTGTCAGTCTCTCGCACCCAGCCTTCAGCTGAGTTGCGATGCGTTGCAGTTTGTCGATAAGAACCAGGGGCATGTTGGCTGGGTCTTGCGTGCTGACGAAGCGGTGAAAGAGTTCCAGCATCTCGTTTCTCCTACACGAATCAACCGACGCCATCCAGCCGAAGAAGACGTCGGCGAGACTCTCGCCGTCAGCAACCATGAACCACGGACTGTCGGGAAACCCTTCGGTGCCTGGAACCGCAAGAAGAGCTGGGATTACGGTATTGGATGGGGGGCGTTCGCTGTGACTGCTCTCGGGAGCCATGGTGTGTCGAGCGGCGTTCGGAGGCTCGGAGCCGAGGGCCGAGGGGTAATGGTCGATGCGGTGGCTGAGAGGAGGCGGGGAAGATGGAAACCAGGCAAGCGATCAGAGCACAGAACAATAGGAGTTGTGCGGATGGGGTGGTAACGCTAGATGTCACTCATCTCGCCGCCCGTCTGTACCTGGTCCTGACGGCCGAGTTCGCGGCCCAAGGGGGCACACCACTTTGAGGTACGTGCGCCGGGGCGCGAGACAATTGTGCACAACACGGACCGCCCAAACCCGCACAGGTCCATCCTGTGCGTTCGCACGACGTCTACGACACCTCATCTTGTCCCTCGTGTTCTGCACGGCGCAGGTTCTTAGCTCACAACTCGTTTCTTTCCTCCCTCGGCGTTCGGCAAATAACTTCAGTCTTATCGCTTCTGGGTCGGCGAGGTAGAAGGCCGATGACAGGTGTTTGGAATGCCGATCGGCTGGATAAGGGTATGCCCGCCTGCTCGAAACCTCCAGTCCCTCCCTATGGCCTTGCCTTGAGACCGCAGATCTCTGGCCCGTCTCCCGGTGTCTCAAAGTCAGTCACTCTCACTCAGAGTTTAGGCCTCAGTACATGTGCATCCCGTTGCCCTTCTTTGAAGTCACGGAAGCAGGCTAGCTACCACGTCACTGATTGACTCTCCATTTTCCAGGATCTACACTCGCTGCAGCATCTCTTGGGCTCAGCAGCTCTGAGAAAAACGCCTGACAGCAGAATGTCGGCCCTTGGGACAACAGAGACGCCCTGGCACTTCGTCTCGAGTGAGTAGAGCTCTCTGCAAAACGCTGACACCACAGGCAGTGTCGCGACAGGCGTGCGCAACATCGATCGCCTGCTCCAGGCCGACAACCCGAAGTACGACTTGCAGCTTTCTCGACTGCTACTGCCCGTTCTGGAGCCCGGCGCGCATATCCCGCGTTCCATCAAGGAGAAGGCGGAAGCCGCCGACTCCCCCTTGACGTCGCTAGTGAACTGGGATTCGGCCAGGATGCCATTACCGGTTGGCACGTGCCTCCTCTCTCCGTCGTACAGGTGGCCCTTCGACGTTCGTGACAGCAAGGAATCGGTGGCCTGGGCCGTGATGCGGCTGAACGAAGCCTCGAGCCTCGCCAGCCTGGACCGCGACCATGCGTTTGCTCGCTTTCTGTACCAGGAAGGGCCGCGGTTCGAATCCTCGTCTTCATCCGTCAATACCCGTTTCGGCCCTTTCAACGACATTGGCATCATTCTCAACCTCAGAAGCTGCCGAGCGCTTCCACGAGAGCTCCTGCAACTGGCGGTCTCACGCCGCTCGAAATGGCTCCAGTTCATTCTGCGCGAGTGCGGCCCACTGCCTACGATGTACTTCCCGCCCATGAGTCATGTCCTAGGGGTGATGGTGGACCACCCCGAATTCACGGACGAGGTCGCCATGGACATGTACGGCGCGTTCGACAACTGCACCATCGCCATCATGACGGAGAGCGACCTCATGCCTGCATTCGGCCTGGCAACGTCGGTCCAGTGCAACGCTCTTGGCACTGTGTCGAACGGCAACGCCAAGCTGACACTGGCGGCGCTCAACGGAGCTACGATCTTATTCCTCGGGTGCCTGCTCCTGCAAGAGGAGAACGCTGTACACAAGCTACTCAACATGAAGGTCATCAGCCTCGTCATTCTGAAGGACATGTCGGACCATGGCCTAGGCTGGCTCGTCCAGCCCCGCGACGCGGGCTCCATCATCAGTCGCTGGCTTGAGAAGACGACATGCAACCCAAGGGCGCCCCCGGCTACACCTCAACTGTCGCTGTTCCTGACCGCCTGGATAAATCGTAGAGGTGGACCAATGCACCACGGCAGCAACGCTCCGATCGACTTGTTCAGTGACACGGGCAGCCTGGACCCTCTTCAACTGCTGCATGGTAGGATCGCAGAGGACACCACCGACATGTCTGCCAATGAACTCTCGAGGCTGGGTAACATTGCACATGGCGGGTTTCGCGGCTGCTGCACTGGCTCGGCTGCGGCCCTCTTCCTTGATGCGAGTGAGGGACCAGAGATGGAGGGCGTGCGGGCCGATGCTCCCGCTCAGCGATGGGTGGAGGTTCTTCTCAGAGCTGCGCTGCAGAACGGGGGACCGAATCTTATGACGCCCGAGGCGGCCGAGGCAACAAAGACGTATCTCAACAGCAAACTGGGACATTGTCCTGCTGCTGCGTCCAAGAAGCTGCAGGAGCTGGACGAAGGGATTCGAAAGCAGATCGCAAGGTTCAAGCATGACTTAGATCGGGAAGAACTCGCGTTGTTCATGCACCACTTCTACCGCGCCTTCTTCGTGGCTCTCACTCAAGGGCGGATTCATGACGACGGGGTGAGCCCTTTGACTTGGGTTAAGATGCCGCTCAGGGTTGAGGTGGGCGAGGCACGATTGAAGCTGCTCCGCTTACCCTCCTCTGCCCATGAGCATCTGATCGAGAAGCCTGAACGCCCGTCGCTTAGGCTGCATCGACTCTTCGTCGGCGCCTTTCTGCTGGTGGTGGTGGCCATTCTGACTGTTCCCGGGTCGTTGTGGCAGCAAGATGGACGGACTGCAACCGATCTGGCGCTTGGCAGCAGCACCCGTGTCGGTCTCGGTCGACTGCGGTCCAGCTCATGGGCATCGCCTGAGTGGCTTGTGAATGAAAACCAGGACGTCTACACTCTCTCGACGGCGGTGGGAGATTGGCAGAAGATTGAAGGTTTTGACGGAAGAACAGGGGTGAGTGAGCCAGATCAGTGCTGAGGCTGATGACAGTTTGTGCGCAAACGCGACATTGCCCCGCTCTAAGTCACGGAAGCAGGTGGGGTACTGACGCGGGACCGGGCACAAGTCTTTGATTCTAGTAGGAGGGTAAGAGATGCATGTGCATGTACAGTATCGTACCAGAACAGTATGGGCAAGTCAAACGTAGCTTCATTGCCGGGAGTCGAACGCAATTCTTGACATGCCCTTCAAGTGCTTACTGTCTGCGACCGTTGGGTTGGAACAGATTCTCATCAGGCCAGTGAGAGATGCGTCACGGGAATCACCTTTACGTCAGCTCAGCACATGTCGGGCAACATACCCCCGGCTTGTCCACACTGCTAACTTTCATCGTGTACCACCCACCGACTGGCTTGCCCACCAGCTCCACCATGTCGCCGTCGGAAACGAACAGCTTGTCCGCAAACTCCCAAGTATGGATGACACGTGCCAGGACTACCTGTGATGAAGAGCCATGAGACACAGTGCCCGAGAAATCGAGCAGAGGGAAATGCAGGCGGCTCAACACGGAGGTTGGGAGTCCGAACGTGTAGTACACAGCGGAGATGCCGACGACAGCCGCCAATCCAGCCATGACGAGTGGCCACTTGCGGGCCCTCGGCGTTGAACATTGATCCTTCCCTTCCTGGGTGGAGAAGGAGATGTCAGAGGTACAGGTGTGAAGGACACCGTTGCTGTGTGTGGGCGAGGGCAGTCCTGTGGTGATAGCCTCCGAAGATGATAATGCGGGCAGAGCGCGCTTTGCGGATGCGGCAGTGATCACGGCTGTCTGCTCTGCGGATCGTTCCGTCTCTCGCAGCTTCTGCACGCGCCTTCTCTCCTCAATCTTCTGCACAGCTGGCAACTGGTTGAGGTGGGGCGAGGGCGACGCGGGAGCGTTGTAAAGGTTCTTCATGCGTGAGTACTCCACCAGCTCCTTGTCGGAACGAATTGCGAACAGTCGGGACCCCAAGTCATCACAGATGAGATGACTGAAATCTGCGTTGTAGCGGTCCAGACTACCTGAGCGTAAAGTCGCAATGCTCTCTTCGTCGGTATCGCCGCCAAAGAATGCGTGAACGTTATCAGGATCAATAGGAACGTCTTGCGTCACCACGCTTGTGAACGCCTGTCGGAACGCGCGTCTTAGACGCTCGCCGTCCACGAACGTTCTGAAGGTTTGGATCACTGTGGACAGATTGTCCCTAACCCGATCAAGTGCTGAGCGGATGTTGAGGATCTCTTGCTTGTTTGCCCTGACAATGCGACTGTTGATGCGTTCAAGAAGTGCCTCGCTCGTGGCATCTGCCTTGATGCTGACACTGTTGTTCAGAACGGCGCAAAGGATGGACTGGCAATTGGTCGACCACTCCGTGCCCAGTTTGACCCAACTTTCACGCTTGGCGATTTTGGACTTTCCTGCTTCGATTCTACCCAGTGCCACTAAGACAATGGTGCCAACAGCGCTTCCGTAGTAGGCACCCAGAAGCGTCACTTCCGCCGCTCCTCCCAGCCACCGGTAGTGTCTGGTGAGAAGACGCGACGTCCCGCAAAAGGCCGCTCCCTCCACAGACCAAAGAGATCCTCGACAAGCTCCTCAATCTGCAGTGGGTGGGCTGCATGAAGCAAAACAGCTTTCTTGCGGTTCGTCCAGACATTAAACCAGAGTGACAGCTGGCGGCACAGCGCTTCCAAATTCCAATCAGTCTTTTCTAGTATTGCGCCCTCGAGAAGTGACTTGGTGCAAGCGTACACCCGGTCGTCGAGGATGCTGGCTAGGCCGTTGTGGAGGAGGTCTTTGAGGATGGCCGACCCTGTCTGACGCATTTGCAAAAGCTTGTTCAAAGAGTCGTCGTCACCGATCACGTAACATGCAGGGAATAAGACTGTTACGCCTTGGATGTCGCGGAACGAGATGGGTTCGGATGCCTTGGTGGCGATGGGGACTGTGAATGTAGCCTCGTCCCAGCTAGTAGCAGGAAGAAGCTGAACATCACACACCCAATAAGGTGCAAACAGAGTTTTGGCCTCTGAGTCGGTGAACTTGGGTTCTGAAACCATGACGCCGACAGCTGGAGTGATAGGTGGCTGTGCGCTTGATGACGATGATGAGGTACAGCTTCGATCAAGGTAAGAAAGCCACAGGCTGTTGGCCGCCGATGCGGGAGTCCGTGGGGGTGAATGGTAGCTGTTCAAAACGAGAAGCGTGTTGATGGCTCCAGTGCGCTGCTGACAAGGTCCAAACACTGTCTTATTGCCGTTGCCAGGGAGAAGCCGGTCGCGCTTGCGGGGAAACTGCGCTGAGGGAATAAACGCAGCGGATCTCCACCACTGTTTGGGGTGGTCAACCCAGCTTTGCTTCATGCTCGCCTCTACGTCTCTCTCCTGCATTCTTCTCATGACCCAGTCAAGAGCTTCTGGCTGGGCCGGATAGACATCATGGGGCCACCTCTTCTTGCTGCCCTCAGGCAGCAGTCGGCAGGTGGCACTGGGCGGAGCTTCGGGACGCGGGGTAGAGGTCGTGGTCTTCTGGCTAGAGCAGCCACAAGTGCGCGAGGGAGTGATACCAGTAGTACGGTACTCCTGAACGATATTTGAGAGGTCGGCGTAGGACAGCCCGCAAAGATAGGCATCGAGCGGCTGACACATGCATGGCTGAAGCCCTTGGAACCAGTCGACGAGCTCCTCTGCGGTATCAGCTCACGTCGTGGAAGTTTTAGTCGAACAGCCTACCTCCAATCGAGTCCCACGGAAAGTCAGGGTAGCGGAGAGACTGGGGGGTAATTCTGCTGGCCATCTTGAGCTGAGAAGCAAGATAGATGGATGGTTGGCCGGCGTGGAGCAAAGCAGTTGTTGGAAGTGCAGGATGGAATGACGAAGGAAGGGCATCGAGAAGGAGAGAGAAGAACAGCAGCTCAGCAGGAAGGTCACCTGGGAACCTGCATTGCTGCAGGTGATACTTCGCCGGAGCAGGGGTCAGTGTCTGGGCCAGGGGACCAAAATTCTGGGGACAGACGCCCTCGTGCTCCCAGCAACTCAGCGCCGGTGATTGGCTCATTGTGTCAATGGCGCCAGAGCAACCAAAGGGCTGAGGGCTGAGGGAGGGCGCTTGACCATGAGATTCGTATACTGGCGCCCTGCTGCGCGCTGCTCAGCATGCTCAGATCAGGCGAGGGCACGCAGGGGCGCAGGGGCGCAGGGGCGCGGGGGCGCAGCAGGTGAGTTGCGAGCCGGAAGGTTCCTGATTCCTGACCTCCCACGGTGGTACCCCGGCCTGGCGCTGGTGTCTTCCTTCAACACTCGATGTTCGTATTCCTGAACCTTTATCGCAGCGCTGATCTCAGTCCTGCATCATACAGGGAAGAACAGAAGATCTCATTCTCCATCGACTGCTCCCGGTGGAAGAGCGAAGATGGGCCGGAAAAGCAGAGCTAAGCGACAAGCCACCATGCCAGCACGAGAGGTAACTCCCGGGCCGCCTGAGACCCCTTGGGCAACAGTCGATGGTATGTGTCTTCCTCCGCTCCATGTGTCACCACTGACCTTGATGCAGAATGCTATTATCAATGGCTCAAGAACACCGACACCTGCAAAGGTACATCGCTGTGCTGGGAGCTGGACAAGTTCTTCGCTGCCTCTCGCCGTTCCGAACTGTCCATGTCATTCCTCGATGACCTCCGCGAGATCGCATTTTGCCCGTCACTCATCACGTGCACCTGTTCTGGTGGAACACTGATTCACCCAAACTGCCGACCTGCAATTGGCCGACTGCATGCGAGCCACGAATGGTCGTTCGACTTGAGCCGACCTGGTGCTCTACAGGATTGGACATGGAGGCGTCTGCTGGAGTACTACTGGCACCACGCGTGGCCGAGTCCCGAGGCCAATTTCCCACCACTCTCAACATCCGCTACTACGTCCTTCAAGTCAAACGTACTAGGACCACTCCATCATCCAAGTCGGACCGCGGTGCATCAAGGACTCACCCTGACTCTCCTGCGGCATGCTCCGCCCAAGTCGAACCCGCGCTCGCAACTTCGGAACAAGTGGATACGGTACTTGTGTCGCGGAGCAGATTCCCTCCCAGCCGTGGACCAGTTTCCACCCTTCTCTCCTGCCGTCGGCACTATGGTGCTCGACAACCAGTTTGACGAGGAAGCCGCCCTAGGTCTCTGGGGCATCTTCGAGCGGTGTGACATCGATATCTGTCCCTGCGCGGGCTGGGCGGCTTCCGGATTCTCTGCACCAGGTACCATCGCTGACGACGAGACAGTATCCTTGCGCAGCATCAACGGAGTGACGGTCGTGTTCCTGTCGCTCGTGTTCCTGTCGCTCGTAGCGTGGGAGCACCGCAAGGTCTTCTGCCAATCCTGGAGACTGCAGGGCATCATCCTGTCCGATCTCTTGCGGCATGGTGTAGGCTGGCTGCTGTTCCAGCACCGAGACTCGTACAGCATGTCTATCAGCACACAGCTGTTCTTCCAGCCCCTCGATCTCCGGGACACCAACGAGGGAGCTCTCATGTGGAGTTCAGTCTTCGAGTGGCTGCCCCCTGATCCCGGCGACGTCTTCCCGTCGACCTGGTCCGAAGGTCGAGCGCGAGCTCTCCTGCTCTTCCGAACCTGGGCCACGAGATACGCCACCAAGGGGCCAATCCAGGACAGCCTACCACGCTACCTCAACGTTCTCCGCGACATGAGTCCGGCATGGTACGAAGACTTTGACTGGCAAGTGCACGACGCCCACGTCCGCTTCACATCGAGCTGCGGGTTGGCCCTCGGCACCGGTGTCGCTCTGGTTGTGGAGCGCTTCGAGCAGATGCTCGGTTCAGACCTCCCCGACGGGGTACACACGCTGAGGGCGCAAGTCGCCGACTTCTTCCGCGAGTACTTTGACACAGCAGTACGGACGAGCGGCCGGCGCACGCGTCCCTTCAACGGTCTCGTTAGTCTGCGACACTGGTCTCTGCACCCCGAGCTGCGGCGGCTCGGCACCACCTTCGACTCGGAGTGGCACGACTTCCTCCACCGCATGGACGCCAGCAATCAGGTCAGATGGGAGAACAGGTCCGCCCTGATGAGGCACTTTTGCACAGCCTTCCTTGACGCCCTCCTCGCCCAAGTCGATCTGGACGAGTACTGGCGCGACACGGCGCGGATTGTCCGCTCCAATCTCGCCTCGCCTGTCTCTATCCAGCTCGTACCCGGGGCGGACAGGAATCAGCTCCTCACTTTCCACAATGCACAGGGCGCGGACCTTAGCGCAGACTTTGCCGCCAAGTTCATGATCGGGCTGAATGAGAAATGGGCGGATCGGTGGGATGGCGAGCCGTCCGAGATGCGGGAGACAGTTCCGCAGGCGGACGCTGGTGACCCTCCCTCGGAAGCCAGCATTACCGAGCTAAAGAACGAGGATCCGGATCCCGATGGCCCCAACCCGCCGCCACCCTCCGACAAGCCCGGCCGCGCAGGTCCACATCAGCTCTGGATCAGTGTTGTTCTCGCCTTTCTAGCACTCGTGATCGCCTTCTCACAAGGTCGGCTGGGCAACCTCTCCCCAGGTCACCTCCGGACCCTGACACCTGACCCTGCGCAGCTCATCTCGACCGGCCACATCGTTGCACGGTACGAAGCCGGCTCCTCACTCGTACTCAGCATTGGAGACCGGGTGAACGTCCTCGAGCAGCCAGTTCCGGGATGGGTGAAGGTGCGTACTGATACTGGTAGCGTAGCAGTGAGTTCTTGCACTGGTCATAGCTAATACCAGGTGATACCGCAGAGGCTCGTGGCCTTGGAGTGAGGCAGCTCCATTTCGGACGCGGCAGACGGTTTTGGGCTTCGCATGCATGGACGATTACTGTCACCAAACCGTATCCCAGCTCTAGCCATACACGGACGACTTGACCCCTCCAGTGCATGTGACCATGGAGGGAGGGGGTCTGGCCTATTCGGAGGGAGAGTTGTGGGTGGGCAAGGTCGTCGTCGAGAGGGGAAGCCGGAAGCAAGATAAGGCGCAGAACCACCGTACGCGCCTGACTCTGGTTAGTCATCCATAATGCCCCACCAGATCAGGCAGCTGTAGTTTCCCCTGTGCTGGATACCTCCCAGATGCATGCACCCCTCGGCTCTCTGGAAAGCCCCTTGCTCAATGTAGGGCGGTTATCATCTCAGGGACTGATACATTGCGGATTCAGGAGGCTGATATGAGGATTTGAGGCCCAGTTTCGGGAGTGGCGTCAGGGGTCAGGGATAGTGCACCCCTCCACCTGAGGTGAGCTTCCATCGCAGAGAGAGTCACTCTGGCTTGCATGCACGGATGTCGTTGAGGGGTGCTATGCATCGTTGCAGCCAGAACTCGGATAAGAACGGTAGTCTCTTGGCGTCGCTCGCATGATGCACACCGTGCTTGATCTCCAGTTCGACTTGTCCCCTAGCGCCCCTTCAGTTCACGTATTGGACCAGTCAAGGAACAGATAAATCACACAGAGCTACTGCTCGATTAGATGAGATACGGATAAACAGCAGAGGGCACGGAGACGGGACTACATGTGTGGGCGACTGAGGCTCAAGTAATGCCGCAATCAGCGGCAGGGCCCGGAGCGACGTTTCCCCACTTGTGGGCCAAGACCAACGGGAAAGAGTCTCTGAAGCTTAGACTCTGGATGGTACACAATGGGATACAATCGAGTCGTATCGAATTCTGAGAGCAAGAAGCGAGCTGGGTATGGGAGATGCGGGTTTTCGCCGTCGGTAAACGACGGGAACCGCTGGCGGACGTCGGCACATTCGTAGGCGTAACAGAGACGTGCGTTCGAAAGCAGACGGAGAATCCAGAGGGGAGTGAAGCGAGCCTGTCCGAACTTGCATGAAGGGGTTGAGGCGTCGATACGGGCGGTCATGCAGCCGACGATGCGGCACCCGACGGATAGAAGGACCAAAGCCCTAGCGCGAGCAGCGGAATAGTCACCAGAGCTAGAGTGGCTGCTTTTGGGAATTGTGGGACCTGGTGGATGATCCTCGTGGTGGCTGAAAGTTGCACAGAAGGAAAGCGAGCATTTTTGAGGTTGAGAGGGTTGGCGTCCGAGATAGCTAGAAGACGTGGGCTTCGGTAGTCCAAGGCGTGATGCACAACCGAGGCATACCAGGGCCGCTGTCGAGCAGCAATTGCCGCGGCAACTCGGAGATAGAGCTCATGCTGTTTCATGAGATCGCGCTCCTCGTCTGTTAAAGGAAACTTGAGGAGCCGAGTAGGCAGTGACGCAAGGTAAGGAAGGCTCAGCACACCTAAGACGGAAAACGCATCAGCCAATCCGGGGACCCACACACTGTAACCGAAAGCACTGGACTGCTTCATCGCCTCCACGTCAAGCTCCCCAAACCAATCGAGGACGGCGCGGAAGTGACTGTTCATCTCCGCTGCCGAAAATGTGATGATAGCAGCTTGAGCGAAGTAGCGGAAAAATACCTCGCTGTCAACGACACCGTCATACGATGCCAGCTCTCTCATATGCAATCGTTTCATGTTATTTAAGTCCTGCTCTATTGAGATAGCATCGCAGTAGCTGAATCTCGATAGGCGTTGCTGGAATCGCTGCTTCACTGCCTGCCTCAGCGTTTTAGCTGTAGCATTCTTGAAGCCTGCAAGAAGCACCTCGGTAATCGACTTGGTCAAGCTAGCCACAACGTCGAAGTCAGTTGGAGCTGGCTGATTCGACCTCGGGGTAGGAGATATTCGTTGGTCGACCTTGTCTATGAAGGCGATGACTGAGAAGGCAGCTTCACAGCCCTCGAGCATGGCATAAAGGCGGAGCTTTCGAAAATCTTCATCTGTTGTGGGCTCTCTGAGCATGCCTTGGCTGGCGACTCTGTCTTTCTTGAAGAGAACTCGGCCGATTCGGCTGCCGAGACCTGCAAATGGTCCTGCTCCTAGTCGCTGGAAAGCAACAAGGTGTCGACATAGTATCTCGAAAGAGTGATTGTCCCAATTGACCACAGACGCCTCCAACTCCTTGCAAATACCAATCATCATTAGAGCTAGATGGTGGAGGCGTACCCGGTGTTGAGCAAGGTCCTCGATGATAATGCTCCCACATGACAAACATGCGAGCATGCGATATTTGAAGTGGTCGCTGGAAGCTGAACTGAAAGCTGAAACCGTGAGAAATAGCACGGTCAGACCGTTGATACCTTTCAATGAGAGACAGTCATTGGCGCCGGCTTCCCACGACCATGCGTGGACTTCGACATCACATTGGTGGAAATTGACGAAGAGTGCTCGAGCTTCGCAACAAGACCATCGGGGATCGTTGATCAGTGTTTTGACTGAACAGCTCATTGGAGGAAATTGACTGTGCCATTCTGCTGGAATCTTTCCTTGATACAGATATTGCAGCCACTTGAAGCTTTCGGAGGAAAGGACGGCTGTGGGCGGTTGGCAGTCAATGAGCTTCAATCTGAAAGGCCTACGATAGCTCAAGCGGTGAGGGAACGGTCCTGGTTCTCCCGCGAGCGTGATTACCCTCCTGATACCATGGACTTGACTGCTCTTCACATCTGCAGTTCTGAAATAGGCGTAGTCACGAAAGGTCATGGTGATGAACTCGTCGAGCCTCTTCAACACCCAGTCCATGATACCGCATTGTCCTGCGTGGTGATCGAACGGTCAATCGCGGTGCGGGAGCAGCTTGGCAGTGGTCTCAATGGGTGGGGTAGGAGAAAAGATAACAGGCCCGTGCGATCTACCATGTTCTGGTATGATACCACAGCACTGAGGACATCGGCACCCCAGAAATCGATGTCTTGGGGGGGCGATGATTCCGCAAAGATCGCGAATCAAAGCCCCGATGAATTCAGCGTAAGTGTCCCCACTGTATGTCTTTAGAACGAGACGTTGCAATCTGGGAGTGATGGGCGTTTCGAGGCAGGTATCGACGAGCTGCAACCAATCGAAGAAGAATTCTGAAAATCAGTCATTTGCTTCTGCAAGCGCTCCTACCGGAAACGAAGAACCAGGGAGAATCAGGGGGACCTGACCCATGTGAGAGGCTGCTGGACAGGGTGCTGTCGATCACGCTGTCGTCTGCCCGTCCTCCTCCGCTAGATTCCTGAGCCTTCACCGTGCAGACTGGAGCAGTCAAATCTGTGCTGGTAGAGCGCTGCCGGGGTGGACTCAAGCAGCGGAGGTACTCTTGATTGTTGGAAGCTGCCAGCCAGCTTCGAACCTGAGCTTTGTGTCCTTCATCTGGGAGCAATTCTAGTATAGTTCTAGCCAGGTGGCCGTAGAACCCAACCCCCCCAAGGCCGACCTTGAAATGATCGCTGATCCTTTCGTCTAGAACTTGCAGCTCCTCTATCCGACTCATAACTCCCTGACGTAACGAAAGTAAAAGCATGGTCAATCTGCCAAGGGGTTTCTGGCTCTCCTTTGACTCTATGCTGGCTGCGATATTTGAGGATACTTCAGCGTGGCCGTGCCTAGAAGCAGTCTCCCGTAAACATGTACGTCCAGCGATGGAATCTGCAGGCGTGACCGTGGACACTGTCTTCACCGTGGGCTCATCTGTCGGTGTTTCTTCACGGAGCAGATGCTCATGTGATGGGGTAAATGTTGTTGAGCTGACGGCAGCGATGGCACAGCCGTAGAAGATGCCCATCTGAGACAGGTATGCTTGAAAAGTTGTGTTTGTTTCGGGAGTGGCCGCGTTGACTTGGCCCTTGCTTTCATGATCAATGAAGCCGAAGGGCAGACGGAACAAAGACTGAAGCTCTCTCAACGCATCCTGATCTTGAGACACACTTGTGGAAAGTCTGAGAGAGATTACCGGACGGCTCAGCCAGATCTGCATCAGCTGCATTATGCGGTGTGAGAAGCGGCGGGCTTGTGATATGGACAGGAATGAGCTCCGGCAGAGTCGGACAAGTGCGCGGCTCGTGGGTGAGAGTATCGAAGGTGAGGCTCGCTTCAAAGGGCGGTCTTCTGGGAGCAGCGGAGTTCCAAAACACCGAAGGAGATCTGTCACCACCGGTCCTCCGCTGTTTAGTGACGCGAGGAGATCTATCACTGGAAGGGAGTCAACCAATGAGAGAAATAAAACGGTAACACCGCTTATCCCTTTCAACAGATGAACTTTCACCGCTGGTCGGTCACTGCGTACACTATCAGTGCTCGAGGAAATGTGATCGGCGGAGCAGGTCGCCAGAATCTCGACATCACACTGGTCAAACGTTCCGAAGAGCTGAAGAGTTGCTCTTTCTCGCCAGTCAGGCTCCGACAACATTGTCATAAGAGCGCAGTTGAGAGGAGGAAACCTACGGTATGCCCCTTCAGGCACGGGTCCCCGGTAGAGATACGGAAGCCACTTGGCCATGAGGTTGGTTGGAGGATCGCCTTCGGGCAATTGGTAGCGAATGAGTCTTATCCATGGTGCTGAAACCTCATCGGTGCTTTCGCGGACTCGGGGATCGAACGCATCGGTTGAGCGGAGGGCGTCTTGAGTGTGATCAGGCCCTTGTTGTCCAGGGAGGGGGAACTGTGCGCTCGACGAGATCCAGTGGTGATGATTGTAGTGCTCCTGCAAACGGCGTGCAACCCAGTGCACCAGACCGGGTCCTCCCTGGTGATCGAACGGCCATTCGTGATAGGGCAAAAGACGGCCGACAGCGGACTGGTCCAGCTCAGGCGTCAGAATGAAAGGCGTCCCGGTGACAAATCGAGTCTTGCGGCATGTGCGGCAGGCGCAGAAGAAGTAGCCGCCGCGGTAGTTGGACAGCCTTGCGATCGTGTCGTCCCCGCAGCCGCCATCAATGATGTCGCGAATGCCCTTGGAGATGGTGTTCTCGGAACACAAGTCGACATCTTGAAGCCATTTGAAGAAGGATTCTGCCGGTCAGATTTTATCACACACTCAGTGTGCTTACCGGAGACGTGGAACCACGGAGACTCGGGCGGTCCCTTTCCCTGCGACAATGACCTTGGCGATATATCAACCACTTTGCGGCTGGTGTCTGTCTGTGCTACACTGGACATAGCCATAGTAGAGCCCACGAGCTTCCGAAGCCAATTGGTGCAAAGGTTTTCCGGAGTGGGAGTAGTCAGGAGATGTTGCGGTCGCGATGGGAAGGATAGGACTAGTAGGGCGAGAGAAACGGGCTGGGTGGACGGGATGCGTGAAGAGGGAGGGCGGACAGGAACCAGCGGCCAACGTAGTCATGCTGCCATCTGACTCCTGTCTGGTACTCCACAGGTTGTCAGGTTGCGTCCGCTCCCGGTCCCCGCCCAGTGTGGGACATGCCAAGCGATCGCTCCTGATTGGAACCGTCCGATAGACGGCCGTGATGCTCTTGATTTGGGAACAGACGACGCCCTTTGTTTCGGGCAACCCGAGGCTGTGTTGACGCATCTGACAGCGTGAAGGTACCCCGACTTATGGCCCTGCACTGGGAAACCAATTGGCAAATTCAGTGCGCAACTCGCGGTCCGGCATTTGTGCATGCTTCCTTATGGCCTTGGCCGCAGTCTTATCAGTAGGAGGTACCCTGAGTTGGCCGGATGATAAAGCCCGAAAGGGACGCCGAGCAAGCCTGATAAAGATTACCCTGAGAACCCTGAATCCACGAAGCATCGACGGATCAGCAGGGGCGAGGCATCCATCGTGATGGGTTTGACGTTACTCGATCAGCAAGACCAACAGCAAGCAGACGGTCAGGACATAGATCTGACCGTGGAATAGGGCACTGTGCATGGGTCCTTGCGCCCAGCGGCCAGCTAATGTGTGACCAGAACCCCTCGCCTGTCCCCACGTCATGAGAGGTCCAGACATGCCTTCGGCCGTTCACACCACATGGTGCAAAGCCCAGCTTAATTGCGCTATGGTGCAGTTCTATTGCAGACGACACCGCATAGAAACATAGTTGATGCTACGGACTTTTATCTACCCAAATCTACAGAATGGCCCCCTTAGGCGGATGCTGGTGGATTCGGGGCGTGATCGGCTACGTACCCTGCACGGGCTGGTTGGTCACCGAGACGCACTCGGCAGGAATCATCTGTTGTCAGCGATGCTTGGGTCTCCATCGTGCAGTGCAACTCACTCCTTCTTCGTCGCTCCCCTGCACTTTGATCATGTACCATCCCTTGGCAGGGACTGTTAGCAGCTCAACGGTGTCACCTGGTGACACCCGGCGTGATGCATTAACGTCGTAACTGTTCGTGACTTTCGCCACCGTCGCTGGCACGGATAAGATAACACCATCGCCGGCGCTCAAATGAGACCAAGAGGCGAAGGACTGTGGGAGTTTGACCGCACCCATCGAGGCAACCGAGTACGACAACCAGATGGCGAGAAGGAAGGTAGCAAAGGAGAGCGTACTCGCTACCCGGTGCAAGTTGACTGAATTGGCACTGGTCTTCAAGAAGGCGACAAACGATTGAAGCGAGGCCATCACCCTAGTGGGCGGTTGTGCGTACTCCAGTGTACTGGCTGCTGTGGATCGGGGCTCAGGGGCGCCTGTCTTGCTCGTGGCCGGAGTCGACTCGATGGACTTTGCGGCAATTCTCTGTTCCTCCTGCCACTGCTTCTGTACCTCCACCTGCCGTTTGAGCTGAAGTACGACACGTTTGAGACCATAGTCATTGCGAGCCGATGGCCCAGACTTCAGACATTTCCTGAGGCGTGGAATGGTCTCAAAGTCCCTGGCCGTGTAGGAGAGGAGCCTAAGAGATCCCAAATCCTCGAAGATGGCGCGGCTGAAGTGGGCGTCAAAGTGTTGAATGGATCCATGGCGAAGGGTGGGAAGATCTTCCTTGCAGTCGTCATTCCGGAAGAACGCAATGACGTCTGTAACCTGAACATCGACGTCCTGTGTCACCACAGCAGTGAATGCTTGTCCGAAAGCTGCTCTGAGGCGTTCGCCGTCCAGAATGCTATGGTGGGCATACGACGCGACGATGGTGGTGAGGTTGTCTCGGACCCGGCGGAGATTCTTGTTGAGATGGAAGATCTCATCGTGATTCGCCTTCAGTAGGTCTCGGTTCAGGCGCTCTACGATGCGCTTCTTCGATTCGTCCAACTTCAGAGCAGCACCAGCCTTGAACACGGCGGTGAGAACAGCTATGGCGTTCGTAACCCACTCATGCGTGAGATCTGCGGTCTTCTCCGACGAGTTGATTCGGTCCTCAGCTTTCCCGATCTTCCTCAGCGCCGCCAGGACCACGGCTCCTACAGCACATCCGTGGTAAACACCGATCGCAGTCACCTCGGCGGTGTCTTCCCACCCCTCATCCGTGTCTGGGGCGAACAGCCTGCAATTCCCGACTTCAGGCTTCCAGACCTCGTTAATCATCTGCACGAGGCTGTCGAGAGGCATCTGCACGCTCTGTTTGCAGAGCTGTACGATCTTGGGCTCGGCCATCCAGACGCGGAACCAAAGTGCCAACCGGAGGCAGAGCTCGTGAAGGCTCCAATCGGCGCTGCACTCCATGGCAGCCGCGAAGGTCTTCTTGACGAGGTCGTTCAGTCTCCCCTCTACGATGCCGACGAGATCTGTGTCGAGGAGGTCGTGCAAAATGATGGATCCGGTCTCCCGCATGAGCAGAAGCTTGTTTGTGGACTGGCGGTCGCCGATCACAAAGCAGCCCAGAAAGAGAATGGTCGGGCCCCTGATCCCGCGCAAGGTGATAGGGTCGCTGTGGTCGATGCCGCGGGGACGGGCGAATGTCGCATTCTCCCAGCTGTCAGCGGGGAGAAGCTTGACCTTGCACCCTTCGAGTGACGCGAACAGCGAACGAGCCTCTGTGTCTCTGAACTCCGGCTCGGAAACCATGACGCCAACGGCAGGGGTGAGGAGCATTGGTCGGCTTGAGGGATGGCTTCGCACGTCGCGATCAAGGTACGACATCCATGAGGAGGGTGACGTATCACTTGAGGCTCGCAGTTTGCAACGCTTCAAGACGAGTACAGTCTCAACGTCAAGAGATCGACTTTTGATCGGTCCAAAGAGGTTTCCGCTGCTGTTCCGGAGTCCATACAGCTCGCGCGTGCCAGGGAAGCGAGCACTGGGCTCGAAAGCTTTCGACGGGTGCCACTCCATGTGCTGATATTCCACCCAGGCCTTCTCCATCTCCAACATCGCCTGCTTCTCCCTCAGACGGTTGATGATCCAGTCGAGTGCCGTACACTTGGGCTCGTCGATATCAAACGGCCACGCGGCCTTGTCTCCACCATTTGGGAAGAGTCGACAAGTAGCACTGGGGAGGTCGTGAGGGGCCCCTTGGCTAAGCTTGCTTGGGGGATTTGAGCACGCGCAGGTGCGAGTGGGTACGTTGCCAGTCGAGCGGTAGTCCTTGATCATCTCTAGCAGCTTGTCCAAGGGATGCTCTCCTAAGTAGGCGATGAGCGGCTGGCACTTGCAAGGCTGCATGTCTCCTAACCACTTCACAAGCTCATCTGCAAAGTTAGTTAGGGCTGCAATGGCTCTGAACTGACCTCCGACATGGTCCCATGGGAAGTCGGGTTGTCGCAGGGGCTTGTCGCTGCTCAGAGTAGTCATCAGTCAATATGGGCGGTGGTACGTGGGGCGGATATTCTGCGGCGGCCTTGGGCTGATGTAGGGCAGACGGAATTGTGTTGCAGTTTCGTGGGGAGAGGTACGACCTCGCTATCGGTATGCAGGCGTGTCCAGTCTCTGAGGGAGGAACGACAATCCGGGCCCAGCGGCCACGGCCCAAATTCGGCGAGCACCGCAGCATCGGCTGAGTCAGGGTCTTAGACGTTACGGTTTCAGGCCCTGCGAGGCATGCGAGGGGCGCCAAGAATCTGCCGATCTGTCTGATATGACGCAGATCGGCTGATCAGACCACCGCACCGCCCCTGAGTCGCAGAGCGTGACTGAGCGCAGCAGCCATCGCACCGCGTACCACGCGCCCGTATGTTGCCAGAGGTGTAGCTCCAGCTTTGCAACGCCTGGCACATGCACTTCCCTTCTCGCTACGGTAACAGCTTTACCCTGACCACGCGGTTCTACGATGGAAAGATACAAGGTGTCAACCAAGGAACGCCGTCTCCAGGTTGTAATACGACGCAGCTGACATAGGCCGTGGTAGACTACATGGATCGGGTAGCAATATCGGTACTGAACTTGAGTCTAATGCAGCACTTTGACCACGTACCGCATAGGGACCAGCTGCTGTCAGTCACCCTCTGCGGTGGCCACTCACCCCTATGTCGCCGTCCAGGTTCTCAATCTTGTACCAATCGTGGAATGTCGTCTCCAGAATGTACACCTGCTCGCCCTCCTTTAGATGCACGGCATTGCCGGCTTTGAAACTCGCCTGTATGATCCCCAAACCGATGCGCCCCTCGTCACGGGCCAGTGCTTGAGGGACGCCCGGTTGCATCCCCAAACCAGACTGCTTCGAGGGCCACAGGATGGCACCGATAGTAAGAATGCAGACGGCTGCGACTAGAAGAACTCGGGGTAGCCAGCCGTCCTCGGCGCGGGTAGCGGTGGACGGCGGATGCAACGCACTGGAGGAAGGCAGGCCGAGGAGGAAGTGGCGGCTGCGCTGCAGCTGGGTCCGAAGGTCTGTTGAATACCATGCCATTGGCCCGGCTCCCTCATCACGAATGCGCCCACCAGTGACGGCGACGAGGAAGCCGCGGTAGAAGTACTTCAGAAAGGTGTCCTTATCGAATCCCTGCGGGGACGACTTGAAGGCGTCGAGACTTTTGCAAATAGCCTTGTCGAGTTCCTCCAATCTGTCCAGAGCATCTTCCGCGAAGCCATCGAGTTCTTGGCTGAGATACCTCTTGAGGGCCAAACCCACCTCCTCCGTAAGCACTTTCGCGCCGCCGCAGAGCCGAGATCTGTTCACAAGGTTCTGCACCCATTTCTCGGCCTGCGCCTTAGCGGCAACGGGATCAATGTAGGTCTCAGGACTATTGTCCCTCAGCCATGGTGCACCTGATTTAAGGAAAAGTGCGACCGCGGAACCCGCCGCCGCCCCGTGGAACAAGCCGCTCCGAATGTACATGCGTTCTGTCGAGCGTTCGGGGTCAAAGTCGTCACTGTCTATCTCGGGGGGATTGAGGTCGCTGAGGTACCGGAAGAGCCGGATAGGGGTAACGCGCTCGTCTCCGCTGAAGGGTCCGTCTGGTCGTGACATCCAAGCCTCGAGGAAGAGTGAGAGGCGAGGGGTAGGCGGAGGCACCATGTGATAGAACTCGGCGCTGGCCATCCAGCGGCTGATAATTGTCCTGGCGTCCCGCGAATGGATTATCCAGCCGAGCCCATGATTAGCCATGTCCCTCAGAATGACGAGACCGGTGACCTTCATGTCCAGCAGCTTCTGAACAGACTCCTCCACTTGAAGCAGCAAACACGCCATGAAGAGCACGGTTGCACCGTTCAGAGAGTTGAGCCGAACGGCGCCATTGGTTACAGATGTCAGGGCCTTGCTCTTGACTGGTGGCCCGGCACCGTACGCGGGTAGGAGTCCACCCTGGACAAGCACCTCGATGTTGCACTCATCGAAGACTCCGTACACGTCCATGGCCACTTCATCGGTGAAGTCCCGGTGTTCTACCATTGTTCCCACAACGTGGCTGAGAGGTGGAAAGTGCATGACGGGCAGTGGTCCGCATTGACGGAGAATGTAGTGTAACCATCTCGACCGGCGAGCCACCGACAGGCGAGCTGTCTCGGAGGGCAGACAATCGCAGCTCCGAAGGTCAACGACAAGTCCGATGTCGTTGAAAGGGCCGAACACGGTCGTGCTTTTGGTCGTCCCGGTGGCCGATTCGACTTTACGTGGGAAACGTGCTAGAGCCCTGTCGGTAGGCAGACTGCGTCGTGTGGATGACTCGAGTTTTCTTCGCAAAGCCCAGACCAGTGCCTCTTTGCTCTGGTGGAGGTCAAACGGCCAGTTGTATGAGCCCGAGAGCAGACAGGTAGCCACAGGCAGGCTGATATTGAGCGTATCCCAATGCTTAGGAGACGGGATACGGGCTTGCAGATCCCTCTCTTCTTCCATAAGTAGCTGACGTTGCGGACCGCGAGGCTCCAGATGGGGTAACAGTAGCTTGGACAAAACAGAGTCGTAGGTTTCGTCCGCCTGCTCGATCTGGCGGTCGATCTCGCGCACACTGGCCGCTACGTTGCCTGTAGTGTCAGCATCTGCCTAGCGATGCTCTGCGCACTTGAGATGTAGTACCAGAGAGGCCCCTCATCCGTGGGCAAAATGACGGGCATGCTGGGTGGAAATTGATTCGAATAGTGCGGTGCGCTTTGGAGACGTGAAGGGAGACACCGGCTTCTCAGTGGTTGACAAGGAAGAGCGTCAGCTCAACCTCGTCTCCTTTGCGGCCTTTCGGTCTGAAACCTCGACCTCAGGAACGCGCGGAGCGGTCAAACAGACGGGGCGCTGACTTGGGGACACAGGAAAGGCGTGGTTGTTTTGTCTGAGCCGCACCATTAGTGCTAGCTTGACTTAATGTCTCTGACACCGTCTTCTCGAGCCCGGTGACGACAAAATCTCCGTCACAGTTCTCGAAGTAGGCAAACAACGCAAGGATGGCGTCGTCAGTCCAGTTGTGTTCAGTGAAAACGACCAAAGAGTCTCCAGCAATGGGCCGGAACAGGTCGACTCGAGCTCAGACAGGGACATCTTGTGTCAATCCTTGGCGTTGCTCACCAAGGACTGCGACGACTCACATCTTGGCCACCGGACAAGGCCAGCAGGATCCCATGCTCAGCCGAGGGCGCGAACGTGATGCGATGCACCGGGAGGCGCATCGGGGGCTCCGATGCTTGGCGAGGAGCGCCCCACAGCAGTCGTCACGGACACATGGGGCGCCCTCAACGGGCAGCGACGCATGAGCCGAGCGAAGTCCCCTGTAGACCTCCCAACGGTAAAGTGAGCCAAGGGCTACACATTGACTGTGCGACATGCTCAGCGCGCTTGCCGGGTTCCTCCTACTTGGTGAGCATGTGAGCCTTGGTTTCTCTTTTTCCTGTCGCATGGAGCGACAGGCCGATACGGATCGGCAACTAAACCCTAGATCCGAGGCTACTTGTGAGACCCTGATGATCTCATATCAGACGAGATGACCCTGAAGCCATGTGTGCCTGATAGCCCGGACCCTGGGCCGATAACGCCAAGGCGTCTGGCAAGCCTGGTAGCCAGGCAGATAGATGAAGCGTGGGGTTTGGCCACCGTCGCTTAGGATGCGAGCGCACCTGCACGAGCCTATGACATTTGTGTTTGGCTACATTTAGGTCCGATTCACTTCTGAGACAGACCACGCAACGCCTCACGGGCAAGCCATCTGGGCAGAATTCTGGTTCCCGTGGAAACTGCGTAGCGGTTCAGACGTCAGACACGACCAGGCGACCGAAGCTGGCCATGAAACTGAACAACCGCCTCACAACAAGGCCACACCCCTCGGGGAATGAGACTGTGCAGAATCTAGATCCGTGCCAGCATCGCCAACGCCCGGTATGGCGCCGCTACCCACTCTGTTCGAGCGATGAGATGGAAGCGACCAGTCAAAGTCAACACCTCTGCGACGATGATGCAAAAACGCGCTGGCTGCGAAGGCACCCCCGCTTTTCGGCTTGATCCGTAAGGACCGCCAATGGTTTGGTTGTCTTGCTGTGCATATCTGTCATGGTGTTCGGCCCGTTACACAACTGCATGCACGATTTCCATGCTGAGTTGTCCTCTGGATGCACAGAAATGAGCTGTATGTGACATTGCAATGATGGCTACGGGGTTGGACACAGCAAGGTATTGATGGACCGAAAGCAGGTGGTATTTAGGGTATCTGCTGGGGTTTAGACACGCCGAGATCGCGGGTATTCTCGGGCTGAACGCCAATCGGTCCAACGATGAACGCTTCACCGGAAGCTGCGGGTTGGCTGCCTGCGCGGACATGTGGAAGGTGTTGGTGATGGCGGAGAAGGGACTAGACGGAGCCGGAGTGGGTCGGCGTCGAGGAGGCGAGCAACAGGACCAATTGGACGGCGGCAGCAGCGCGCCAGTTGCAATAACCCTCGGAGTCCCAGAGCGCATGCTTCGAAGAAGGCGATTGCGTGTTGATGTACACAGCGAACTAAAGGGCAGACCTTGATGAGGTGGGGTGTGGACGGCGGAAAAGAGCTCGGCACACAGAGCACGGGCTCTGTCTATCAGGTGGGGTACGATTACGACAGATGATGATTGTGGAGGAAACCTGTGCACCCATTCAAGAGTCGATGTGAGCTCAAAACGCTGTGCAGGTGGCGCCTAGCAGGTATGTGCCGATTGCGAGGACTGCCTGCCATCACAACGTCTTGCGTGCGCTCGCGATGCGTGAGACCGTGAGATGAAAATCAAGCGGAGATATAACGTGGGAACAGAATTTGAGTGCAGTACCAGGCAAAAGTGCGCCCGCTCGCTTTCGCCTTGACGATGCTAAAAAACGGAGTGATCGAGCCGCGAAGGTATAGGTGGTACAGGCACCGGGTGAAGGAGTGGGCAAGGCAGAAGGTGCGGTGAAGTTTTACTCGTCCGTCGGTGTGAATGCTCGTGAAAGGCTCTCGACGTGATCAGAAGGAATGATCTAAGGTCAGCTCCTCATGTATCAAGAGTCATACCCCAGGGGATCCGGCTGCGTCCTCAATATTGAGCCAATCTTGAATGGGAGATCTTATGATGTACACAATGTCGTCGGGGAGTACGGTGACTGCCGAACTGATCTTGTATTCCCGCAACACTCGGGCAGCCGTCCTTGGTGGAGGGCGCGTCTCGATGGTTACGGTATCCTTTGCCCATTGCGCGTCCAGAAGCCAGCTCATCGAGTGGACAGCTAGGAGAACAGCTATGAGTGCGATTGCATAACTTGCGCTGAGGCGGAGGCTCGAATGTGTCGGTGTTGGAGGGTGTGAACCTGATGACGCCTTGGTAAGATCTACAGACGGCTTCGTCAGGCCTGTTGTGGGTGTGGGTGGATCTGTTGACGGTTTTGCGGATTGTGAGGTGGTTAGAGATGGCTCTTGCGACGACTGTATTGCGTTCTCCAGCATCTTTTGGAGAGAGCCAGAGTTGTACCTCACCATATTTGCAGTGAACAGGTCGCGGATGAGCATGTCTCCATAGTGTCCGTTCAGGCGGACCGCATGGGTTGGTATGAGAGAAACAAGCTTCCCACTGCGATCGCTAAGCTGGAACCAGTTGATGATCTCGTTTGCAGAACATTCCGTCTGCCCGCGGGAGGCCGTAATCATGAACGCTTGGTTGAAGTGGACAAGGATATGATGAGTATCAAGTACACTGTCGTACGACTCCATGATGGTCGCGAAGCTGTCACCCATGTGGTCGAGCATGTGCAAGATTTCTCGGAAGTCATTGAGTGTTGCTTCAGCAAAGCGACGTTGAAGAAAGCGCCGGAAGACTCCCCGCGTAGCTTCGGTGGCAATCGTGACGCTACCGGGCATTAACGCCGTGGATAGGATAGCGGTAAAGTTCTGAACCAACTCTCCGACGAGGTCGCTGTAGTCCACCACCTTCTCCATTCGTCGTTCGCGCTTTCTGACCCGGTCCAACGTCAGAGCTGTCACCGTTCCCACAGCGCATCCGTATACCAAGCCAGCGGAGCTCAGCCATGATGTTCCCACATGGGAGGCAGTGCAGCAAGAGGTGAATGACACTGGAAAGGGTGTTGGAGACGGCTCACTCGTAGGCACGACACAGAAGATACCCAGCAGATCCCTGCAGAGTTCCAGAGGTGAGGGGCGCTCCTGCTTGGTAGATGTGGATCTGCAGGCGTATGCTTGAAATAAGTTTGATATGCGGTAGCTCAAGGACTGTAAGGAGAACGGCACTTGCAGCTGTGAGGCTTGGCAGAGTAACTTGTCGATGGCCAGGCGTAAGCCCTGTTCGACCAGTGGCTGGCGCCCCTCAACATCACCGTACAGGATGGCCGAGCCAGGGTTTGCTAGAATGTCTTGTGTGATAAGATGTCCTGTTTTCCAGTCACCGAGAAGATCTGCGGAGCCATGAACATCCATGCACATGTACGCGACTGTGATGCCGTTCAACTTCTCCACAGTCTTGAGCTTGATCAGATCATCGGGTCCCCCCGCTCCTACCAGTGTGGTCTCGACCTCGCAGCCGCGAAATGCTTCAAAAACCGGGGCCCATTTGGCTCGCCTCTTCGGATTGTCGAACAAGGTTGTCAGGCTGCAGTTGAGGGGTGGAAACCTGCGTAGGCTATCACGGGGTAGATCGGTGCGGTAAACGAGGAGGAGAGATGTCTTGTCGCTGGGATGCAAAATGTCGTGTTTTGGCAGCTTGTAGCGAACGAGCCTCCTCATGTAGCTCCCTTTCTCGCCGCGACGAATGGGAAGGCTGATGGTGTTGAACGTAAACACGCTTGAGGAAGACGTAAACCGTCTTACGGATTCGTTGAACTCACGCTCGCGTGCCAGTCTCGGAAGTGTCACCGTCCAGGTTGAGTTGTGGAAGCAGAACTCTCTAAGCCGGTCGGCAACCCACTGCAGAATGCCAGATTCATAAGACATATCGTGAGGCCAGTCGTAGTCTGGCCTGAGCTTGGCATAGGCAATGACAGGCGGCGCGATGAGGTCGGCGGAGAACGGAGGGCAGGGTGGCTTGCATGAGCAGAGGCTAGGCTGAGAAGCGCGCGATGGGATGCCGAGCAGGTTGTCGAAGAAGTGTTCCGAAAACGTCCTCGAATCGAGGACCTCGTGGAACTCTCGAGTGATCGACTTGCGGCAACAGGGATCAACCTCCAACAACCAATCGAAGAAAGATTCTGACCTTAGTCTACCGTCATAAGGGAGGGCTCACCAGACACCATGTACCACGGAGAGTTGGGAAATCCGGCACCCCTCGACATCTCCCTGGGCGACATGTACACTGGAAGTTTCTCTGTCAATACGTGGACCATGTTGGCGGATGGGTCCAAGTGTCGGACAAGACGTCAGGAATGGCGGCACCACTCGTTGCGCGGCGTAGATGCAGGTGGTTGGGAGACTGTGTTGATGCACAGCGTCGCTGCATTCTCCAAGTTGAGTTAAGGGAATGAGGAACGTTTGCAACAGACGGGAACGGGGGCGGGCGCATTCCCTCTGAGGTTTGTATTATTCCTAACCAACGCCCCCTTACGGATCGATTACAGAAGTACAGTTGATTATTTCACCCAAGTGGTCGTAACCAGTCTCCAGCCTCCTGATGGCCCTGTCGCAGTCAGGGTACAGTAGTTACAGCGCAGCGTATCCCTGTGTGCATGTGTGGTTTGGAACCTGACGAGTGATCGTGAGGCGTGTACTGCTATGCACAGTTTCCGGAGTACTACACAATAACATAAGCGCACAGTACGTAAAGTAAACTCGTAAACTCGCTTCATTTTCACAAATGCTCTAGGAGCGGCACTGCTGTCGGTCTCCACAACCTTGTTCAAAAAGAGGCGAAAGGTGGCCATTAAGTAGCGATGTCAATGGACAGAAACCGCCGCTTGCAGCGGAGGAAAGCAGCACAGGGTCGAGAGTCGTTTTGCTCCCGTCTATGGCGGCGAACATGGTGGGTAAGGGGATGCAGTGGTCTGAGTTGGGACTAACAGCTGGGCTTTTCATAACATTTTGACCTTGTTTGCAGGAACGAGCTCCACGGTCAGCACCACCCCCTATTGCCTTGAACTCACCCCAATGCGACCAATCGAGTCTTCAAAGCAGAACCAGCGAATGAAAGGTGATCTCCGAATGAGCACAATGTCTCCTCGAGTCAGGTGGAACGCCGACCGGACCTTGAAGTCTTGCATAACGCGTGCAGCGAAGAAGCCGGTGGCATTGGTTACGCCAGAGTTGATTTGTGATGGATCCGCTGCGAGGATAAGGGCGAGCAGAAGAGTTAAAGCTGCTGTCGCCATCATGATCAACTGGTTTTGCGTGAATCGACGAAGGTAGCCGTCTGCGCTATCAGGGGAAGCAGGCCGGGGTGGAGGGGCCACAAGTAGCTTTTGAAAGCGAAAGCGTTCGGTCACTGTCCTCTGTCGGCTGCGAATGAGAAGCTCTTGGACCTGGGGTGTCCACCACTGCAGTCCTTCGACCGCTATCGCCTTCATCGTAGATTCCTTGGCCTTCTGAGCCTTCCACTCCATCTCGGTCAGCATGACCGCAAGCTCTCGAGAGGAGTAGTCTACACGGTGAACCTCGGACAGGTCAGAGTAGAACATATCACCGAAGTGGAAGTCGATCTTTCCTGAATTTGTGGGGCAGGCAGTCTTCAGGTCATCGGTGAGCTCATGCCGCGAGTACCAAGCACAAACCGCCTGACAGTTAAGGTCCTCCTGCGTTTCACCCATGAGCCCATTGACAAAGGCCTGGCAAAAGCGCTGCAGGAAGTGGTTGCTGTCAAGAACGGAATCGTAGGAGTTGAGGATAGCGATAACGCTCCGCCGGACATGCTGCAGCATTCCTTTAAGCGCATCCACGTCGCCAGGGCTCGCGTTGTCTAAGCGTTGGGCGAGATATGCCTTGAGAGCTTCACGTGCCTGGTCTGTCAAGGGCGAAACACCTCCCTTCAGAACTCCTGAGGTGATAAGATCCGTCAGGCTGGTTGCCCATTGTGAGGCCAGTCGGGTGTGGCTTCTGCGTGGTGTTGAATATCTCTCTCGTTCTCTGATTCTGGTCAATACCATGGACATGATACTCGCCACTGCACAGCCGTAGTAAAGACCCATAAGGACGAACTGAGGGGTTCCCGTCCTGGCAACCAATGTCTCCTCGTCTTGCCCGTACCTGAAATTGGTCATATACTCTGAGGGTTTGGTTCTGTACGCCGAAGACAGAGTCTGCAGAGTATCTTTCAAGGCCATGATCAGATCGTTTGAGGTGGGGATGGTGGTTGTGGAGGTAAAGAACTGGCTATGGAGGTGTCTCACATACGCCTGCAGCAACAACGATACGTGGCCACATATCGCCGCGATTGAGATGGGCCGCGTAGGTCGACGGACTTCGAACAGTAAGACGTGGATTGCTCCCAAAATGCCTTGCCATAAGAGCGAGAAATGCGTTGAGGGAGCAGGACAGGTGATTTTGTCGCCCAAGGTCACCGGACAGGTGATGATGTCCCTCAAGGTTTGTGCGCTATCCGCGGAGGCAAAAAAGGAGCTCAACAGGTCACTTCCGAAAGCGACCTCAGGCACAGCAAGCCAGAACAATGTGACGCCACTAATGCCCGTCCATTCCACGTTTGCGCGAGGTTCGGAGGGAGATTCCCGACGAATGACGATGTCACAGCTTGTAAAAGGAGCAAAGATCTCCATGAGGGCTCCTTGGTTCCACTCCGGGTCTTGACTCATTGTATTTAGCGCGTAGCTTAGAGGCGGAAAGCGAGAGAGGTAATCTTCGGGGACTGGGCCGCGGTAGAGAAGGGGTAACCATTTGAGCTTCTCAGCAGTCGGAGTTGTATCACTGGACGGCTGGCATCTTATGAGTTGTATGCAATGCGCAAGCTCCCCGGACATGTCAGGCTCGTCGCTGGGTCGTAAATCAAAAATGTTGGAAGTTACAGGCCGATGCCAGGACTTGCAGTGCTTCGCGAGAAAGTGCCGAGGGACTGAGGTACTAGGAAACTCTGCAAAACCACCAACACGCCGCTGGCTGTAGAAAAACTCCTCCAACCGCTTGTATACCCAGTTCAGGATGTGTTGTCCGTCTGCACAGTGGAGATCGAATGACCATTCAAAGTCTGGACGAAGGCGGGCATCACCGACTTCTCTACGCGCTATCGCTTCATAGAGTATCTTCTCACATTCGTCACACGGGCATCTCAGCCGCGAAGGCGCAATGACGAGATGAATCGTATTATCGGGGTTGATGTTCTCGAAAAGCGTAAACAGATCGCACAATGTTAGGAATATACCCTCCCCAAACTTTTGATATGTCTGGCCCAAGATTTCCCAAGGTGGAGGGTGTGATTGAATGCCAAAGATCAAGAGTCGGAGCTTGTCCGACACTGTCTTAGCTAGGAAGACCTCGACACTTTGCAGCCAGTCGAAGAAATGTTCTGCGAGTCATCACCCACCTCAACATGTTTCACGCACCAGATACGAATACCCACGGCGAGTCAGGTGGGCCAGAGCCCCTCGATAGTGCACGCGAGAGCTCCTTATCGGGAGTCCTACGCTGGGTGCCCCTGGACATCATCCTATCGAAAGTCGCTCGTGTCCCGGAGAGCCGATGGCAGCATTGCGAGCAGTGGCAACCGACGGGGTATGGTGCATTCCGCTTTGGCGGCCACTTCGGCGTTGGTATCTTCGGCATCTGGAAGGTATTTCAGGCAGGATGAGACGTGGAAAGATGTGAAGAGAATTGCTCTTTGAGTCGGCTAAAGATCTTTAAGAGCGCGAGGAAACACGACAATGAGAATGGATATATCCCACAGTGCCGGGGTAACGCCTTGTGCTTGCGGGGCGTAGGGTCCGGCGACCAGAGAGAGAGAAAAGACAGGCGGAGACTGGGGTAGGTTGGCCGTCAGAAGATGGGTTTGCGACGTGCGATGTTCTGGCTTAGCACCACGTGTCACGGGGGTCGCTGCAAGTTTCTGATGAGGGGAAACGCCGAGAACCCAGGAGACAGTCTACTCCGCCGTTGGGAATGTCGTTGAGCGTGAAGTAAAGTGGGGAGGTTTGAGGAGAGAGGGAGTGAACGAGATATGGGATGGTATGGTGTTGGGACAGCAGAATGCGACGGCAGTATGGCAGACGGGTAATCTCCCCGAACAGGGGGAGCTGCCGTGAAGGGACAGAACGGAGAATGGACAGCGCAAACTCGACTCAGTACGTCCTCGTGACCCCTTGCAACCTCAGATGAACTGGCGTTACGCCAAATACGCGGAGCTTCCGCGCGCCCTTTCCCCAGATCATCTGCCTCAGGGATTCTGACATGCCTCAGCATCGCACAGGGCGATTGAGGGCGGCGCCCCTTCAACGCCTGCAGAGTGCACGTGCATTGGAGCTACGAGCTTGGGACAGTTGTAGCATTACAGCCTGGGATTGTTGAAGTTTGTGTACTCGACTCTGAATACACGCGGTAAACCCCGAATCTCGTTCCCGTGGTATCGGCCATATCACCGCCTAGGCCAAAGTCTTTCCCTCAAGTGCGGAAGATCCCTCAAGTGCGGAAGACGCCGAGTTTGGGGTTGCCGATTTCATCATCGTGGGAGGTCCAAGAAGCACTTTGGGACAGGGTGCATGGCAAGCGACCCCTGGAGACAGCACGAATCTCGTCGCCGATCGGAATGAGGTCCTGCTAGTCTTAACCCCATCACCTTCTAGGACCTTTGAGTCCATGCTTTTTCCAACCCTGGCGCTTCATTGGCTCAGCTCAGGTGAGTCGTTGCACAGCCATCGGTCTCGAGCTACGCAGGCACTATAGGCATATGGGCATGTGTTCTACGGGCACGGGAGGGTAACCAAGGGGAATTGTGTTACAGTTCAGTGCACTGGGAGCCGATTTTATGTGTTGCAGCAGTTGTCCGAAGCGCAGCGGACGTGATTCCCTGTTGTTGTTGTAAAGGTGGCCGGCGGGTTGCTCGGACTGAACGTAGCGTAGGGGCTCTCCTGTCCGGACCAAGGTCTGAAGAGCGGTGCTGAGCGAGGGGTTGATCGTTTCGCCTTTGCACACTCGCTGCGCAAGCTCAGGTGAGCAGCACATGGACGAGGTCCCCGCTTGTTAAAATGCGACGGGGTGTGCAAAGCAAGGAGGTGTGCAACGCGAGCTTTCCCGTTCCCACCAGACCATAACCGAAACGTCGTATTACCCCGTGAAGCAAGAGCAATGGTCTGACGCATGTTTCCGAGCTGTCGAGATGAGATGCATCCGCTTCGTAATTTAGTCACCTGTTGCCCGAGCTCCTGGAGAAACGGCCCCGCCAGAGGTCAGCTTTTTGGGTCCGTATTGTCCTGGAAGCAAAGCTAGTCCCGCTATCCTGCATCCCTTCGCATTTGAGGAAACGGGGGAAACGGACGTCGCCAGGGAGAGGGCGGCTGGAATCCCTAGACTGAACGCCTCGATCGGATCGAGTGGGCTTCCCTGAATGCGAGCGACAGCTGACTGCCATGACCTTCATGCTCATAGATTTCCCTCCAAGGAGGATGACTCCGATGCGGTTCACCGTAAGCCTGCCCATGCATGGGGTGCAACATCGTATAAGGCTTTTCTCTCACCGCGTGTGAGTCGTTATCTTATCACAAACCCTGATTTAGTGCCTAGTCTATGAAGCTTAATCAGAACCCTGACCTAGCGGTCGGAACCAAACTGAACAGCTTCCTCACTCACCAGGGTGACGCATAACGACCAGCCTATCGCTGCACCATCGCAGACGGTGTTAGCATCACAGGTGGGTCAGGAGGCCTGCGAGTTTGGCACACGCAGGCACAGCTCCGTAGCAAGAACAAGCTGTTCATAAAAGTTCCGAGCAAGTATCGTCGCTCCTATTTACATGATATGGACGTTCCAGGCCAACCGGCAGATGATTGGAGCTAGGGGTGGAGGTGTGAGTAGATCAGCGCAGCAAGCAAAACAAGGATGATGACAGCGCTCGCATGACCTGCGCAGAAGGCTTTCCACTCCTGTGATGCCTGTGCACGTCGACGCTGTGCGTGCGCTTGCTAGACGCGCTGCGCCTGCTGATCGCGAACTGCCAGCTGGGCAGCGTTCCTGAAGGCGTCGGATGTGGGGCCGGACTGTGCCGACAACGCAGGAGATCTGGGAGTCATCTGGAGACACTGCTGCAGCAGCGAGCCGGTTGAGATCGGACTCTGGGCAGAGCCGGTGCCATCCCATGCACTCTTGAAGCGAGGACTGGTCTTGATGTATTCGGAAGTGTACGTGTGGACCTTCAGGGACGCCAGGTCTTCGAAGATAAGGGGACCAAAACTTGCCGAGTGATGACTGACAGCGCCTTCGCGCAACGACGTGAGTGGCTGAATCTGGGGCGTGGTGGCGCCGGTGCCAGCGATGACGCTTCCGGTTGGGGTATTCATCGCACCGTTCGCAACACTCGCGATTGTGGCTGAGACGGAAGATGACGTATCCGCAGATCCAGCACCTGGGGAGAAGAACGACAGAACTGTCTGCATGTCGATCGGTGCGAGCTGGGTTGTGACGCAGCTGAACGCTTGTTGGAAGCCGCGGTGGAGGCGGTCACCGTCAAGATGGTCACCGTACGACGTGGTGACGGAGCAGAGGCTGCTGCGAATGCCGTGCAGGTACATGCTCAAACTGAACAGCTCATCGGTGTTGGCGCTGACAATCTTCTCATTGACGCGGTTGAGGTACGCCTCCTTGGTGGCTTGAAGGTCGATGGCGGCGCTGTTCTTGAAGACCGCAGTCAAGATGGCGACGGCGTTCTTGCCCCACTCAGCCATCAGGTTGGCGTTGCGCTTCTTCTTGTCCATCTTCTCCACCCGCCGCTTGATGATCTTGAGCGATGTCAGGGTGACGGTGCCGACAACACTGCCGTAGAACGCCCCCATGGCGGTGACTTCGGCTGTGTTCTCCCAGCCCTCATCGGTGTCGGGTGCGAATACTCTGAAACCCTTGCGTGTACGCGAGCGAGTCCACAGCGCGAAGAGATCCTTGGTGAGCCTGTTGAGATCGAGGGGTGACTGTCCGAGGAGACGCTCAGCCTTGGGGCGGTTGGTCCAGACCCTGAACCAGAGCGAGAAACGCTGGCACAGGGCCTCGAAGCACCATTCAGTGCTCACTTGCATGGCCGAAGAAACCAGGGCCTCAAGACACACGGGCGCATGGACTTCAAGGACACCGACAAAGTTGCGCTTGATCATGTCGTTGAGAACCATGTTGCCCGTATCCTTCATCTGAAGCAGTTTCGCGCATGCATCGTCCATGCGGAGGACACAACAGGCAAGGTAGAGGACGGTGACGCCGTTGAGGCCCTTCAGGCACACCTCCTTGGCGCCCTTCACACCTGGTGGAGGGGCGAAACCGACCTTGGTCCAGTCCTCGGCAGCGGCAATGTCAACTTCGCAACCGGTATGGCAGGCGAAGAGCCTCTTGGCATCCGTGTCCTGGAAGCTGGGCTCCAAAACCATCACACCGATTGCTGCCGTTAAGGGTGCCCCGAACTCGACAGGGAGAGTCAGCGAGGGTCGGTGGAGGTAGAAGATCCAGGGCCCGTAGTCCTCTTCGCTCGAGCCAGGGTTGGACTGCTGGCGGCGCTTCAACGTGATTACGGCACCGTTCAATCCACTGGGAGCGCGGCTCGGGCCGAAGATGGTGTAGTTCTTGGCATACGTGAGGTAGGAGGGGAAGATTGCCCAGGGAAGAAACTGGCCGTACGACAGCACCCAGAGCTTGTTGCTTGCCTCATGGACGTACTTCTTCCATCCTGCGCATAAGGTGTTCTCGTAGTGCTTCTCCAACCAGCGATTTTTGATCCAGCTCAACGCATGGGTGGACTCGACGACGTGGTCGTACGCCCAGACCGTCTCATCAAGCAGTCGGCACGTGGCGAGAGGAAGACTTGCCGGTGTCGCAGTATTGCTGCTTCCGCTGCTTCCAGAAGCACACTTGCAGCTGGAGCTCGGTCTTTTGCCGGTCTTCTCGAAGTCGGTGATGATCTTCACGAGATTCGGGATCGAGATGCTCGACAGCCTCTGAAAGTACGTCTCAACGGGTTCGCACACAAGGCACGGCACGAGTCCTTCAAGCCACTCGATAGCCGGGTCTGGGGTCAGCTCGAGCGTGCCAGTCACCGAAGCGGCTGTTGCTCACCGCCAATCGAGCTCCAAGGGAAGTCAGGGTATCCGAAGGAGCGACCTGGGGGGTTCTGGGAGTCGCCCATGGTGCCGATGGTGAGCAGGGTCTAAGTGATGGTGAGCAGGGAACGGGGAAGGATAAGCGGGAGAGGCAAGTGGTGACATATGCCGCTGGGTGGTATACGACATCCAGGGTAGAGCGCACATGCTCGCCTGATGATGCACCGCCTGTGCCGGTCTGTGCAGCGATGGACAGTCAATCAAGGGGTCGTTGGTATCAGCATCTGGCTTGAGCTCCCCGCCGAGAGCGCCCCCGGCAGGCCGGCAGGGCCACGACAAATGCGCCTCCCATGCTCGTACGCCCTCCGCCCTGACGCAGCTCTCTCGCCTGCAGCAGCGCTCTGGGAAACGCTCGGATATTTAGGATCGGCATTCAAATCCCCTCAGTCGGCCCGAGCTCGGACGACCCTGAGATTAGATCGGCATCGGCTGTTGCCCCTGACCACTCTGGCTTTGATTCGGAATCGGAAGGGAACCTTAAACAGGTCGCCGTTTTCTGCTTATTGCACGCAGTGGAAGCGGATGCCTGCATATCATGAAACACACAGCTTTACGGTACCTTGCAGTTTGGACGCTGCGCGCAACTCTGCCCCTCGAAACGAGGAGCCAAGCCGACTGGGCTAACGGGCACCGCTGACCCATGGTCTGGACCCTGGTCCGCATCGTTGTTGAACGGCAGAACAACAGCCCAGCGAGGCTGCAACAGCTCCACAATTCTGCACCTCCACCAGACCACAACTCAGCGCAAGTGATGCGTGATACCTCCGCCCCCTATCGTCAACAAGCGAACGATTGCATTTCGACGAGTCATTAAGTTCGCTGCAAACGTGTTCAAGCCAGTGAACACGAACGTGATGCTATCTACACACCGGTGACCTTAGCGCGACAGTGGATGTCCAGGTCTCCATCATCGACAAACTGATGTCAGCTGTGGTGGTTCTGGTGACTCACCTTTATGTTACCTTGCGGAGTGCGCACAAGGTGGCGCCCAGCTGCAACGGCTCCATCGAGAATTTGGACGATCTCTCCTCCTTTCACAGGCATAGACTTTCCAGCCTTGTGGCTACCCCTCATTTCGCCAATCCCAACCCACTGCCCTGCTTCGGGAGACACTTCAGCCGCTAGGCTAGGTAGACCCCAACACGGGAGGTTGCGCGTGATCACTGCTGTGGTGATGGACAGCGCGCTGACAATGAGAAGGTGAAGGGAGATGGATGTTAGGGCCTGTTTCGTGGTTGTAGAGCGAGGTTGCGCTTGATTCTCGCTGCAATCGATGCCGAGGAGATCACAACGCTTACGGGTAATGTCCTGCTTGAGTGAACTGCTGTTCCATCCGCCATCATAACGCAGCCTTCCTCCTGTAATCGACACAAAGAACGAACGGTAGAAAGAGCGATAGAATACGAGGTGATGTGAGGGGTCGCAGGGTTTCTCCGCGGAAGGTGTCAAGCGAGAACACACCTCAGTGTGAGGTTGGTATACCTGCTGGATTGTTTCGGCTGAAGCCGTCTGCAGAAGCTTGGCCAAGTATTGCTTGCAAGACGCAAGTGCCGATCCCGAGATGAAGTGATCATTACCACATAGCTTTTGAGCAGTTGAGCAGAGATTCTCGACAACATTCCAGGCATGTGCGACGCCCTTCTTATGAGCGGGAGTGCTGGAGCTTGGTTCCAAGAGCAACACAGTGGCGGTTCCAGAGGCACAGCCATGCAGAATACCACTGAGCTCGACATCGTGACCTTTGAGGCTGCGCTCGTTGTCGTTGAATGAGGTGATGAGGGTCGACATAGTTGAGAGTTGGAGTTCTGGCTCAATGAGGTCCTCGATCCCTCGAAAGCCTGGAGGGGGGTGAGGTGCGGATGGTCCGATGTCGTGACAGCGCATCCATGCATCGAGAAACAGTGACAACTTTGAGACGACCTGCACCGAGTTGGACTGAGCCGTGTTGTCAAGACACCAGCCTTTGATGAGCGAACGGGCGTCCCGCTCTTGCATCAGCCAGCCGAGACCGTATTCAGCCATGTCGCGAAGAATGACCAGCCCGGTAACCTCCATGTCGAGAAGCTTATTCACAGAGCTTTCCGCGCCGAGGATCAAGCATGCGATGAACAAAACCGTAAGGCCGTTCAATGACGACAATGCGATCGCGGGACAGGGTGAGGAGGGGGCTTCATCGCCTGCGGATGACGTGTCTCCGTGCTGAGCAGAACCTGGCGACTCCACCATGACGTCGATTGCACAGTCGAAACTGCCGTAAAGATCCATCGCGACCTCATCGGTAAACTCGTTATGACCAACCATAACGCCAACCGCATGCGTGAGGGGAGGGAAGGAAGCCACGTGAAAGTTCTCCTTCTGGCGGTAAAGATACTGCAGCCACCTCTCACGAGTGGCGACGGATAAACGAGCTATCTCCAGTGACAACTGGGAGCATGACTTGAGGCGGATAGAGAGTCCAAGACCATCGAGTGGACCGAAGATGCTGCTTGCCGCGGTCTTGACGTTGCTGGGTGGAGGGAAGGTGGCCATTGTCGATTCGGGGTTCATGCGCTTGAGGGTAAGCCGCTCCAAAACACGGCGCAGGACCCAGTCCAAGGCCTCGGTGCTGTCCTGCAGATCGAACGGCCACTCGTTAGACTCTGAGAGAATACAAGTAGCTTCCGGGGGGTTAAGATGGGCTTCCCATTCCGCTATCGAGGAAGTGTCGAGCAAGGGGGAATCAGGCGAGCTCGAAGGGAAGTGTTCATCCTCCTCAGTGGATACGCTTGAAGGTTCGAGATACCTCAAAAGCAACGTCGAGAGAGGCTTGTCAAAAGGATGGTGGCTGCGCTGTTGTCGGTCCCGGAGCCAATCTCTGAGACTGTCTGAACATGTCAGCTAAACGGAGGATGAGAAGAAGAGAGTACGACTCACTGGAGACGTAAAAGCACAGCTTGGGCTCGACCATTGCGGATGACGCAGACACGTACGTGCTTCAAGTTGGGGAGTGCAATGCCGGGTGGGTGTGAGCGTGGATGAACCTCGTGGAGAGGTAATGGGAGAGTTGCTAGCCAGCGACCACTGTTTGCGCACACCGGTGTTGTGATCAATGTCTGCGCAGAACCCCGCTGTCCGCACAGTGAGCGTATGCCTCGAAGGGTCACTAGCGTATTGCGCACTAGGAATGAAACAGCCGGGCGCGCGGGCGCGCGTTCAGGAAGTTGAGCTGCGCGGACTCGGTGATTGGGTTTTGCGCCCGTCAGGCCATTTCCGGTAGCCTGCTTTGGGCGTCACATCACAGCCGTTGCAGCATCCTCACACGTCATCTCATGCAAGCCCCGTGCAGCCATCATTTATCGTGCATGATGCTCTGGACTCGTTGCTAACAGCTGGAACACTTCGCTGCGGATGAAGATGCGGTAGGTGGCTTATGGCCTCCTTTCTCGCAGCATGCAAGGTAGCCTCACCGCAACGACCTTCCCGAAGCCGTTACCTGTCATGGCTGTCATGACTGCAGTGATGCAGTGTGAATAGCATTGGCAAAAACGCCTTGCAGGCTCCAATACCCTCACGACCGGAGCTTAGCCAGGGCGTAGAGGGCGCGGAGCTCGGAGGGCACTTAGATCGGAGGAAGAGCTCCCCACATCTCCACTAGACGAGTCAATCACAAAGTCTTGAGGATGATCGACGATTCACCACGGAGTCAACGAATCGGATGAACGGTCCGAGTTTGGAAGGAAGACACTATCGATCAACATCGGAGCTATCGCAGTCGACTCCATCCTCAACGCCGGGAGGCCACGGCACTGTACTTGATCAACACGCTACACGTGCACCCAGTGCTCCGTGCAGAGTAGTAGATCGTGGTTGACTCTGCATTCGAATCGCACAGCTGCACAGCTTGCACAGCTGGAGGGAGCTAGAGGCCCGGACTGGGCGATGCCCTGAGCGCCCGTGCACTGTCCCTTAGACGATCAGCTTAACGCCCTTGGTCACAACCTGTACGAGCGGAGCTGACATGGCGAGCACGCGAGCATGGGAACACCAATGCAGGAGTGAACGGTGCTGGGAGTGAAAGGTGCTGCAGAAGGCAGAAGTGATGCATGCGGGTCGTTTCTTCTGTTTACGAAAGCCGTGCGGACGAGTTTGGGAGCACGCTGAGCTGATCGGCCGAACATTTGACTGGACTGCCAGCGCCGCTGCGATTATGCGACTCAAGTGCTCGTCAATCACCAGGACACGCTTCCTCGGACTTGTCGGCTCTTGAACCGGGTTTCTGGATACGATGTGTTAGTGAACCTGCGACGTCCGGCAACTGTCACGTGTGGGGGCATCACTTCCCCCATCCGCGACACACGATGCCAGGTCATCGGCCAAAGCATGCACCGTCTGGTCACAGTGAGACCAGCTCCTGAAGTTGTTCCTCGACAGTCCGTCAACACTTCAGTTTGCACTCCAGCTCACAGGCCGACATGCCAGGAATTTCATCTCCCTCATCTCAGACAAGATTTGGGCATAGAACCCATTCGATAATCGCACCCGAATGCCCATGGCATCACATCGGGGGTGCGTGCCAATGCCAATGTGCAGCCGAGCTAACAACAGATGAGCTAGTGGACTGGCTCAGCAACCTCGTACCCTGTCCGTCATGCCAGACCGTCGAAGACTATCTCCGCTCCCTGCTGCGCCCGTCGATTCCTAATCTCATCCAGATCATTGAGCAGTACGAGGCTTCTGGAAAGAAACCCGCTCCGACATGCCAGTGTGCAGCTAGTCAACCGCAGCCAGCGCCAACAGAGCCTGCCCCCCTTCCCGAAGCGACCTGCCTCCTGAACGAAGACGACGACTGGGTCTTCAACATCGTGACGCCCTCCACCGCCTGCGTGCAGTGGATCAAGGACCGCCTGCAGGAGACGTACATCGAACAGACCCTGAGGACGAGCTGGAAGAGATACATGAACTTCTTCGACGTGCAGAACAAGCTGTGGGCCACAGCGAACACGGGTTTTACGCCCTGGGCCCAGTTCCCCCGTAAGAAGAGCCCGCTCGTGCCGCAGACAGTCAGCGACATCACCTTCGGACCCTGCGAGCTGGGGCCCAAGCAACACCGCAGCCTGAACATTGTGCTCAAGTGGGCGCAGCTCGACACCAAGGTTTCCGAGAAAGCCCTACGGTGGCTGTACTACCTGGACCGCCCAGCCGCGAGACCCGTCGAGTATAACCGCGGTCCGCCTTTGACTCCGTCGATCGGAACCATGGTCCGCCAGCCTGATTTCCAGGATGAAGATGCCCTCGCTCTGTGGGCCAACTGTACCGACTGCGAGGTCCTCGTCAACACCGAGGCGGACCTGTCTTGGGGCAACTTTGAACGTTCCGCGGAGAAGACACGCCAGCTGCAAGGACTCCAAGGGGTCACAGTGCTCTTCCTCGGCTGTGTTGTGATCAACGACAATGCCGCGTGCAGCAAGCTCCTTTTGATGAGGGAAACCGGCTACTGGATCCTCGAGGACCTGATCCGGCACGATTTCCTAGATGTTCTGGATGGGAGGTTTGACGACTGTCTTCTGCCTCTTCTGCAGACAGCTATGACTGCAGGTCCTGAATGGAGTCTCCAGGAGCTCTGCGAACACCTATCCCGCTGGTTCATTGTTTGGACCCGACTGTCAGGCTACGATGGCTCGCCTTCCCACAGCCACACGGCTTTCAAGGCTCTTCTGGTGTACCTTTCGAACATCGCAACTTCCGAGCGCGGTAGTGGTGCACGTCGTCTGTTTGCCCCTCAAACGTCTGAGGGATGGGAAGACACAGCCGATGTGGCGGCCATGGGAACTGTGTATGGTTGTGCAGTAGGCACGTTGACGATGCTGTCTCTGAAAAGCATCACAGAGCGCATGCAGCTTTCCGACGTACCACCCTCGCCCGTCAAAACGAACGCGGAATCACCCCAGCTTGGCAGCAAGATTTTGCAGGCAATCTTGTCCTCAAACCAGGATACCTGTGGCGCAGACGAATCTGTCCTCATGGGGGGATCCAGCTGCAAACTGCCGCCACAGTATCACGGCGACGTATTGGCATTGTCTCGCTTTCTTCAACATCTCCGAGCAAGCGTCAATTCCGTTGCTCTATCCTATCAGAGTGTTTTGGACGGCGAGCGCCTCGTTCAGGCAATCCAAGCCGCCTTCTCATCCGTCGTCGCGAAGCACGTATCTCTGGAGAATACCAGCGTCCATCAATTCTTCGGAACAGAGCACATGGCCCCTATGACGGGCACCGGTCACCATGCATCGTTTCGGGACGAACTTGCTCGATGGTACAACGCCGGGTTCGCCGTGGAGGCCTTCCGGGACCTGGCTTCCTTGGAAGTTTGTAACCACTCCGAGGAAGATCTCAGAACCGACTCTCGTTTCCACGATTGTTGGGCAGGAGAAGCTTCGAGACCCACCCGATCGGACGATGAGCCGCCTGCAGCCGACACAGACTGGCAGCCTTCGGAAGGCCACCAACCACTAGGAACGGCCCCGGTTGTCACTGCGACGCCTTGGATACCTCGCACCAGCACACCTGAGCTCATGTTGGGCTCCGCGGCCGGCTCAGTTACCCCAGGATCCTCCGGCGGACCAGTAACTCCGTCGACATCGATCTGCTCTCGCTCTCCCAAGTCATCGCTGGCACCTGAGACATTGGGCACGCGGTCGGCAGCTCCTCCTTCCCGCCTGACGGTCGACGATGGCATTCCTCCGCACAATGTTGTGAAGGTGAAGAAAACGGAGAAACAGAATAGCCTGATGGCTGTCGTCGAATCTGCCAGCAGTCCAGAGGTTCCCGCGCGCAAGGTGATGGGGGCAGCCCATCCGGGAGATGTTGAACCCTCCACGGCGAATGTGGTCGAGACGTACCTGCCCAACCACCCAGAAACAATCACCACTTCTCCTCCAGTTCCCGACATCCCAGGAACGAGGAGGGCGGGCAGTCTCTCAGAGGAGAGCACTCAGGGAGCGGTCGGCCATGTGCATGTCAAGCCCGGATGGAAGGCACTCGTGTTCGTCTTGGCTTCGGCTGTATCGGCCTTTCTGGTCGGCATGTGCTTGGGCGCCTACTTCCAATCTCGCAACGCTTATTCCACACTCCCCAGTCACCATCACACACAGATGCCGGCAGCACGAGTGCGAGATGCGTTCACCTGGGGCGGCTCCACAACATATAGCAGAGGAAGTATTGTGTGCATTGTTGGCTCTCCCATGGAGGGTTTCTACGAGGTTCTCAACATCAAGGGCGACAGGGATGTGAGTACCCTTCCTGCTGCGGAACGAAACTGACAGCAGATCATCCCAGCCAGCCAGCTCGATATGATCTGATCGCGCGGGTCATCGACCTGACGGTGAGCACTACTTGTGGAGCTCTTCGCCGCGACGACTCCTCGAACTTTGTGGTCCCACCGGCTCAAGAGCTCGTTTAGTTCTATACCCGATCATATTCTACCTGCGACAGCGTCAGAATACGATGGACGCTTGACACCCAACACCCCCTGGGTCTGCATACCTCAGTCGCCTCATTTGTCCCCGATTCAAATCTGTATACCTCGATATCATGCATGTTCAGTGTGATGTCAATATGCTGGTTTAGTGCATACGCTAACTGGCCCCACGGGTGATTATCTGAAGAGGCCACTGTCATTCACCTGTAGATATGTGCATCTTCGGAACAATTTGGAGTGGTGGTAGGTCGTGGGGAATGCTTATGCTCCGTTCTGGGTCCAGGTCGGAGTTGAATCTCGTGAGAAGCGGCGGAGATGGAGGAGGGCGTAATCTTATCGGCGACCCTGAACCGGGCCGACCCCGGATCCAGACCGCGATCCTGGTCGGAACCAAATCTTGTATAGCGAGTCTTCAACGGTTGTAAAGGCGGTGGCGAGCTAGCTAGCCAGGTGGGAAGCGGTACCTTCTCGGGACAGTCGTGCGTGGTCACTGCATGATGGAGGCGATATGCGAGCACTGCCGCTAAAAACAGTAAGCTTCTGTTTAGTGTTGCATCGGCGGCGGCACCATGCCGTCTTACGCAGCCAGCAGACAGAGCTCACCGCCCCCGAACCTTCGGCTTGAGCCTGACCGTGTTTGTCCGAGACTGCCGTTTGCAGCATGGCAACGCCCGAGCAGATGCGCAGGAGAAAGGCGTACCGAGCACGCACCTCCTACTCTGTCGATCTGGTGAAGATTGGGCAACCTAACGGGGAAGTGGGCGCCTGGGGCTTCCACGGCCAGGCCCACGGCGATTGAGATCTCATGCGCAGGGCGTGTCTGAGAGGTGAGTGCATACGTGCATGGGTGCCTCATACGCACCTCACGAGGCTGATCCGGTGAGTTTGCGGCCCGGGGACACCCTCCTTTCCTCCTTCCCCACCTCATCAGCTGTGAACAACGGGTGTGGTACGCAATATGAAGTCTCCTTGACGTTGCATTCGCCCGGTGCGCCGATGAAGATGTGCCGGTCTTAACGAGCCGCGAGCAGGGCCAGTCACAAAGCGGAACATCAACAGTGTGGAGGGCGCATGGTTGCGGAGCGCAGACTTGGTTTGAACCCGCTGATCTCTTTGACCCAGTCAACCCCGTCAGACACGTGCGCCCCGCCTTAGCTCCAAAGGAGCCCCCGCAAAGTACACGTAACAAGCTGCGTCGGCAGCGCTGGCCTTCTTCACATTCGCACATTCACTCGTTCAATACTCTAAACAGCGACTCTTCGACTCCGATCCGAGCGACATAAAGGCCTTTTCGGTCTCTGTCGACTGCAAACGGGAGAGATGTCTGCTTCATTATGGTTTTACGTCTCGCGTGAGTACTATTGTCTGTCGGCCGACACTTTTTCAGAGGATGGTTCCTGATTCCTGACGTCTCAGCCGCTGTGCGGGCTGGTGTGACCGACCTCCAGCGACAGTCACGTGAGCAGAACTGTCCCAGCGCTCCTGTCTTCGAATGGATTAGCGGCCTCCTAAACGAATCATTTGCGGTAAACAAGGTCGACCGGGGGAGGAAGGCGTACCTGGACCCACAACTTCCACCCGCTACGGCCTTGCTATCCTTACGGCGGTTTGAGCAACGCGAGCCCCTGGCAGCCATGGTAGGGCTCCCGAAGGGGACATGCATTCTCTCGGATACGGGTGACTGGCCCTTCGATCTGCAGGACAGCGATGGAGCAGTTCACTGGGTTTTTAGGCGAGCGCAGGAGCAGCTGAGTCTGCAGTGCCTCCCAGAGGACTCTGCCACGGCGACTTTCCCTCGAGCTGGTGAGATAACCGGTACTCACTTCGGCCCGTTCAACAATGTCGGACTCGTCATGGATCTGCAAGAGTGCAAAGACTTGTCACCAGAGCTTGCTCGGCTCTCCGTCCCGACTCGCGAGATGTGGCACCGGTACCTGAAGCGGTCTGGGCCAGTGGACATCACCCGGTTCCCACCAATCAACCATACTGTCGGTGTCATGGTCGGTCATGAAGAATTCACGGATGAGGTGGCCATGGACGTCTACGGTGCTTTCAGCTGCACAGTGGAGCTGTCGGTCCTGAACGATCTGCTTCCCGCCTTCGACTCCACTTCCGCAGCTGACTGCAAGCGTCTGCCGTCTTCCAGAGGTGCAGTTCACCTATCTCCTTTGAATGGCGCTACTGTGCTTCTCATCGCCTGTCGTCTACTTCAGGCCGAAAGCGCCGTGCATAAGCTTCTCGACATGGACGTTACCGGCATGGTTATTCTGCACGATCTGGCCGAGTACGGCCTCGGCTGGATAATGCATGAACGAGACATGCAAGCCATCGTCACCCGATGGCTCCAGGGCACCGACTACTACATCGGCAATCCGCCACCGGTCCCGAAACTGTCGCTACTCCTCAATGCGTGGATGACGCGCAAGTGCGGTATTACCAGCGCCAGAAAGATGATTACCCCAATGCTTCGGTACCGCCAGGCGGAGATCCTTGCCCCATCAATCGACGTTGGTAACGACGCGAAGCACAGCAGCATCCGAAGCGGTATCTTCTGTGGCAGCGCCTGCGGAGCTGCCATTGCACTGGCGGTCTGTCAACTTTCACTCGACGCCGATGGGAACACGCCAGCACATGTTGACGAATGGGTCGAGAAGCTGATCAGAACCGCACAGGCGACCACCAGCAACACTCTGCTCTCAGAATCAGCGGCGGAGATGTGCAAGGGATTCTTGGAGAAGAGTCTTCACGGCGCCACCTCGCAAGACCTGAAGGAGTTTGACCAGCTCCGCAACGAGGCCATGGGCAAACGCAGCAGCGTCAGTAGGAAGGGCGCTGAACCCTGGTTTGACCAACACTTCTACCGCGCCTTCTTCGTCTCCCTCACAGATGGCCGCATCCGAGACACAGGAGAAGGACCACTGGAATGGTGTGATCCTCTGCGTGATGAGACCGAGCTCCGACGCCGTGCACTTATCGGCGTGCCGTGTGACCACGGCTCTGGCAATGCCGCGGCTGACGTTACTTTTCGTTTCCTTGCTGTGTTCGCCGTTTCGCTGGGTGCCGTTGTATTCTTGCGTTCGTACTCCCATTTCAACCCCACAAGCGACGCACCGTGTTCGACAACCCAGCAAGAGCTCAACATGACCATGGTCAAGGGTATCAGCCGCCTCACCCAGACCGTCAATGTTGGTCCGGGCCTCACGCTCAAGCGAGGTGATCTGGTTTACTTGCTGTCCGACAACTTGGGGAGCTGGTGCAAGGTGGCCACGAAGGAGGGTGCTATCGGGGTGAGTGCTACGCTGCGACCGTACTAACTGCAGCTGGTCCTGGAACGTCTTCTCATTCATCAGTGCTAGCTATTCAAAACAGAGCACAAACACCCTTGTGCACTTTCCACTATCACGACAATGTCAGCATGATGACTTCTGGTGCAGTGATCGTTTTCCCAGGTCTTCTTCGTTAATGAACGTTGTTTGAGATGCATCATGTTTTGTGCACGCTCATGAATCCGTGGCAGATTTCCTCTGATGCAACTCGTTTATCGCAGGGACTGTCAATCACCATCGCAAACCGCCATCAGTGAGAACAGGAGGGCTTGAGACCCTGAGCCCCACCCTTTGCATCAGCGTCTGGCGCCTCTCCAAGTCTTTGTACATCGAAGCCTGAGCGGACGACAGACTGAGACGTCGAATAACGGACATCTATGCTTGATAGGGACGCGACGGTCACAGACCATGATCGCCTGGGGCTGAAACCGGCGTGTAGGAGCTCTGTGCATGGTCCGCGACATCGTTGGGCGGGGAGCGGCGGTCCCTGAAACCTTTGTTTTGGATCTAGGCCCACGCCACTGCGTGGGCCTAGATCCCTGTCATTGATCGACATGGGGGCTTGTTCCTGATCGCCGGGACGCCCAGCCAGGGTTTTGACCCTGCCGATCTAATATCAAACATCGCCGTGGTCCAAGCTTGACACAGAGCTGGAGACCGGGTGCCCTTTGAGCTGTCATTGTTCGCTCATGCAGTCCTGTTCACCACCAAACTGTACTCATTGTCAGCCTTCTCTTCACCGCATTCGACTGGGGTTTACGACAACAATCTCGCGCACTGCTGGCACAATGGGAGACACTCACCTGCATCTTAGTCACACCCACGACATTGTCTCGCCCGACTTCCCGTGGGTCTCGATCAGTGGTGCGTTGGGGAACAGTTGCGAGTCCAACCCAGCCGATGGTCTGGCGGGAATCTGATCTGACAGCAGACGCCATAGTCACCTGGCTAGAAGACATCGTGCCCTGCAGCGATTGCGAGTCACTGAAGGAATATCTGTGCCGGCGGTCCATTCAGCAACTTCTCACTCGCCTCCAAATCTTCGAGGACACGGGGCAAACCGAAACCGCCGACTGCAAATGTGCATCTCCCAGCAGCATTACTGTGCAGCCTCCACCCGATGCTGCCTGTCGCTTGCACGCCGAAGAATGGCTGTTTGATCTCGAGAAGTTGTCACCCGAAGCCCTGCAGTGGATCAAAAACCGCCTGATCGAGAAGGATGTCGAGGCTAAGATGGAAGTCGCCTGGAAGCAATACCTCGAGCGCCGCACCAACCTCGTCTGGTCTATGTGCTGTGCCGCCTTCGTCTCTTGGGGCCTGTTCCCGAGCAAGGCTGATGTCTTCGCCTGCTGGAGCCGTGAGACTCTGTTCGGACCCGGCCCCAGTCTCGCCGGTACTGCAGGAGTCGTCATGCGTCTCAAGAGTCGTCACTCCAAGACCGATGACCCCGGTGACAACCACTGGTTGTCGTACCTCGCACGCCCCTCGGTCGACGTCGAGGCCAGCTGCGTTCCTCCGCTCACTCCTGCAGTCGGCGTCATGGTGGCTGAACCAGCTTTCCTCGACACTGCTGCAGGAGAGCTTTTTGCCTCATATGCTAAATATGATGTGGAGGTTGCTGCCGCCGATACATGGAAGACTGCCGGCTTCTCCACTTCTGCTTGCGTCAAGGATAGCAAGTGGGTCAAGCTCGACGGCATCAAGGGCGCAACTGTGCTCTTTCTGGGCTGCTGCGTGATTCGTGACTCCGAGGCTTGCGCAAAGCTCCTCAAGCTCCGAGACGCCGGGGAGGACATCCTCACCGATCTCACCAACAAGAAGCTCGTCGGCCCACTTGAGCCCGTCCATGGAGCTTGTCTTCGTTCCCTTTTCGAAGAGGCGTTGGAGGTTAGCACCGACTGGAGCTTCGAGCGGGTGTGCCAGCGTCTCACCCTCTGGTTCACTGCCTGGATCACACGACCCAAAGCTGAGTACCTCTTTCATCTGCCCGATCTTCCCGCAGAGGAGATCCTGAAGGGTGCCCTCAGCCTTTGCAATGCTTGGACTCGCGAACGTAACCGACTCTTTGCCCCCAAGACCGTTGAGGGCTGGGAAGATGCTGCCGAGCTCTCGGCCATGGCGGCGTGGTACGGCTCCGCAGTCGGAGCTGTCACTATGGCCTGTCTGATAAAGACCGAGGAGAGAGTCCGCAAGATGGACCGCACCAAACGCGCGGCTGACCTAATGGAGGAATGGCTCCAGAATGGTCTCTCAATTGTCGGAGGTGTGCTGCTCGGCGCTGAGCTATCAGTCGAGTTCGCAGTCTCGAAGCGCGAGCTCCTCAATCTCCTCAATGCCAAAGCCAAGAAGAAGATTCAGGATGACCTTACCACCCTCATCGACCTTCTTCGCCATGTCCGTGCCGTCCTGAGGTCCGTTGGACGAGTCTATGCTCGGCATTTCGACAGCGCCACCTTCAACAAGGTGTTCCAGCAAGCGTTCTGTTGTGCAGTCACCCATCATCAAGTTACCGCGAAAGATGTCATTTCCTTCTTCTCAGGCTCCTTTGCGTCAGGCGAGCTCAGCTCGCTGCGTGACGGCAACGTCACCCACTACTACGCCCAATGGGGCCGATTCATCTTCGAGGATCTCACCAAGCTCAGAGTCGTCGATTACTCCGAGGAAGATTTGAGGACCAACATCCGCTTCAGGGATTGCTGGTCGACTTCCGCTGCAACTCTCTGCCCCCCTAGCAGCCCACACTCGGCGACGCCCTCCGCGCAATCGCTGTCCTCGACTCAATCAGCAAGTCCTGATCTGATGCAGATGACCTCAACTGCCGGCATCCGCACCACCCCCACTGCGCCTGTTCTTCCAGCGCCGCCCAGTCCGCCAGCTGCCCCCGGCCCTCCAGCCGTGCCCGCTCGTACAGCCGCGCCCGCTCGTCCACCCTCGCCTAGCCCGCCCGACGCCCCTTCCGCATCTCCAGTGCCCGCTGCGCCCGTTCCACACGTGTCGAGGCCCGTCGTCGTCCCGACCCCTGCTCGGAACTTGCCCCGTGCGCCTGCACAGCCCGTCGCGAGGGGCTGGCGCATCTGCCTTCGTGACCCCTTGCCGCCATTGTGCCCTACTGGTGGTCGGCGCCCGCTCCTTTTGGTCCAAGCTCCTGCACCGCAATCTCCAAGGAGTGCATTGTTACATATCCTTCTGAGATCGCCGACGGCCTGTTCGTCTCGAGGGGTGACGTGGTGAAGATCACTGGGGAAACTTCCCCTGGATGGCGCGGGGTCAGGATCAAAAGCTCAGGGCAGCCCGGAGTGAGTCTCTGAGATGGTGATGTGGCTGACTGCAGAACATCCCTCGAGGATACCTTGCGGAAGTTTGAGCACCACGAAATGATGTTTACAGTATGACGCTAGCGTAGATTGTACTGTGAATACATGAGCTCTGATACTGAAATTCCTCTCTTCGAGAGCCTGGTAAGTGGGTGGAGTTCACGACTGTGTATTCGCCATACCATATAGCTAAGGAACAATGCGATAACTTGTCATTTAGACCATGTACACTGTGTCGAAACTCGAATCAAGGCTGACAGTGCTGTGGGAGTCCATAGCCTTAGCTGCCTCGATCAAACAGTCAGGCGCTGTGCACAGCCCCCAGTCGCACATCCGTAGCCCGTCCGACTTCAGCTGTGCGCTAACGCTCTAGCTTACCTGAGCATTTCTGGGCCTGGGCCTGGGCCCGATCTCATCTAGTCGACGGTCCCTTGTCAACGGCTACATGGCTTCAGGCCCTCTAGACACATGGCTTGGGGCCTACGGTATGCAGTAGTTAGGCATTGGCACCATGCCCTGTCGCTGACCCATCGACGTATGCATATGCATGCCTGACGGCTTTAAGCTGGACCTTCCCATGAGTTCACGGATGCGGGAGTCTGGAATTGGAATCGCTGAAAGTGACTGCTTGACCACCTTCGACCACTTTGGGGTGGTGGTGCCTGGAGAAAGCACCCGGCACTTCTTCGCTAACCATTACAGCAATGCGGGGCATACAGTAGGTGCGTACAACTCGTCTTCAACACAACTCGTCTTCAACTCCACTCGCGCTTAACCATCCACTCTTGGAGGTGAAAAACTCGAACTCAACGTGCGATCATGTGCGACAAGCCGCATATTGTACCCAATACTCGCAATTCTCTACGGGCTCCGGACTTTCCCTGGGCCTCGATCGGTGGTGCGTGGCGTAGCAGCCCGCAACGCTAACAGCAGACGAGCTGGTGACATGGTTAGAGGGACTTGTGCCCTGCTTGTCGTGCCAAACCATCGAGAACTATGCGCGGCAGCTTATACGAGTCTCCGCAGCCACACTCCTTGAAGCTATCGTGGACTATGAAATGCGCGGGTCAGTGGTGATGTCCACCTGCCAATGTCTCCCCGTGCAGCGGCCCATCAGGACTCTCCCGCCACCCCCTGCCATCTGCATCCTATCCGAACACTCATCCTGGGCGTTCGATGTCGTGTTCCCCTCAGGTCGAGCCTTACAGTGGATTAAGCAGCGGCTGGAAGAACGTCACGTTCTGGAGAAGATGAGGGCGGCGTGGACCGCATTTGCCCCTAACACCCTTTCAAGTTTCGTCCCACATGCGTCGTTTCGCGATGGCAGTGCATCAGACCTACTTCAAGAAGACTCTCACATCACATTCGGACCATGCATTGGCCGAGGCGCGGGGCTGAAGCTGCTCTCCGAGCACAGCCCCGAGCAGCGCCCCTTGGGGTCCTGGTGGGATACGTTCTTATATCCATATCGGCCTAGCATTCAGTTCCAAGACAAGGCTTCAAGCGCCGCCATGGAAGAGGTCAACATGTCTGTGGGGCGAGAGAGCGACAGCCGCACCAAGCTCAATCTCAGCCATGTCATCGGGGTGATGGTCAAGAGCAAGGATTTCGACGATGTAGACGGTTTGTCCGTCTTTGGAGCATCTCGCAGGTTTTGCGTGGAGGTGTTCCTCTCCGAGGCCGCTGTGTTCTCGTCATTCCCTCTTCTCGCAGAGAGCTTCGACAGACGCAAGATTTCCAGTCTCAGCCAGAATAGAACGCTGAAGGACATCAGCGGTGTCACAGTGCTGTTCCTCGGCTGCTGGGCTATCCAAGATGACGAGGCCTGTGAAAAGCTTTTGAACTTCAGGGATACTGGAGCTGCGATCTTGGAAGACTTGTTGAGCTGTCAATACACCGACATAATCGCGAATAAAGTGTACACATGCGTGCGAAACCTCTGGCAGTCGGCAATGGGTATGAGAAGACCATTGGCATTCCAGGCGCTGTGCCGCCAGCTTGCGCACTGGGCTACCGTACTGTTACGAAAAACAATCCCCATCCCAGAAGCTGAACATTCCGCCTTCGAGAACAATGTTCGCGTCATCTTCAACTTATGGAACTGGCCCGTCAGCCCCGTAGGACCCAGACTTTTCACTCCAGATATCGAGGAGGGTTGGGAAGACACGGCAGAGGTGACGATGATGGGAGTCTTGTATGGCTGCGCCGCTGCCGTCGCCAGCATAGATATTATGGAGAATATCTCACGGGGCGCCAACCGCGATTTCTACGACACGTTACCGCCCAATCTTATGCTTCCGCTCTTCAAGGCCATATTCGATGTCGATGTTCCCGACTGCTCTGAGACGGAGCTGTTGCGACTGCTGAAGACCCACATGCCGAGTGAGAGTCCAGCGAATTTGCAATACAGCAACTCGTGCGATCCATCACTGTTATCTCTCTATCATGGACTGCATCAGGTACGCAGCAACATCCAGGCGATTAGCAAGCACTATGAGGAGCAAGTTGACGGGAATCGACTGTACCATGCCTTCAGGCAGGCATTCTCGTGCGTCATCAGACCATACTCCCGGGAATTGAGTGAAATAAGTGGTAACTTCTTCCGCCCCGATCACCCAGATCTCACTTATCCCGGGAATTACAATTGTCTGAGCGACGGTATGGTCACGCATTACAACCCGGAATACGGGAAGGCGATCTTCAAAGACCTTGCCTCGCTCAGGCTTGAGTGGCCCGACAGGCCTACAACCTCGGGAATCAGATCACGTTTGCGAGATTTGGACATTGTTTCGCCCTTAGCACGTCTGGAGTCCAGTAAACGACAGGTCTTGCAAAAGGGCAGTTCCAGCCCCAACTCAGGCGCTCATCCGCCTCGTTCACTTCTCAGTAACCCTTCCAAGTCCCGTCTCGATATCAACTCTTCGTTGGGCTTGCGTCGAATTTTCACAAGGTTCAGTCCGCTCTCCCGAGGGGACATATCCGGACACGTTGAAAGTCCGGCACAGGTGGACTCATCGCTGAGGACGGCTGGGCATGATTGCCCGCCAGTCACGCACGATCTCGAGGCCGACGTGAACAAGTCGCGGCCACTGGTGTGGGCAAGCCGGCAGAACAAACCTACCCTAAGTCAAAAGCGGATCAATGCCTGGGACTCACGGGATGTAATCTCACAGCACCATCCTGCGCTGGTTTCAGCCTCGCCAGAGGCGTCCTCTTCAACACCACAGTTCCCTTATCCTTCAAACGCCCCTCAGGTTGAATCGGCTGATAGCCCATCGCTCAATCCAGGAACCTCCCATCCATCCCCAACCTCGGACCTCGAGATCACGATACCAGCGGCATCGGACGCGGCCTGGGTTGCTCTACCCGCGTCATATCCGTCAACGGCACCCCAGCCTCCGGCGGCTCCCACGATGGATTTGTCCCTACAGACGTTTTCGAGCCCTATCACTCCGGCTTCTGTCCCCACCCAGGATTCCGAAAAGACCTCCCCCTACTTCTCTCCACAGTTGGGGTCGTCGTGCTCAACGCCTACTCAGCTCGCCCGAGCCCCTTACCCCGAGAACTCGATCACCGTTTCACCTTCCGCCACCACGAACTCCGGGTCGTCCACTGGAGCTGTGGTCCTCCTGATAATTGCCATGCTTTCACCGTCGTCGTTTTCTGCTCCCCTTATCCTTGTCGTTCTGCTTTTGTACTTTGTTCCAGCCTGGTCGAACAGTCAGTGTTCGTCTACGACCAGGTCAGGTCCTGTGCAGAGATCCGGTCAGAACGACCGGTCCAGTTAGATGGATGGTGGCCGCATCATACTGCATTCGTCCGTTTATGACAGAAGGCTGATATTCGTGATAAAATGCCAGTGGCTAAGAGGCAAGATTTGGACGCATGAGGATTCTTGCACAGCTGTGCACAGTACCCGGCAGCGAGGCAGTAAAGGACTGCACCGCAGTACACCGACTCTGCACCTTCAGACTTCCAGCGGATGTTGGAGATAATCACAGTACCAAGGCCATGGTCAGACTTCCAGACACGTCTGCTGGCATCTCTAAGCAGTACACATGGATTGGGGGCGCATTACGCCAGCTTCAAAGGGGATCTTATCAGATCGGCGGTCAGCCGGTTTAAGGCTAGGGCGTACCCTGAAACCTTTGCGAGGTTACGCGGCGGTGCTCCCCAGAGCATACTTTCATGCACCAGCCATGCCCACGTTCGAGGAGCTCGTGCATCTATGCACGACCCATGAGACAGTAGTGCATTTCGCGGCTGCAGGTAGGGTAGTGTGATGCAATCAGCAAGGCCCTGTCGGCAGACATCAGATTAGGCAACCAAAGCACTTGGGCCCCAGGTACGGACATCGGAGGATGAGTCCCTGAATTCTGGAGGCCGGGAGTAAACGAGTACGGGACACCAAGGCTCAACCAACTCTCGCGAAGTGGTTATTCGCCGCGTCACTCCGATAGCCCAAAATGGAGAAGCGCATGAAGGGCAAGGAGGGCCTGCTGCGCCTCGGAGACGCAGGGCAATACCGAAACCGGAACGGCCGCGCAGTCCTAATGTTGATTTGGAAGCCAAAGGTGCCAGACGTCGAGGACCATCGCGACTGCCCGGCTCCGAGCGATATGCTTCGTGCTGGTCTCAGCCGCCAGTTTGCCGATGAGAACCAAACCCATGTGGCTGCTCTTCACAGCAAGCTGACCGCCGTGCGAGACAATCTGCGATCAGTGACAAGAACGTATCAGCATCAATTGGATAGCAGACGGCTTCTTAGAGCTTTTCAATTGGCCTTTCTGTGACGCTGTGCAGGGATACATTTCCATTCCGGAGAGTCTGGTCAAGGAGTACTTCAGTTCCGTCGCACATCTTTGGATGGATGACGACTACCTGACACTCTCCGATGGCACGGTGGGGCATTACGACCGGAGATTCAGTGGGATGATAGTCGAGGATTTGGCGTCCCTTGCAGTGTGCGAATACTCGCAGGAAGATCTTAGGACCGACCAGCGGTTCCGAAAGTGCTGGGCACTAGAAGACTGGGGCCCGGCTCCAGCCGCAGACCCTCAACAGCCCGCCGGCATTGCTAAGGTCCTCCAAAGCTGGATGCAATTGTCGCAATTCTCTTAGGTGCTGCACAACCCGCCTCCGACGACCATTTCAGCCCCTGGGACATTCCCTGCCATCAGCACCGGGCAGCAACAGGCGCTAGCACCTGAGTCAGACTTGTCGTCGTCATCGCGATGCTCTACGCCGCCATCCAGTCCCACCACGGCCGCTCAACCAACGCCCGAGCATTCCGACTTCACCACGTCACACACATCTTCACCTGGCACACACATCTTCACCTGGCGGAACCTCTTTTGAAGCCAGCCACTCCGAAAATGTCGCGAGCGGAGCAACCGCGACATCGTCATCGCGCTCCCGTGCGACCCCCTCCAGTGAAACCGGTACCTCCCGCGATCAATCCACCGCAGCTTCGACGATCTTGCCTTCTACAGTACCAGCACCGATACATTATCGAACTTCTTATGGCGAATCAGGTCGTTGGTCCCTGTATCTGAATTAGGACTGCCGGCTGGGATATCCTGGAGCAACTGTGTCATGACGACCCTCATTGTTGCGGCGGGCTTGGTAGGCTACCGCTTAGGGCAGTCTAAGACGTTTCCTCAGTATGGAGAGTTGTCTGAGCATCAAACTTGGAACGCAGCAGCAGGGCCTGGGTCTCGCTTGTGTGAATCGGATCGTGTAGTCCCCACTACACACCACAAAGAAGTCTGAAGACAGGTTCCGATTAGATGACCCCGAACAGGTCGAGCGACCGTATGGTAATGCACACTTGCACTGCCATTCGAGACTGTGCTTGGCTTATAATATGACAGAGGTTTCAAGTCAGGCAGTTGCAGCATTCCAGCCAACTGTTGTTGTTCCGAAGCCGCAGTTGTTATCAAGCACCATGAGTAGCCCGATGGCACACCCTGGGCCACTGATAGCTTCGCAAGGCTCTGAGAAGCTCTGGCCACACGGTAGCCAAGGGTCTCGAGCATGTGTAGACCCAAGATCTTCGATCTTCGATCTTCGACAAGACGCCCATGTGCGTCTAATTGTCAGCTTGTCACGGTGCAACCATGGTCCTTCTCCCTTTCCACACTTTCCCCGGTTCCCCCAATTATTAACCTGTCAGCTACCTGTCAGTGAGCCCAGTGCTCGGCTGAGCATCAGGTAACATTGTCGAGCCTCACTTCATTTCGCAGAAACGCAGACACTCTTTCACCACGGCACCCTCTCTATGCTGTTCAGATCGCACAGGTAGTCTGAGAAGCATACGCGTGCTAGCACTGTATGAGGCGCAGTGGAGCTTGCGGTCGTTTCGAAGCGCCCGATAGCGCGGTAGCCTTGATCGCCAGTCGACATCCATCCGGTTTTGATGCGATTGTTAAAAGGAGCATGCGCTCTTACGCCCTTACGCCCTTTTCACACGTCCCCACACCCCTACGACTTTGATTCCCGGTTGGTGTCAGCTTCTGTAACGCCCGGTCCGCGCGCTCTGGACGACCACTCCACACTTTGACAACTTCAACCCTCCCTACCCAACTGAAGTCGGCGTAGCAGTCTGCATATGACGCCTGCCAACTATCGACGACCGTCCCCGGCCATGGTGCCCGCATCAGTGCCCAAATTTCCTGAAGGTGTTGGGTCGATCCGTGTGCTGTCCAGCGCAGACAATGCCGCCAAGTACTGGAGCGATTTAGAAGGCATCAAGACGACGAGCAAGAGCTTGCAGCTCAAACCACATGAAGAGCTCGACAAGGAAGGGCACGTTGCTATTCACGGGTCCATCCAGGAATGGCCTTGGCACTATGTCTCTGGTGAGGTTTTGTGTAGTGTACCCACAGCAACAACTAACGAGCAGAGGCTGTGTTCCGCTGGTTGAACGCTCTCGACTTGTGTCGCTCCAAAAGTTTGCTTCGAGTGATCTGGAGTGTCGCTTGGGGTCATCTGGACGCATCGCACACCGAGATTGTCTCTGATTTATGCTCAACGCTTGAGAGTCTGAACCGCGCCGCTTGTCGTAAAGGCACCTTCCCAAAACGCTTCTGCATCTGCGACACACGGTGTGAGCCTCTCTTGGGCGAGCAGCTATTCAACGTGACGTCCAAGCCACCCAAGAACGCCGTTGGGCGGATCTATGGAAATCAAGAGCAACCATGGCCGTTCGATCATCTCAGAGGCGACGACATCATCCCGTGGCTTGCGCGTCGTCTCGGTGAACACTTCTGTCGTACAGCGTGGTGCTCGCCTCGTGCGATCTTTCCACCCGTCGAGTCGGGTGACAATGCTGCCAACCTCTCAGTGATTCTCGACTCTTCCAACGAGTTCGACCCACGCAGCCCTTGCGCCGGTTGGAAAGATCCTTGGATTCGCCTGCTGCACTGTCAGCCTTCGGAGACCTCTGTGCCTCCCAGGGAGGCAAAATGGTTCCTATACCTGGACCGCGACATCCGTTCCGATCACTCTACGGATCGATTCCCTCCCATCTCTTGGGCTTTGTCGACCATCATCGAAGAAGGCATCACTTGCGGCACTATTGCTATGGTCTTTGCCTCCTTCGAAGCGTGCACAGTCGAGATTTTCGCAATGCCACGTGATACATCGATCACAAGCAAGGGCACGACGTTGTCGGATATCAACGGCGTCACTGTCCTCTTCCTGTCTAGAACGTCCCTCAGCCTCGCAACCAGCCTCCTCATCGCTCCTGAAACTAGATCAATCATCTGTGGCAACCTCTCAACAAACCCCGAGGTTCTCGACAGCGAGTACGTTCGCCACGTGCTGTCTGAGTCTCTGACTGTGCTCTTCTCCAGCACTGGAAAGAAACGACTTTTCTCCAACCTTGAGGAGCTTTGCGGTTGCGCCTCACAGCTCCTTCAGCTCTGGCAATGTCGACCTTCTTCTCGTCCAAGTGTCCAGAGTGATTTGTTTGCCTCACTCCTATTAGAACTGAGGTACACCTTGACTGCCCTCTCTGCAGGCGAACAACTTCAGGAACCACCGTTCGAAACACTGGTCTCCTACCGCTACAAAACCAGGACTGCTTCGCCTTGGGTTCATCGTATTGGTGTCCTCTACGGCTGCGCAGTGGGTTCAGTTGCGCTGAGGCACTTGAGCCAATTCGAGCGAGAATCTGAGGTTGTTAGCGGTACCCAGGCCCTCGCTCGCCCTTCGGCCCCACCTGGTGCATCGTTGGCCAGAGCTCTTGCGGACATTGCTGCAGGAGGTATGGACTCAGCGTCATCTGCTCAGCAAGTCTGCGAAGAATCCTTCAATCTTCTCCAGGGCCGCTTGATGGCTACGGGCGCCTCCGACACCGAGCACCTGGCCGTCTTCCTCAACCATAGTCGCGCCAGCCTTCAGTCCGTTCTTGACACTTATGGCGATGCTCTAGACCATGAGCGCCTGATCAGGCAGTTCAGCCAATCATTCTTCTTCACACTTCTGAGTGACGCCCTCATCGGCGGCTCAGGAGAGATTTCGGCCCTGCTTCGAAAGGGACAGAGGGCGGAGGACCTTACGCTACCCGCCAATGTCACTCACGACGAGAATTTGGGTCTGGCTGTACTCCAGGACGTGGCTGCAGTCAAGCAGAGTCAGCATTGTGCTGTTCCACTGGCAACGCTCCTGGCAGCGGAAGAGCAACTTCGCTCGGACAAGAAGCTCTATGTGCAGCGGCTGCTGGGATTAGACGCTGAAGTCAATCCCTCCCTGGACTTGAAGCAGAAGACCGAGTTCGTGGATCTCAGTCCCGCGACGGCCACGCTCAAGACCAAGGACGAGACACCACCTGAAGCCGAATCCGCTTCCGAGAGCCAGGTCGTGACACCGGCTATCCCCCATAACCATTCATCGCCGACGCCAACATCCTCATCTGGATCGATGGATGGAAAGCGGCGTAGTGCGGCTCTCGTACTTTGTGCCGTGCTCCTTTGGCTCTGGTACTTGGTAAGCTTCGCAGATAGCGAGGTCAACCTGGGTAAGCTGCCACTACAGGCTGCACGAGTCCGTCGGTCTGTCACTGGCCTGTCAGCCCTGTACGTGCCTGAGGGAAGTTTTGTTTGTATCGTCCACTCCTCTCCGCACGGCTTCTTGCGTATCCTCAACATCGATGGCCAGATGGACGTGAGTTCGACTGGAAGGGTTTAGCTGATGACAGGATGTTCCCGCCCAACACCTCGAGTTCCTGTGATCTAGCTCCCGAAACCCGCCTTTGTGCCATCAGAACGAAGGATCGATTTCTCGCAGTATTCCCGAACCCCACCCCCTCCCTCCTCCAACGTCCTCGCTCGGTGACACTGAGGAGGTCCTCTCTCACTCCGCACGAAGCCTTTCGCCCCGCGGTTTCCTCCGTCTTTATCTAGTGTCGATGCATTGCCCTTCTTTCGCGAAGCCCGGCGGAATGATATCAGCAGACCTCCATTGGCCCGGGAGATTTGCCGGCTTTGGCCAGCCGCGCAGAGATTCCGGACCATCGTGCACGGTGCCCACGGTCCGAACGCCTTGGGGGCGCGATGGATTGGGGGCGCATTTCGGTGATCCTGGGAAAGGGGGAAGATCTTATCGGACGGAGGACCCTGAAAGGTGATGTCTCAGGCACGGCTCTGTTTCGGGGTTCTGCAATCGACAGACGCCGCCGTAGGGGACACAGGGCGTGAAAGAGTGCGTAGAGATGCACCGCAGAATCTGATGTCTAAAAGGATGTGCCTGCAGAAAGCGCCCGCCGCTCCATACAGGTGATGGTGCGGTGGGGGGCGGTGCAGACCTTCGAACTTCCTACCTAGAACGCCCACATCTTCTGTTGCGTCGTCATTCCTCTTCCTAACCATCCAGTCTCGCAGCGACGGCGTGTCTACCATGTCGCACCTGCCTCCGACACGCAATACCATTCGCGCACCCGATTTCCCATGGGCATCGATCGGAGGTAGGTGGATGTTAGGGCTATGCGATGCGGTGCTAACCACAGACGAGCTGGTCGCGTGGCTGATTGGCATCGTCCCCTGCTTGCGATGCGAAAGCGTTGAAGACTATCTTCGCAAGCTCGTGCGACGTTCCGCTGGGGAGCTACTACAAGCGATTGAGGACTACGAACAGCACGGCCGAGTAGCCCGACCCACATGCGAGTGCCCCGACCGCAATTTACGCCGCTCCAATCGTGCCCCCTCACCGCCGCCCGCAACATGCATCCTGTCCGAAGAGTCGAGTTGGCCGTTCGATCTCCAAAGTCCCTCTGAACAGGCTCTGCATTGGATCAAGCAGCGCTTGCAAGAGCGCCGCGTCTTGGAGAAGATGAAGACCGCATGGACAGCTTACTGTCCCCAGGCCATCCTGAGCTTCGTACCGCAAGCTTCATTTAGGAACAGTACAGCGGCAGACCCTGGGTGCAATCCTCAAACGACATTCGGACCCTGCGGTGACTACGGAGTCGTCCTCAGGCTACTCTCTGAAGACATCGGAAAGCAGAAGCCAGCAGAGACGCGGTGGCATGCGTTCTTGGAACGACCAGGCCCTTGTGTCGCAGACACCACCCTCAGTGGCGTCTTGGATGAACAACGTGACTCGGAAAAGCGGCCCACCGATGCCCATCCCGGTCTCACCCTTAGTCACGTTGTTGCCACCATGGTCATGGATGCAGGCTTCCACGACGAAGACGCTCTGGCTGTCTTCGGCGGCTCCCGTCACTATACCGTGGAGGTGCACCCCTTCAGGACTTCGCCTTCTGGGGCTACGTCAATGCTACCCCACACCACACAGTGCATCAGCCAGCCTACGACCCTAAATGACATCTGCGGCGTGACAGTCTTGTTTCTCGGCTGCTTGGCCCTCAAGAATGAAGAAGCCTGTGATAAGCTCCTAGACATGAGGGATACTGGAGCCGCTATCCTGAAGGATCTGTCCGACGGTCAAGTCGACGGCGTGCTTGGAGACAGAGTGCTTGCGCGCCTCAGGAGGCTCTTCTCATCAGCAATGGGTATGGAGACAGTATGGACTATTGACGCATTAAGCTGTCGTTTATTCACCTGGGCTACCTTCTGGCTTCGGCAGCCCAGTCAGAAGCAAGAAAGGAGCCTCTCGCCGGACGGGCGCTTCACATTCGATATCACCGTCTGCGCTATCTTCCAGCTCTGGAACAATTCGATCAACTCTTGTGGGGACAGACTGTTCACTCCCGATACGACAGAGGGCTGGGAAGATACAGCTGAGGTGACGGGGATGGGGGTTCTATACGGCTGCGCCGTCGCAATTGCCTGCATTCGCTGTCTCAAGGATATTGGGCGAGACACAGACTGTGAACATCCCGAGTCTGATTTCGATACAGCCCCATCCAGCTTCGCACTGTCACTCTTTAAGGCCGCGTTCCAGGTCCATCCTTCCCAGTGTTCCGAGACTGTTCTGATCGGGCAGCTGGCGGCTCTCATCGTGGAAGACGGCACACCTCTGTCCCAGGACATCGACGCTCAATGGTCCACCGTTCTATCGTTGTGTTATGGACTGCAAAATGTACGCCGCAATCTTCAAGCAATCAGCAAGCACTATGAGCAGCAAGTGGACGGCCGCCGCCTCTTCCGAGCTTTCCGACAAAGTTTCTCTTGCATTATCCGACCATACTCAGAGGTGGCAAGTTATCGTAGCGACCACTTCTTCCACCCCGATCAGCCAAGCTCTGCAATTAAGCTCGACAAGTACCGCTTTCTTGGCGACGGGAAGGTTACGCACTACAATCCAGCGTATGGAAAGACAATCTTCCAGGATCTTGCCTCTCAGCGGCTTGAGTGGTCCGACCAGCCCAAAAGCCCGGGGCACAAATCACGCCTGCGAGATATCGACCTCTTCTCGTCGTTGAGACGTCTAGATCTCGCTTTTCGGGATGGTATGGACTCTAAAACTCAGGACGCCGGTTCAGATTTGAAGGAATCTCCTCCTTCTCCCATGAGCCTGTCCATATCTTCAGATCCCACAGCTGAAGATCGCTCTCCAACCGGCTTGCGTCAGATGCTCGCTAGATTCAGACGCCCCTCTCCAAGCAATCAGCCTAGACCCACTAGATCACCGCCTTCCTCACCAACTCCAGAGACAATCTCTTTGATCAGCTCTTCGGACGGTGTCTCCTATTGCGCGGAGTCTCCGTCGGGCTCAGATGGTTCCGACAATGCCCCTATCCTCCCTTACTCATCACTACTACGGACATCTTCTGGCTCGGACATCAGCCAGCGTGAACGGCATGCTTCACTAAGCAGTCACCTCCATGCGCATAGTGCAGATGAGGAGGAGGCGATGGAAGAGGCCAACTCTATCCGTTCCGAAGCTTCGGGGACCAGCTTCAGACCTTCGGCTACACATTACATATCGCCGGAATTGGAGTTGGCAGAAGAGCATGTCTTGATCAAGTCTGTGTCGAATCCGACGATCGACTCAAGCCTCGAAAAACGACGACGGAACCTGCAGCCTAAGACGTCGATGTCCTCCTCTGAAGTAGAACTTAACCGGGACAAGCATCACTCGGCAGCGGAAGCAGGCATGCTGACGCCTGTGGCGGCTTCTATCCGGAGCACGCCGGAGACGACTGAACCAGTGCTGTCTCAGAAGAGAATCAATGCCTGGGATTCCTTGGACGCAGCTTCGCAGTATCATCTGATGACGGCCACTCCGATGTCAGACACACTCTCCACGTCGGCCCCTTCCCCACCGCCTTCCATCCCTCCCGAGCTCGAATCACCGGGTAGCCCCCCGCCTCCACCCTCTGCCTCGCTTCCACCATCAACTCAGGAGCTCACAATCACAATACCTACTTCTCCGGACGCAGCGTGGGTCCCTCTGCCCGTGTCATTCCCGCCAGCATGTCCCAAGCCTGCAGCATCCCCCTCATCTCCTAATTCGCCACTACCGCCCGCCAGCCCCCAGCCGCCTCCTGCACCTCCTCCGGCTATGTTTCCGCGGCCATCTGAGCGCCCCCTTCCTCGACCGCCGATTGCACTTTCTGAAACATCGTCAGCCCCACCAACATACTCAGAGAGCGTGAGATCCACAACATTCTCTGACTTCTCTTCATACCAACCGGCTACTGGGGCGCTCGTCCTTCTGACGGTTGCCATGCTTGCGCCGTCGTCGTTCTCTGGGCCTCTCATCCTTGTCGTTCTGCTGTTCTATTTTGCGCCATCTAGGACTGGCGTCCAGCGTCTGTCCGCAGCCGGGGCGCCAGCTGCCAGGCCCCACCCGAAGACGTGATGCGACGCAGGAGAGATTCCAGGCCAATGCAGATGCGGGTACCGGCTGACGACTTTGCCAGGCAGGTTGGTCCTTTGTGTATCTAGTCTCAAACCTATAGAGTTCATGCAGCACGTACAGAGCAGCGCACCCTATGCACCGTGATCCTAGCATGTATAGAAGTGACCTACAGTGTGCAGCATGGGTACTGGGACGTTGCCATTTGGGGAGAGGCCACCATGATTAGAAAGCAGAACCGGCATGCACGTACGTCCCAACTTCCGGCATCCCAAAGCGCACAAAAAAGGGTTATCTGATCTACGATATGATCTTCTCAGGGATACGGGGGCGCTAGACTGTCAGGGATCAAGGCGCCACCATTCCGGTGGATAAGAGACATTGGTACACTGGGCGCGCTCTTGGGCTCCGGGGCACAGGACACAGGTACCCTTTCTTTTCCCCTGCGCCCTCCCAATGGCGTGCGGTCTGGACCGTGGTCCTGAAACACGCGCGCCGGAGCGCCCCCGCTGCCAGCTGCCTGCCTGTGCTGACGGACAAGCATCCCTGCAGCCCCACGCCGGTCAAGCCCCGTTGCCCCGCACGGCCGGCACACTCCGACGGGGCATAGCTCAACTCTGCCGAGAGTGTGACGGAGGGAGTGGCTGAGTTACTTCCCGCCCGAAGGATTTGGATGCAGTGGAATGCGCCGAGCTTTGCTCTCAGCTCCCAGCTCTGCGTCGCCCATGTCTCTCGAGTTCTGAGAATGCGGGACAAGCCCTGTCCAGCAGGGCTAGATTAGGTGATGACCACAGAGCGCCTGATGGGAGCTTGCGTTCAGTTGGACGACTGCTCTCAATCGTCTAAGTGATCGAACATGAGTGAGAGGACAGTCGTCCGGTACAGTCACCCAAGCATTATGCGGCGGTAAGCGCGTTCGAGAGCTTCAGCGCCGGTCGAAGCTGCATGGAGCCGAGCACGACGGCAAAGGGCACGGCCCTCATAAGCCGTGTGTGCGGGCATGCGCCAGTCGCCTGCCCGGGCTATTCCGATGATTGGATATGTTCGGGGCATGCGTGCAGGCTTCGGACTGCCAGACCAGTGCCTTCCGGCGGCTACCAACGCCCGTGATTCTTTCAGGGATTAGACATTGACACGTCTTCGCTGACAGGCGGGCCCTGAACCGGCTGCAGATAAGTTCAGTCGATGATCGCGATTGCAAGTAAAGTTGACATCGCAGATTCCCGAACGCGATATATCACATCGACTTTGGCCAGCTCATTCAGCGAGGAATGCCCTACAAATGGAGTCGGCTCGAGACGTTTTGAGACTAACGCAGGGAAAGGAAGCGACGCAAGCTACTAAGTAGGGACGCAGTCCAGGTCGCTCAAGCTTAGGAGGATACGAACGCGGCCGTCCGGAATGAACTGGTGTCAGCTACTTTAGCATGCAAGACTTACCCAGACACCGCCGCCAGGGAGCTTGACGAGATACAGCTTGGGGAGCAGAAAGCGGTTGATGATGTACACAATGTCGTCTCGGCGCAGTCCGGCGAAGGGCCTCGCGACTTGGCCGACGGCTAGAATCGTCGGTGATGAGCTTAACATCCAGAAGCGCAAGAAGAGCACCAGAATCATCCCGAAACACACACTGTACAAGGGAGGTGGTGCGCGAGCCATGCTCGCACTTGACGGTGTGGACTCTTGCGAGGTGATTAACCAGGACGCGCACCGCACTGGTCTCCACTGTAACCAAGACGCATACCAAGCCGCTGATGACTGCTCTTCATGGACGGGTTTGGTACAAGCTGGGCTGGACGCTTGGTCCTTGCTCAGCGGTCGCTCGTGACGGAGTGCAAGATCTTCCGTCTCCGAAGGCGGTGGGGAGGTATCCAACTTCGAGGGTGATGATGTCTTTACCGTCAAGCTGTAAGACGGCAGTTTGATCTGCAGATTTTGAACAGCGGGAGCAACAAACAGCGGTGCAATCGGAACGTCGCTCCCTCCTGCCAGCTCGGTCTGGCCGGTATCCAATCTCTGCCCGGGGGGCGTCGGAAACTGCTCAGTGTGTTGTTCACATTGCTCTCGGACTGGAGACTGCGGTGGAGGAATCTTCCTATTTCTCGGTGAATCTGAGGGGTCGGTGAGGCCGACGAAGTAACCCTGGATAGGGGCGTCCATTTGGTCACGCAGAGCTTCCTGCGCTGAGCGGCGCAGACCGCCGTCCGACAGCGAGGACACCTTTTCGGTTGCAGCGCTTGCTATCGTCGGTTTCGCTGTTGGCCAAGAGGGCTTCATGTCATCGTTGTCCAACGACCCGCTGTTCAGCAGTGAAGTGGGAGGCGGCTGCTCGTCGCTCCTGGGCTGTGATATAGCCGATGACAGCCTTGAGCCGATCGTGAGCGGAGTCGGAGCAGCTGCTGGAGGGGCGGCAAGCGGTGAGGGCGCGGACATGCCTGGACTGGCAGGGGGAATGAGAGGCAGGACTGCTGTGACCCCGGGCGAGGGTGCAGTAACCTTTTCGGCCAGTCGCCTGTCTGAGGAAGGCAAACCAAGAAGTTTGCTGAAATGAACCGGCACTGTGGAGGTGGCGAGATCAACCAGCAGGGTGCGGCTCAAATCATCAGTCGAGCCGAGATCGCCCAGCTGCAGGGTCGTGGCAAGGTCGTGGAACAGAGCGCATGCGATTCCGGGTTCGCATCTGCTCACCGCGCCTCCTTGAAACTCTGTTGCCCAGTGCCTGTCGGAGATCATGGTATTGAAGGGCAACCTGAGTGCTCTCAACGACTCATCCTCGCAGTTGGGATTAGTGGTAGCCGAGAAGGCCAGGGCAAAAGAGTCGAGCAGTCGTCCGGAGTCGATAACGTGTTCACAGCTCCGAAGAACCGACCTGTCGATGCTTACGAGTAGAACCAACGCCTCGATAATGGTGTCCTTACATCTATCCAGAAAATCGCCTCGGGGTGGTCCGCGCTCAACACCCCAAGCTGTGACTTTGATGGCACCGTCGAGCGTGACGGACATGGGGATGAATTCTTGCTGCGGCACCACCTGCGACTTGAACCAGGCCTGATCCCAAGCAAGTTTGACCATCGTTCCAACCACACATCCCCTCCATATACCGAGAAGATCAGTTTGCATCTCGTCCCAAGAAGCATCGCCGAGAGTGATCAACCTGTAGCTCGCAATTGGCTCTTCGCACTGTGCACTTGCCAAGCCAAACAAACGCTTGTGACTTGTGGCTGAGACGCACTCCCACGGATCCCAATCCGCAATTCGGCCAATGTCCCGAACAGTCTCGACCAGCACCTCAACGCTCTCTGGGCAGACATCGATTTTATTGCGTCGAGCCAGCCACGAGCAGAAAATCAACGACAGTCGCTGACAAAGATCAATTGATGTAATCGAATTTTCTTCCTGTAGCGTCTTGGCAAACAGCCTGTTCATCATAGCTTCCCAGACAAACGGCTGCCTTGATTCGGGGTCGTCGCGACGGTACAACAGCCAACCCAGACTGTGCTTCACGAAGTCGGTAAGAATATGCTGCTGAGGCTTCCAGAAGTCGAGAAGCTTCAGGCGGGCGGAAAAGCTGGGCAACGCGAGGAAAATTACCGTAAAGCCATGGATTCCTTTCAGCGCGATGGGCTGTCGGTCACCGACCCCGAAAGGAATATCCAGATTCGATCTCGTCCATCCCTCACCCATCCAAATATCGATGTCACACCTGTCGTAGCTGCCCCAGAGGGCGTCGGCCGCGTCCTCATCAAACTGAGGATCCTCCATGATGTTCAGCAAGGCGCTTGTGAGAGGAGGGAAGCTATTCCTCTTCTCCTCCGGAACCTCGCCACGACAGAGATACGACAGCCATTTCGTTCTCAAGGGAGTCAAGGGGAGCTTGGCAGGTGGCGAATAACTGCGCAGTCTCACGTATAAGCCGGTGTCAGTCAGGGATCTCGGAAGCACTTCTCCAAGCCATGAGACGGGCCCGAAGACCGAATTGGGCGAAGGGCGCGACGACGCGCGCCGACCTGGAGCCATCCAGCCTCCGTACAGATGCCGGCCAGGGAATTGGGCAAAGCTGTACATTATGTTGCGGTCGAAGTAGAACTCCTCCAAGCGTGCGAGGACCCAGTTCAGAGCGGTCCCTTCTTCGCTGTCCGCTACCAAGTCGAATGACCAAGAGGCGCCTCTCAGTAGTCGGCAGGGAACTCCAAGCGGGACTTGCACGACTGCCGTTGGGCCACACTCAGGAACACAGGCACACCTGGCTGGCACGAAGTCCGAGCCGGTTGCCAGATCACCGGCAATGGCTCGGAGTCGGTGGATTATCGTCTTTGGCCAGTGATGGACCCAGTCAGAGCTGTCAGCCTGTTGCACGAAGTCGCAGAGCAATGTCGTTAACTCCTTGTCCCTACAGGGATCAATGTGAGACAACCAATCGAAGAAACGGGCTGAGAGTTAGCTCATTTCTGAACAAAATTCTCACGATCGACTTGGTACCAAGGTGACTCGGGAGAGCCTGCAAGCTCTGCAAGTGAGGTCGGACTAAAGTCTTCGACGTTTGCCGCAGCTGCGGTCTCCGCGCGTGTCACGCGAATGACCAGTGGGGAGTGGTCCTTGAAGCGGAGCGTGGGCGGAGGCTTATCTAGTAACAGTGGCTCAACATCTGTCGCTCGTCTTATTGACAACATGGCGGATGGCGGTAACGATAGTGGAGGTGACGTTGAAAGAGCTTTCGTCGATCGTGTTGGGAGCTGTCAATATGAGGGTCCGGCAGGTGCCCACAATCCATTCACCCATTGGATCATCCAGATTATTCAGGCGTAAGGTCGGCGCGACTGCTGTTCGCCGATGACGGCGTCTTGGTCTAGAACAATAACAACGCCCCGAACGCTTTGGTCTCTTGTAGGGACATTATACCCTGATGCTCTTACTGCATTACGCCTGAAGCAAGCCTGCCGTGCACCGACCCGGTCCCTCTGGCTCCTGTCACCTTGGATTCCTGGGGGCAAAATCTCGAGGGCATTGCACAGAAGGCACGGCATCTGCGGAATCAATCTGGCGAGCTTCCGACAGAGCCGATACATCGACGCACCGGGGTCTTCGAACAGGAGCGTCACCCCACCAGCGGTCCCCGAAGCGGAGAGTCACCCTGAGGTGTTGCCCCAGGAACCCAAACGCCCATGACAGTTCACAGAACGGGCTACACCCCATTTAACCTCTCGGGGGACAAGGAGCGGTTTCTACCCTGCAGACACCCTTACACGGTGTCTCCAACCTTTGCTGTATCGGTCCTCTGTGTTCACAGGTACCCGGGCTCGTACTGTACTGTAGTCAGACAAGCTGCCAGCCGGGCTCAAAGGAGTCCTTCCTGGCATTGTCGTACACCATCTCATTAAGCATAGCGGGGCGCCAACCGCTTCCTCCGGGGCGACGGATGGCTTCCGGGACAGTTCAAGCTCACGCGCATCCCCAGTTTTGGAGAACCAGCTCTACCAACCAGATGAGTGATGTGCACCACCGGTAATCGATTTAGAGCAAATGCTACTGTACCCCCACGCATGTCTCAATTAATCTCGCATATTCATCAGGGACAAAGTTATGGGCAAGGTGTGCTCGCGGGAAGGTTAGCCCCGGTGAACCGACAGACATTTGGCCAGACTGACGCCATACGCTCTCGGTTGACGCATTACGACGGATCGGTTTCGGAGCCATCGCTCTTGGACAGGCCGACAAGATAGCGAGGAACAGGCTGAGTGAGCCCGAGATCTCTGTTCGTCTACTTACCGATACTTTCCAGGTTCGCTGAATCTTGATCATGTACCGGTCTGGGGTGGGGCAGTCTACAATATGGACAGAGTCACCTCTATTGAGACGTAAACCGTCAACCCTAAAATCGGCTCGCATCCAACCTGCACCCTCAGTGCACAGTGATTCCTCGTCGCCGTTGACCCTGTTTTCGGACTGTGCAGCTGGCCAGAGTGGCCGGATGGGACTGAGCTGTGGCGAAGGTTGCCATAGCCAAATGCAGTACGAGATCAGGACAACACCAAGTGGTAACAGAGCCTGCCAAGTTGACTTCTTCTCCTTGCCGAGGGCGAAATGTGGTTGAGCGACTGGGATCAGTGATTTCAGCTCACTGAGGGTCTGGGATATGCTGCCTATGACTGCACTCATTCGCGAGCCCTTACATGTCGAACTGAGGGTTTCGAGGCTGGCCAAGTCCGTATAAATCTTCGAAGCGAGCTCGACGTTGAATCGGCCAAAGTTTTTCGAATCCCGCAGACTGGAGACATCGTCGTCATTGAAGTTGAAATTGAAGAAATCTCGAACTTTTTCGGGGTCCATAGAGACGACTCCTTGGTCTAGGACACCACAAAAGGCCTGCTGGAATGCCTTCTGAAGGCGTAAACCGTCCATCTCATCTCCGTAGTACTCGATGACGGAGCGCAGATTGAGGCGGACTGTGTGAAGGGCATTGTACAAGCTCCTGATCTCCTCTTCACTACCGGTGACAATCTCCTTCGATAAGCTGGTGAGGAGCCATTTCTCTGTTTCTTCAAACTTGAGATTTACGCTGCTCCGAAGAACGCTAGTGACTACGGAGACAGCGTTCTGGACCCACTCGTCCCCAACTTTAAGTCGTCTGTCGATCCTACGGCAGTCTGCTGCCGCTTTTGCGATCCTCTTGCCAGCAAGGAGAGCGGCCGTACCCACCGCAGAGCCGTAGTAGACCCCTAGGGTCGTCAGCTCTATGATCGCTGCTGTTTTGCCCTCGGCGCAAGAGGCGAACACCGATGCAGGGGGAGCTGCCGGCTGGACAGATCCCGACGGCTGCCAGAGGTTGAACATCTCCTTGATCAATCCCTCCAAATGGAGAGGACGGGCGCGCAGGTAACCTGAGAACGTCGGTCTGCCAAGCCAGACCCTGAACCACAGCGACAAACGGTAGCTGAGGTCAGATAGAGGCCACTTAGTTGTTGGAAGTGCCGCAGCATTCAACAGGAGACCGACATGATGCCTTGCAGTCGCTCCCAACAGCCGCTGGGCATCCTGTTCGATTAGATCCTGTATAATGACTCCTCCCGAAACTCTCATGCCCAACAGCTTGTCGATGGCAGCGTCGTTGCCGATCACCAGGCAGGCGAGGAACAGGACTGTGAGGCCCTTTATGCGGCCGAAGTCGAACTCATAGGCGGGAGGACGAAGGGCACCGGGTGTGCCATTCCTGTTTGATCCCACTTTGAACGCCAAGGAGAATCTGACCTTGCATGATTTGTAGGCTCCAAGCAGAGCCGAAGCGTGCAAATCGCCGAAGTTTGGTTCGCACACCATGACCCCCACCGCAGGAGTGAGTGGAGGACCTCCTGTGGTTGAATCTGTGGCTCCACGGTCCAAGTAGGAAACCCACTCTGTTGGAGGCGGGAGCTTCCCCTCCTCATTCAAACTCCACTCGCACTTCAGAAGCTCAAGAAGGACTCTTTTCTCCAAAAAAACATGATCTTTCGGCGAGTCCTTCGGCATGGAAGCTGTTGCTGGATTAGGCAGAGGTGAGGGAGCGGTGGAGAGCAGGAAGCGATGGCCGTCCTGCGAGACCTTCGGGTCGTTTCTGAAGTATACAGAGATCTCGCGTGTCTTCGGTAGTGCGACAGCTGGCGCTTGTGCGGGTGAAGCGGTTGCACCAACGAGGTCGATACGTGGCAGATCACAAAAGAAGCGCTTAACTTGCTTTGCCTTGCGCTTTATTGAAGATCTCTTGCCCACGAGGGCTCCGTCGGCAGTAGGGTCTGACAGCCGGCTCCAAGAGGCTTCCATGAGCTGGTGGACATGAACCTCTTGCAAGCGGTTTTTCACCCATTCAACAGCGTCCGCAGAAGGTGGTGGCATGATGTCGAAAAGCCAAGGCCTCTCACTGTTGGGGCGCAAGCGGCACACGGCCGCGTCGGGAGGAGTATTATGACATATCTGTACCGCCGCTCCGGAGACGTTGGTAGGACAAGCGCGGCAGGGTGGTCCAGGGGTACCATCTCTGTGGTATTGATCAATGACGTTCCATAGTGTCAAAGCCGATTCGGACAAGAGCTCCAAAAAGTAGCCCTCGAGATCGGGGCATGATGAGGCCTGACTGCAAGGCTGCAATCCCTTCAACCACACGATAAGATCATCTGGGATGTCAGGGCGGTCCAAACTCCAGTTGTGGAGCAACCTACTACTGATAAAGCTCCACGGCAACTTAGGAGTTACGGCGGTCGCGGGGACACCTGGACGACTCCAATTCATTTGAAGAACGCTGGCTGTAGTGACTTGAAGCGAACTCGTTCACGATAGCAGGATTGACAGAAGAATGACCAGTAGCGTTGGCTGGAGATAATTGAACTCGACGCAACGGATACAAGAGCTGTAGGCGACATAGGGGGAGCAACGGGGCTGAGACGCGCGGTCTTCCTGTCCACCGGTCAACACCTAAACAATAAGGACATGAACGTCTAAGGGCTCAGGTCCCATGGACCCTCGAGACGTTGACAGACCCTCGAGGCGTTGACAAAAGAAAACCCTGTATGAGCTTGGGGCCCGTGCCTGGACGAGGCGTATTTCTAATTCCTGAGGTCGACTGTGCTGTAGAGACCTATGGCGCCGGCATGGCCGCTGGAGACAGCATCACCGAGGGGGGAGAAGATCTTAGACGGAGCGCAACCCAGCGATTCTGGACCCGGGTTCATGCAAGCCGGTATAGTGGATTCTACGGACAACGCAACACAAAGTACAAGAGGGATTTAGGAACCAGCTGTGGTTAGCGTTGAAGAGGACATAGGCTAGCTGTCTTACACCTGTGTGGCCCTCGAGGCTCTTAATCTTGTACCAGTCTTCCCACAATTCCTCCAAAACGTAGACATGGTCACCGGCAGATACGATCATTTCATCACCGGCGAGATAAGTGCCCTCGAGGCGGCCCATTCCCAAATACATCGGTTTCTGCCGCAAAAGGGACACTCCTTGCCGTTGAGAAGAGGAAGAGTGAGCGGTCGGCGATGTGGGGAGCCGGGTGGAGACAGTGACGAGTACAAGCATTCCGATAACGCACACAGCGACAACGGTGAAGCTCCAAGAGCGGCCATTGCCGACTGGGAGAGGTGGCCACTCTATCGGGACCGGCTCCGGCTGCGCCCGATGGACAGCGGTAGTTACCCTTGCACTTTGTCTCAGCGACTTGCTGTGCCATGTCAAAGGGCGTCTGCCGTCATCGACCAGGTGACCGCCGGTCATGCTGACCAAGCAAGATCGATAAAATAACAGACGAAGCTCACGTCGAAGATCGCCGGTGACACCCCTTGCCAATTGGGTGAAAGACTTGTCTATTTGATCAAGCACGTCTTGCCTATTTGGTTTCTTCAAACCGCCGAGGAGTCTTTGCAGACGCGCCTGAAACCGCAGACAACTGTTCTCGGTTATGAATGAAGAGTCCAGCAGATGCTCCTCAGGCCAAATGTTACCAGCGTTCTCAGGTGATGTGGACACAGCAGATGGAAATGACCCTTGAGTTGTTGCCCGGCTGATGACTGCCAGCGCAGTTCCCGCACTGCACCCTGCGAAGACAGCCGCAAAAGCGAGGTGAGCACCCACGTCCCGGAGGGATGAGTTGGCATCTAGACAGTTCGTCGGAGCGAGCCTTCGAATGTCGCCGGCAAGGCGCTCATAATCGGGAATCGATCGATTACTGACGCTGATGTAGAGACCACTGGGACGGACGGCCCAAGCTTCCAAAAGGAGTGCGACCCTAGGGAGGGGAAATTTTGCCAGTCTCGCGTGAAGCGCGTCACCTATCCAACCCTGCACGACTGCTGAGAGATCCGCAGGCTGCATTACCCACCCCAGACCTTTATCTGCCATATCGGCCAGGATGACAGCACCGGCTTTCTGCATGTTCAAGAGCTTGGAAGCAGCGGCTCCAGCTCGTAGAACTAGACAGGCGAGGAAGAGAACAGTGACCCCGTTGATGCCCCTCGCTTCCATTGGGAGTTCGGCAATTGAGATTGAGTCAAGCTCGTCCGAGCTCGGTTTCGTTGCTATGAGTGCCGGGAGGGCGGATCCTTGCACCGCCAGGCCAACGGTGCAGTCGTCGAAGATTCCGTAGACATCCATGGCGACCTCGTCGGTGAACGCAGCCTCATCCACCATCGTTCCCACAACGTGGCTCAGCGGTGGAAAGTGAGTGATTAAGAAGCGTCCATGTCCTCGCTCGATGTAATGAAGCCACTTCTCCCGAGTGTCGATTGCAAGCACAGCGACGTCACAGGGAAGCGCCTTGCATTGCCTCAAGCTCAACACCAGCCCACTGCGATTGAAAGGTCCAAAGAGCACGTTGTAACGGTTCTCCTGGAAGTCGTCCGGAAAATGGGCCAGTCCTCGACGGCGCTTGAAGCCCTGTAACGTCGAACTCTCAATAAGCCGCCTCAAAGCCCATGGGACGGCTTCCTCGCTTTCGTCGACGTCGAACGGCCAGCGGTAGACTCCCGAAAGCTTGCATGTCCCCCGAGGCAACGGCGACCGCTTTTTCGGCTGCACTGTGGAGGAAGTTTCTGACCATTTCGATGGGGGTAAGTCGGCGCCGTAAGGGGAAGGCAAGTTCGTAGCAGCAACGGAAATTCGCATCTGCTTGGGTCCCAGGTGAACGGACAAGAGGTTGAAAAGTTCATTGACATTGGTCTGGTCGGAATGAAGCGTCACGGCATCGTGCTCCCTCAGGAAGTCTTCTATGTTTTCTGAAGATCGTCAGTCCATCTGCACAAGGGGCACGAAGGGAAGCAGTGAACCTCACTGGAGACATAGTACCAGGTTCGATCTGTTTGCAACGGCGCTGAAGATTGCGATCGTCGAACGAACATCACGAATAGTGAGAAGGGAAGTTGTACGTGGAGTGGTAGGACGGTCGTAGAGGCTGCTTGACGTTCTCGAGAGCCAGAAATGCCATGAAGCAATGCTGACTCTTCCGAGAGGATGATAGCGCCGAACTGGGGCTGCACTGAGTCAGAACAGTGGTGCTGACATGGGATGAGGAGCACGAGCCTTCTTTTAGTCGGTTCCTAACTCACTCACTCGCTCTCAATCCGGAGCATTGTTCACAGTCACCTGCACTCTGAGTATCACAGTTCATTCGCGAAGACCTTGCTCGCATTTGACGCGCGAACCGATTCACAACGCTACCAAGATTGTTATTGTTCGCGCAATACCCTGGCTGTCGTTACGGGTCGTGCACAGGGTCAGCAGCTGTCCCTGGCGTGTCCGATGTGATCGGGTACGAGCGCAGGGCGCCTGGACTCAACGCCACACGGCCACCCTTGAGACGTGCTTCTCAATAAGGAGGCCGGGGGGCGGTAGACAGGTACAAACCCGCACGGTCTGACTTATTGTCGTCTGTCGTCTTCCAAAAGGGAGGCCAAGTGGCGTCAGGTGAGTGCTTGAGCAGCGCATGATACCCAAGGCCAGCGCTCGGAAGTGCCTGGAAGCTGGCCACCCTTAGTGAAGACGACAGTACTGACTCTGTCGGTAACCCCGGGAGCACTCGGGTCTGTTGAGGATGTACTCAATGGAGGCTCAGCCGCTCACAGTCTTTGAGCTTCCGTTCTGGACACCGTGTCTTCGCTAGTATATCGGTTAGTATAATCGCCTCTCAAGAGAGCGCCACTCGCTCGAGTGTTCGCGATAGAGCAGGGTTCGACTCCCTGGCGGAGAATGTTTTTTGAAACCCTGTGCATGCATGGACGGCCGTAGAATCGTTTGGAGGAGTTGGGGGACATCTGGAGGTTTGGAGCTGGTGGTGGACGAAGAAAATTTGGTTCCATGGTTTGGCTCAGGGTCGGGGCGCTAGACCAGGGTTTCAGATAAGATAGGGGCAGCGTGCTAGTGTGCGACTGACTGAGGTCCACCGGTTCGGTGACCATGTCCCTCCGGTGTCCATGAAAAAGACTTCACTGCAGCAGCATTCACATGTTCACATCACATCAATCTGACTGATGCGTGGTGTAGTAGATGAACTGCTTCCCCACAAGTCTAGCCGCCAGCTAGCAGTGGCCAACCACCCTCTATTCCAGGGTGACCCTCCGGCCCACAAACACCATCATCCTGCGACCTAGCAACAACTTCGACCTCCCTAACCACCCTTCAGCTCATCAGTACCCTCTGAAGCCTTCGGAGATCCAAAAAGCTGACCTCTGGCGGGGTCGAACCGCCGACCTTATGCGTATCACTCGCGTGTTAAGCATACGCTCTAACCAACTGAGCTAAGTGGCCGAAGCTGTTAGAGGGGGCGCAGCGCGGAGCTCGGCGGGCGGCGCCGACGCCGCCGCTGAGAACGGTGGTGATGGTGCTTCCTCTCAGGTCGGAGTCGGCTGGCTGTCGACGAGCAAACTCGGATAGGGCCGCCAGCGGCGAGCACTGTCCGATATGTCGGCACACTTATGCTAGCGGTTCGAATCAAGTTTGCCGGGGATATGCATCCTCGTCCACCCGTGGCAGACACCCTGGGCTCTATTCTCCATCTCGTCGGCGATGTGACGAACGCCGACGCTGACGCCTGCGCCCCGCGGATCCGCCCCTCGGCACCGAAACAACCACCACCAGTTCCTGTTCGTATAACGGCTAGTATGCTCGCTTGTCATGACAGACCGCGGGAGATCGGAGTTCGATTCTCCGACAGGAAGCACGCATGCGCTTGTCTTCAGCTGAGGCTGTGGCCCAGTGCTTTTTGGAGAATGGACGACGGGGATTGGTCCGAGGAAGGTGGTTGGAAGGGTCGTGTGGAGGTCGGTTGTGGATGTTTGATGGAGGTTGCCGATCTCCAGTCGATCGTGATTGCACCCTGCTCCTAGTGTGCGTGCCGCGACAGCACGCTCATATCGTCCACAGATCGAGTGAACTAGCTCTGCATCCTGGTATAGACTGAGGGGACGTAGCTGGAGAGCCCTGGGCAGTTGGACGACTGTATACACGACGACCCGAGCGACCCGACTAGTTGCACTCGGTGACCTGATCCCAGCCTCACCCTCTCATGCACTAGCCAAGATGCCGAGATCTCCTCCGTCAATCATCCCACCAACCGCACGAAGGGTCTTGTTTCGCCCTCCCCACTGAACCTTCAGCCTCCATTAAGCATACCGCGGACAGGCGGCATAGTTTAGGCTTTCTGCCTAATACTGACTGCGTGGGGCAAGGCGGGGTAGCTGCGTATCTCGGATTCTTGTTGCAAGACGCCGCGCGGCGTGTCCGTCCCCGTGAGAGGATTCAGCCTTTCGAGGACACCATTGCCATTCACCCGTATGCAGGCTCTTGAAGACCGGCACTCTTCGCCAGGATCACCCGAGATCCATCGAGGACTGCGATCGGTCAGTCCTAGTAACACTGAGCTTCCCACGCGCTCATGATCTCGATCGCATTCCTTCAATCCTTCAAGCAACGTTGTGCCGTACATGGTACATCCTATATCCCGGGATCAGCTTTTTCCCGGCGAGCGGCCTACCTGCCTTCTTTGCGCAGCTGGTCACAGAGCGCTCAACTGTGGAAGGTCACCGCATTCCTCGCCCTGGTGTCACGGGACCACGTTTCTCCGTCTGACACGCCTCGTGCTCTCGTCTGTACCCTCATTCCACAACGCCTCCAGATCACCGGCCCAGCTGCTCTCTCATGCCCTGGCTCGTGCGCTAGCTCGTGTGCACCTTCTGATCATCTGCATGCCGCTGTACCGCATGACGCATGCGCCCCGGAATAGCGGTCGTGCGCCTCGTGTGACTCGACTGAATCAAGTGAGTCAACCGATGGCACGGTGCTACGGAGGCGGCTGTGCTGCAGATCTGAGCCGATCGGTGATCCAGGCTAATCATCTTGGCTCCGCGACGCCGCACCGAACTCCGCTTGGAGCTGACATCCCACCACACACCACCCCACGCCCTCACACTTCACTTCTTCCGTTTCTGTCAAGTTGGCATAGAACTCGTACACAAATGCATGGGCATGGGAAAGGTGCTGCGCAGTGATACGACTCGGACAACGGCATGCATGTATACGACACGGGAAGTGGTTGGCCCCACGGAGCTCGGCGCTAAAGTGTCGGAACCGAGATCTCGGGTCCGACGACTGCGGACACCACGGAGGCTACGGCGCATGGTCGTGTCGGAGGTGTGTCTGACACCGGCGTGATTGGCCTGACATCGTGGACAGGTCGATCGAGACTCTCTCTAGCGCACATCCGGTGGAGACCGGTGCGAGCGTGGCGCCCAACCATATGCTACCTCTCCGTCTGCTTAGACGGGCTGCAGTGTGACGCCGATACGCCAGAAACTTTGGTCCGGCAGTACATGGTGCATGCCAGAGCCGAGGGAGCAGGAGACTGAGCCCATCGCAAGAGGCGAGGCAAGAAGACTGAGACGATGGCACGCACGCGGCCTCGAAGTCAGGCTCGCCATTAGCACAGTCTTGCGGATCGCGGATCGGCGAGGCGATGTCTCTCGCACCGTCCGAGGGCTCGGCGCCGAGCGAGGCGGGCGAGCGCAGCGCAGGCTAGTCATGGAGGCCTCCACGAACGCCCCTTCCGCCTTCCTCCTTTTGGTCTCCACCTTGTTTCTACCCCAGGTACGCTCGAGTGGTCCACCTGAAAGAGATATAAGCAGCCTCACTTCCCCGTTTCTTCGACCTCCAACCAACCGACTCGAACTCTCGTAACAACAAACAAGCGACCTCAACGAAACGACCATGAAGGTGAGCTTCTTGGTCAATGAAAGCTGATTCCAGTTCATCCTCGCCGCCGCTGCTCTTCTCTCCACCCTCGCGCTCGCCGAGCCCCTTCCCCTCGCCGGCGACGCTGCCGCCGGCACTGAGATGCAGGCCCGCGGCGAGCCTTTCTTCCTGTCTGAGGTGAGTTTACCTTCGCTCCGTCCATGATTCCGTCCATCGTGCCCAGCCCATCCATTCTTAAACCCTTTGCACTCTGCTGACTACAGCGCGCCTGCAACCCTTCCAACTGCCCGTGCAACGGCATCCAGGGCCAGTTCTGCACCAACGGCATTAACCCCGGTTGCATCAAGGGCCACGTCTACGAGTGCCAGGCCGGCACGGGCAAGACGTGCGACTATGGCTACCGCAAGTCCTGCGCCGAGTGCGGAGAGCTCCAGTGCTAATCTGCTGAAGGCTCCAACGTCAGGCGCACGAAGCCGACCACCCGCCTCAGTCCCAAACCATATCAAGGAACTCCGTAGCTGAAGCAGAAGAAAGAAACTCGTAGTTAGTAGAAATCGGTGGTTAGTAGTAAACGATGCAGATGAGTTAGTCAGATCAGTGAGCGAAGTGCAGAACAGGTGGGCGAACGTGGGGGACGTGGACCAGGGAGAGGAGTAGTGTTGATATGATCGAGAGGAAGAGTGACGTTGACGGCTGGGTGCGATGTCAGTTGAATCACCCCCGATAATCTATCTTACGTAACGAATCCACTGTCAATAAGACGTCACAGTGGTTCTCGAAGAGATAACTGACCGAGTTGTCTTCAATTACTCATCCATCGCATGTCACTCCATTAGTGCAACGACGTACGACGTTCCCCTGCAATGCACACGCCGACATCGCGGTCGATGATTTCGGCGAGTTCGGCACTCCCCAAACAACGGGCGACAGACTTAGGGGTCATGTGACGTCGGGAAGTCACTAGCGCCGTTGGTCGACGTCCTCATAGCCCGCCGCGACATCCACTCACAACGCAAGGCAGACCGAAGCCCCGTCCCAGATTAGCACCGGACCGGAGGGATGGAATCCAAACCTTATCGCGCTCGGGAGCTCTACGTAGGGCGTCCTACCCATGTCCGGGTCTAGCGGCGCGATCGTGGATGTACATCTTGTCCCGTCTATCCGCTTCCGGTGTTCTGGTCCGCCGACCTCGCCGAGGGTCGCCCTACGCCAGCCGTACGTCGTGGACAAGCATGTATGGACAAGCATGTATGGACAAGCTTCCCGCTAAAAGTACATAAGCAATGCTCTCCGGCAAGTTCAGTCCTCCGCACCATCAAGTTCACCATGAAGACGACCCAAGCGATGCTCTTGCTCGCCTTCCTCGGCGCTACCGCCGCCGAGATCCCGACCTTCACCTTCCAGGGCACGACAACCTTCCCGAGGAAGATGGGAGCGGACATTGCAGCATCCCAGTTCGTCGACGAGACGGGCACATACCGCTTCATCTCCTCCGTCGCAAGCTATGCGCAGTACGACGACGGCACCAGCTACACACGCACCTTCACAGGTAACAACTTCGGCCACCTGTCCGACAAGTGGGGCACGGACGAGACGAGCATGGTCGACTACAACAGCTACTGGGACAAGCCTGGCTCGATGTGCTATCGCCTCGACGAGCGGGAGGTCAACCCCATGCCTTCCCTGTATCAGGACGACCACTGCGATGTGATCGGCGTTTGGATCGATCCAGCCACGAAGGAGTGGTACGGCGGCGTGAACGATGAGTACCAGTTCGACCCCTGGAACCACGGCGAGGTGACGCAGAATGCACGCATCAAGACGGGACGACACAACAACCGCCTCCTCCTCGCCAGGTCGGGCGACCAGGGGAAGACGTGGGCCGTGGTCGACCAGATCGTGACCGACCCGTACCAGCCGAACCAGACCATCACGCCAGAGCTGTTCCCGAACGCGACCTACTCTTGGGGCCTGAGCGGGGTGAGGTTCTACCCCGACTACATCTCTGGATACGCGTACCTGCTGTACAACCACCAGTTCCGCACCAAGAACGGCGACAAGACTCTCCTGGGCTACTTCAGCATGGCGCGGACTGAGATGGCCTCCGGTCTCACGGGATGGAAGAAGTGGTACGGAGGCAAGTGGGAGGAGCCCGGAGTCGGCGGCCGAGACGGATTCATCGGCGAGCCTTTGGGATTCAACGTCGTCTACGACCCGAAGACGGACTACCTCGCCTTCGAGGGCAAGGGCGCCGACGGTTCCGACGTCGTCTACCAGAACGAGATCTTCACGGCCGCTTCAGGGTTCAAGTTCCGCGACCTCGACGGGACCGAGTACCACGTCTCGACGGCTTCCAAGCCACACAGCATCACGCGCGACGGCTCTCAGGTCGACAAGGTGACCTACCTCGACCCGGTCGTGAACCGCACCATCCTGGCGACGATTGGCGTGACGGGCGAGATGGTCTTCAACGCGACGGACGCCGACGGCGCCTCCATCGGCTGGGTCCCCACCAAGGGTTTGAACATCTTCAAGTCGCCCGAGTGGAGGGTGTACGTTCCCCCGAAGCCGCTCAACCAGGCCGGGTTTACGTACCACGTCCCGAGCAGCCAATACCTCGCGAACGGGTACGAACTGCCCATCAGCGCGACGCATGACCTTGGAGACCCGAGCAGCTGGCGTCCCGTGGGGAAGCAGACGGAGGACATGCTCGCGCATGCGTCGTACCTGTCCGTCCTGGACACGGGCAGTCTGACGAACCAGTTCGTCACGGGCCGCACGCTGTCTCTCATCTCCGACCTCCGCGTCACGGAGGATCGGTACACGGCGCCTGCGGACAACGCATACCTCCCCGACTTCTACCCTCCTGACGCCGAGGGCAAGCCTCTCACTGAGGCCACGTACAATGTCTCGATTGGCGACAAGGCGCTAGGCCGCTTCACCCTCGAGTGGGTGAAGGACACGTACAATGGCGCGTACACTGGCTTCTTCCGGCTCAAGGGAGAGAAGGGGTACCTCAAGACCGACGGCAGTGTTGCCGACACGAGGAAGTGGGGCGCGCCGCTTGTGACCGGAGCTAAGGGACCTGACTTTGATCCGAAGGGAAATGGCGGCCACGGCAGCCCGTACGGCTCCGACGTGTGGTTCCTTATCCCGTTCACCGGAGAGAGGACGAGCCTCGACGACACGCAGGGATACAAGCTTGCCCACCGTGCGAGTCACAACGTGGCCACGAATGGCGCCAGCGGGGCGGAGCTGCAGTCGAACCAGCGCGCGACTAACGAGGCGACCAAGGTCTCGTTTGCGCTTGTGAAATGAGAAGAAGTAAGAGAGAACATGCATCGGTACGACGGAAGGCAATTTGCACAACACTGCTACTGTATTTACTCACAGGCTGACTGACTGGCGAGCGTCCCTGCACGCTCGACGAACGCCCGGCAACTGGGACGGCTGTGATATCAGCTAGATCGCCGGACGTCCAGCTCACTGTGCCTCGCGCATATCGGCGGTAGCTGGCGGCTCACCGCGTCCGACAAACCCGCGAAGACTGTGTTGTCAGCTTCCAGGGGAGTGCGCTCAGCTCAGATGTGCCTACCCCTCCCTAGTGCTCGTGCAGAAGCGGCCCCGCATTAGCCCACCCGACCCAGACACAAAGTTCACGAGCTGTCGGTCAGCTCCAGATGCCTTTCTCATAAGCTCACGCACTCACCGGACCCACAGCAGTGCTCGCTCTGAAGGTAGCTCCCATCTTCACATCGCGGCAGCTCACAATCTGATCGCGCGCACCACGCTAAGGAACTGTGGGTCAGCTTCCATTAATTACGAGTGGACCCAGCATACGGCGAGCACTTGAAATGGCGTGGAACCGTGTTTGGAGACCTGCGAGGTCAGCTTCAGTGCGGGATGACCAGCTCACAATTGGATGGGCTGTCGGTCCACGTCTGCTTACGAGTGCTCCCAGCTCATGCGCACGCATGTTGAGCTGCCCAAAGGGTGCGTTCCGAAGTCGGAATGGTTTCGACTGATAACGCCTCTGATGTCAGCTTGCTGCCGCCAGACAGCTCACTAGAGAATTCTGCACCGTGGCACTGTGGCTGAGGAGACGTTCTGAGTGCCGGTAGTCAAATGGTCTCATTCAATTCGATGCGACAAAGGTAAATGCCAGTCGCCTGCATCTTCAGCTTGCCTTGCCCGCCAACTCAGCTTACCGTTCCATCGAAGAACGGTTTTATCTTCATGCTGGACATCAGCTCAAACTTAGAGGACCCTCAGCACACATAGAAAGGAGGAAAAGAGGTTTGGCTTTGCGCTTCTGTCCTCGTCGTGGATCAGCAGAGAGCAATGCGGGTGATGTTGCTCAGCACATTCTGATCACTTTGACACAGCCGCTTGGACACGCCAGCTTACCAGATGTGCGCGTGTAGTGGTGGCCGAAAACGACTACTCATAGGCCAAAAGTTCCATGGGGCAGCTGTGGCAGCTGATATCGACCTTTAGGGGGGAACCTGACGTTTGGAGAAGATCGTCTGCGAGGTCAGTTCCATCCGAAATGAGAAACTCACATTGAGAGACTCCAACCCAGCCGTTTGGCTGGCGACGGACAAACCACCTCGGACCCCGAAGGAAGATGCAGGTCTACGATGGTCAGTTTGACCACAGGGTTATAGAACTAACAGCACGCGCAATTGAAGATGAACTACTCACTGGCATTAGTTACCAAGGAGACAAGCAGATAAGTTACTGTAGTAGCCGTCGCCTTCTGCAGATGTCACTAAGTACAGCAGGCGTGGCTCACCTCAACGATGGACACCGTGCAACCCTTGCCTGAACCGATGGACTCGGGGTCGAGATCAGTGGTTTGTTCAAGCTCCATTGGGAGTGAGAAAGGAGGAAGGTACTGTAGGGGAGGGCGTTGAGTCAATGGAGTCAGTTGCCTGCAGTTGCCTGTGCGTCGTCAGCAGGTGGGTGAGTCAGCGGGAGCATCTGGGACCTGCGCCCCTCTGACGTGAGGACGACCGACCCATCGTGCATGATCGTGCAAGGTCGCAGGATCGCAGGTGCGTGCGGCTGGGTTCGACTGTTAACTGCCAGAGAAGCACACTCAAGGATATCGACACGATCGACCCCAAACGTCCAAATGGCCAGATGTCTACCTCCCTCCTCTCTCAGACAAACAACCCCGGCCGTCGACCGATATCGCCGCCGGTAGCTGGGCAGTCAGCAATCTTGGGGATCTTGGGTGTAGGGCAGTCGTCTAACCCTTCCATGCTTGTTGCGTTGCTTATACGCGTTGCTCCTCCGATATCTCCGATTCGCTGCGCGCTGCAGATGGAACAGGAAGTGGTGAAGTCCAGTCGACTCCGCGCATGACTCAACACCGTCGGCGATCGCCGGCTATCTAGGCCCAAGTAGCCGATCCTCCGGTAGGTGCACTGCCCATCTCATCCTAGTCAGGCGCTTGCATCCATCCTTCCCTCCTTCCTTATCTCTACCCCATCCACACTCTCTTCCCCATCCTCCCCATACCTTCGAATCCCTCTACAATGTCGCCCGCGCCGATACCAAAGGTCCTTGCGTTCGACGTCTTCGGCACCGTCGTCGACTGGCACGGCAGCATCTCGCGTGCCGTCACCGCCCTCCGCCCCGGCGTGGACGGGGACGCCTTCGCGCTTGCCTGGCGGGCAGGCTACGTCCCCGCAATGCGGCGGACGATGGCCGCGATCGCGGATGGATCAGGTTCCTTCAGAGTGCTGGACGAGCTGCACCTCGAGATCCTGCGTTCCATCCTGCCCGACTTTCCTCAACTCGCCGACCTTTCCGAGGCCGAGATCCAGGATCTCAACAAGGCCTGGCACCGTCTCGATCCCTGGGCCGACTCTGTCGAGGGATTGACGAGGTTGAAGAAGAAGTTCGTCATCACGCCGCTCTCGAACGGCGGCATTGGACTGTTGACGTACATGGCCAAACGGGCTGGACTGCCCTGGGACCTCATTCTAGGCGCGGAGGTGTTCCAGGCCTACAAGCCCGATCACCGCACGTACCAGGGTGTGGCTAGGGTGTTGGACGTCAAGCCCGAGGAGGTCATGATGGTCGCGACGCATCATTCGGACCTGGATGCGGCGCAGGACGCGGGCGTGCAGACGGCGTACATCGAGCGGCCGGATGAGATGGGCCCGCGCAAGGAGCTCAAGGACGATACGCCCAAGGAGCGGCATCCGCTGCACTTCAAGGACCTGAATGCGCTCGCGGATTACTTGGGATGCTAAGAAGTGGATATTATTGGGTTGTAAATGCATAGGGTATCGAAAGATGCGGTCTACCACTTCAGCGTCTTGCCAAACTCGTCCGTCGCGCCGAGGAGCAGGCGCTTGGTTCCTGGCTCGTGGGCACTGTGCCCGGCGTCGTCGACGATGTACGTGCGCAGCTTTGGTCCCCAGGCCTGCTTCAGCTTCCACGCCGAGGAGGCGGGGCAGACGCAGTCGTACCGCCCCTGCACGGCGATGGTGGGGATGTCGCGGCTGTGGTGTCAGCTAACACTGTCGCGTCAAGCAACTGGAGTGCGATATCACCCAGTCATGGGCAGACTTACATCTTGGAGATCTGGTCCTCGGCCGTGAGGTGTCCGTCCGGCATGAAGCCGTAGTTGACGAAGTAGTGGCTCTCGATCTTGCCAATCGCGAGCGCAAACTCGTCATCCTCCGAGCGCGCAATGAAGGCCGGGTCCGGGATGAGCTTGGCCGTGCTGTCCTCCCAGACACTCCACGCCCGGGCAGCTTCCTGGGCGACCTTGGCGTCGCTTCCGGTCATACGCTCATAGTACGCACGCATGAGGTCTCCGCGCTCGTCCTCGGGAATGTGGGCGACGAACGCCTCCCACGAATCTGGCCACAGCTGGTTCGCACCAGAGGTGTACGTCCACGCAAGCTCGGCCTTGGTGGACAGGTAGATGCCGCGGATGATGAGGCCGACGCAGCGCTCGGGGTGCGCCTCGGCGTATGCCAGCGTGAGGGTCGAGCCCCACGACCCGCCGAATACGAGCCAACGGTCAATACCCAGCTCGGAGCGAATGGCCTCGATGTCGCTGATCAGGTCCGCCGTCGTGTTCTCCCTGATCTCGCCCGAGGGGGTGGACTTGCCTGCTCCACGCTGGTCGATCAGGACGATACGGTACATCGCAGGGTCGAAGAAAGTCGTGTCCTTGCCACTTGTACCAGCGCCGGGGCCGCCGTGTCTGTCGTCAGCTAATCTCGTGAAGTCGACTCAGCTGAAAGAGCGAGCGGGCAGTTGTGGGGAAGCGGAGAGGACGTAAGGTACTTACAGGAAGACGACGGGCTTACCCTCCGGGTTTCCTGCCTGCCAGTAGTGCACTGTGTGGATGTCCGAGACCTTCAGCTTCGCCTCAGCGAAAGGCTTCTGCTCCGGGTACGCCTCCTCGCGGGGCGTGAGCGCAACGTCGGACCAGCCCTTCACTGCTGCCATCGTGTCTTCCTCGTGTGAGGGGTCGCGTGCTTATGCGGTCTTTCGGAGTTCGCTGCGGATCGGGCTGATGTCAGGCGCACTTCTTGGTCTCGTCGCGTGAGCAGTAGGCGACTAGGGATGCTTGGTTGGTCGCGCTGGCGGATGGTCCAACCCGAACTTCTCGGTCAGTCGTCGTAGATGACCGAGAGTTTGTTGACGCGCAGGTTTCGGCATTGGGTGGGAGTCACGTGATGCGCTTGCGACAACTTGCTGTGTCCTTTCGTCCATGCAGCGAGCTATTGCATGCGGCTGGAAGTGAATCCAGAGCGGTTACTCGCTTAAACGTTGCAGATGGCGCAGGAGACCGGGGAGAGTGGAAACAGGATGATTGGAGAAACAAACGCAAGATCGGCCGACAGCCGGTTCCCTTGTTGACGACTGACGTCATTGCACTGCTGCATGCTCTTTTCGCTTCTACGGTGCTCTACGACAACGAACAACACTTCGAGCTCACTTCTGGCGCCTGTCTGGGAACAGGACGTCCTTCCTAGCTGTGTCAGCGAGCGGCGCACTCCCATGCACGCCTCTATGCCTCACTATTTGCTTGGGGTGGGGCTTACTTGAGCTCCTTGGAGAGCACGGCCTCAAAGGCGATGACGATGCCGGCGAAGACCTGGACGTCGACGCCAGGCGCAACGGTCACGATGTACTCCTCCTTGTCCCAGTTCGAGTCCAGGTTCACGGGCTGCAGCAGGATCTTGCCGATGCCCTGGTTCGTGTCGGGCATCCAGATCGAAGCAGTGCCCTGGTACCAGTCGCCCTGGAGGACCAGGTCGTGCTTGCCATTGTTGTCCTTCCACCAGCCGCGGAGCTCAGTAGTGGTTTCACCTTCTGCGGAGATCAGCGTGATGTCAACAGGTTTGTGTCCAGCTTGAACAAGCCGTCCGCATTCAGCATCGCAGACAACGCCCAGCAGGGAGATCGACAGATGAGGGTTTCTAAAGGTCCGCCGAGCTTTCCTCATCCGGAGAGCACTCACTGTTCATCTTCGTCTTGTGGTTGTGGCACTCGAAGATGTTGCCGCCCGACTTGTGACCGACCATGCCGTGCGAGACGGACATGACCTCGTCGCGGATCTCATAGAGCTCGTTTCCGTTGGGGTCAAGAATCTGCTTCTTGTCGAGCGTCGAGTCGGGCTTGGCGTTGGCGATCACGACGACATTGCCGGCCAGGTCACGAACGGCGTAGTCAGACTGCTGTTAGCTCTTGCTTTCAGTGACCAAAGTTCGGTCTGAGCTCCGCGAAAGCAGCAACTGTTTCCCATTGGCAGCAGTCCCATACTCACACCCCAGTCGTACATGTTCTTGCGGAGGACGATCTGGACCTCGGCGTGGGACGCATTCTGAGGCGCGCCCAGGACGGGCTCGACGGGAAGAAGGTGCACAGACTGCTCGGCGATGACGGCTCCGGTAGGCATGATGATCTGATCGAGGTTAGTGCAAACGCGAGTTCATCAGTTATCAGATTGCCAGCCCAGTGTCGGGCAGCATCGCTGCTCCAGGGCCCGGACAGCGATAGGCCAGCTCCTGTCGGCCGTCATCGCAGAGATGACCGAGGTCCTCAACGTGGGAATCTCCTTTCAACCGAGGTCATCGCAGCATGGAGACCGATCGAACCGATGCGGTCGGAATCCCTCCCGATCTCCGCTTGCTACGAGGCTATCGTGAGAGACCAGTGTTTGACGAGCGTGAGAGAGCTGAAGTAGGATGATGGTGTCGGCATCGGGAAAGATGGATGACGGCAGCGGCCGTGCCTGGATGTGAACAGTGCGATGGACGACGACTGTAACGGCCCACGACAGAGTGGTGTTTGGTCCTGAAGCCGAAAATAAACTCGGGTTCTTTCATAACACCCGTGCCCTCGGCCTCATTGTGCGGCAAACTGTGACCAGATCACTGACCAGAACTCTTTCAACCTCCTGAGATGTCTAACTCTGATATCCTTCTATGACCTGCCGAGTAACCTAACCCCCTCGGTCGGCTCGATCGCGGTGGGGGAGCAGCTTCTCCGAGACAGTTGTGCCTCCATGCCTCCTGCTCGGCCATACCTGGGTCGCAGGAATTCGCATGCTCGCACGCCAGCGGAGGCAAGCGGAGATCGCGCAGAGGGCAGTGTAAAGCCCCCATGGGTAGTAGCTCTACTCAGCCATCGTCAGCGGCGCTTGCATGACGCTGGCGGATGCCGTGGACGCGGATGATTCTCGGGGACGGTCTTCGATGGCTTCGATGGTTTGGACTAGGCAACAATTCATTCGATTGATTCAGTTACCCCGCACCAAACACGCACTCACCCGGCGAGTCCCAGGCTAGCAGCCTTAGGTCGGTATATGCGCATCAGGTACAGACTGATTGCGGCAATGCAAGACACACATCCAGGACGCATGTGGGTTTGAGGACTTGTCCCTTTCCTGATAGCGGCATCGCTAGTTTAGGCTTTGAACGCAGGGCAGCAGCTTCATCAGCTGCACAATGCTGCCCCATGGGCTTCTGGCCCCACTGCGGACCTGTTCCGCTCCTGCTCTCAAGATCACGATAAAAGGCGAGGTCTTCGTGAACTTTTCCGATCTCCCCACACCTCAAGATCCAAGCGATGCTGCTCAAGACCCTCCTTCCCCTCACCGCCCTTGCGGGCGTCATGGCTGGCCCTATCATCGACGAGCGCGCCGCTGCCGACCTCGCCATGCGCCGCGACGTCGAGGCCGTCATCACCGAGAAGATGAAGGCCCCCACCGAGGAGCAAGTCCAGGAGGCGAACAAGGTCGCCCAGGGTGCCGGCGGTGGCTTCAACGACTGGAACTGCAAGATGACCGACGACCGCACCCCGATCATCTTCCTGCACGGTCTCACTGCTCCGTCGCTCCTGAACTGGTTCTACATCGCCCCGACCTTCTCGAGCAAGGGCCACTGCGTCTACACCCCGCAGTACGGCACCAAGGACGGCATCCTGCTCGGTTTCAACAGCCTGCGTGACTCGTCCAAGTGGCTCAAGGACTACGTCCAGAAGGTCAAGGCTTCCACGGGCGCCGGCAAGGTCCACCTTGTCGGTCACTCGATGGGCACTACCGTCTCCTCGTACTACATGAAGTTCGACGGTGGTGCGGACCAGGTCGACAAGTTTGTCGGCTTCGGGTGCAACTACCGCGGCACATCGCTGTACGGCATCAACCAGCTCGTCCGCCTCGTGCCCTTCATCACGACCGCTCTCATCAAGATCTGTCCTTCCTGCAACGAGTTCCTCTCCCCTAGCGATTTCATGAACGACCTTCAGCGCGGCGGCATCGCGGTCGACGGCCCCCAGTACACCAACATCGTTTCGAAGTACGACGAGCTCGTCCTCCCCTACACCTCGGGCATCATGGAGGAGCGCGCCAACGTCGAGAACATTGTCCTCCAGGACCGCTGCCACTTCGACTTTGTCGGCCACTCGCTCCAGGCCATCGACCCTAACGTCAAGAACCTCATCGAGTGGGCCATCGACGGCAAGCAGGGCCCCAAGCCTGGCTGTGTCGCCAACGGTATCCCCTTTGTCCACATCCGGGACGGCCTCGAGGAGAGCGAGCTTCAGTAGACCCCCCGATATCAAAACGGGCGATCAACGCCCCCAAGACCTTGTTGTGTAATCATAGTCCAAGATTCGTATCTAGTAATGCCGAAGTATAGAAGCGAAGAAGCAATGCTATCCAGTAGCAATACTACCGAGCGATCCCCATGATGAGCATCACCCTAATGGCAAGAGGGCTAACGGCCGTTGCTGGATGTTGGGCGCCCACTCTGCGGCGACACTGCCGCCAACAGTGCCGGGTCACATGCTGCGTAATGAATCACCCCTCGTGGGTCTCCCACTCGGCTACCATTCAGCCCTACATTCAATGCATCAACAACGTGCTCACCCATCCCGAAGCTACTTACTGCGCTATCATTCCAGGAAAGCCAGGAATGCCCGACGATCACTGACGTTCGGCAAGTCCTCTCCCCCCTCCCTCGCTCCCGGGCTGACATTGTGCTTTACTCCGGCTTACTGATGCAGCTTAGGCTCCACAGCCGTGACCGAGATCCACTTGATTACGCACCGTAAACAGCGCTAAGGCCCCAAGCACAACATAGCTCGAGAGCTAGAAGCTTACCTCACAGCGAATCAAAGCCCATAGCCCTCCATGAGGATTGAAACTGGCAGGCCCGGCCGCCCGGCGGCTCCGAGCTCGCGATGTACAGGAACGTTCAATGCGATCACCACACATGCTCAGGCTTCGTCGGCCGCCGTGCAGAGGCGCTTGACTCGGAGCAATCATGACGCGATGGGTTGTTCCTCGCCGATAGGCCAATTGCACGAAATGTGGGAAGTCGCCCATGAATTGGCAGCAGGGTGCCTGGTGCGCTTGACACAACACAGGCTACGATCCGCCTTACGCAACACCCACATCCACGACCATTGCGCACCTGCATTGTCAGTTCAAATATCCACAGCCGGAAGAAACCCATGCGTTCTCTCGGTCGCGAAGAAGACTTCGAAAGTGCGCAACGTGCTAGGCTCCGAGAATACTCCGTGGAAACTTTCTTTTGCAATTGTTGAGCGTTCCTCATCCCAACACAGCAGAAGGGCAGAGGGGGGCTTGAGGGGTGCGTGTCCTTCCCGCTCTGACGAGACGCCCACTTTGGAAGCATGATACGCTTTTTGCTCAGTCAGCTGGGGCGATACGCTCAGCATCATCCCATCCCCTTCCTCGTGTTAAACTTCTGCCCAGTGGCCCAGTGATCTGCTTATCTTTCCGCCTGTGTGATCTACAACAACGTCCGTGCGGGGCTCAGTCGCCAAGTCATGACATTTCCAGGACTGCTGCGCTGCCAAGCCCCTCTCTACGTCGGTGGCGCCGTGGGCGCGACTTTAGTGGTGAGCAATGGGCTTGGCGGAAGAGCGCCGAGCTCACGCGCATGGAGACCGAGCGGATAAGCTTGACATGTCTCGGACGTCAGAGCTGGGCTTGCGTTGTGCGCTAGTGAGAGGTGCGTACTCCGGGGAAGGGCTCTCGTATGTCCGCTTCTTTCGCTTTGGGGAGGAGTACGTGCTCTCACTCGCTCCCACTCTCCTCGTAGAAGAGGGTCGATCTATGGCGGGTAACAGGGCTGCTAACAGCAGCGAAGAGAGGGACCAGGGTCTCAGGGCGGGCGGGAGGTGCCCCCCTGTTCTTTGTCCATCCTCTCGCTTTGGAAGACCAACCGTCCTAGCCTACAGTTAGGACTGTCCCCTCTGCACGATACAGCGAAGATATGCACTGACGACTCGGCCGAGCTCAGCTGATGGTTGAACTGTTTATCAGATTGCCTTATCCACGCCTCCGACGTCATATCGCAGATCGAGAATAAACCGGGCACCGAGCGAACATCTGCCCTGGCCTAAGAGTGATTATGTGAGGCCGCCTTGGAGTCAAACGAGATGGTTAACAATATCAAGCTCGGCGCTAGTCAAACTGGGCGCTGGATAGCAAAGATGTACGCAGCTCATGGTCTTGCGACGACTGCGCACTAAAAGACAGTGTCTTGTGACGGGTCGCTTGACTCGGAGAGACAGCTGCTGCCCGAAGACCGACTGACAGCGACGACAAAGGGGGTTCAAGCGAGAGAGCCTGCGTCAGCGATGATGAGGAGGGGCCTCCAATACCGTTCGGGAGGCCAATGGCGATCCTCATCAGCTAACGATGGACCCCGAATCGGAAGCCTAAAGTTGGCGTCAACGTTCGTTGGAGCTTAGGATGGCTCCAGAGCACAGCCTCGATGCCCATGACGGACGTTCAAACGTGGGTCAAGTATGGCGCTGTCGTCGGCGTCCTGATACCCGCCTTCCCTCGATTTCTCGTGCGAGGTTGTTTGGGTGGAAAGAAGCGGAGACTCCACGCAGTGCCTGAATTTGAAATTCCGATAAGCCCCGGCTTCCCTTCGTCGCATCTCTGTTCCGCACTCTTCCTCTCGACCATGCCTCGAGGTCGCTCCATCGACCCCCATCTTCCCATTACGAGGGCGCTGCAGACGCAGCGTGACTTTCGCGCAAGGCGAAATGCGAAGATGGTGCGTATCTTCTGTTCCGCGCGTTGCTTTGACTGGAAGAGGCGAGACGAGGAGGGAAGTCTAGGAAGGAGGGGAAGGAGGGAAGGCGAGGAAGGCGAGGCAGACGCTAACGACAGCAACACCTTGAGGCCGAGGTGGAGCGGCTCGGCCGCGAAAACGAAGCTCTCATGGCCGAGGTCGCGGCGCTTCGGGCGAGGAGCGATGGCTCAGCCGAAGAAGCGGTTCAGCGAGCAAGAGAGCAACTCGCTTCGGCGCTGAGTACTCTGGACGCGGTGCTCGTCCCGAAGCCTCCGTGCTCGAGTAGCTTCTCTTCGACCCAGCACGCCGCAGTTAACGGTTGCTATGGCAGTACAACGGAGCCGCCCGCCAGCGGTTGCTGTCCGCCGCCGACGCCACTCTCGAAATCACCGCCGACTTCGGAGCAGACACCGAGGGAAGCAACCATCCACCGGCGGCCGATCCCTCCCTGCGACATCCCTCGGCGCGACACACCGTCGAGACTGGGTCATCCGGCGAAGGACGAAGAGTGCTGCGGCGGACTATTCGACTGTGATGCCATGATTCGCACAGCCGTTGGAACCGAGCCCCGCTTGCCGCCATGATCTCCCTGGCCTTCCTCCTTCAGGACCTTACGGTTCAGAGCATCTCCCTTTATCCGAAAGACGCCGCCGAAGAAGCTCGTCGCATTGCATGTGCTACGGATGAGGCATCTTGGTGATAGCAGTACATGATCTGCTGTTGCATAGACACCGAACAACGACAGTTGAGCGTCAAGTCCTTCACGCCGAACACATTCAACCACGTGCTGCCTCGACCGCCTAATCCGTGGCTCATCAAGACGGGACACACACCACCACCTTCATTATGCCCGTCACACAATCGACAGTGCGAAGCTTAGATGTTCGACAGACTGGGCTTCTCCTCTAAGGGTATGATCATGGCATGCTCGCCGTGCTGGAGGTGGGAGGCACGCCCAGATGGAGCGAGATATCCGGCATTTGGCAAAGCGACCGCACTGCGACCCTTGCCCGGCATTGCTAAGCTCTGAGATCTTATCGATGCGATATCTGGTGCCCTACTGACAGCATATGCTGCGCTCCTCCTCATGTGGATGTCAAGAGTAGCTGGGTGGCCCCACTCACTGCAGAAACTAACCCCGAACCAGGACGGCCTTGACGCATTCCGCACGCGTCACCACCTCCGCACCGATGTGTGCACTCTCGCACCTGCGCGTTTTTGGCCACCACTGCTGCCCACGCCCCGACATCGAACGGCTTCAATACACAACTCCGCGATGCTCAACTCTGAATCGGCGATGGTATAAGAAGCGACGCCCCCATCAGATCTTTGCCTCTTCTCACCATTCCTCACCGCTGCCATACCAAGGCTGCCGCACATCATGGCCTCGAATGACGGCAATCCTCCTCCGTGTGGTGCGCCCCAGCCTTACCCATCGGCAGCGTTCGGCTTGACTCCTAGCGCCAGCGATGCTTCCAGCCCATCGCCCACTGCGAGCACCACCAGCACCATCAAGGTCACGGCCATCCCGCCCGTTTATCCCCAGCCTGCAAAGCTCCAGTCTGCTCCTCACAGACAGTGCGGGCTTTCTGCCTCCGAGGCGACCCCGCTCCAGCTGACTGTTGATGCTTTGAAGGCCCACGACAAACGGTGTGAACGCCACTCCGTTCGCCAAGCGATTCGATACGGCCAGCGCCCCGCACACAAGCCCAAGTCCAAGCCGCCCAAGTCCCATGTCATCAGGCGTCTCGAGGGCGAATTCCGCGACGCAGCGGCCGAAACCATCTACGGCCTCGAGTCGGCTCTCTCGGCGATGCAGGACCAGCATGCGCGCCTGGAGGTCGTAAACGCCCGCTTGCACGCTCAGGTAACCGAGCTGCAGTCGCGCAACCACATCCTCGCGGGGACCATCACATATGAGCGTGCTGCGCGTCATCATGCCGAGTCTAAGGCCATCGTTCAGGAGCGTGCGATGCAGGCTGAGGTCGACTACCTCCGCCGCTCACTTGCGAGCACCGGCAAGGAGGGCTTGAGGTCTCACCGCACCATCTCACCCAAGGCCCAGCCGGAGACGACGCAGACTGTGGTCAGGCCGCAGCTGCCTCCCCCTTGGCACCCTGGGAACGATGACGGAGTGGACCATGGCGACATCTATAGCGACACACTGGCTGCCTTCCTCACACACGGCGCCATGCCGACATCCAACTGGACCACGAATCCCTAGCCGCGGCGAGCTAGTCGAAGAAGACATACATACGGGAGGAGCCTGGAGCTCCATGGACGATCGGGGGATATGCAGGGCATGATGACTCGTACCTGCGTCTTGATGAGACTTACGACAGCAGGGCTTGCTCGCATACATGGGCGCCCCCGGGTGTCAGAATCAGAAACTCAACACTCCGATCTCGTAGCTCTTTCTTCGTCATCAGCGGACCTCTACTGACCCCCTACTCTCTTCTCACGAGCTTCCCATCGTTCATCTCACAATAATACCCCATCGAGCTCTGTCAAGGCCAGAATTCGTGATGACACGGCAGCCTTCTCGTCCAGCCGCTGGCGCTCAGTCATCGCAAACTGATGCTATGGGAAGTATTACCGCCCTGGTTGTGAGCGTTCCCAGTTGCTCTGCTGACGCTAGGACTCTCTGGAAAGGGAAGTCCGTCGCCTCCGGGCCGAGAATGAGCAGCTGAAAAGGGATCTTGCTCTCGCGAATAGAGAGGCGCGATTCAGTACGTTCACGCTCGTCAGCGTCCGCTCAGATATGCGTCCCGTTTCCTCGTCCACGCCGCCACCCGTCGCCAAGCCCGCCAGCCCCGTCGATATCCCTGCACAAAAAGGCGCCCCAGCGCAACATCCCGAAGTCATCTCGGCGAGCAACTCTAAGGCACGCGAAGAAGTCCTCCAGCTTGCGCAAGACTGTCAGGAAGCAATGAAGGAAGCCCGGCCCCCCACCGATGCCGAATACCAGGCTGTCACGACCTCGCTGAAGCAGCTTATCGACTCCCTCCGAGCTTCACCGAAACCCCGGTGATATCCATTTTCATCCCCCAATGGCCCCTGTTCACCTCTGCGCTGAGCTTGTGGATCATAAGTGCGTAGAGCGCGTACTGGACTTCCCGACTACCCTCGCAAAGAGGACATCACTCCTCTCCGCATTCCCTCGCACCATCGACACCAAGCGTTTCTAGTTCGTATGTGTCGTCTCTCGATGCATCATCATCAGAGAAAGTATGTCTTTTGTCCCTCCATGAGACACTCACCTCCATGGAGCAACAACAGAAATGACTGACCCAGCGTCACTTGCTATTTCCCTTTATCAAGCCCGCGACCACTCGACTCCCAGCAACGGCGCCTCCTCCAAGAATGCCTAGACGCTCCCGCAGTATGAGCCGCCTTCCTGTGAGTGTCGTGAGCCACGAGCTGCGCTCTAGAGCTAACGATAGTATTCATTGGAGAGTGAAGCTGCATCTCTTCGTGCCGAGAACAGGCGTCTGCGGGAAGACCTCATCGACGCGCGCCGTAACGAGATGGCTCTTACCAGTACCATTGCCAGACTGCAAGGCGACTTGCAGCGTCTGGCAGTCACAACTGACGTGGCCCGCCAGCAAGACTTTCACGTGCAGGCCATGCATGCTCAGGTCGCGTACACCGCAAACCACTTCCGGTCTCAGGCTTTGACTGCAGCCAGCCAAAGAGTCGCAGCAAGGCTTTCATCGATGGGTCGCCGCCTCGCTGAGATCGCAAGGAACGTTCGCTCTGGTGACGGGACTATGTACTACGCGCACAGAGGTGCGGAGCAGGCGCTGTATGACTTAGCGAGTGAGGTTCAGAGCTTGCAGCGTACGGCAGATGGGTACATCGGCCCCATCTAGCATGCCACGGGGAGGATTGTTTGTAGCTGAAGGATTAATATGCAAAAGCCATCAATGGCCGGCTCCAGGGGTGACGAGTCACAATAGCAGTCGCACAAACAAACACTTCTAACGGGTATCACGTTGAGCCGCTCCCAACCATAAGTCCAAGCCCTGGGGATGCAGTAGAGAGCGATCAGTGTGTTGCTGGGTCGCATGCGTGTCCCAGTCACCCGGCAGGCGCTTAAAGCCGTGTTGTCGTTGCTGTCCTCCACACCATCGATTGCAGGATCACTCACTATGCCGAACAGCCCAACCTGCGCTGCCGCCTCCATCCGCCTTGAGCTCGTCGAGGTGAACATCACCGAGACTAGTTCAGCCGCGCCTCGAATGGGACCTATCTTGAGGCACGTCGTAAGTCTACCCACCTTGTTTAGCTGACACAAGGCTGCACTAGAGGAGCAGTTTGATGCTCTTCAAGAAGACAACGCGAAGCTGGCGGAGGCGATTCGAACCCGAGCGACTCGGGAGACCAACCTCCGACTGCTGGTCCGCATTCGGGAGCTCGGCAAAGAGCATGGTCGGAAGGATCTACAATCTGTGATCGAGAAAACGACTGCCGGCCTCAAAGAGCTGAATACCTGTCTCCAGCAGTTTGCCCTCGAGGACGGGATTGATGCTACCAACGGGACGGTGACGTTCCGGAGGACTGTGGAGGCTCTGGGGGAAGTTGAGGACGGAGTTGAGGAGCTGAAGCGCATCGCCGGGGATGCATTGAAGCCCATGCAGCTTCCTGGTCCAACCCCTGAGACACCATCTCGTCACCGTTGATGACAATCCCCAATGGTGCTCCAGAGTACAGCTAGGTAGCCATCGATGTAGTGCATGAGTCCAACGCTGCCGCAGAATCAATCAACAGAAGGGGAAGGCATTGTCTCAGTACAGGATCAGTGCCACAGCGTAGTGAAGCCTGTGAACACGTTTCAGACGACACCACGAAGCGCTCACCCAACGCTGTCATCAACTGAGAGGACGTTGGGACATTTAAGGATCGATCGAAAGGTCCATCAAGCAGCCCAAATGTCCACAGCTCGCCCCCGACCAAGCTCCTCACCCCAGTCGTCCGCAATGCAGGCGCAGCAGCAAGAGTTCAACGCTCTGCCTCAGAATCAGGTCCCGATGCAGGCGCAACAACAGCAGCCCATCCAGCAGCCGCAACAGCTACCCAACCTCCAGCCTCAGCAACCCTCAAGCATGAACGCCCCGCGCGGCCCGGGACTCACCATCGTGCCACCTCCCGCGCAGGCCAACATCCCGGGGCTGCCCTACACTGGTCAGCCCATCCTACAGACACCCGGAACCCTTGCGACTCTGACAGTGAGTCTTCTCCGAGCCCCGCTAACAGTAGTACCAACTTGAGGCGGAGGTCGCCTCCCTGCGGTCGCAGGTCGTGCAGTTACGAGGCGCCCTCTCCGCCAAGACGCTGGTCGAGGAAGAGCTTCAACACGAGCTGGCCGTCCTGCGTTCCGAGAACCTCCGACTCAACGAGACGTTGTCGTTCTTCATGAAGCGCGACAAGCAGCTCTACCCCGAGGTACTCAGGACGGAGTATGCCAAGGTCGAACAGCGAGCTGAGCTGGAGCAGGCCGCGCGGACCATTGCAGCTTGGTTCGAAACTCTACAGGGTACGGTGGACAAGCGGATGGAGCACAACCTGCAGGACATGTTTGAGGGCACCGGCGGTAGCGATCGAGAGGCCCAGACCCGTATGGCCCTTGGACAACAAGCCCAGGGTATGGTGAAGCAGCTACAGGACGCCGTGGAGTCGTTGCGGAAGATTGCCGAGGAGAGCTTGCGCGCGTTGCCGATGCCTGATTCCCCCTCGGAGTAACAGGAACGCATAGTCAGCGGTGTCAATGGGCTAAACGCATGCACAACTTCGTGCAGTATAGATTGTTCTGCGCATGTGTCAGAGGAAGGCATCAGGGGAGGTAGTTGAGGGATGTAGTTGTCGGTCATCATCCTCGTTGCCGTACTGTACACACTTGCACACTGCCATTCGACACTTACACGGCGCCTGCGCGGCTATACCAGCAACGTTGGGAGATTTAAAGAGATAGCTTGTCTCTCTTGAAGGCTCACTGCAACCCTCACTGCGTAACATGCAGAACTTCACCGAACTTAGCATCGTGCCGCCACCCGCCCAGGCCTTCATGGCGTCACAGCCTCAGAGCGGTGTCCCTCCCACCAGCGCGGTTCAACCGAACAACGCCGTCCCACTGGCTCTTGCACTCACCCCCAACAGCGTCCCTCCGCCTTCGGGTCCCGCTCCGCCGTACAGCGCGACCCCCTCAAGCGCAATGCCTCGGAGTGGTGTGCCGCCGTCCATTCTGATCGTCAGTACCGAGAGCATCAGGGACACGGGAACACTCACCGTGACAAAAGCTAACAATAGGGGCGGCTTGAGGGTCAAGTGACAGCTCCTCGGGGCGAGAACGCAGTGCTCAAAGCCAACCTCGCTGCCTGGCAGGCCGCGAACCGGAAGCTGAAGGATAGCGTGCTCGCTCTCAGTCAGCAGCAGATCGAGCACTGGCGCAGTATGGGGGCCATGGATGTGCAGAGGGCAAGGGGTCGCGAGCAGCTTGCAGCTGCGATGAAGACACTCGAGACATGGTCCGAGGACATGCTAGCCACGTACGACACTCCGATCGAGTGCAGCGCGCCGGGTAGTAAGAAGGAGGCCCAGAAGCGTGAGCAGCGGATCGACCTCTTCAACGAGCTCAAGGACGCGGTGGATGAACTTGCCCGGATTGCGGAGGAGAGCTTGCGGCCTCTGCCCCCCGCGACGGGCCGTCTTGTGTAACTGTTAGTTAGCTCGGAAGATATCAGTACCCGGCGGGATCAGTGTGCGGAGGCATTAAATTCATACAAACTACAGATGTACCCGATGGAAAGGCGTTTTGATTTTCGTTATCGCTATAGCGCTTAGGCAGGAGGGCGAGCGAGATGCCAGCGGCGAGGAGGGCGGCGCCGGCCGCGTTGGCGCGAGCACCAGCGTCGGCGGGAGGGTGCTTCTCCTCGTACTTGGCGCTGGCGCAAACGCCGGCAGAACGCGAGTTAGCGCACGCCATGAAGACGTCAATGTTGTCGGCCTCGGTGATGCCGCCGCAGACGGCCTTGTCCTGACCCAAGCTTCCGCCGGCAGAGTAGCAGCACTGCTCGGTGGCCGTGTTCAGGTCGTTGGGGGGCGAGGTGGTGGCGCAGTACACCTCGTCCTCGGTCGCGAGGGTGTCGAGCTTCTCCTCCGTCTTGGCCGCGCGCGCGGCACGGAACTCGCTCCACGGCCAGCATCCCGTCTCGAGGTTGGCGACGTTGTGCTCCTTGGCGAGGACGCTGGTGCAGTTCGAGAACCACGACTGGATCTGGTCCGCGTCGCCGCGGAAACGGCAGTTGGAGCCGAAGTCGTCGTTCTCCGGCGACGGGACAGCGTCAGAGTTGGGGCAGCACGAGACCACGACGGTGCTGTCGGAAGCACCACAGACAGTGTCGGTGTCGAGAAGCTTGGCGGCGTAGAAGTACGTCGGCTCCTGCTCCGTTCCGCCGTAAGGCTCACCACCGAGCGACGACGAGGGGAACTTGGGGATGGCGGAGGAGTTGTACAGCTGGCCGGGCTTGGCGTCGCCGTGGAGCGCGATCGGGATCGAGGGGCCGGCAGACGCCGAGGCGGAGGCGGAGGGCGCGGCGACCGCGGGGGCGGAGGACGACATGGTGTTTTGTCAGTGAAGGGGTAAGCAAGGGGGGTGAAAAAGTCGGAGAACAAGCTTATATAAATGGCGCATGCGCTTTTACCGACATTGCTGGGGATCCTTGGGTGGTCCGAAAGGGTCACGGCACCCTTGCCAAGAGCAGGTGACTTCGGGATGCGTTCAAAATTCGGCCTGAAAAGAAGATGCCAAGCCCACCGGCGTCCAGCCCTCTGCGTCCCCTCTGCGTTTCAGCGCCGTCTGGCGAGTCGGGGCTGGATTCCCAGGCTCCGTTCTTGCAAGCTTCGGGACGGAGGCTTCTGAGCGACGCACTCTCCAGACTTTTCCTCCAATCAAAAGAGGAAGAGCAAGTCACGTGCAGAACGCACGGCCGAAACAGGCGAATTATCTTATCTGATTTGCTCTTGGCTGGAAGGCGGCCTATATTTAGCCAATTACAAGTTGCCAAGGGAGTTGAAGTGACGACCGACGACTGCACGCACCAGGTTGCTTTTCACTGGCGAAGCGCGGACTCGCCCGACAGCAGCAGTAGATGCCCCCGGTGCCTCCTGGGCCCCAAGTACCGACGCCGATAACTCTATGAGTGACAGAGTTCAATTATCGATCCGAGCGTGAATGGCCGCTGAGAGCTCCGCTGTGCCGTAGGCATTAGAGGAACCAAGCTGTCAGATCAATGACTCTCAAGTGGTCATCGATGTGCGGTCCGAACGGCGTCACGTGCAGTACAGCTACCCCGTACCATCAGCACGGCAGCATGCTCTCTGGCCGGCTATCTTCAGATGTACGAAGGAAGTCGGCTTACTGGGTCTGCTTGATTCACGGCCGACAGAAAGTGAACCCTGAATCTGTGATCTCCCGTTAGTTGTCAGTCCAACAAGACCTGCTACCATCACAGAACGCACATGTTTGTTCTATTTCTGATTTCTAAACATCACTCACGAGACCTGCTATTGATGCACAGTTGCGGAGCAGCAGCAGGCGTGGACGGCATCTGCGTCGCAACAGCCGTCGCATCCTCATCCCCGTTGGCCCCAAGCTCCCCTCTAATGCGCAATATCCGCTCCACTGTCCCTTCCAACCTGGCAATCAACTCCGTTCCCCCGTGGAAGCCTCTCATCTCTTCCGAATAAGGAACCCACGATGGGTTGTGGCTGGTTTAGCGTTATGTTGGCCATTGGGACCATCAGCGCTGTCGAGATCGTAAAGGCGCATGGGAAGACCGCCACTACGAGGAGGGACACCTGACGAGTCACTGCTCATGCCCACTCCCGGAGTGCGCCTGAACGGAGCAGCAGTGAGTGGGTCTGAACGGAAAACACTGCTGGCTGGTATTCCGCTCCCTGGTGCCGGGAGGCAATGGAGCAGTCCCGATTCCTGACGCTCGGTGTTAGCAGCCGGCCCGGAAAGTGAGCGGCAATGGCCGTGGGTGTGTGAGTTTGCGTGATGTGGGCTGCAGTGGGAAGAGCTGGAAGAGTTGGGAAAGCGGTCGGTTAGCCGCTGATGAGCATGGGGAAGGCGGACAGACGTAAGCGTCGAGGGGGGTCAGCCTGTTTGCCCGTGCAATGCAATGACCGCGCGCGTTGCTGCAGACTGTTGAGGTATCGCTGTTGCCTTCGTTCCGTGGGCGAATGCGAGGAAGGTTATTTGCAAGAACAGCGCACAGTGCGTTTACGGCTGTCAGCTCACGCTAATCTGCTATTAGACAGCCAGGAACGCGATTAGGGCCACCCATTACCGCTGCACGTCTTTTCATTCTTCTGCCCGCTGTCACAAAACATGCCCCTGCGTGCGTTCTCCGCCTATCTTAAAGCACGCCATTCCAACAGACAAAGCTACCGTCCGCTTACGCATGCATGTTGTCGCTGTCGCACACGCGTCGCTCGTCGTCATCTTAGCACTCTAGCCCGCCGGATCGATGTTCGGACACGGGGACGGCGGTTCCAACCCGCGTGGACCGCTTATCAGCGTGTCTTCCACCGGTGTCAGGTACATTTTGACCGAGTGTCAGGGTCAACCTTCTCACAAGCGGGCCGGGTACACCACGTCCGTGGATGGACGCTAGTGGGTTAGCTCTTCCTCATCACTCTTCCCGCTATGCATCTATAACTGCGAAGATCGCCCACTCGCATTCCCTCATTAGCAAACATTCTTTCACACCGACGCTCACTACCAACAGAAAACACGATGACTGCCCAGAAGACGAAGGCTCAGCGCGTTGCGCTCATTACTGGCTGCTCGGAATCCAACTCGATCGGCGCAAACCTCGCCCTTGACCTCCTTCGCCGCGGATGGAAGGTCTACGCAACCGCTCGGAAGGTCGAGACCCTTGCTCCGCTCAAGGCAGAGGGCGCGCAGGTCCTCGCCCTCGATGTGGTGGACAAGCTGTCGATCGCGGACGTCAAGAAGACTATCCTCGACGCTGAGGGAAGGCTCGATGCTCTCGTGAACAATGTGAGTGACCCGAAAGCTGACCATCGTGGAATCCGGGTACAACCACAGCCGCTAGCGCCTTGGCGTCCGGGATGGCCCCATGGGGAGTCGTGATGTCTGCGTGGTTGGAGTTAAGCTGACGTCAGGCTGGTGTTGAGGACCGCTGCCCCGTCATCGACGTCGACATCGAGCGCATGCGCGGCATGTACGAGGTCAACGTGTTTGCTCCCATCGCTCTCGCGCAGGCATTCGCCCCCCTCCTCGTCGCCGGCCACAAGCTCTCCGGCGCTCGTTCCGTCATCATCAACATCGGCTCTGCCGCAGCCTACGGCAATCCCTGGATGGGCGTGTACGGCTCCACCAAGGCGGCTCTTCAGTCTCTCTCGGACGCGATGCGCCGCGAGCTGGCTCCCCTCGGCATCGCCTCCGTCACTGTGGAGCTCTCCGTCGTCGACACAGCGATGCAGACGGGCCTGAAGGCGTTCGGTCTCAGCAACAAAGGCTCGCAAACTGGACTCTACGCCAACTTCCCCGAAGTCGAGGACGCATTCAAGCTCGAATTTAAGAAGATGTGCGCCAACGCTCCCAGCGTCCAGGAGGTCGACAACGCCCTCGGCCGGGCTGTTGAGAGCCCGCCGCGCAAGATCTGGCTCGGCGAGCGTAACTGGCTCTTCCGCTGGATCATTCCCGCCCTCCCTATCGCGATCCTCGACCGTGCGCTCAGCCAGGCGCAGCACGTCGGACTTGTCCGCACCTCCGACTCGTTCTAGACCTTCCTCCGCCCCTCCTTGTGGCCTTGTGTCAACTTCACCAAGTGGTGGACATGTTGTAGCTTATACCCATATCGATCCGCGAAACTTCTTGAATATCAGAATGCATCTGCTAGCTGTTGATCTGAGCATTCTGGTGCCGCCCCCAGCGCCCACGGCGCAGCAGCCGACGGCTTGCACCCCAGACATCGCTTCTTCGCTAGTATATCGGTTAGTATAATCGCCTCTCAAACGGGAGATCCTGAGCTGGAAACAGCTACAAGGGTGCGCGATAGAGCAGGGTTCGACTCCCTGGCGGAGAACGTTTTTGGGACTCTGCCGTGTGTCTGTGTGTCCTCGCACTGCGGCGAGTTGCCGGGTAATAAGGGCGGGTAGGAGGTGAGGGCTGGGTGTGGAGGCAGATGAGCCGAGATCGGTGTCGAAGCAATATCCGTCCAGTAACCGACACGGGAAGCGGTGGTTCTCGCGCTCCTGCGAGGAAGGCCCGATGTAGATTGAGGTCGCTGAGAGTCAGACGAAAAGACGTTCTACAACTCACACGCACACTGTCCCACCCTCACTGCGGTCAGAGTGGCGGCTGTGTTTGGCGGGCACATTCCTTTAAGGCGTACAAGACAAGTACCGCTGGGGCATGTCGAGCGCTGTAGGACAAGTCACGCAGCGTGGGGCAGACCGAGGTAGAACTGATGTTAGCTACAAGCTCACAACAAGAGCTCACGAGTAGGAAACGATGTGCTACATCTTCGCATTCACGAAGGCTGTGTAGACGGGGTTCACCTCGACGTCAGGCCAGGCGCCGATGACATGACCCCCTGGCCGAGTACAGGGTGGTGTTTTGCTGCTTCTGAGTTGTCCCCGCTGACCGGCATCGAGTACGATCTTGCGGCGGCAGGAGGCGCACTGGAACGAGAGGAGGCGGAACTGCGGGCGGAGGTCGAGGGCATCCATTTCGGGATGCTCAACGGATAAGCGCGGATTCTGGAGTCCCTTGGACTGTCAAGTGACAGAGTGACAGGTCCTTGGTGTGGGGTTTTGAGAGGAGGAGTAAGAGATCAGAAAGGGGAGTACGGAGAAGGAAGAATTGATCGCAAGCCGGGGTGACAGAAGTTGAGATGACGTCCAGGTGGGCTCGGCTATTCAGGCGGCTTGGTCCGACTCTCCCACGGTAGTCGGTCATCACTCCACCCGTTTGTGATCAATCCTTGTCGCCGCTCTTGGTTATGTACGAGTTCACTCTCTTTACCCAGACACCACATACTGACGAACACGTTCGGCTTCGACTTGGAGCGCACTGTTGCAATCTGCACTAGCACGCGGCTGCTTACTCAGGAAATGTCGACCAGAGTCACTGGGTGACACTACTCCCCGGAGAACTGGGTGCCTGCAAAAGAGTGATATGTTGCATACGACAACTACAGGAACTGAGATACTAACACCGCGGCAGCTGACTCCTAGCTTACTCATTCCAGCTTGGTATGAGCTAATGGGCTCCGAAATCCATCATCCTTCGACCGCAGTTGGCTACTCGAATGGCTCTCTTCCGTACGGGTGAACTCTGCGAGCCTCTTTCATGGCGTAAATCGGCTCGAACGGGTGGCAGAGTTGCGTGAAAAGTTTGCGATAGCGACGATCAATGTCGTCCTTGGCTGCAGACCATCTCGACATGAAGTTTCTGTACCAGTTCATGAGGCGGGTAGGACGGCCGGCTGAAAGTATTGAGTAAAGCCCCTGAATTCTGTCTCTTTCTGCCTCAATGCGGCTATTCTTCTTCCTCAGCCGATCGTTGTCTCTCTCCAACTCTATGCGGTAGCGGTAGTCCTGCTCCGCTTTCTCCTTCCGCAGGCGTTCCTCCTCCCGCTGTAACTCTTCAAACTGATAAATGGAGCTCACTACGAACTCGCGCTCAGCAAATTCCTTGGACTGCTGTTCGGCTGTCTCGAGGTCGCGGGCCACGAGGTGCTTCTCTCGACCGCGGGCATCAAACCTGGCCTGAAGTCCCTGGAGCACCGCTCCGGTCAAACGCCCATGCCGCTGATACACTTCAGCTTCCTGGCGTACAGCTTCTTGCTCCCTGTCGAGCTCGGCATCCTTGCGCTTTAGCCACTCCATCTTGTCAAGTGAATTTTGCTTCATTTGGCGTTCCTGTCCCTCAATGCGTCTGATACGGTCTGCGCTGTAGCCCTCAAGACGCAAGTGCGCTCTGAGATTTTTCTGACGTGAGCACCAGCGTTTCAACCGTGGCACGACTCACGATCTTGCACTCCAGCTCATAACGGTAGTCTGGCTTTCGCTTCGAGGAGATGGGAGATGATTCCGACGCAACTCCGTCGATGGACCGCTTGCTCAGCGTGGGCGACTTCTTTTCAGTGGTTTGAGCTGCAGCCGAGGGTTGGGCTTGGGGTGGGCCAGGTGTGGACTGCACAACCCTGTTCCCCTCCTGTTGGGCCAACGCAGGGTTTTCACTCGAAGCGACCTTCCCAGACCCCCGGGCTGGCACACCATCGCCCGAGGGGTTCTGACATCGGGCTCGGAAGTATCCAGCTGTGACAACGGGTGTGGGGAGGGGTTTGATCGGTCGAGCCCCGGTGGCGAAGGTGGGGGAACTGGCCGTTGACCGAGACCGCTGCGACCGGGCGTAAGGAGAACGGCGCCAAGCACTTGGCGGGGGACCGCCAGCCCTAGAATGAAAGTTGCGCCGTTTGGGGGACAGTGGTCTAGCAATGCCTGCGGCGGGGTGGGAAGAGGAGTCGTTGTCGTAGAAGCTGAGCATCGAAGAGGCGGTGAGCTGTGGGTGCGATTACTGGGCGGTGTTGGCAGTTAAGTAGGCTCGTTCAGCGGTTGCTCGAGCCCCCGACACCCTCGTTATCGCTCGAGCGTCGCGCTAGGAAGTAGGTCACGCAGACACGAGCCCCTAGGCACATAACCGGACTCCCGGACGCCTCTGACACTTGCAGAGAGTATCTCGTTGAGAACTTGGGCGGCTTCTGGCCGCTAGAAGGGGATGCGACGCTTGGGGACAGGAAGCCACGCTGTCCAATCGTCGTCCTACTCAGACCAGTCCGAAATTTTGATATCGTTCAGACCCTCGACACCACGGAGTCCCAGCTTCTGTACCAGTCTCTGCTAACGTCCGGGCTTGCTGTCGTGACCTCCATCTGGGATTTTGCGCCGGCTCGTGGCGGCGCTGCCGGCAAGCTGTCAGCAGAAGCGTCCAAACATCTATGGTGAAATGGTATCATGCATCGTTGCCACGTGCGATTCGATGCGGTGGGGGTTCGATTCCCCCTGGATGTACTCTGTTTTTCTTCTCCTATGCATCAGAAGGGCGGATGGATGTGGGTGAGGGACGGTAAGGGCCGCAACACTGATTGCTGACTGGGCTGGAGGGTGCGGTTGAGCCTGGAGGGCTGTAGTGGCGGCCGTAGCATTTTGGGATATTTTCGACTTTGGCCATTTAAAGGCACCCCACCCATCCCTAACCCTGGGGAATGTTACCACTCCCCTCCGCAACGCTGGGATATGCAGCCGCTAGCGGTGTCTTTGCCAGCTGTTAGCCTTCGGCTGTTTGGCTTCTCTGGTTAGTTGGGGAGTCAATTCATCAGTTGCCGACAGAGATGCACTGAAAAGTCCACATTGAGTACTCTTCAGACCGAGGCTACAACGTCATAGGCAATAGGGAGGACATACATACGGTATTGGGCTGGAGCCTGATTGGAACGGAAAACGAACGACCAGGACCGATTAGGACGCATCAGGCGTTAGAGTCACCGGAGGCTGTAGGCTGCAGTCGGACAGTGGGCAGATGAGTGGGCGCCACTCAGTGCGGTGACGTTGTATGCGGCCCACTCCGTCACTGAGCGCCACGACCGAAAGGATCGTTCCCTCCAGTTTCCACGCCCCGCGTGCCTGCTGTAGAAAAGGCAGTATACGCAGACATAAATCCGTCCCTTGCTCTCTCTATCGCAGCGCGTTTCTCCGTCTCTTCCTTGAGCGACGCCTTCGCAGCCTGCAACTCCCTCGTCAACCACTCCTTCTCCGCCTTGAACTCCTCCTGCTTCCGGCCCTGTAACCTGAGCTCATCCCTCAGCCGTGCAAGCTCCAGGTCCTTCTCCTCGTTTTTGGCACGAAGCTGCGCTAGCTCTCCGAGGGCTGCCTCGCTGGCGGAGCGAGTGGGGACGCCATGACGCAGCCCAGCGAGCTCGTTGCGCAGAGCCTTCACGGTCTTCTCGAGCTCGGCGTTGGTCTCCTCCAACTGATACATTAGCAATTGTACCACGAGCCTTTGATACTCACGTCTTCCATTCGGCCCTCCAGGGCGATGTCTCTGCTGATCTGATCGAGGTGGAGACTTTGCCGCGTCGCTTCGAGCGCGGCACATGTAGCCTTGAGGTCATCGGCCTTCTTATCGAGGTCCGACAGCTGGGCACGGAGACGTTTTTGGATTAGATCAGCGGTCACTTCCATAATGACTCCCACAAGAGGTGAGGTTCGGTCAACAGGTGAATCGGGTAGTGGTAGCAGTCGGGCTTGTTTGCTGCCTTCAGCGTAGGAGGGGCTGGAGTGACGTTTCGACATGATGTGGGAAGGTGTGAGGACGGGAAAGCTTGATTCGGGTCCAAAGACGCGGCAAATAAGTGGCCGTTCGCTGCTCAAAAGCTATGGTGATGTAGAGTACGCGTCAGAGCCGATGCAAATGCCAGATCCGAGCCACACATATACAAGTTCATGCCCTTTGTTACACATTGTCCTGGGCGTCTCTTACAAACCGACCGCGTCATGTGTAGGGACCAACCACCCCATTATCTCCTGGCGAACCACGAACGACGACGTTCGATTTCTCCGGGCTCCAAGTTTTCGCGACGAGAGGGGGGCGGAGAGCGATGCCGTGAGTGAGCGATGGGGCTGCCCTTGATCGAGACACGCTGGTATGAGGGGTCCGACATGTCGCCCGAGTTGGAGAGTAAGGGACGCTGAGGCAGACTGGAGCGGGTGACAGCCTGGGATGGTGCTGGTGGCGGCGAGGTCTTGAGCTTCGCTAGCGTATGGGAGTTCGTCGGATCTAAGGGGCTGGGATGACGTTCGAGGTTGTCGGGAGGAGAGGAAGAGACTCGTATGTTCGATCTCTTGCTGCTCATCACCCTCAGTGCGGCGCCCATCTGCGCATGGAGATCTGCGAACTTTGCTTCCGCCGCCGCTGCGCCCTCCAAGTCGTCCGTTGCCTGCTTCCAGTCATGCTCAAGCTCGCGCACCTTGTTCCGGAGCCCGACGATCTCCTTCAGCAGTGACTCGTTTCTCTCCGAAAGCTTGGTGTTCTCCTCTTGCAACGCACCGTTACGAGTGTCTAGGGATTTGACTTGATTGTTCAGGTTGTGTGAGTCGGCGATCAAGGCTTCCTTCCCCTCACTGACGGCCTGGATATTGCATTGAAGCTGTTCGTTCTTGGACCGGAGATCGCTGATTTCCTTCACGTACGCTTGCGTTGCTTCACGGATCCGTTCGTCTGCTTCGGCGTTCCACCGTCGAGTGTGCTCCTGTACGACGCGAAGAATGTCCTCCTAAACATTAGCTCCAAACTGAATGAGGCGCGCCGCTGCACTGACGTCGAGGCCCAGGCCAAAGTCTTCTCTGGGATGTTTTGGTGATTTAGGCTCGACAGGAGAGCCTGGTCGCTTGAGAGTCATGTCGGTAGATGGAGTGTTGACAGGAAGGATAAACACGACGTGCTGCTTTGGGTCAGTCACCTGGGTGGCAAATATACGGGGTCCCCGCATCGGGCCCAGGTATGAAGCGCCTCCTCCCTGGGAGTGACGAGCAGCTGCAACATGCATGAGCTCAACTGGGAGGGGTTGCGAACGACGGAGGGGTTGCTAAGGACGGAGGAGAAACGCTTCTGGGCAGTACCGATTGGTTCAGCACTCACATAGGTAAGAGTATACCATGCTGCGAAATGGGCGAAAAGACTCGCGGGCAGCGACCCTCAAGACATGCACGCCCACAGACCCCGTCCTGCAGCGCACTTCGCGGCTCTGCAAAATCGAAAGAGTAGGACAACATGCATGACCGATTATCTTGTACAAGTGAGAAGAAAGGAGAACTCACGGCCAGTGATCAGCCTCCGAACGGCGACGGGGAGCGTAGCGTGACGAATGGGAGCGTGAATAGCCGTATTCGCCATCACTGGCACTGTCGTAACCACTACGCCGAGGAGACCAACTGTCGCGGTGGCGTTTGTCGCCTCTTCTATACGACGTCCTGTGATCGGGGGTCGGTGCAGGTGTGATGCGATCCTGCAAGGGCGCCGTGATGCGGATTTTGAGATCGGGGCGAGCTGGTAAAGCGGCAGGACCGCGGGGAGGTGAGCGGCTGAGGCTGCAGAGTCGGGCTTTGGTCGTCGTTGAGGAGAATGTGGAGGAGGGTGACTCCAGTGGCGAGATGGGACTGGCAGGACGGCGGGGAATGATGGGGGAGGGTTCGTCCTTGGAGTCGGCCTTACAGTCGGCCGCAGCTCGAGGAGAAGTAGGGCCGCTACCGCCTGGAGTCTCACTGAGGTGTTCCAATATGGTGTCGACTGCGGCCGTCGCGTTCATCAGATCGAGTCGTAGGTTGATGGTGTGCTGGAGCTGCGACTCTTTCTGAGCGTTGCGCTCCCGATGACGTTTACGTAGTTCTTCATTCTCACGACGGAGGTGCTTCAGGTGAGCAATCTCCGCGTCGAGCTGTGTAATGTTGCTCCTCAGTTGAGTATTGGATGCTTGCAATGCGCGGTTCTCCGCCTGCAGCGACGACGCGTCTTCCCTCAATTTGATGATGGCGTTCTCCAGGTCGTGGTCCTTGATCTCGAGGAGCGCATACTTGGCCTTGACCTCTTCGATCTCTGTCTGCAGTCGTTCGGAGTGCTGCTGCGCTTTACGCAGTTGCTCGACTTCTGCATTATCCCGCTTCAGACGCTCGAGCTCATGCTCAAGGTGAAGCTAATCGTCAAGCTTGCCCAGAATCGTCGTCACTCACAACTAGACCTGAAACCGACTGCGCAGGTAGGGGCTGCGGCGAGCCGTCAGGAGATGGTGCGTTGCTTGAAGAATCGCCCGTCATTGGGCACTCGAGTGGTGAATGATGGAGTGCAGTCGTCCATGGATCTGAGCAACCTTAGTCGCTGTGTCTGACAATCGCAGTGGGCCAGATCGGGCGGCACCAAACCGTGGCGGCCATACTCAGTTGTCTGGGTCTTCATTACACAAAAACAACCAACCATGAGCGAAAAGGAGACAGTAGTACGCCTGGTACGAGTAGATCAGATAGTTGCTCTCTACCTATCTTCTCCCGTCGTTCGGCTGCTATGCAAAGGTGCAGCGGTAACACGAAGCGGTTTGTCATGGAAGTGGAGGGGGAGCAAAACCGTGCGTCGAAGATCACTGTGAAACGCAACGACGGCTGCCGCGTGTGACTGGACCCGGCCACTAGACGTAGACACCGTCTCCTAGCCGAACTTGCACGCAACTGCCGCTGCCAGTTGTCCGTTGTAGCCCCATGCTTTATGTGTCAGTGGGAGATGTCGACATATCTACATGTTGTCCGACTTCCTCCTCCCTTCCATTTATTCAGTTCCGCTGTTCCTGACAACTTGAATACATTCGCAGCAAAAGCGGAGGACCGAGCAAGGCAAAAGTTAAGCAGATGTAGCTTCTTTCTCCGCCGGGGAATCGAACCCCGCTCGTCCGCGTCCAAGATACTTGAAAAGCGGAAATACTAACCGATGTACTAGCGAAGAGATCAGCGAATGACTGATGCCATCGTGCATCACGATCACGTGATAGGAGATCCGGTCCGGATGTAGAAGCCATCCGCGGATATCGTCGCCAGCTGCTGGAGACAAACACTACGTTCCACGATCAACACGGATTTGAATAGTATTCGACGCAGAAGCACTGAGACCACATTGACCTCTCGTCTCATGAGCCGGCATCCCCGAACAGTGGCTGGGCGAAGCGAGAGAACGAGGCCTAAGCTCCACCCTGCGCTCGCACCGGCGCGGCCGGTGCCGAGGCCCGGCTGAACACAACATCACCATCGGCCGCTTAGCTCAGCTGGTTAGAGCATCGTACTAATACGAAGACATCGTATCAGTTTAATGCGGAGGTCGGCAGTTCGATCCTGTCAGTGGTCAAGCACGAGCGCGACGCGCAAGTGCATTACTTTTTCGACAGCCAGAGGGGTGCTAGAGGACGGAAGACGAAGGGGCCAAGCGAAGGGACGGGTGACAGAGCTGTGATGGTTCACAGCGGTCGTTGTGCCGCGTTGCGCCCTTGAGGAATCAGCCCCCTGATTCGGATTTGCGGCCCTGTCAGCAGCGGCAAGGCATCGCGCTGAATAACAGGCAATCCGTGGTCCGGCGCGTCCCATTGTCGGCGGCCACTGGATGCACTGTATCCAGCACAAGTACCGTTTCTCTTTCAGGGGAAACTCATCTTCTGTCCGACGCGGGAAGCTCCTCGTGTACGCGATAAGCGCCTAGAGCCCCCGGTAAGTCTCTTCCGAGCAGTGACCTGAAATCATCGTATGAAAGGGGACATCCTTATCTACGCCGCGGGGACCGCGCTGACGTCAACGTTGTTTGATCAGCTTTCGTCCGCTTAACTCAGTGGTACGAGTGTCGGCTTCCGGATGGGTGCGCCGGCGGTCGAGGGTTCGACCCCCTCAGCGGATTACAGACGCTTTTTGTGATCCCCTTGAGGCATGGACAATAGGGCACCCCTTCTGTGCGTTTGGCGACTGTCCCTTGCATCCATCAGACGGGTTGGTAGGGCTCCGTGACGCCGGTGACGTCAATAGCGGTTCAACCAATCGGTCCGCTTAACTCAGTGGTACGAGTGTCGGCTTCCGGAGAGGGCGCCGGCGGTCGAGGGTTCGACCCCCTCAGCGGATTGCTTTTGCATGCGTGTGTAGCTTTTGGAAATCGTGCTCTTGGATATCGTTTCAACCCTCAGCTCGGGAGTACTTGTAAAGCGCTGGCCACAGTCGGAGCGGATAGTCCCAGGGCCCTGGACGGAAGCGTCAGTCGGTGGAGGCCGAACTGTGCAACGAAGCTGAGGCGGGATGCAGATCTAATCGCACATGTCACAGTTCGACTATCCAGTCAACACCGCCATTTCACGAAGCAGAAAAAGGTGTGCGCTCTCTTGCGAGAGCATGCTTGACCACTGACAGGATCGAACTGCCGACCTCCGCATTGACTAATTCTCGCTCGGAGTATTAGTACGATGCTCTAACCAGCTGAGCTAAGCGGCCGAGACATCCGTGATCGCCACAGCCCACCGATGGTCGCGGGGCCGGGCTAGCGGGCATTCCCACTTCGCCACGGTCATGCATACTCTGCCACTTGAGTTTGAGGCGCTCCAGTGCATTCGGCGCACCCTTCCCTGATATTGAGAGTACGTACAACGGTAGGAAGGGGTGTGCCACTGTCGGTTCCAAGCATGAACATGGGTGAGGCGCTCGTAACGAGCCATCAGTAATATTCAGAATTCCACCTTCATTTCCTGCCACTGTCCGCCGAACGCTGATCTTTCGATGCCGTATGAGCTGGCGAGATATTATCATCCTCGAAAGTCCTGAAGGTGTTGGCCACTTGAGATGGAGAGCGCCGCGTGTCACTTGCCATCATGCACTGAGAAGTATGTCTGCGAATAAATTCGAGGAGCAAGCCCAGTACTCGGATACACAGCGGTGGCGCCTTCTCCGCTTCCCATCCTTTCGCGCCCTACTCCAGCAGCAAAAAGGATGTCGTGCTCGTCGTTACCGAACACTTCTTGACCACTGACAGGATCGAACTGCCGACCTCCGCATGGACTAGTACTCCGCTGAGTATTAGTACGATGCTCTAACCAGCTGAGCTAAGCGGCCGAGACGATGTAAACGTTTGGAATCTGAAAACTGTACACTCTAGCCTGAAAGGCTAACGCCCACGTCTGCGAGCACACAGGCAGCCGCCAACTCGTCGCTGTCGGCACCGCAATGATGAGAGGGATGTGAACAGTCAGTCTGCATCATTGACAACCGTAGCTGACGGTGCTTTGGACGATGTGCAAGGTATGTTTAATGTCGTTGTCTCCGGAGCCGGAGGATTGCGTACGTGTGATCGGCGACTCAGAGTTTGCTTCCGACGCCGCGGACCCATCCGCACACATTTCGTCCCTTTTCAGTAACATAAGGTGTCCGTCTTCACTACACTTCCAAACTTTACTGCTCCATCGTCTCCCTTCTCTCCGTCACACAAGGTACACAGAGGACCTCGAACCTGGGACCCCCTTTGTGCAACACAAGGACGGCGATGGAAAGCAGCTTACACGCGCTGCCAACCTCCTCACCACCCTCCATCCGCCTTCATAGGACAACTATCTTCTCTTCCCACAGCCGTTATACCCTCTCTATCTCTCCCCAGGCGGGAAAAAAGTGATGCGCTCGTCGTTTGCAAGCACTCATTGACCACTGACAGGATCGAACTGCCGACCTCCGCATGGACTAGTACTCCGCTGAGTATTAGTACGATGCTCTAACCAGCTGAGCTAAGCGGCCGAGACGATGTAAACGTTTGGAATCTGAAAACTGTACACTCTAGCCTGAAAGGCTAACGCCCACGTCTGCGAGCACACAGGCAGCCGCCAACTCGTCGCTGTCGGCACCGCAATGATGAGAGGGATGTGAACAGTCAGTCTGCATCATTGACAACCGTAGCTGACGGTGCTTTGGACGATGTGCAAGGTATGTTTAATGTCGTTGTCTCCGGAGCCGGAGGATTGCGTACGTGTGATCGGCGACTCAGAGTTTGCTTCCGACGCCGCGGACCCATCCGCACACATTTCGTCCCTTTTCAGTAACATAAGGTGTCCGTCTTCACTACACTTCCAAACTTTACTGCTCCATCGTCTCCCTTCTCTCCGTCACACAAGGTACACAGAGGACCTCGAACCTGGGACCCCCTTTGTGCAACACAAGGACGGCGATGGAAAGCAGCTTACACGCGCTGCCAACCTCCTCACCACCCTCCATCCGCCTTCATAGGACAACTGCTTCCAGTGGGGAGGAACCTGAGTCCAATCACGCGCCTCGTTGTCGCGCTTCCAGTGAGGGGGAACCTGAGTCCAATCACGCGCCTCATTGTCGCGCTTCCAGTGAGGAGGAACCTGCGTCCAGTCGCGAGCCTCGTTGTCACGCTTCCAGTGAGGGGGAACCTGGGTCCAGTCGCGCTCTTCGTTGTCGCGCTTCCACTGAGGAGGGACTTGGGTCCAGTCACGCTCCTCGTTGTCGCGCTGTTGGAGAGCCTCACCGCTACCCCCGACAGCCTGACGCTCTTCCAGAGGAGCGGCCAGAGCGCCCGCCAGGGACAGGAGGAGGAGAGTGGTGATCTGCATGTTGTCGAGTGAGTTGTTTCGGTGTGTGGCGTCGAAAATGAAGAAATTGTGTGGGGCGTCAAAGGTGTGGGGTGCTCGTCTTATATCCAGTTTGACGAGGGTTGGAGATCCTCGGAAGCGGTGGAAAGCCAGAGGAAGAGCGCATCAAGGGCCTACTACGGGCGGGGGACCCGGCGCAGCCCCCGAGTGCCACTGGCGCCTACAGAGGCCTGGCGCGGGTCTAAAGTGGCTTGGTGGGGTGTGAGAGGGGTTTGCTGTCACATGCGGAAAGCAATAGAACTTACACCGGAACGTGGTTCGAATGCCTCGGCAGCCGCAAGAGCAAGCGGCTTCAATCGTGCGCCATCTGTTGCGGCTGAAGTCACCGATGACCGCTATCCTGAATGATCAGTGACGTCGAGGCAGGACGAACATGAGTGCACATCTCCCGCTCAATTGCTCTTATCGTATCATTTGTGCTTCCCATGGCGAGATTGGTGGGGGCGGCGTGGTCATCTCGTAAGCTTGCTTTATAGCCGGTGCCACTCGCGGGGATAGTCATCGTGCCCGGGGTCATCTCTTGGCAAAGGATCACTGACTTTGAGGGCTCGATGTTCACAACGAGACTGTCGGTAAAGTTCCGATCATTCCGCCGTTCACCCATCAGTGCCTTCCTTACTCTATCACTTATATTCGAGGCGGACAAGCCTGAAGCTAATCGCGGACGTCAATGAAAGAAGCATGTGGAGCACGAAGCTCAACGTAAGTGACTGAACCTCCATTGGCTCGAACTCATAGGCACCGCACGTTTCGCCGAAGCGGCAACAACTCCGACGCGGCGAATGCACCCAGATGCTGGCACTCTGGAGAGTTCCTGCAGATCTATTCTGGTGCACACACCTAGTCACACGGCTCTCACTCAGAAAGCAAGAGACAGCACACCAAGTCACGCTGTAGATATGCACGAGAGACGTGGCTTTCCTCGCATGAGATCACGTCACTACCATCCAAGCCAGGGCTTAGCTTGAGCTCAATGTAATCTCTGGTCCTGCGTGCTGGGATGCATAAACGCGGCGTGCCAGTTGGCTGCACCCATTCGACAAGACTATCGGCATGCGGAGTTCCTCTCTCTTTCACCCATATCGATTGGAATGCTCGTCTTCTTTCATAACATAGACATCAAACGGGTGTCAGCGTGCCGCAGATACTGGTACTCACTCAGAAGTGCATGGCCAGCGGAGGCAATTCTGACAATCTCAGTCGCTTACTCCCTAGTTCTGAGAACCCGCTTAGTGACTCCCTCTGACGTCTAACTGGCCCAGTGCGCTGAATGCCAAGGTGCAAAAGAATCCGTGCCTCTCTTTGATTCGTTATCTGTCAAGATGCCTAGAGTTTTGGGTTTGACCATGGAACCAACCAGGGTCCATTCTTTCATACCCCGCGGGAATAGCACACTAAAGTGAGCGGTGATCTGCAGAAGACCATCTCGGTCCGAAACTCCGTAGGGAAAGCCGAGGGCCGACCGCGTGGTGTGATTATGGAGCGCTGGGATGGCAGCTTCTGTCGCGGTAGCAAACCTGGCATGCGTCGTTTGTGATCACGCCTTCACACTCATGCCAACCTCAGGAGTCGAGTTCCGGACGACTTTTGCCAGGTAGCCTGGAGCGCTCGAAATGATGGCTGAGAAGACTCACCTGGATGGTTGTCAACCGCGATTCCTCATCAATTTGCGGGCATCACGCTCCTCTTCCACTGGCCTGCGGTGCAACCACACTCATGTGTTCGTCGTGGGGTGCCCCCTTTCGCCGCGGGGGAAGGAGGAGGGGGTGTCGGGGCAGGCGGAATGAGAAGCTGCCGTGTCTGTCTTTGGTCGAAGCGACTGCTTCCAAGGTCTTGTTGAATACCGCCATTCTGAGGAGGGGAGTCTGTGCGCATGGTTCGAAGATTAATGCGAACGGGGCTGATGCGGCCTTGCTGAAATCCCGTATTGTTCCTCGCTGAGTCTTCGGTGGCCCATCGTAAGACGATAGCTTGCACACAAGCCGAGCTTAAAAAGCATTCTCCGCCAGGGAGTCGAACCCTGCTCTATCGCGATCACTACAGTCGATTAAGACCGAGGAGTCTCCCACTTGAGAGGCGATTATACTAACCGATATACTAGCGAAGAGGTTGGTGCCGGATCATCGTCACGTGCTCATGTCCTCACCGCTGCCCTCCTGAACGATTCCGAGACTCTGGAGAGCCTCACTGCATAGCCTGCTTGGGAAAGAAAGCACTCAGGATCCACTAAAACAGTTCAAGTGTGCAATGTTAGTGGTGGGAACGAACACCAAGTCGAAGCGTGAACCCGAGCAGTAAGCTGGCACAGTCAAAACAATACGGGACTTTTGGCATCAAGTGTCTGATACAGCGGGGAGAAACACATCTAGGGTCACCTGCCCTAGCCTAAAGGATCTGTGGTTTGTGAGCTGGCCACCGTTCGCAAGGTCAGAAGCGGTGAGAGCTTAAACGCCACTTTCCTCTTCTTTGCCAGAGAGCCAACGATGAATGCACGTCTTGCTGCTCCTTGTTTCCTGCGGCTCTCTTCTGCCGCTCGCTTCCCCTATCGGGTCGGCGTCTTCGGATATGCCCTCGGCGTACTGATCTTAGTTGGCCGAGATGTGGTAAGGGTCATCGCGCGGTATCAGTGGCTGAAACTGGCGCCTTGAGGTTGGGCAGTCGAGGGTTGTCTGCTATGCAACATGAATTCGTTTCCGAGACTTGTTGATCGAAATACCATACACATAAATTCGTCGCCACGTCTAGCACACGGTATCTCATTCTGCTGTTCAAATCGCCTCAGAGGAGTACTCCTCGACGCCGGGCTGCTCCTTTATGAAAGCACGCAGCTTCTTCAGTCTCTTAACGAGCTCTGATGGCCGGCTCTCGCAGGGAGGCAGACCCGCCCGCATCCTGGCCTCCTCGCGCTCCACCTCACGCCTTACGGACTGGTGGTTAGCTTTGCTCTACCACAAAGGCTTACCCGACAAAGGCGCTGGAGGCGGGCTTGGTCGGGATCGACGTCCTCTTGAGACTTGCTCTCCTTGCTTCTGTTCTTGTTTGCTTCATGCTTGGTTTTCGACTTAACTGGCCCCACGGATTCGTGAGGCGTTCCATCCGCAAGAACCTCCTTGGAGCTGGCTTCAGTGCCGAGAGAAGCAGCGTGGTCTTGCCCCTCGCAAGCAGGATGGCTCTCGGTGGCGGTTGGCTTGACCGTGTCGCCTCTTGCCTCGTGCCCAATTTGGGGTTCGTCCGCTGAGCTGCGCCCTAATGGTTTCAGGTTGGTTTCAGTGTCTGTGGGGCTATCTTCGAGCGTCGTGGAGTTAAGACGACCAGAGTCATTCTCGCGAGCGCGCAAACGAGCCTGTTCATGCAAGCAGACAACATCGATAAGGTTCTTGACCACTTTGCACACCGCTTCGGAGTCGTCGTGGTAAGTACCCTTGCCGATGCTTGCAACTAGCGCTTGAATTTCCTCGCTTATCAGTTGAAATCACGAGCGGTACAGACGTACTTCGGTTCGGGCGCGTGCTTGGTGATGGAGTAGTTGTATCCCTGACTCCGAGGTCAGAGATGGACAGGACTCAGACGTTTGAGGCAGTTCGTAATTTTCCTTGGTCTTGGAAGGTTTGGATGGATGGGATAGAAGCACCCAGTCGTCTGCTGTCAGCTACAGGCCGCTGAAGAAGCCGCCGGACGGCGAAGATGATGGAGCTACACAACCGTCGCGCGACGAGCTGAGAAGCTTTAGTCGACAATGTTCACTCACCGCTGATGCCGTTAGACGAGCCGTTCGATGTCATGGGAACACGTAGGCGTGGTGGTGTGATGGATGATGGTGGAAAAGAGCAAGAACCTGGGTCCTTGTTGCGTCACCCAGTGGCAGGGAGACGGGGGCATGTTAGTGAGCTGGAGTATCGAGTGGAGCGCGCCCTGCTGGTACGATTGCGCCCTCGAGGCCCTTCAGCCGTCATGCCGCCTGACACCCTCTTCACTTGGGGTAGTGATTTGCCGTTTGAATACAAGCGGGCGCCGTTGGTTTAGTCAGGAATGACTAAAGCGCCGTAAAACGATTCGAACTTATACAATGCATGCATTGCTCTTAGCTAGTGGTTATTACTTGAAGGTAGACTTTTGCGGGCGTGGGACACGGGCCTGGCCAGTCCGTCGACATGCTGTGACATCTGTGAAAGTCAATTGGGAGCGTTCGGATGAATCTGGGAGCTTACAGTGAAGCAATCTGGGAACGCGAGGCTAGCTACTGAGAGCCATGCGAGTCGGCACGCTTCCACTTCTGGGCGCCGTTCCAAAAGTCACGCTCCTCCTCGTCGGGCTCTCGCTTCCACTTCTGGGCGCCGTTCCAGAAGTCCCGTTCCTCCGCGTCCTCCCGCTTCCACTTCTGAGCACCATTCCAGAAGTCACGCTTCTCCGCGTCAGCGTCGTCTCGCTTCCACTTCTGAGCGCCGTTCCAAAAGTCGCGATCCTCAATAGGAGCTGCCATCGCGCCAGCAATAGACAGGAGGAGGATGGCGGCGAGCTTCATGTTCTTGTGATGACAATTGTCGGTGTGTGGCGTCGAGATTGAGAATAGTTTTGAGACCCGGGACACCGTGATTGTCCTTTATATATCTGTTTGGCAGGGCAACTAGGACTGGGGAGGGCTGAAAGGTGAGGGAAAACGCTGAGGCTTCGAGTCCGGTCACGGAGGCGCGCCACTTGAGCACTTGAGCAGTTGACCAAGTTTGTCCCGAATAAGTGGCATAGTGCCACAGATGCATCACCACCTCTGTGCGCAAGCAGATGGATAGTTGACCGAGGTACCTTGCTATCTTTCCACAATTAGCTACTGCCCCCAGAGTCACTACCTCACTTGTCTCAGATGTCTGCCTGGTATGCACGAACCTCTTTACAGCCCCATCTAGACCCCGACACCCCGCAGATGTGAATGAGCACACAATTGTCCGCAGCCCCGAACAACAGGTGACGAGGGGCAAGACAATATGAAGGCACACCTCCCGCCTCATCGCAATTGTCGTAATCTCTGCGACCCCTGTGAAGGGCAGGTGACCTTGCGCTCTCGTACACGTGTGTTTTAGCGACCAATGCTGCGCGCGGGGATGGGTGGACGACCGCAAGGAAGCTGTGCATCAAAAGGGGCGAACCACTGTGCATGATGGCTCTGGCTCCATTAAACGAGGTGCCACCCTACGCGTCCCTTTCTCCACCAAGCTCACAAGTCAACTAGCCAGCATCTGATAATGTGGCCGACTAGCAGCAGCTAACGGCACTGCAAGACATACGACTTGCGTAGCGGCTGTTGCGGAACGGACGTGAAAGCGCAGGTCCGCTCGTCGAGTCCGCTCGCTCGACGACTCACAAGTGGCGGCGACAACCGTCCCAACTCCGGTCTAGTGAGCGTAGGCTAACCTTGAAAGTTGTGGTGACTGCCCTCCAAACCCAAAGTGACCCCGTAATGTCAGCGAGCGTGCGCAATCTCATGCTCTCCACTGTATTTAATGACGGTGAGTAATATTAGAGTTTAAGGTTCGATCGTGAAACCACTAGAGCCCATTCCATCATCCATCACCAGGGTTCATTCCATCGTGGACATTTGTGGTTGCCAAGCGGTGATCAGCTGAAGACCGTTCGGCCCCATGTCAGGCAGGTTTGCCGAAGAGTCTCCCCTATGGGCTCAGGTAAACGCGAGGAGCTCCAGGCATGACAGCAGACTGACCTTGCCGGCAGCGTCCAGTACACCCGCCTTGTCAGGTGGACGAGTAGGCCAGTGGGATGGTCAGCTGCGGGCGCGAAGACAGTGTCAGAATGCAGACGGAGTGGCAGACACCCCACCTCGTACTCCACACCTCGTCGGGTAACTCGTCTTGCCCTGCTCCACTTCTCCTTGCTGCGATGGGAGGCGGGAAGCGTTTGGACACAGGAGTCCCCCTATGTAGCTCTGGCGAACCAGGGTATGGCTGACGGCCAATGCAGCCCTTGGCCGACTAACAGTGTCATGATCAAGATTACGGAACGGTACTCTACCTCAACCCTTACCCACGGGGGGTGGGGTTGTCACTCGGAGGAGCTCCTTCCGACTCGCTGCTCGCCCAGATGCAACCACTCTGACATGTATGCAGGTAGCCTTCAGTATTGCTGCCAACCTCGTGCTCCCAGCCTGTGATGTCCAATTTGCGTGCCTTCACACAGGCCGAATAGTTCCTGTGTGTCAGCAGGAGCAGACACAGCTTTCCCCTACCTCGCGTCGATTGTGGGTGAATGATTCCCACACATCTAGCAGCTACTCGTTCTTAGTCTGGCGAGCCTCAGGCACTTTGACGAATGTGTGATAACATCCTTCTCCAGGTCACGCCCCAGGCATTACTTGAGCAGGTGATTGTCGAGTTCATGCTCATCTTGATGAAATGGGTGGAGACGAAGGCCGCACGTACTTATAATGCAGCATCTTGCCATTCGAGACTGCACTTAGCACACGCTTGAGCTTAGCGAGCTAGACTCTGCCAGTGAGGCGGGGAAGCCGGCTTCAGAAGTCGCTTCCACCCCGTATCTCTCGAAACGGAAGCATCAGGCTGCGCCCTGTTTGGACTCTCCCCGGCAGCCTCTCTGGTGCGCCGCGCTTCCAATGAGCACAGGTTTGGCTGCCGGCTTGAGCTTCCAGATCTCCCGTTCTTTTGGCGTCGTACGACGCGACATCTCGAAGCTGGTTCATGGGCTGTCTTACAACATATCGCTATCTTCAGGGCAGCTCAAATGCCCGCCGCTGCCACCTCCAGACTGCTCCTTCTGCCTAATTTCCGCTTTCTTCAGCTCGTACTGGCAGACAATGTCGCGCATGATGAGGAGCTCGAACTTATGTATAGCGTGGTCACGAAGATCACCGAGCAACCTCCCAATTTTGACACGGGCTCTGGCAGAACGGTAGTTCTTGGGCGGCGTGTCGTTGCTGCGACACATCTCCGCCAAGTCCTGCCAAATCAGCTTCATACGCAACCTTTTCTTACGTCGAGCAAGTCGTCGATTGTGAGGTTGTCCAGCGAGATATACGAGTTGAGGTCGTCAACGGTCTTGTAGTGCTTATGCTGGGGATAGCCCATTGCGACTGCATCGATCAGGATGCGCTCGTCGATGTCCATTCCAGGGAGCTCCCAAGGATTTGGCGGGCCGGGAAGCAAGACGGTTGGACCAGGACGGCACCCGGGCGGGTAGAGAGGGAAGCCTGTGACCTTTGGTAGATCAAACTCATCTTCCACTGGCTGCTCTTGAACGGGAGGACGCCGTTTGTCGAAGTCCATGAGTTCATCTCCTCGCGAGAATCGATCACTGTGGGCCCAGCTGGGCGCCTGGGAGAGAACGCTCAAGTTGGCTGTTCCCTTTCCACTTCCACTCTTGTTGTCCGCCACCTTGTCTTGGCAGTTATCGCTGCCCTTAACGTCTGCCTTCTCATGGTGGTCCTTGCTGCTGTCCTCCTCCGCTTCCTTGCGTTTCAGGGTACAGTCGAGAAGTGTTGACAGGTCATCGAAGAGCTGATAGACAGTCGCATCAGTGCACTGGTAGGGTTTGTCGACGATGGCGCGCAGGTTGTCGATCAAGGCCTGATGTCAGCTGACCATGGGACTCCGTCCAAGCCGAGAACATACATCGGACTGTAACTGTGCAATCTGCTGGAGATCCTCCAGGTGCAGATTTCCGCCTTCCTCCGGCACGGTAGACATCGGGGTAAGAATGATTAAGGGTGGTTCGAGATTGTGACGGAAAGAAGAAGCGTGAACAGGGGCAGGGGCTGGGAGCGAGACAGTGTCGTTACGTGTGTGGTCGCGATCAGGTCCAGAGAGGCTGAATCGGTCGAGATGGAGGAAGGTAGCACTAGTGTCGTGCATCCACTGTCGTCAGCTTCATAAGCGAGGGGTAATCGTAGCTGGGCGGTGGATGAGAACGTACGCTGCCGGCGGTTGCCGAATGAGCGTTCAAGGCGTAGTTGTGGTTGATGGAGAGGGACTGAGATGAGGCTGAAGAGGACGTGGGGCGGACGACTTGGAGTTGCTGATGACTAGGCCACAGATGACGGTGCGACGACGGGAGTATCTGAGCTGCGCCCTCGCATCCCGGCAGCGGGGAAGGACGCACAGCTGACCACTGACTGCGAGCCGTCGGCCAGCAGGTGTAGAGGTTCTGTGTCGTGTGCTACAACAGCAGTCTCGCAAGACGGCAGGGATTTACAGGTCATCGTGGCGGGGATGCGCAACCACTCTTCAGCTGGGCAATCCAACTCACTTTGCCACGCGTATGTGAGAGACGCGAGTGAGCGGTGACCATGAGAAGTGACCGCAGAGCACTCCCATGGCAAGGATTACCCCGTCTGGCAGTCCCCTCTCACCATCAACACCCCCCTTCACCCTGTGACAAGCAGACATTCAGGCCACGCGGCAGTGTCTTGATACCAATGCATGAATGTCTACTAGAACATATTAACCTACAAGGGCGCGGCTTCGTGCCGCGTCCGTCACTGTCTCTGCTCGCTGTCATCTTTCGCTTCTCCGGCGTCCTATCGCACACTGTTGTATTGCACAATGTTCTCTTCTTGTGTTCCGTCGTCTCGTTCTCCAAGTCGGTGATCGTGGTATTACCCTGTGAGAGTCAGCATGGGTCCATGTGCTAAGCGTTAGACGTCGAGGAGAGCGGAGGTGGAGGTGTGTGGGGCACCATTCAGGGTCCTCAGGGCGAGGGGTTAAGCCCTGATCGGCCTCAGGGTCCGGGGGTTAGCGCACTTTGGAGCCCCGGACCTCCACCACAACACCTCCAACTCCTCCCCACGACCGTCCAACACGTCTCTGAAGTCTCCAAGTCCACAAAAAGAGCTCCAGGACGTCAAAAACGTAGTCTGAAACTTGCAGAATGCACACCACCCAATAAAGGCAACGCAGAGATTCTCGACAGAGGTAGCTTGAGAGACGAGCTCCTCGACTTGTTCCTTGATGTCGAGGCTGACGTTGGGCCTGAAGTCGCGTCCGGTGAGTTTGCGGCGCACGCGTTCGATAACCTGGAGCGCCTTGTCGTTCATGACCTCGGGGCGGTCAGCTTCGAGGAGAATGTCGCGCTCGTCTGCGCGTCCACCACCGCCGCGGGCATAGTTGCGTTCCTCGACGTCCTGGGCGGCCTGCCTGCCACCGGGCTGGTTGTTGGCAGCCGTGAGACGCCAGTTGATTAACGGGTCGTACACGAAGGCCTCGAGCACGGCCATGAGCGACTCCTTGTTGTCGCGGAGCACCTCCATCGACACCTCGCACGAGCGACTGAACGTGCCCGTGATACCGCACACCTCCATCGCGTGGATGAGCATGCGCGTGAGACGGAAGGGGACCTTCTCGGGGTACTTGTCGCGCTGCATTGCGACCTCGAAACAGTCGCCGAAGTCGATATGGATGATCTCGCCAGTGATCTGGTCGAGCATGAGGTTGGAGGGGTGGCGATCGCCAAGTCCGAGGATGTAGCCGACCATCGAAGTCAAAGCGAGGGAACGCGTGTACGTCGTGCGGCGCTCGAGCCAGCTCTCCGAGTTGCGACTGCGCAGCCAGAGGATGCGGTACAGGTCCTGGCCGGTCGTGTTGTCCAGTGCATACTGGAACACCTCGACCTTGTGCAGGAGCGGAAGACTGTCATAGTTGTCGTCGGCCATCTGGTTCATGAGGCGGTTTTCAATGTCGATCAGGATCTTGCGCGAATCGCGGTAGCTCTTGATCAGCGTGTGCAGGGTGTCACTGTGGGGCACCCATCCGAGCAGACCGGCACCGGGCGACAGCGGCGTGATGCTGAACTGGTGGATAGACAAGTGGCGCTTGGCCGACTCCTGGTCCGCGGCGAGCAAAGTGTTGACGAGACCGAACAGCTGCATGACACGCTCGTCCTGGCGCAAGTCCTCGTGGCCCTTGAGCACGAACGTGTAGTCCTTGCCGTCGCGGCCGCGCATCGTGAAGCGACGAGGGCGCTGCTTGGACGAAATGACCGTGAACGTGGGCAGCACGTGACCGATGCCGATCACGGGCTTGCCCGGCTGGTAGATGCCGGGAACACACAAGTCGAGGTCGCGCACGGCCATGAGGCGGGGCGAGACGTACTGCAGCTCGATGACGTTGAGAAGCTTGAGCTGGCGCGACAGGCGCTGGAAGGTCGAGTAGTAGATGTCCCAGGCCTGGTTGAGGTCGTTGGTGTCGCCGTGGAGCTTGTAGCGGCGGCAGAAGTCGCGCGCCATGCGGAGCTCGTGGCCAAAGCTCTGCACGAAGGACGTCTCGCGCAGCGTCTCGGGACCGCGCTCGATCATGTCGTGCAGCGGCTCGAGGACTTCGAACATGGCCTCCTCGTTGTGATCGGCAAAGTAGTGCTTGGACGCCTCCTCGAGTCCCTCGTGCCACTGCTCGTGCCAGAGGATCGCCGCGCGGATCAGCTCCGTGCTCACGAGCTCGGCCTGGTCGACGATGCTGGCAGAGTGCTCGCGCATCTTGGCCATGATTCCCTGCGCGACGGCCTTGCGGCTCGGCACGTTCGACTTGCTGGCCACGGTGAGCGGGTAGATGAGCGCCTGCGGGTGCGCGCGGCCAATGTCGTGCAGGAGGCGCACGATGAGCTGCTGGATCGTCGGGCGCGGGGTCTGGATACGCGCGATGATCTGCGGGATCACCTCGAGCCAGACATCGACGTTGACGGTCGTCATGCCCTGCGCGATCGCCTGGTTCACGCCATGCTGGTATCCATAGGTGAACCAGAGGGTTAAGAGACGAAGCGTGTCCTGCAGTGAGTTGCCGGGCGACAGCGCAATAGAGCGCAGGAAACCCTCGACGGCTGGAATGATGTAGGTCGTGAAGTGCTGCGAGAGCAGACCCTGCTGCGACACCTCGAGGTGGTTGATGACCTCGAAGTTGGCGAGCGCCCACGTGTGCCACGCCTGATACCAGGTCGGGTCGAGCTCGGTGGCGAGCGAGTAGTCGCGGAGCACGGCGGCGGGGTCGTCCGTGACGCCATGCTCGCGAAGCGACGCCTGCCAGGAACCCAACTCAACGTGGCAGCGCGCAAGCAGCTTGGTGTACTCGCCATACAGCTTGGCGTCCGGGAGGATGAGACGGCCCTGATTGTCGCGGGCGCCAAGACCCATGTCGTCGCTGAGCGTGTTGGTAAAGTCGCGGAGATAACCGAGAGTCTCGTCGCGCTCCTCCCTGGAATCGCCAGCAACAGCCTGCGCCCACTTGAGGCGGTAGTACGCAAACACGATCGGCGGCGGGGCGCGGGATCGGCTCTCGGCGTCGAGGTTGCTGCACGAGCTGCCGACGAGGGACGTGAGCGTCTTCTCGGCGAGGTTGAGGCGGTCCGAGACACGACACAGATCGGCAAACTGGATCCACGTGTCCATGTCCTGGCTCGGGGTGAGGACGAGGGAGCGTAGCTGGAGGATGCGCTGCCAAACCTCGACGTCGCGCTGGCACCCGTTCAGGCGCTTCTGCCAGGTGAGGCGCTGCGTCTGCTGGCGCTCCGGCTGGTCCGCATGATCCTTGTACGAGATGATCTCCTCGAGCTCGGACAGCATCTGCACGCGCACGATGACGTCGTATGCGCGACCGTAGCTCTCGCCCGTGAGCGTCGTGAGCTCGCCGTCCAGACGCTCGCGCGCCTTGTAGATGTGCCGCAGCGCCGAGCTGAACTGGTTCCGGTGGACGGCCAGGATCGCCTTGAAGAAGTTGCGGTCGGCCGAGTCGTTCTTCATCGCCGAGATGTAGTCGTCCATCAGGTCCCACTGGTAAAGCGCCCAGCTTGCCGAGGCACCGAGGGGCGCAATAAGCTTCTTCTCATCCTGCGTCGCATTCGGCCAGCGCACCTGGACATAGTCGGAGAGCTCCTCCCACTCGCCGAGTGCATGCAGCGCCTGCAGCTTGCCCATCGCGACGGTCGCTTCGTCAAAGGACGAGTCAGGGTCGTTGGCGCGCTCGTTCCAGACTTCCAGGGCTTCCTCCCAGCGTCCGAGCTTTTCGTACCACATGACGTCGTGTGTCATTTGCAGGTTGTTCTGGGCGTACTCGAGTGTGCCCCATGCAGCATCACTCTGCTGGAGCTTCTGGTTGACGCTGATCAAGTCCTCGACAACAGCGGATGAAGCGTCGACGAAGAACTCCAGCTCCTTGTAGTGGAGGGCCTTGGCGTAGGCGTGGAAGGCTGTGGCGTAGTCACCAAGCAGCCTTGATTCAATCGCCAGCGGCTTGTCGTCGTGCTCCATGAACTCGGCGAGGTTGAGAATTGTGTTGACGACGTCGGACGGGACACCATCGTTGGTGAGCGCCTGCTCGAGATTGTGCACCAGGTCCTCCTGGTAGCTCTCGTACAGCTCAGTCCAGCAGGAGACAAAGGCGACGTTGAACAGCTCCCGGGCAAACGCGCTGTGCTGATCAGCGAGCTTCATGCATGCACGAATAGCCTGCGACGGCGATTCACGCATGAGCTCGACACCGAGCTTCTTGAGCCACTCGAGCCACTCCTTCTTGGTGGCAATGTTGGAACAGTCCCAGGCGGCCTTGAGCTGCTGCTGGTTGACGGGGAGACGATGCTGGTCGGCGGCGGCCGAAACCTCGAGTGTCTGATCGGCGGCGTACTGTTCGACAGGGCCAAGGTCCGGCGGGAGGCGCTCGCGGTTCAGGAGCTTGGTCACCATCTGGTCGTAGGCGGGCCAGACAATCTTGTTCTCGAGGAGCGCCTTGTTCACCATCGGGATGAAGATGGCATAGTCGGGGCCGAACTGGAGAACGAGCACGCAGAGCGTGTCCATCGCCGTGTTGCGGAGGTCGATGTCTGTCGTGCTCAGGGTGCGCACAAGAGGGTGAATGATCTGCGACGCGTGATCGGAGAAGTTGACCTTGCGACAGAGCTGCGCCGTCGTCTTGAGGGCCGCCTTGCGGAGCTCGACCGGCGCGGCCGGGTTCTCAAACGAGCGCACAATGACGGGAAGAACCAGATGCAGGTAGTCCTCGATGCTAGCGCCGAACACGTAGAAGGCTCTCAGGATGTGAAGCAGCGTCTCGAGACGCTGCGGGGAGATGTGCCTGGCCGACAGATCGCCGTCGAATGTGCGGAGAATCTGCTGCAGGAGCGGCGGCAGGTACGCCTTGAACTCGCCCTCAACAGCACGAGCGATCGCCTCGACGAGCGAGATGATCGTGATCTGGAGGCTCGAGCTGGGGTTCCAGAAGTCGTGCACGAGTGCGAACACCTCGTCAAGGTAGTTGCGGATGTGCTGCTTGACGATCGTGATGAGCTGCGCGAGCTGCTTCAGGAACACATCCTGTGAATCACGGCTGCCCATGCGGATGACGGACAGGAACGCAGGCAGGATTTGCGGCAGGAAGCCAACACACTTGAGACGCTGCGTGCGGAAGATGAGCATGACCGAGTTGATCGCGTCGTAGTGGTGCTCCTTCATGTTGGCGTCGTTGAGCAGGTTGACCAGGCAGTGGATGACGACCGTCTGGTAGTACTCGTCGTTCGATGGGCCTTGCGTGTTCATCAACAGCGTGATGTCGGTGACGCGGGGTCCGGTCGCCTCGGTGCTGGGGTCGTCCGACGAGCCCTGCAGTAACTTGTGCTTGAAGGGGTCGAGGGCACCAAGCATACCCATGGTGCGGATCGCCTCCAGACGGATCGGCAGGGTGGTCTCGGTACGCAGAATGCGGAAGAGGATGCCGAGCAGCTGCGGGTGGTCGAGGTACGGCTGGATGACTTCACCGGTGTTTGAAACGACCTGTCCGAGCGTCTTGAGGGCGGCGTTGCGCTTGACGGTGGACGCGGGGTCGTTCAGCATCTCGAGAAGCAGGTCCAGGATCGTCTTGACGCTCGCCTGAAGCTCCTCGCCAGCAACCTTGGCCAGCTCTCCGATACAGGTGACACACGAAGCAGTGACGGTGCTCGGCGTGCTTGGTGACCGGGCGATGCGCAGAATGACCGACAGGATCGTCGAGGCGTACGACCTGACGAGGCTGCTAGACGCGCCGATCAGTAAGCAGAGCAGGCGGGCGCTCTCCTCCTTCTGCTTGTTGGCGGTCGCATACTCGAGCTCGGTGATCAAGTTGATGAGCGACTTGCGCAGCGACGGCATGACGTAAGCCGGGTTGTGGTGTGCAAGGCGGCCGATGATACCGATCGCGAGCTCGCGAATGCGGAACACCTCGTCGTTCAGGGCGACGAACAGGCACCTGATGTCCTCCGCCTGAGCGAGGTGGCGATCAAACTTGGCGTCAAGGTTTTCAAGCACCGCCTGGCGGATAGCAGGCACTTGGTCCGTGATGCCAACGGTAAGGAGCTTCTCGAGCACATCGTTGACGATTTCGATCGAATGCGCGCTTGTCTGGTGGCAGATGGGGTCGTTGATGAACAGCTGCGCCGAGGCGAGCACGGCCTCCTTGCGCACGTCCGGGTTGTCGTGCTCCAGGTACGGCAGAGCAGCCTCACGCACAAACTCGTTCAAGGTGTGGCCGCTGAAGTCAAAGTTGCCGAGGACCCGGAGGGCGAGGGCGATCGTTTCGGCAGATTGGCCACCACCAGAGGCTTGAACGACAGCTTCACGCGTGATGTCGGTCGGCTTGCCGCGGGGCATTGGCGCTCCCAGCGGACGGAACGAGTGTCCAGTCAGGATGACGGACAGAGTTTCCAGCAAGCGGTCTGACCGTCAGCTGAAGTCGTCGAGTTTCTAGCTTACCTTGGATAGTTCGGAGCAATGGCGGAATGTTGCCCGAAATAACCTCAAGAGCGTGGTAGAGCGCATCCGACAGGCCCCACGGGAACATGAGATCGAGGATCTCGTGCATTTGCCGTGTAAGCATCGGGCCGACTGCGCTGGTCATCATTGCGAGACACTGGAAGATCGGCGCCTCGAACGGTGCGCCCTTCTTTCCGCGCATCTTCAGGTGCTCCTTGATGATCCGAACCAGGTCATCGATGAACGGGCGCATTTTGGACTGCAGCTGGACAGCGAGGTGGCCGAGCGAGACGTACGCTGGGGTCAGCTATGAATCATAAGTACAGCTTACTGATATCGCGGTCGGTGGGCTTGTTCAGTGCCGAGAGGAGGTACGTCATGCTGCGGTGGAGGTAGTGCTGCTCGAACTCGTCCGTGTCATAGTTGGCCATGCTAGGGATAAGGGTGATGACCGACTTGCGAATGACCGTCTCCTTGCTGTCGCGGTACTTGAGAGTGATGTCGCAAATAGCCTGGTAGTACTCGCCCATCGAGATCTGCTGGTTCTGGAGCATGGCGCTGAATGCGAGCAGCGATCCGAGAATGGACTCGACCGAGTTCGCCTTCAGCAATCCGCTCCTAGCCTCCTCGAAAATCATTCGGTAAACCTCGGCACTTGAGCGTTCACGAGTTTTGATAATGTCGAGACATGCGCTGAGCAGCATAGAAGCACGCTCTCGAACCATCGTCTGAATGTTAGCTACGGTAGACATCGCCAGCTCACCCTGCTGTCGCGCAGCGGGACCCAGATCTTCTCGAGCACACGTAAGACGAAGGGGTGGAAGTGGAGGGGGTCGTGAACGGCGAACTGATGGAGCAGGAGCACGGCGCTGAACCTGTTGACCTCTTGCCGCGAGTCTAATATTAGCTACGTCGCAACCTCTGAGCTCACCGTCCATGATCTGCAGGGCTTGTCCGACCTCCTTCGTGAAGAACGAGTCCGGGAGGTTGGCTCCGGCGCACTTGACCATGTTGCCGACGACGTGCGCCGCAGACACCATGACCTGCGACTCGGGATACGTCAACAGCGGGCGAAGATCTGCTGTCAGCTCATTCCAGACGGTCAAGCTTACATCCATAGAGTCGATTGTTGTTCTGAAGCGCTCGATCCGGGGTATCATCATTTGCCGGCTCGAGCATTGCATCTGGGAGGGATCAGCGTGTGCTTCAGTCGGAGGCGTACCGATCGCCGAGATTGCTCCGAGGCGCTCATATGTGTGGTTGCTTTTCGTCAGGTCGAAAATGCGATGAAAGACGTCTTTCCAGACACTCTTGCGTCCGTCGTCGCCGGGAAACTCGAGGCTGTACGAGGTAATCTGCTCATTAGCTTACGCCGAGCGGCCGGTACGCACGTAGGACTTGAGATCTTGCGATGCCTGAATGCGGATGTCCTCGGACCTAGGGTCAGCTGCATGCCGATCACTCATGCGGCTTACTTGCTTCCCAGCCTGGCGAAGATGCCATCAAGGACATCGGATTGGGACGCCATGGTGATAAGGCATGTACTGTGTCTCGACGCCGAAGCGTGAGATTTCAGACACGCTCAGGGGATTGCTCAGTGGCGGATCGGTGTGGCTGAGGGAGTTTGCGCTAGCGTGCGGGGTCAGGAGGTGGTTGTCGGTGGTGGCGATGGGGGGGTTATCGACGACGGCGACGGCGGTTGTTACGATTGAGCTGAGCCCCGGCACTAGCGTCATGGATCCAGTGGCCAGGACCAGCCGGGTCCGGCCCACCAGTCTGAGACTGATACATTTGATTCCGTTATCACCGTAGAGATCACGTTTTGCCACGTGGCAAGTGGAGGAAAAATTACACGTGTGCGGATTGTGGATTTCGCAACTTCAGAGTTCAAGTCGGTTCACTGGACATTACAACAACAGTCAAGTTCGACACTCCCTAGTCACTCTTCATCGTCCGCAGTCTGGCAATCTCGGCCTTGAAGAGGACAGGACGCCCACCATGTCCGCGACCCTCTCCTCCACGGAGCAAAAGGTCTACAACAAGGTCATGGCCTCAAAGAAGAAGGTAAGCTACGATGATTGTTTGAGCTAACTCCAGGCCATGACCTTGGCGCAGATCGAGGCCGCGATCCCCGGCCTGTCCAAGAAGGACATGACGAGCGCGATCAACAATATTCTCCGACTAGTGAGCTGTTCATTGCTTTTCGCGAGCTAACGACAGAAACTCTTCACGGCGAACAAGGGCAAGGACGATGTGCTCTCGTTCCACGCGGTCGCGGTCGAGGATGCCAAGAAGCAGAACACGCTCACGGAGGAGCAGCAGTTTGTGCTCTCCATTGTCGAGAAAGCCGGTAACAAGGGTATCTCTCGACCGAGCATTTCGAACCAGATCCCGCCCGAGGTCATGCCGCGTTCGCAGGTCAACAAGGCGCTCGAGGCGCTCGAGAAGAACATGCTCGTCAAGACGTTCAAGAGTGTCAACGCCCCTACCATGCCGCTCTACATCTTGCACCACCTGCAGCCGCCCGAGGACCTCGCAGGAGGTATTTGGTTCGACGAGAGCAAGGAGTACGACTCAATGTTCGTCGACTCGCTCCGTCGTGTCGTGTACCGCTACGTTTGCGCCAAGGTGAGCTTTTGTTTTGTTGGCCGTAGCTGACCCCAGACCTGGCCCGCGCAGAAGGGAAAGGACTCGATCAACAAACTGTGCTCGAACCCGATCTACCCCGTCTCCAAGACGGGAGCTCTGCCGACACCCGCCGACGTGCTGCGTCACATCCAGAACAGCAAGGTGACGACGGCGCAGCTGACGATCAAGAATGTGATGGAAATTGCGCGTGCGCTGGAGCTGGACGGGCTGATCGAGGCGATCAAGCCGATCGGCGGTGTCTCAGTCGACCCAGTTAGTGACTCGGACGACGAGCCCACCTCCAAGCGCAGGCGGTACAGCGATGACGGGCTGGACGACGCGGAGCGCGAGCGCAAGGCGCGGAAGGAGAAGGAGAAGGCGCGTGCCAAGCTGAAGGAGCGCAAGCGCGAGGAGCGGCGACGGCAGCGCGCCAAGGAGAAGGAGAAGGAGCGCGAGCGCAAGCGCAAGGAGAAGGAGAAGGAGCGCAAGCGCAAAGAGAAGGAGCGCAAGCGGAAGGAGAAGGAGAAGGCGCGCAAGCGCAAGGAGAAGGAGAAGGCGCGGAAGAAGAAGTACGACTCGGACAGCGATGTCGACTCGGACGACGAGCTGCGCGACATCAACGACATTGGCAAGAAGAAGCGCCGCCGGCGCGTCGAGAGCGACGACGACAGTGCTGCTTCTTCGTCAGACCTGTCCGATTCTGACTCGTCCTCCTCATCCTCCTCCGATTCTGACTCTGATTCTGATTCTGACTCGGACGTCTCCTCCGTCGCCTCTGAGGATATTGAGCACGAGCAGCGCCCCAACGGCATCAGCGCCAACCCCTTCCTGACCCACTCGGGGCGGCAGGGCATCAACGACCTCTCAGACCAGGCCGTGGTGTACCGCGCGATAAGGCGTATCCGCATCCAGATGGGCCAGATGCAGACCCCCTGCGGCCCGTGTCCACAGTTCAACTTCTGTCAAGAGGGCGGACCCGTCAACGCTACCGACTGCAAGTACTTCACCTCCTGGCTTGACGGAACTGAGGGCGGATGGACGGCAGACGTCAAGAATGAGCGCCTCAGGAAGGCGCAAGAGGCCGAGAAGGAGCGTAAAAAGCGCGAGGCAGAGGCCAACGGTCAGACATACGTTGAGGAGGGAGAGGAGGGGGAGGGAGACGCCGTTGAGGGCATCGAGGAGTACATTGAGGAGGAGGTCGAGGAGCCCTACGAGGACCCCCTCAACAACTGGTAGACGAGTGCATTGTGCATATGTATCATACTGTCACATCAGGCTGCCAACGAGGTCGTACTGATCCTGCAGTCGAAGAACGGAGCGCGGATGTGCGGGTCGTTTGAACGGAGACGGTGAACCAGTGTTGGGCGAGGGCACGCTCGCTACCGAGTTCTTGGTAACCAAGCGGATGGGAGGTGATAGAGTCGCGAGCTCGAGAATAGTGTGAGCCTGAGGGTCTGCGGAACGCACAATCAAGAGATAAGTGGCAGCGCCCCTTCAGCAGCCAGGCACTAAACCACCTACCAGCCACCAATCCACCAACCATCATCACCAGCCTGCCATCGTCGTAACGTCGACCTTCAAAAACAACTATCCACGCTCTCTTTTGGAACTGGACGCATACATCCAGGGGGAATCGAACCCCCACCGCATCCACTCGCTCGTGGCAAGGATGCATGATACCATTTCACCATAGATGTTTTCGATGTCTCGGAGATCGCGGCGACGGACTCGGAGGCGGCGGGGCGGGTGCGAGCGCCGAGCTCTGAGGCGGGTCTCTAGTCTTCTGGATATATTCGTCTATGCCCCCATCGGCACATGCCCGGCTTACGAGCTGAGCCAGCCTGGGTGTTGATACGAACATAGCTGGTCTGTCTTCTAGAGACGAGCTGGGGGACCATCCGAGTTTGCTTCTTCGGGGTGAGTAGGTCAGCAAAGCATCACATGCGATTTTTCCACAATGAGCATCAGTGTACCATATGATGTCTGATTGAATCGTGCTTGCTTCATGTCCGACGTGTTGGCAATCGTGTCCTACATTCTCACTCCCCCGGTCCTCACTTCGTCCGCTGCAGCACAACAACCCTCAGCTTGATAGGGAATCCGGGCCTGTACTCCGTCTCGTCCTGGCTAACGACCCTCACTTTCCCCCGCTTCACAAGTCCATCCACAAACTCGCGATACCGCGGCTCCCAAATCGTGCCCAGCACCGTTGCAACAACATATCCTCCGGTCTTGACAGCGTCCGCGAAGTGCTCGAGCGCCTCGGGACCGACATGTCCCTCCGTCAGCGTGCCGACGCAAATGACCGCATCGTAGTCCGTGCCCTCGAGGGGTTTTGAGAGATCCACCTCGTTCAGGTTCTCGTAGGCGCCCGTCTTCTGCGCCTGTCTCAGCATGCCCGGGGACAGGTCCGCGCCATCAATGTGTCGGTACCCGTGCCGAGACAGGGCGGAGCCGACGAGACCCGTGCCGCACCCTGCGTCGAGGATTCGCGTCTCGGGTGTAGGAGGGAGGACGGAGGCGAGCACGTCGGCGGCCTTCTGCGGGGCGGTGTAGCCGAGCGAGTCGAGGTCGGTGTCGTAAGATGCGGCCCAGTCGTTGTATACGCCCTGCAGCTCTTGGGGCGATTTGGCGGCGTACACGGCGGAGAGGAAGGAGTTGCCGCCCTCGGCGGGGTTCTGCGCGGACATGGGATCGAGAGGTGTGTGCGGTTGTTGTTGATTGAGAGGATGAAGGAAGGGTGATCGGATCGATCGATCTTGACGTCACGCAGCATTCTGCCGGACCTCCACTCGGCTATCCAAGTCCGAGTCCGATGCCCACCTCCGCCATCTCCGTTGCTGTCATTGGCTCACCATCCGTTGTTGGGAGCCCGAGAAGACCAACATGTACAGTCAAGACCACCAGCGCAGTGTTCGTCTGCAAGCATGAGAAGATCGTTTGCAGCAACGAGCAAGCGATCGCGCTAAGCGCCAGATGAGATCGAGCGCCTCACGGACTGACCACAGGAGCACTTAATCGGCGATTGAGCTGCATTCTGACGCTGACCGTGCACAGCGTCTTCTTATCGGTTGTGCGCATGGAGGAAGACATAAGCCGGTCGAGCGTATCATCATTTCGCCCGCCAAGACCCTCGCGCTGTGACCGCGATGGATTCGCCCGGACAGGGGTGCTCTTGGAACCGATCACAGCGTACCGCCAGACTCCCGAAACAGCGACCCCGCAAGCTGTATCTTTGCATACGGATTATACCCATGTGTATCGACCTATCCATTCCCTACCTTCCCGGCCCGTTCCTACAATCGCTTAACCCCAGAGCCAGCGCTCGAACCTGTCCTTGCGCGAAGTTCCCATGGGCGGGTATCGCAGTTCGTCCTCGTCAATCTCGCGCTTGCCGGTGGTAAAGTCCATCTCGTCGCCGCGGAGCCACCTCCACTTGCCTCCGTTGAAGTAGACGTCGTAGATCTTGTGGCCAAAAGTACGCGAGTGCAGCGAGGGGGAGGACGAGGTATGCGAAGAGGAAGTCGCGAATGTTCCACCTGCCCTTGATGAAGACGCCAAAGCCGTTCGTGAGGAAGATGACGGCGTAGCTGACAGCCGCAATCCAGGAGAAGACGAGCTGGCCGCGGCGGTAGAAGGGGAGCGAGGCGCGGTCAATGTTCTGCGCCTTGACGCCGGCGCGGTACCGGATATAAAGCACGTTTTGGAAGAAGAGGTTCAGGATCCACATGCCGCCGAGCACGTTTGTGATCCAGGTGAAGACCGTGGCCGCCTTCTCGCTCACGCTCATGAAGGAGAGGAGCGAGATGGCGACGACGGCAATGATCGCGTTGACCGGGACGTGGCGCCAGGTCTTGAGGAAGAGGCGGGGCGCATGGCCGTTGATTGCCGCCGCGTAAATGTTCCTGCTGGCCGTGAAGGTGAGTCCGGTGCCGGCCGACCACGCCGAGGTGAGGATGATGGCGTTGATGATGTGCGGGAAGACGGGCACGTTGAGCTTGTCCGCGCCAATGACGAGAGGCGGGGTACCGTCGCCTCCGTTTCCGGTCAGGTTCGGGTCGTTGTAAGGGACCAGGGTGCCAATGCAGAGTGTTCCGCCGACGTAGAAGAAGACGAGGCGGAAGATGACGCGCTGGAAGACGGTGGGCAGCACGCGGCGCGGGTACCGCGCCTCGCCGGCCGTCATGGCCACCATGTCGGGGCCGCCGTAGGCGAAGGCGGCGTTGATGAACACGCTCCAGAACCCGAGGAACCGGCCGAGATTGCCGTCAGCGAGGTACTCCTTCATGACACCGGGGTCGCGCCAGTAGCGGAAGCCGTAGCGGTCGTGAGCAGGGTTGCCGCCCAGCATCGTAATGAAGGTGAAGAGCATCATCATGAATACGAGGAGCACCTTGAAGGTCGAGAACCAGAACTCGCCCTCGCCGAAGAAACGTGTGCCGAAGATGTTCTGGGGTTAGCACGGTGGAAGCGGGGATTGCACATGCTGGCAGTTATGGGTGTCGGAATTACTCACGATGAGGAGAATGGAGACCGTGAATAGGGCGCACCAGACGCCCGAGTTGATCGACTTGTTCCAAAACTTGATGACGGATGCGACGGCGGTCGCCTCGGCGGCGACAGTGACCGAGTTGTTGTAAATGCAAAGCCACGCCATCATGAATCCCCACGAGGGATCGACGAAGCGCGCGGCAAACTGGAGGATAGATCCGTCGACAGGCAGGTACGAGGTCATCTCGCCGACCGCGTTGAACGTGATGAAGACGAGGGCGCCGTAAACCAGATAACCAAGGACGAGGGAGAGCGGCCCCGCGTTCGAGAGCGAGGTTCCCGTACCGACGAAGAGACCGGTGCCGATGGCGCTGCCGATACCGATCATCTGGATATGGCTTTGGTCAGCGCCACCCAGCCGTAAGGACTTACCGAGGCTTGAAGGTGCGGATTGTCTGCTTGCGGTTGCCGCGGCCGAGCTCGCCATCGACCTCAGCGACGGGGACGATTTCGGACGACCAGCCCACGTCCTTCTTGTCGTCAAATTCGCCAGAGCCAGCATGCTTCCCGTCGTCCAGGTAGGTCGACATGGTGAATGAGTGTGGGTTGCGTGAACGGGCGGTGCTCACTGGGCTCTATATAAGCACGGGGGCACTGCTGGTCTTGCTTCTCGCATGCAGCTCCCGTGCGTGTCAAGTAGCCGCAGCAGCTGCGCCGAGACAAGGCGAAACACGGCCGCAGGCCGTACGCCGCAGTGGGCACTACGGTTCCGGCGTGCATGCACTGTTCCACGGTCACTGTCGGGTGGGCATGCACGCGACCGTGTGGTGCTTTGTGGGCGGGTGGCGTTGGTTTAGCGTTCACGAAAACAACAGGTACGGCGGCAGCAGTACAGCAGTGAAAGCTGTGTGTGGTGCGCACATGACACGGCGATATCATGGATATCTAGGGTCGCGATCAGGGGCCGTCCGAAAGAGGCGATTGCTCAAGAGAGGGCGGAAGGGGAGGCGTCTGATAAAGCAGCAGCAAGGGTGCGCGATTATCCCCAGGCACAAGGAGCAGGAGCCCCACGTAACGGGTGCGTGCCAAGACAAGCTGAGAGCGCAGCGCGTCAGCGGCGTCGCACATGCCGTGTCCTGCTAAGCGCCTATCAAAGTCATGTGATGCTTCTGATGTATCGTGCCTGCGTGTAAACAACGGGACGGATCTGTCTTTGGATGTGGAGAGCAGAGCCCACCGAATGCTAGCCGCCAGATTGGCGCGCGCAAGCGGGCGGGCTGGGGCGATAGGATCGATCCGGCATACCGGCATCCAAGCGTGTCCATGCGACGGAGTAACAGGTCTCCTCGTTCTGTGGCCCGTGGAGCAACATTGCCATTCGAGGATCCAGAAGGGCCTGGTTTGCGCCTGGGAGTTCTCTACCCTGCGGTCGGGTCTGATGGTCGGTGCTGGAGATCTGGAGACCATAGCGGCTAGCCCTCCCGATAAGCTTTGCACTTGGCACCTCCACTGTCTCATTACGGTTGAACCATACTCCGTCTGGACCAACTTGATGGAACGTGGGCATACTTGATCACGGCTGAAGTGAGTGCCTGTGTCAGTCCAGCCTCATCGCTTCGGCGACTACAACTATTGACATCTCCGCCTACTGATTACTATAACAACATCTAGCTATAAAGCATGTCCCAGCTGAGCAAATGGCAAAGTTCTTCAAAGGTTCCCCTGGCGCGACCCTGGGCTGCAAGCGTCTCACCGCGTCATCCCCAGTTTACAGTCCCATCGGACCGGAGATGAACAGCCAGACTCGCCCTACAGATACGACCCTGGGCTGCAAGCGTCCCGCACTGCCACCCCTCCTTTCGGAGGGGATGACAAGGCCAGACTCGCCCTCCAGATCTCAACGCGAGTAGGTTCCAGAGAGCCCACGCACCCACGTCCTTGGAGTTGGCGCCGGCCCCATCGTGTCTCATCGCCGGCAGAAGGTCTGATCAGACCGCGGTCCACACGCAGGCACCGACTCACCCCGCGGCTGACTCGCACACCCGAAGGAATGCTCGTCGGGTGCCCCGATAAGCGCTGTGTGGCATCCGGCACCTCCCCCCGTGATCGCCCCTGGGCGGCTGGCCCCCACACGCGGCCGGGCCGCCGTAGAAGCCCGGCGTCGCTGGGCGCTCGGCCTGGCGCGGGGGAAGGGACGCTTTTGTCTCCCTCTCGGCGTCATGGCCCGGTGCAAACTTTTGCAAGGCACTCGACGCGCTCGTGGCGAATCTCTGGAGTGGGATCGTACTGAGAGCCGCGGAGCCCGAGCGGCAGCGAGGGCGGAGCGGGCAAAGGCGGTGGAGCGGGATGCAGGTATGGACCGGTGATGTAGGTGAAAGAATTATGGTTGGAGTGTTGGTGGAATTGGAGACAAGTCAGCAGACGAAACAAAGGTGAGGGACGATGATCAGTGGAGGGGTACTCACCAAATGAGGCCTACCAGCCGAAACTGGAAAAGCCTGGGGATGAACGGCGTCGAGGGGCCTGCTTATGTATGCGATTTTTGGGACCTTGGGCTTCACGTCGGGGAGCAAGTCGTCGGCGTTTGGGTAGAGCATGCAACCTGCTGCGGAGGGCAAGGAGAGCGAGGACGGTGCACAGCGTTGTGTGGTGAGATCTCATCTCGTGTGCAAAGTGCGACGTGATTGCGAGGGATCTGGGATGCCTGCCGGATGAGCAGAGGCGAGTGACAGCGAGAGCGCGGAGGTGCGACGTGGGGGGGGTGTGCTGTTTGCTGGGTGCTGCGCAGTGGCTGAGTGCGGACGCCGCCAGCTCGTCGAGCACCGCTGCGGAGTGCGCAGGGCGTAATGTGTGCTGAGGTGGACGCACTCGATCCGTCGTTCCTTCTTGGCGGACTTTCGCAACCTCGCCTAAATACTTCACTCAGCCCCTATTCTATGCTCTCTGACTCGTACGTAGCGTTCATGCAAGTGGTCAGAGTGGTACACAATTGAAGTAGTGGTCTTCCCTCCGTCGTGGCCACCAAGGGTCACGTGCTGTCGCCGACAGACACTCCTGTGTCAGAGACACGCTATCGTTGCGCCCTCGCCACCGCAACGTTGTCATCACAACATTGTCAGGTTCGTCAGCGTCGACAATGTCTTTAGCAATGCTTCCAGGGCCTACAACCCAAGAAGCCTCAGGTTCCCCCTGGTGAGCTCGTCCCCTCGGCAAACAGCTGACCAATGTCTGCCGCTACCCGCTTACGCCACTTTTCCACTGGCTCTGCAAGCTTTGTTGTGACCTTCCCCGTCGACGACCTGGAACTTGCGACTTCCTGGACTCAGACGGCACTGTCTGGTACGAGCATCAGATCACGTTCGACACTTTCGTGGCCGGCTCGAAGAAGCGCGATCACTGCCTTCCCCGCCCTGATTCCGCGTCCGACGCTGGTACGTGATGCCGTGGCCGCCCGAGTCGGGGAGGAAGGCCCAGCGTACATGTTCTACACAGGCTGTACCATCGCCGACACTCCCGTCTCGCCAGCTGCAGACGAACTAGCCCCAGCTGCCGCCATGAGGGCGCCTACGGAAGACGAGAAGCAGGTGCTCGATGGGCTGACGAAGCGCTACCGCGACCTAGACACCGCTCACACCGCCGCTGCCGCCACCGGGAGCCTCGTCGCCGTCGTCAAAGCCGTGCGTGAGGCGCGCAGCGAGCGCATCGTGACGGAGCAGGAGCTCGCTCAATTGGATCCTGTGAATGACGAGCTCATCAGCTTTGCCCGCGACCCGTTCGTGCGCCTCCCCCCTCATACGCCACGTACGTCGCCACCGTACCAGTGGACAAGATCGACGAAGCTCCTGCCGGCGTGCCCGAGGGTCTGGTCTGGTATGAGCGCCAGATAACGTTCGGCGGCATCGCTGAGCTCCTCGCCCGACTCGAACAAGCTATCGCCGCTTAACCCGCCCTGACCCCGCCTCTGTCGCCGGTGCGTGGCGCAGTAGCCGCTCGAGTCGGAGAGCAGGGCCCGGCGTACATGTAGTATAGCGGCTGTACCATCTCCGGCATCGCGAGCCACAGACGACATGGTTTGCTCCCCCCGATTCATCACCACTCTCCTCCGTCTTTGGAAGATCAAGACCGTCGATGTGTACCGCGTCGGGATCGAGCCGGTCGATATCAACGCGTTCGAGTACCGCAGCAAGCGCGAGCTCCAGATCGTCGAGCATGCCCTTATCAGCACTCGATACCCGCACAACCTCAACTCAGCCCCTGGCGGTTTCCTCCACGACTTCAAGGTCGACGTGTATTCGCCTTCCCCCCTTCCGATCACGCCCCACGAAGCTGAACCAACCTCCGTCGACAACGGCATCAAGCGCCGCCTGGAAGGCATGTACCAAGCGTACGCCAGCCAGCGCAGTGATGGGACGAGCATCAACCCGCAGCCCTCGCGCATCTGGTTAACGCTGCGACTGCCCGTCAGCGCGTCTGCGGCCGGCCCCTCCTGGTCGCCATAGGGAAGGACATCACAAGCGAAGAGTTCAACGGCGCACACGCCGAGATTGGCTACCGCCCTGCCGCCGTTTTGCAACCTGTACACTGATTTCGAACTTAACTGGTGGTTCTGGGTCATCATATTGCTCCTCCTGCCGTATCTCCAAGTCGTAGGATGGCCGGCAGTGGTGTGGTTGGAGTCAAGAGAAGTGATCACTGCCTTTGTTGACGGTCGACTTGCCGGAGCGTCGCAGTTCATGAACGCCCCGGACTTCGACGAGTGCTTGACCCACGTCCCCTCCGCGCCGACAGGCCCTGGCCCAAAAAGAACCATCGACATGGCGCTGTGTGCGGGCCACGCAGTCATCTGCGACCTTGGACATGGGAACTTCACGATTGCGCTGCTGTGTTACGACCGCGGCGTCCTGAAGTACGACCCCGAGCTGGCCCCGGACCGCGAGGCGCTCCAGCAAGTCGCAGATGCCGACCATCAAAGACGCCTGTGTGCGTACAAGCAGTACGTCATGCAGCACGGCCACCCGTCCGACCTGGGCTCGTACGGCAAGCTGCATGACGCGGGAGAAGTGGCTGTCCCAGCCGAACTGCGTGCCGATATGGAGAGGCTGCGTGCCCTGGTCTGCGAGCGCGAGGCCGTCAATCTCCGCCTCCGTGCCCAAGCCGCTGTCGCCCGTGGCTCAGCTATCGGCCTCACGTCTGAGGGCGCGACGAAGGTCGCCAATGAGACGCATGCCGCTCGCACTTTCGCTGTCGGCAACAAGACCTTCCGTGGCAAGGACGACCCCGAGCGCGTCAAGCAGTTCGAGCGGTACCTGGAGGAACAACAAGAACTTATTGCCCGGCGCCTTCCTTACCCCCAGCACCAGTATCGGCCTGACGGGATGTCCCTTGACAATTGGCAGGTTTGGTTCTGTCGACTTGACCCCGGCCAGGAGCTCATGACTGCCCGCCGCGTTGGGAAGGAGAGGAAGAATGGGATGGCCGATTACGAACGGTGCTTTGCAACGTAGCGTGCTGCGCACCCAGCCACCGGGTGGAAGTGTGCTCCCTCCGGACGATGCCGTTGCCGAACTCACGGACGAGGACCTCTTTGCGCCGATCACAATCAAGTTCGGACTGCCCACGTTGTGGGGCGTCCTCAGTTGGATCCTTCGCGGTCGGAATCTCGGATCTGGGCCACGATTGCCGGGAGCGCGAGGACCGGGACGACATTCTGAACGCAGAGGCAACCAGATTCAGTTCTGGGGACCTGATCGTTGAGTGGGTCATCTGGGGCGGAGACGCTGCCGAGCATCACTACCTCTCTGATCTGGTGAGAGAGGCGATGGTGCTCACCATTGACACGGTCGAATACCTGAAGGCCGTGTAGGGCTTGATCAGAGCGATGGGATGGTCTGGAATAATTCCGCCCGACTTTGACGGCCTAACGATCCCTCCTGCCGTAGTGAAGCCCGACTCCTCCGACGAGTTCAAGATGGCGACGGCCATTGGCCTCGCCCTCGCCTACAGTCACGGCGCTCCAGAGCTGCGTGACGTTGCGGCCAACACGGACACGACCTCGACATACATCGAACGGTCGACTGGATCATCGACAATGTATAACTACTGTCAGCAGGATTGCGTCATCTCCAGGCCGTTCAAGCTGGCAATGCATCAGTGTGAAGACATCAATGGAGACCGCTACCCTCCGACGAAGCGCCGCAAGACAGCGGAGGGTGAGTCGACGAAAGCCAACGCCTATCGTAACAGCTCGAAGATGGTCCCGGTGCGATCATTGCACTTCCACGAGATGCCGCCAAGGGTCAGGTCGTGGGCTTGGGCCTCCTTCGTGTCGGCCTCCAACCCCCTCAACGTCACGGCCTCCTTCTTCCCGGAGAACCCCGGCCCTCTTCCCGCCCGTCCCATTATCTCGCCAGGCTTTGGACCCACCGATGTCCAACGCCAGTCGAACGCACCCGCCCCCTCCAACCGCAAAGGAAAGCGAAGCGACAAAGCGGGCAAGGGTAGTACTGTATGAACGGCGACTCTGGGCCTAGGGGGAGCACGAGTTACAGCGCGTGAGTACGAGCTTCAGCGCAGCGTCAAGTGAGCGCGGGCAGCGGAGGCGCGGGGATGACAAAGGCCAAAGCCAGCGGCTCAGGTAGCAGCCCTTCAGACGTTGGTAAGAGTACCAAGATGAACCGTGTGCGGGAGCTCGAGCACCAAGACCTTCCCGTTCAAAAATGGTTGTACATACATTACGCTCAAATACTCAAATGGATGCAAGTCGTGTGGAAAAGAGGTGGTTAGCAAAAGCATGAGACAACGATGCTAACGGAATGTAAGGAGCCACCGATTACGGAAGCCGTGGGAGATAGTGTTATCAATGAACTGCGCAGCAATAAACTGAGGCAGGGAAGAAGTGAGCTGCGTGTGGGAAGCCATAGGAGCGACAGTTAGCTCTTAGACCCAGCTCATTTAACCACTATGCAAACGGGCATGGACTATCCCGGGGCCCCGGGTGTAGATAAGGTTAGCGTCGGCACAGCCCGAAGACGGAAGGCGAGAGGCACTTAGCACCTCGACTAGAGCTGTCTCGCTGGCGAAGGCTGGGCAGGACGCATGCCTGAGTACAGGTATACAGGCTCCGGTCACCATCACGAGGTGGGTGTTTACGGGTCTTGGGGTGCTGCGCGGCAGGGGTTATAGATTGAAGATAAGCTGGGCTTTGTGGCCCAGATGAACTGTTGCGGATATCTTCTTTCCGCGTCCAGCGAGCGACAATGAGAGAGCCCATGCGCACCTGCAGTTAAGCATAAGTACACTGAGTCAGTGTCGAGATGCTGCCATGCATGCATGCCCGTTGGCAGGCATGAACGGCGCTACGAGGTGGAGGTGAGGGGCGCAATGGAGGGCGCAGCGCTAATCAAACACTAGTTTCGGGGTGAGACACCTCCACCGACCTCCACCACCACCACCCCAACATTTCTCTACGAAACCGCAACTCGACGTCCAACTTCAGAACGTGAAAAGGCGTCGATGGTGTAGTCGCATCATACTTGCTTTGGGTGGGGAACATCCTCAGAGACAGTGCAAGTGGTCCTGGGTTCAAATCCCAGTCGACGCCGTCTTTTGGAAGTCGAGAACGTCCAATTCTCGTCCGGGAGGCTTCAGAACCTTTTTCGACGAATTACACGGGAGCAGGCAACTCCGGGCCTGTCGGTAGGGGTTCGGGGAGCTCGGGGGGGCCCTTAGTCACCGATTTGGGGCCGTTCCGGGGTACGGAGGGCCCAGGTGAAGTGCTACAGCTGTTCGGCGTCTGATCTCGTCAACCAGCCGTTACTCAACCATCACCCGCCGCAGACTCCCCGTTACCCGCCCTAGCGCAAGCAGTGTACCCACAGTACTCGCCTGTGATGCTGCATTGGCTAGCAGACAGCGACGGTGGACGGATGGAGGTGCGAACGGAGACACACTGATATGCTGTCTGCCCTCCGTACGTACACCTAGCGTATGGCTGTGTCTGCTTCCAACGTGTGTGGTTGCCTTTTCCGTCCAGCTATCGATGTGGACAGTTGCCGGCGAAGGGACGGGCCCAGAGGTAGGTGGTACCTGTGGTTGTCGCGACATCTCATCGACCTCCCGATGTTCAACTCGGCTACTTCGGTGATCAACTGCATCTGCCGGGAGACAATGCACTTTTGAGCGGCCACTATGTCCACAACACGTTGTGGTGCTCTCCAGGTGGGCAGCGGCATGCGTTCCGCGTCGCATGGAGATTCTGGGCACCAAACGCGAGGATGCCTCTATCGCCATATCTCCCCGGCTTGGTGCCCCGCAGCCCTCGCCGTATTTCGGATCCGAGCGGCAACACAGAAACCGCGACTCACCCCCACATCATCTACACTCCGCTCCATCCACCATGTACGACGGCAACAGACGCCGATGGCAGTTCAATAACAACAGGAAGACGGCGATTGACACCCTCGTGTCCAACTGCCTCTTCCTGCGACGCGCGGACAAGTCACCGCTGCGGGACGCCGGCGCCCTCACTTGGAACACGGCAGTGATCAACGGTCGGAAGCGCAGTTACCAGCGTGAAGCATCCCTATCGGACGAGAACAGACCCCACGTCTCGTGGGGATGGGTGGAGTATGCCCGCCCACGGCGCGCCGGCAAGTTCATCGGTCTCTCACACGCTGCAGACGGTCGCAGCGCAGCCACCGTCACAGCGTTGCGATATCCGGACGCTAGTGCAAGAGACGGCACAGTCCAGGTGTCGCGGTACGAGGTGCATATTGCATTGAATTCGTTAAAAGAGTATTATACCTGGCTCCTCAACTACGAGTACCTGCTTCAAACGAGGACCGAAGTGAGGGACACGCGCCGCACCGCCGAAGTCCGGGAGAGGGTGATCGAGATACAAAAACAGGTCGAGAAGATGGCGGGTAAGTCCCATCCCCCAGCTGAACTGACCGTAGCCGCTATATGCGCCTTTCTGGCACTCATCACGGACTGGGAGGAGCGATGGAAGGTTTCGAAGGACAATCCCGAGCCGCCCATATGGACGTCATGGGAGGGCCGAGTGATCCCCGACATCAGTCAGTCGGACGAGAAGTTTGCCGCCCGGCTCGACGACCTCATCGAGCACACCAAGGTTACGCGGAGAGCCGCTCACACGCCGTTAGCCGGGCCAAGCAAGACGCGCCTTGGCAAGACATCCAGTGAAAAGGAGAAGGCGGATCTGGACCCGGCGCCAGAGCCATTGAGTGACTACGCCCTGCGACTCGTCCACCACATTGTTCATGAGGGTATGCCCCCGCTTCCAGCCCCGCTCATCGTCTGGCCGTACTACCGCGAGTTCTATGAGGGCATAGTCACAACAGAATGGTTGGAGGATATCGAATCTATGGTTTGGGGGGCGGACCAGGTGAAGACACTCGATCTCGGTCACGCAGAGGTGAAGCAGTGCGGATGGGGCCGACTGCTGCGCTACGGCCGACACCTCTTCGGCGGTCGGTGTGATGTGGTAAAAGTACGCTTTGGCCCTGGCCTGAGTCCTGGGGCTGTAGAAGGGGACGGGGAAGGCCGGAAGGACGTGCCAAGCGCTGAAAGCGTCGGAGGTATCACCCTTGAGCTCTCGCAAGTGATAAACGTCTTCACGTCCCTCGAGCGCACTGTTGACGACACACATCGTTGTGCCCAGATTCAAGCATATGCCGACGCTCATCCCGGCGTCCTCGACATGGCACATCTGACCGAGCTTGCCGAAGCGCACAATGCACGTGCTCGCGGTTATCTTCGCGCACTGTACTACACGCTCCGCTACATCCACATCCACAAAGACGACCTGCCCTCGCTTCCTCCCTGGGAGCCATGGATGGGAAAAGGCGACGATGTGCTGAACGACCGGCACGCCGACCCGAAATGCTTCTCGGACCTAATCACCGACGGCCGGCTAAGCGAGTACGGGTTCCACCTTGCCCAGCGTGCCATCGACAAGGGATGGCCGAGGCAGCCTGACGCCCTCATCCATGCGGCAAACAAAGCTGCATCGTGGAGCGCAGCACAGGCCCGAGCCAAGCGGTGCCGACACTGCAAGCACCAGAGGCATACCGTCAGCTCAGGCGGAGACTTGAGTCGGGCTGGACCAAGCTCTGGTGTAGGGTACACACCGACACAGACTGCGTACCACGACATGACGTGGAGCATCGATGTGTACCCCAGCTGCAGTCACTCCGCAACCGAGAGAGGAGAAAGCAGCTCGGGCGGCGGAGGCGGGGGCGGCGGAGGCAGCAGTGGTGGCGGAGACAGCGGGTTCAGCGGCGGCGGCGGCGGTAGTAGCTCCTTCGACAGCGGCGGGTTCAGCTCGAGTTTCTGATCGCCGCCTCCAGATGTGCTTGCACTAAGGTTTGGTTGCGTGCCGGAAGAGGTGATGCGGGCTGTACCTGACCTGGATTGAGCAAGCTCAGGGTTGCCATTGCACAGCCTTGATGTCCAGAGGTAGGCCATGCAGTAGTCGTTGCGACAGCTTTCGCAGCTCAGCTGTCCTCCCTCAAGGAGCCCTTCGGTATCCCGGAGAGCCGTGGTACCGGGTTGATACGTGCCCGCACGACCCCTCCGATGGCGAGGCAAATGTTCCGGCGAATTGATAGCACAGACCCTGGCCCTCGGCCTTCATGAATCTTTGTCAAGGTCCAATTAGACTTCATCAGGGACAGGCCAGTCTCGTCAACAAGACAAAACGCGCTGTGTTACAGGCTCCGAGAGGCACCAGGGACAGACTGCCGTCAAGCGATCCGACGTGTTCAATCGTGATGAGCGATGCCGACATCAGAATTTACGTCGATGCCAGCACGATGCGACACGTCGGCACCGCCTTGTCGGGCAGCAGGATCACGGCTCAGGGCTTCAATCTCGGCGTCCGCAAAATCAAAGCAAGGCCGCGTCGCATATCTATCACCACCGAACTTGCCATCTCACCATAAGCTGCGGAACAGAAAGATGGACACGCCCCGCCGCCAACGTCGCTCACCTCTAGGCATACTATGCCTGCCGCGGCCTGGTGTCCTCCCAGTCTTCGCCGCGCTGTCGTTCGCCGCCGTGCTCGTTCTGCTGACCATGGTCAGCAGGCTGCATCTCGAGCTCTTGCGGAGCAGGACAGACCCATACCACCACGAGTACGCTGGGCAGGGCGTACATCCGCTGCTGGGCACGGGCTCGGCGGGGGGTCGAAAGTTCGATGTCGGCGTTAGTGTCTTCGCTTTCAAGCCCATCAACGTAACCGCCCGGCCGGAGTGTGCGCCTTTAGCGGACGCGAGATGGATAGCGGATTACAGTGGTCCACAGTTGCGCCGAGTATCCCCAAACGGCTCGGAAGCCGAGCGCGAGCTGATACACCTGGCGAAGCAAGTCAACATGGTGCATCCCGAACGATCCGCTTCGGCGTGCAATCTGCTCTATGTACCTGAGACGGAGGAACTGTGGAGCGGGATTGTTGCGCACAACATGACTCACCGCGACAAACATCTGCGCGCGTTCTTCGACGTCGATATTCCGACTCAGTTTCTGTGAGTGGTGGACTGTCTCTAGCGGGCTAACGTCAGCAAACCCCTCCGCCCTCACTCCAAAGAGGATCGCGGGGGTCACGACATGGGCTACATGATCGACACTTGGAGGGCCAACAACGGGCCCAACCTCTATGCGGTCGTGACGCTCGTCCCACACGTGCAGGAGTGGTGGGCGCCCCTGCGCTCCGTCACGTGGTACAAGCATGGTTTGGACGACTTACCGCTGATCGGCTCAGCGTAAGTTGTCTTGTGTTGCTCACAGCTGACGGCAGTGTGCTGCAACAGGCGGAGAAGGTTGTGAACATCGAGCCTCACAAGGGTGACCATGACCCGACTCGAAACTTCACGGATACCGAATTGAGACGAGAGTTCCTGAGCACGATGTCTGTGCCAGCGCCGCTTCTGTATCACCAGCTCAGCGATTACAGCAAGAGGACCGATGACAGCTTCATGACGACCAAAGTCCTAGCCCTTCTGCTGAGGAACTCGAGGAGCCTTGGCGCAGCTACGAGTGCCGATCGGCTGGATAGAATGCTCTTGCGGGGCGTGAGTCGGGCACTTTGATTCTGCTGACACTCAGTGCAGTGCGCCTCCGTGGAAGACGCGGCACAGGCTGCTGTGCAAGCAGTGGAACTACGCGGAGATGGGCCACAGCTTTGCGGCCTACGAGCTCGGGCGACCAGGCTTCCATGAGGGAGTTGGGGCTCTTACATCAGAGCACATTTATGAGGCCGAGATGCTGAAACGCCGCTATCCGCCCTACCTGACTACGGCTAGACCCGGCCCATTGGACTACAACGTCATCACGGTCGGTAACGAAACACAGCAGCGGCACTCGTTTGAAGTCCAGCTCAGCGTAGTCGATCACGTACGTCTGGCACATCTCGAGAGAGCACGTCACCGTGAAGGATGGTTTCCCAGGCCCGCCGACCCCAGGGAGGGCAACACGAAGTATGTGCAGATCCAGCACGACGGCGCACAGTACGATCACGCCTGGGTCGGGCTGGCACCAGCTTGGAGAATGGCTGTCGCATTGGTCATACCGTACCTTGCACACTATGCCCGGCTTCTAGCCAGTGCACTGACTGTGCTTTACTGGTTGACCCGACAGACCACAACTGGCATCTCTGTCGGTGGCACTGGCTTCATTGTTGCCGGTGAGGTTTTCCGCAACGTCGTCACGTCCTGGACATACTATTGGTACAACTTGCCACGTCACAGGTTCCGCATCTTCATCTGGTTCATTCTTTTGTTCCCTGAGGTGCTCCAGCTCCGCCTGATCCTGCCATATCAAGTCAAGCGCAGGGCAAATAGCAGCACGTGGCGTCCTACGTCGTGGTATCTCGACAAGATACCACCGACTGCTCGCGAGCAGCGCAGTGCCGCTCTGAGCCTCCCAAAGGCTCAACTCGTGGTGCTCGCTACGGTGATGAGCTGTGCGGCGTATGCAGTATACAACCAGCCTACGCTGCTCATTAGAGCGTCACACATCGAAGGGATCGGCGACGACACCGACCCCACGCAGTACCCAGGAAGTCGGATATTCGACCGGTACTCAGAGCACAATGCCTACACCCTGTTCCGCCAGGGTGAGGAAGACCTGGCGCTATACGCGTATCGGACACCCGAGCTGGGTCACATCTGGCGCAAGTTCATGCTGTTCCCTCTCGCGCAGGCCCTGCTTTCGACCGGCCAGGTTGCTCAACTCATCATGAACTTCCGCTCCAGGACGTTCGCTGGTAATTACGCTCTCGCTTGTTTGTTCAAGGCTCTTGCGCTCCTCAGGATTTCGACACCTTTCATTGCCGGAAACACTCACTACGATGGGGTATACTTAAGCGCTGCTGCTCAGGTGGTGCTCGTGCTCGCTGAGGGAGCTCAAGCGTTGGTTTACCCGCGGGTTGAGCAGGGGGGCGAAGGCGAGGAGAAAGGATGGCAACCACCCTAGCTGCCCGATACCCAAACATCGTCCGGTGCCCCACTATGCAATGGATGTCTGCCATCAGTGGTGTCCGGCTCTTCTGATTGTGACATGATGGCGGTGTGCTCGGCTGCGTACTAGAAAGGCTGATATTTGCTGTTGACACAACTGATCGACCGTTAAGGTTTGATAGAGTGCCGGGAGCGGTGCTGGGCGGGCAGTACCTGACCGCGACCGGGAAGCTCAGGAGAAGTGTACGAAGCTCTCGCCCAAAGTATGGCCCCGCACAGGAGTAAGTCGCTTGAGCTTTACAATGCCGTCCATCACTGCGCATGCAACGCACCCAAGGACTGGCATTTCTCTAGGCGCAAGAGCTTTTGATACCGGCGAATTGATAGCAGGTGTTATGGCCGGCTTCCTTATCGACCCCCTGAATCTGCGCCCAGATTAGATTTCATGGGGGCCTGGACCGGATCTGAGCCTGAAGACCCGAATCAACGGCATCACCCGATCTGGACAATGCGGTGTATCGCCTTTCTGGATAGAGTAACTTCCAACTCTCTGTCAGTACTGGGGACACCTGACCGATTACAAGACCTGCCTCCAATTCAACATGTTCACGCCCATGTCTCTTCTTGACCATCAGTCATCCTACATCACACATGGAAGGCGCAATGGATCCACCTCGACCCAGGCGTCGGCCGGCTGTCACACTGCGGCGCATTCCTGTTCTTCCCGTCTTCGCCGCCGTGTCCTTCACGGCGGTGCTCATCCTCCTCTATATCATCGCCCGGCTCTCGGTGGAGGTAGTCCACGGCAAGAAAGACCCCTATCGCTTCGAGTTCGGAGACATGGGCGTGGCGCCGTTACTGGGCGAGGACCGGTTGTTCGACGTTGGTGTGAGCATCTTTGCCTACAAGCCCATCAACGTGACTGCGCGGCCCGAGTGTTCAGAGAGAGCAGAGGGCGAGTGGCTGTCGAAGTCCTACCGGCGAACGGGAAGACTCGCGAACATGACCAAGGAGGAGCGTGAACTAGCGCAGCTCGCTAAAGACGCGATAGCGATTGACTGGTCTCAGCATCCTACAGCATGTACACTGCGTTACGTTCCCGAGACGGAGGAGCTTTGGAGTGGCGTCATTGCTCGCAACATTACCCTCGGGAAGAAACGGGTTCAAGCCTCTGTCGACTTCGATATCCCGATCAACTTTTTGTGAGTTTGGGTGTGTGGCTGCATCTGACTGTAGGAAACCTCTGAGGACCACCCGTACCGCGGAAGAACGAAAACAGGACCCTTTGTTTGGGTTCATCACAATGGGAATCACAACCGGAAACCCGGACGTTTACGCTGTGGTCTCGCTGATCCCACATATCGAGGACCTGCATACCGTTTTCTGGTACAAGAATGGCCTTGAAGACCTACCACTCATTGGCAAAAGGTGAGCTCCCTCTGTTGTCCATACGGTATTTCTAATGCCAGGCTGCAGAAGCACGCTGAGGGCGTTGTGGCTATTCCGCCCACAGAAGACGAAGGCAATCCCGAAGTCACCCGGAGGGTCAGCCATGACGATGTGCTCAAGGCTTATTTGCACACGATGTCTGTCCGAGTGCCTCTAATCTCATCCAGCCACGACCTAGGTGACGAGCTATTCCTGGCGACAAAAGTCCCGATCGTCCTTCTGAAACGGACAGAATCAATCACCATTTCCACTATAAAGGACCGAACCGAGCGAATGATAGCCAAAGGGGTGGGTTGTGAAGTAGCATGTGTTGATTAACATCCCAGTGCAGTATGTCTCCATGGGGCAATAGGCACCGTTTCCTTTGCCCCCTGTGGGTCTACCCCGAAGTCGGACACTGGCACTCGGCATATCAAATCGGAAAGGCCGGGGAACCACCAGGAGACAACTCCAGTGACCGTGCACGAGGGATCTACAACTCGCAAGAGTGGAAGAAGCGCCGATATCCTCCCTATCTTACTGCTGCAAGGGCTGGTCCGCTGGACTATCGTCAGTTTACAGTCGGTAACGAGACGCACCTACGACACTCGTTCGAGGTAAAGCTCAGCGTCATAGACCAGTTCCGTCTCCAGGTGCTCGAGAACAACAAGCGCCGGCACTCTCCGGGTCGGGAGACTGCATACCTCCAAGAGTCGCACGACGAGACTCAGAAATATCATGCCCTTGTTGGCCTCGCACCCTTCTGGCGGACAGCGTTGGGCTACCTGTTCCCGCTTGTTGCAAAGTACTCTCGCTTGGCTGCCAGTGCATTCACGGTGTTGTACTGGGCCACTCGCAGGATTACTGCCGGCATCAGTATTCGTGGTACGAGTCTGATCATCGCTGGAGAGATGCTCCGCAACGCTACCGGGAGTTGGGACTACTACTACCTGGACATGGACTTCAAGCGTAAGCAGTTTTGGGCGGGTATATGGTTTGTTCTGCTATTCCCGGAGGTGCTCCAGCTACGCCTCATACTGCCTTTCACACTCAAGAAAATGGGCAATCGGAGTCCGTCCTGGCACCCCTCTTCTTGGCGCCTTCAGAAGATACCAGCATCAGCGCGCGAGCGACGCAGTGGCCGCCTCGATCTCAAGCCAGTAAAGTTGATCGGATTGGCTGCGGCCCTAGTGATCACGGCGTACGCGGTCTACAACCACCCCATTCGCCTGATCGAGGCATCTCACAACGAGGACGACTTTCGCGATACGTACCGCGCCCAGTATCCTGGTAGCAGGGTGCTTGACCGGTACTCCCAAATTAACATCGCGAGGTGGAGAAACAGCAATGATCTCGCATATTACCACAGATACATTTTCCGCAGCCCTAAAGACGGCCCGGTTTGGCGAAAGTTCATGCTGCTGCCTATGGCTCAGGCAATGCTATCTACTGGCCAGATTGCACAACTCGTCATGAACTATCGCTCGAAAACCTTCGCCGGCAACTACGCCCTGACCTGCTTTTTCAAGGTATTCGCGCTCGTCTCCATCGCTACGCCTTTCATCGCAAGAACAGCGTATAGCGACGGATTGTACCTTGCAGCTACTGCTCAGGCCATGCTCCTACTGACCGAGGCGGCCCAGGCCCTCGTGTATCCACGTGTTGAACAGGAGATTGAAGGTGAGGAAATGGAGATGTAGCCGGACCCGCAATTCCATAGAACAATCTTTGGCCCTGATCTATATCAGCTGTAACCAACGTACGTTGACCCGCGATATTGTGCCCAGCATAGAGCACAGATAGACATTGAGACTTTCTACCTCAAGTTGACGCATTTAGTTTGTATTCCATTAGCTTGCAGTGTACCCATCGGCCTATGGGCAGCCACGAGTGGTCCTCTCGTCCCTGGGAACATCCGCGTAAGGTGAATTGCTCGCATTCAGCTGCATTGGAGCGGGCAGCAGTCATTGACGTGGCCTTGCTGGGGTCCACGTCATATGCAGCAAGCTAAAGATATTCATTCGGTCAATTGATAAGCCATACCGGATGGCGGGCGGCCCGAGCAAGACCTTATCAACGGCTATCGTCAGCCACCGTCTCTCCTCATGTGCACGGAGTTTAGGATCCGCACCATTACGGCCAGTCTTAAGCTGACAGTGATCTGACGGCCAACGTCCGCGAATTCAGCTGTGCTGACAAACTCATAAATGAGTTCTCAATGTGAACTATTCAGGACTCGATCTCTAACGCGCACTTCAGATGCAGCATCCATGCGTCATTGCCTCGGGACATCTGCATCTGCCATCCATACACCTACCTACAGCTCCATCTCCTCCTCTTCAATCTCCTGTTCAACGCGCGGGTACTTCCGGGCCTGCCACGCCTCAGCAAACACCAGTCCTGCTTGTGCAACTGCACTCAAGTACAACCCCTCAAAGTAAGAGCTGCCGGTAAGGAATGGGGAGATCAAACCAATCAGGGAGAACGCCCTGAGGTAGCAGCTGAGGGCGTAGTTACCCGCAAATGTACCGGAACGATAGTTCATGACGAGTTGCGAAATTTGACCGGCAGAGACGAGCGCGAGGGCCAAAGGAAGCAACTTCCTTTTCCGGAACAGGAAGTACGGGCCGTAGTTGCCCTTATGCCATGCCCGAGTACCCGGGAAAATAGCGTTGTAGTTGTCATGCCAGTACTCGCCGTGAGAAGACCCGATGAGCCGGATAGGAAAGAAGTATGCCGCATACGTCGCACATGCCAGAAGAGCGGTGCAGCAAGCAATCTCCCGCCAGGTTGGGCTAAGCCGAGCACTCCGCCGCTCCCTAGCTGTTAGTGGAACTTGCACGATGCGGAAGGCGGTCGGCTCCCCAGGTCCGTTTTCCCTCTCCTTCTCGGCCACGAAGGGCAATAACAGGCGCAGCTGCAAGACTGCAGGAAAGAACAGGATCGGCCAAATGGCCAACCAGAAGATGCCGTCCCTCAGCGTATACCTGTAGTAGTCCCATGTACCCACGATATCGCGCAGGATACTGCCAGACACCACAAACGTCAGACCGCTTAGGCTGATACCTGTTGCTGTGCGGCGGGTCGCCCAGTACAGTACAGTCAGGATGGTAGCAGCATATCGTGCACCTTCCGACAGTGTAGAAATGGTAATACCGAGACCAACCCCCAAGCGTGGCCCGATCCCCAGCATAGCGTGCGAGAGCTTGAGTCGGTCTTGCGCCTGTTGGATATACTTCTTTCGCTCCCAAGGGTCACGCGGCTGCTCCATAGCCAGGAGCACGCCCAGTCGCACCTCATCAATCAAAGAGAGACTGAAGTGAACCGAATGACGCAGAGCGGAATCGTGCCGGATTGCGGTATATTCTTGAGGGGTAGGTTTGGGCACAGTGAAGAATGGCGGGTATCGGCGCCTATCCCAGTCGGCCCACTCGTATTCGTCTTCACTTCCCTCTTTGAACAGGGGCTTGCCGAACGCGTATCCGGCATACCAATGGCCCATAGAGTCGTAGGTCTGCTCCTCGCACATGAGCCGGTGACGGCCGCCCAAAGCAGGACTTCTACACTGGCTCATCAGCCTCGTCCATGCTAGCACTCACGCTGTCCGAGAGCACACGTTCGCCCCATTCCGTGAAGCCCGTGTAATCCATATGTGAGGTTCTTTTGAGTAGGACCATCTTGACTACGTCTGCGAAGTAGGAACCCATCTCCAGCAGTGGGACGCGGATGGACAAACTCTCCAGAAACACCTTGCGAGCATTGTCAGCGCTCTCGACAGGGATGTCGCCCCCCTGGTCCTTCCTCCTGTTTTGCTCAGGCATAACTCCGATCGCGGTCTGTGCTGCCTGCAGCACCCTGATGTCATCAGCGAACAGGTCGATCTAGGGCTCACTGTCCACCCAGAGTTGGCAGATCGTCCACGTGGTCTCTGTACCACAGAGTCCAGCGCAGGTCATCCAGGTGTGGGATCAATGTGATTGCGGCGTACACCTTTGGCCGCCGTGTGTCCGTCCCGTGGTTCCAGTAGTACGCCCAACCCGCATCATTCCCCGTCATGTTCTCTGGAACCTCAGCACCCAGAGGTTGCCTACTTTCAGCTCTGTACTACTAGGACGGCTCACAGGTACTTCTCCGGGATGTCGAGATCAACTGTCGCCTTCACCGTGCTGTTGCGTATGGTCAGGCTGTGGGCGACGACGCCGCTCCACAATTCTTCCGTCTCGGGGACATGCAAGATCTGGCACGATGATAGTCCTCCCATGCCTCCTTTCCTCCTATAGGCCACTGAGGACATCTCTCCATAAGCCATCCAAAGGCGAAGCTCTTCCTCAGACTCGGAGTCATGCCCGCCATCCTCCCTGAACAACTGCCGATACCATTGCACCTCGCCGAGCGCACTGCACTCGGGCCACTTGTTCTCGTCGATGGGTTTATGGGCAAAGACGCTGATGCCGATGTCGAATACTAAATCCTCGTCGAAGAGCGGTTTCACTCCGGTCTTCCCGAAGAGATGACGATGCGGATCCCTGGTGCCTCGCACGAGCTCAAACGCCAGCTTTCCCACAGTACCGAGGACGAACAGCGTACCGAGGAAGCACAGTCCGGCGAAGACGGGGATAGCGCTGTCATTACTAAGGCGAAGAAAGGTCAGCGGCAGCTGCGGTCGCGATCGGAGCCGGTCCATGGGGAAGTGGATGGAAACATGAGCTTACGTGTGACTAACCCGGGTATATAAATGAAGTCGAACAGTCGTCGCGTCGCGGCCGGCTCGTCCACACACATACGCCAGCAGATCGGCACGGTTCCTGCTTTTTCCCAATCTGGTGCTTGATTGGACGTGCCTGGCTGGCTGGCAGGGCGTGTCGCGCTTCAATCGCTGTTCAGTTGTCTGCTTGCAATGACGTATCGGTGGCTTGTTGAGGCTTGGTGTTAGCATTCAATAATGCACATGCAGAATGGAATCCTATGCTGTGGTCTAAGTGACGTTCCTGCACTGCAGGCTCTCCTGGGATGACCGTGGCGCAACACAAGAATCCGTGTTGTTTCACGTGATCGGTCTGTGATAACCCTAATCGCGACACATCTCGCAGGGCCAACCCCCTTTAGTAGCCGAGCATCAAGGCATCAAGGCGACACGCAACTCTGCCTACCCCCAGGAACGCTAGTCAGGCCCATCAGGCTCGTGACTTACCTCAAACCTAACCCCTCTGCAGGCGGTGCATGCTCCACAGCACACATCGACAACCTGAGATCGGAGACGGTGATCGTCCCTCCCGCCGTGTTGCCTTTGCTCATCCCAGGCGCATCTATCGAAAATGGATGCTCATCGACCTTTGCGCCGCCGACCGCTGCGATTCCCAAGCTTCCGGATACGGTTCTTGCCCATATTCGCCGGGCTGTCCTTCGCCGGTCTGGTCATCGCCCTCGGCACATTGATCTATGTCTCCTACGACTGGGTCAGGGTGATTTCTGACCCGTACTGGCTGTCCTACGAGCAGAGTTACAGGTGGCACACCAACGGAGTCCGCTCCCTGATCCACGAGGGCGTTCGATTCGATGTGGGGTTGAGCATCTTCGCCGTCAAGCCAGCCAACGGTACAGAGCGCCCGGAGTGCACGGAGGAGAAACTCGCTCAATGGAGATCGAGCAGGATAGGCTTCACGAAAGCCGACGAAGGGCCTGACATCCTGAGGACATCGGATCGAAGGCTGGATGACAAGCCTCCCTGCGATTCTCTCTACGTCCCTGAGACCAATGAGCTCTGGAGCGGAATTGTCGCTCGCGATCTTACGTTGGCTGACAAGACGAGTGAAAGTGGTATCGATTTTAACATTCCTCCGGAAACTCTGTGAGTGGTTCGCGAGATACAAACCAACTGAGTCCAGTGAACTTCTGTTGAAGGAGCCTCGACAACTGATAGGGGTTGGTCCAATGTCAACCCTAGTGTACGCGACTGTCACGTTAATCCCCAAAGTTGGGGTCGCTGTCAGCAACGTTGAGTGGTACAAGGACGGTATGGAGGATCTGCCCTATGTCGGCGACGGGTGAGTGAACGGGGTCTTAGACTGAGGGCTAACAGAAGTCTCTTTGCGGAAGCTACAAAGTCCGTTCCAGTCAAGGAGGGCGTCAAGAATGCCACAGCACTTCGGCAGACATACCTGAATAGTCTGTCTGTTCGCGTTCCGCTCGTGAAAACAAACTTCAGGGGTGCGTTTGTGGCGACCGGGGTGCAAGCAACACTGTTACGCCAAACGAATTGGATCAAGAGAGATGTATTTGAGGACCGTCACGCGGTGCTCATGCACGGAGCTGTGAGTTGGAAAGCCTGCGCAAAGTGGCTAACGGATAGTGTACGTCACGCGCCCGAAACTGGGTCAAGCATCGCCTGTTGTGCGCTGAGGAGCGATACGAAACCACTGGACATTGGCGGGCGGCGTATGAACTGGAAACAAAGACCGCCAAAAGACGCTACAGCCACCTTCATTATGCACCCTACCTCAGCTACTCTGGGGTCGGCTCTATGAGCCATTTGCAAGTTCCCAAAAGCTCGCAGCTGAAGGAGTTTGGCCACCACAACCTGAAATTCCGTCTCGCCATTGTGGGGCACCGGCGCATGGGCTTCCTTGATCACGAAACCGTTCTTAATCCCCAGCTGGGGAGAGACCGAGCGGAAGACCAACGTCGGCACGACGGCTACGAGGCACTGCATGCCGTGCTGGGTCTCCGGGGTTGGAGGGCTGCTCGTCTTGGTGGAAGCCATGTGCTCTCCGTTTTATCATGGGTTGGATGGCTGATGGGGAGGCTCCTGATACTTCTGTATTGGGCCACTCGCACTACTACAACTGGCATCAGCTTATGGGGCACATCGCTGCTCGTCATCGGTGAAGCCCTACGCAGCATCGCGTTCACGTACGACTACTACCTGGAGACCCTTCCAAGTTGGCTCTTCTACGTCTCAATCTGGGGCATCCTGCTTCTTCCTGAAGTTCTGCAATTAAGAGCCATTCTGCCGACATCGCTCGAAAAGCAGGGTGACACATGGACAGTGGCAGATATCCCCCGCACGGCGCGCGAGCGCAGGTCTGCTCGCCTCGACATCGGCCCCTTCTATCTCGCCGTGCTCTGGGTCACCCTCACCGCTGCCTCATACATGGTGTATGGATGGCCGATGAGAGTCCTACGTGCGTCGCAGGACCATTTCATGCGCAAGCAATTCGAGTACCCCTACCTTGGTGAGGAGGTGTTTAGCCGCATGTCGCTCCTTCCCATCGCGCAGGCCACTGTCACAGCTGGGCAGATCGCACAGCTTGTCATGAACTTCCGCTCCAAGACCTTCGCGGGCAACTATGCCCTGACATGCGCTTGTAAGGTAGCTGCATTGGGTGGGATGGCGGCGCCCTTCGTCGCTGGCAAGGCGTACCATGAGGGATTGTATCTCGGTGCTGTCGCTCAGGGGTTTCTTGTGTTAGCTGAGGCTGCACAGGCTGCGTGGTACCCTCGGGTTGAGCAGGAGGTGGAGGACGACGACGTGGAGTTGTGAACGACAGGCATTGTATTACGCATCTTCGGATGACGATGTGAGCAGTTGCTGTTTGGGGTCGCCCATAAGGATCGATAGCCAGATGAAGTGCCTGGCATTTACCGACCCGTTTGGGTTTCGGTCAGGAGTAGGTACGCCGTGTATAGCACATAGTCTTGAGTCCGAGCTCATGTGACTTGGGGGCTGTGTTGGTGGTCCACTGATGCTGGAATCTTAAGCGTCGACACTCACGACGCCGATGATAGCTCCAGGACAGCACCCACTCCGCCACCATGACCTCAGCTACCACCGTGGGCCCCTTGATCAAACCGAAGCCGGAACTCACAAACCAGCTGAGACCGCCCTGGAATGGACTGGAGCTATACGAACACAGGTTCCGCTGGGGGTATCGACCTCGGGGCTTCCCCTACGAGCCCTACTCCTTGGCCGAGGAGAAGCGGAGGGCCCGGCGACGCTGCGGGTGGGCGGCTGAGCGTGTGCTCTCAGCCCCGCATGCCGAGATGCGCTGGATTGAACGAAAGTTCATCGTACCCATGTGCGTCTGCAGGAGCGGGAGGCCCCGAGAACGCTACGTGACATGCCTGCGCTTTCAAGATCTCAGCGACCCTCTCAACGTCGATCTCCCTGACACGTGCCAGGAGCATCTTGTCGAACCGGGGATTGATGAAGACGGCGGTGGAAGGCCCAGCTCGCTCCCAGAAACATTGCGCGGTGAGCTTGCCGAGAAAGAGGGTTGCACATCGCAGGGTAGGCGTTGGATCACTGTGAAGAGGGCCACGTTCCATCAAGCCCGCGAAACGTTGGTGGCGTACTACGAGCATCTGATTGCGTATGCGGAAGTTCTGCGGGACACACCTGCGGCTCCCTGGGTTACGTCTGAAGCCGCCGAGCAGGTCAACATGAGAGCGACATACGCTGGATGCCTGGTTGGTGAGTCCGTCTCCTCCACTCCGGCGGGATGTGACAGACCGCGGCCCTGATGGAGATCTACTTTGACAGCGTACGCACAAGCGGAGAAAGATATGATACCAAACTCCCACCTCCTCCCAAAGTCTGGGAGGGAGACGTATCGGCCCTCTTCATCGGAGGGCCGGAACTGCCGTGGGGCATTTGGGACCTCCGCAAGAGATGGGGCGAAGACGGGCTGCCCGATATCGTTCCCAGGCTTGTGCACTGGGTTTCCCGCAGAGGCGCGCCACTGCTGCCCAATGAGCTGGTGCACCCTGCCTACGAGGAGTTCTGCGACATGGGGCTTGACGGGACATTTGCCGAGACTCGGAACGGCAATGACACGATTTCGATGAGCGGCCTTGAACCGGCGACACGCAAAGTCCAAAACGCCCTCAAAGACCAGGCAGCCTTGTTCACTCGTCTACGCGAGGCTCAATCTGGCGTGAACGACCCCGAAAGCAGCGATAGCGCGCTGCTTCAGCTCGGTGCTCATATGCGCCAGCTGCGTGGACTTTTGCGTGAGTTCCTCGGACGCCAGCCGATACTTACGCCAGGTGTGCTCTTGTTCACGACGCGCTATCTCACCATTCAGGCTCAGAACGGAGAAACACCTCCACAGTGTGCACCGTGGAAAGGGCCGAGTGTTCTGGCCGACTGGCGAGCAGATCCGGCCGACCAGACGGACATCATGGACAGCGGCCGTCTCAGCGGCTACGTTCCCCAGCTCATCATGCACGTGAACGAGCACGGACTGCCGGAGTTGCCGGAGGCGGTGCGGAAAGCGGACGAGGTGGTGAAAGGGGTGACTGCGTGTCTTGAGGAAGGCCAAAGTGGGCATTGATGCATTCATTGAAGGACGGCGTGGTCCGAGCGGCGTCGGAGCCGGTCCGACGGCGGAGGCGGTGCGGCGTCTCCAGTGCCGGTTACTTTCCGCGCGCCCTTGGCGGTCCGAGTCCAGTCACCTTATCAGCCTCCGATGTTTGTCTCTTATCTTTCAACTTCCCATCTACTCCCATTTCATCTTCAGCAGCTCACAACAGTAACAAGCATGGCTGACCGCTACGTGGACGGGCAGCCTGAGCTGCCTGCCATCACCGCGCCGCGGCTTCAGTTTGCGCAAGGGTTCCCGAATGGAGTATTCGATCTCGACGTTGAGCGCCGTGTTGCAGCTGAGCGAGGGGGTGATGCCGAGGTCTCTGAGCTCGCCGGGCCACATGCGACCATATGTTGGGCTGATTATAAGTTTGGCGTCCTGCGGCGGGTGATGAATCGGAAGGAGACAAGAAGCAAGGCGTACGTGACTGAGATCCGGTTCGGATTCTCCCCTGACAGTGCGATATCGGAAAAGGAGGGACAAGGCGACAAGCACAGGGACGGCGAAGACTCGGACGCTTTCTCCGGTGCAATCAGTGAGGGTAGTGGAGTCGAAGAGAGCAAGGAGGGCGTCAATGGCGGCCTCACACGGCAAGAGTTTCGGCAGGCGTACCATTCTCTCTGCTCATATGCGGATCGCATGACAGCGTACGCGGGCCAGCTCCCGGCCGTCATTGCACGAAATCGATCCTCCCTTCTTGTCTGGGCACTGGCTCATGATGCCGCAGATCAGGTGAAGCAGCGGGCTGAGGCGGCATGCAAGGCTGTCGGTGAGTTCTTGACATTGCTGATCTGACCTCAGCTCTCGTGGAGAAGTTTGCAGATGAGCTTTCCTTTGTGGAGAAGAAGTATCGGCTGCCCCCGCGATGGGAGACATGGTGCGGTTCCGTCGCCGACTTCTGGATCGGCTGCACACAGGCACCCCTTCCGTATGCGGAAGAGCAGAAGGTATACCAATGGTCAGACTTCGTCCCCCAGCTCCTACACTGGGTCCAGCACCGGGGGCTGCCTCTACTCCCAGACAACCTGATCCACGCAACGGCCTACGTCGAGTTCGTGGACAGGAAGTTGGGACACTTTCCGTTGCCGGCGAACCGGACAGTGTACGAGTGGGTCACGGCGGGAGAGGGGCACTACAGGTACCGCACGATGGTGGAGCGGTGGACACCTCTGCCATCCGTTGCCCGGCGGTTGGGTATCGATCACGTCGAGAAGGAGTGGGGCCGCGATCCTCTTGAAGTTCGCTATGCCAGTGGAGTGCTTACGCTGCCCGAGATCGTATGCGCGACGGACACTCTCCGCCTCGCCGTCAACTATGATCTCTCCAAGCTCCGAGATGTGCTTGGGAAGTATGGGGAGACCCACCCAGGGGAGCTAGACATTGTGGTTTTGACTGCCAAGCTCCTGCGCCATATCCGCAAAGTGAGGGGACTATATCGTGAGTTGGATCTTGGAGGGAGCTGATCTCAGGTGCACTCATCTTTACTGGTCGTTATCTTGGCGAGTTCTCAGCTCTGAATGGAAAGGTCCCTCCGCCCTGGGTGCCATGGTCTGGCAAGAGCGTCTTCGACGACCCATTTGGTGACCCCAGCGATCAAACGGAAATCATGGTTGGCGACCGCTTGAGCGAGTACGTCTTCCATCTTATCGCTCACGTGAACTCCAAGGGCTTGCCGGAGTACGCGGACGTTGAGCTGCGCGAGGCGGTGCAGAGGGCAAGCGCCTGGAACAGTGCACAGGAACACGCTCGAAGGTGTTGTGTATGTCGCTCGAAGGCAACGGATATCGCCGCCACGGCTGGCTCTGGTCCAACGGACACCGGCGTGTCTGGATCGGCTGCACTATCACACTCGCTCCCCACTGGTAGTGGCCTCGGCGTCATCTACCCGGAATGCTCGCACTCAAGCTCCGAGCGCAGCGGAGGGGGAGGCTGGAGCGGCGGCGATGTAGGAGGCGTGGGAGGCGGGGGAGGTGGCTTCGACGGCGGCGGGGGAGGCTTCGGCGGAGGTGGAGGTGCGGACTGTGGAGGGTCATCCAGTTGGTAAACATGCATCAGTCGTCAGAAGTACTTTGAGCACTGAACTCACCGGAAGACCATCGAGCAGCGCCTGGTTCCACCGCAGTGGTGTTTTCAACGCGGCTTCCAGTGCTTTAAGATCAACGCTATGGTCTCTCGACGTCTATCTCGTCTCCAGGGCAAAGAAAGCAGTCGCACAAGTCTGGACCGCATTTGAAACCGATAACTCACAACAGGCGTGTTGGTAATCACCGTTCAGTATCTCGACTGCTTCACCAACCTGGACCCCACTCCCATACGAAACTCCGCACGTAACTCCTGGTTTTTTAGATGTACCCCTCTGGTGATGTGCTAGCAGACGTGGACGGTCACCCGCACGATCAAATCGACGTCATGATAGGCGGAAGACTTAGCGAATACGTCTTCTACCTCACCGCGAGTTTCAGCACTCTCGGATTGCCGAAACCTGTGGCGACGTTGGACTCCATGTTGGAGAGAGCGAGCACTTGGGCACGCGGGGCAGGAGCCTTTGCAACCGGACCTGGAAGGCTTCGGAGCCCATGTCCCCTTCTGCATGCGCCGTCAGGAAGCCGAAGTCCGCAGTCTTTGAAAGGCATTCGGGAGGTGACCTGGGATCAGAACCCACGCAGAAAGGAAATGCAGTGGCACCAGTTGCGGTCGTCATTGTCGAAGAGGGTTCTTCGGCGGTCGGTTTGCCGGCTAGCTCCTGATGCGCATATGGGCAGCACTGACCCATAAGCGCTGCAAGCTATGCAAGAGCATCAGATCGTCGGCGAAGCGGCATTCCCTTTATGGTGCGGCACCGCTCGGGTCCGTGCGAGTGAGGAGGACACTGTGCCCCATGCTCGCGCCCCGATCATACATTAGGGCCGGCACGATTTCATCCTACCCCTTCGAATCGGCACTTCCCAGAACTTTACCATCATTCACCACTCTGCAATGCCGAGCTCCAGTCACGAACCCGATGCCCCCCGGTCACATTCGCCGTCCCATTCCCACTCGCGTTCCCTCTCCGGCATCTCGCATAGCTTCCGCCCGCCATCGCCCGAGCGCCGACCCAACACACAGTTCCCTTATGGCGAGTTCTCGTTCGAGCTGGAGCGCTTCCACGCGCAGAGCGATCATCGCATGTCCTTCCGCACCGTTGAGATCGAGGAGTGCTCGAGCGTCACGTCAGCGGGAAAGCTGGTGTGGGTCGAGAATAGGCGGCATCGTCTTAGCGGCACTCCACACCGGACTCATCGCAGCCCAGCGTTCATTACCGAGCTGCGATACTTGCGGTTCGAAAGGGGCGTTGCCATTCCCAGGTTCATGAAGAGGCACGAGTTCAGGCAGGCAGTCGACAACTTGTGGAAGTACCATCGGAAGATGTTCTTGACGACCGACTCGATCGAGAAGGAATACGAATACGAGTTGACGTCTCCACTCAATGCGCACATTGCCGAGGATGTGGTGGAGCAGCTTCTGGCCCGCAGAGAGAACGCCAAGCAGCTCAGCGGTAAGTGACCCAGCTTGTTTGTCGAGCTGATGTCAGAGGTGATGGAGGCCTTTGCGGCGAAGCGTGCTCAGGACGAGACGGCGTACTCCTTGACGCCACTGCGTAGTTGGAACGGCACTCCCGACGAGATCGCCGCCATGCTCAACGGCTATATCCCACCGCCAGCGCCTGGGGTGGGAAACGATGACTTCGCTCTGCACCTCGCCGCCTTCCTCCTGGAGCATGGTCCCCCGATGCTGCCGCACGACCTCGTATATCTAGGAATATACGAGGACTCGAACTTCATGGACGAATGCGGAGGGAGTGTCGACGAGCACGGTGGCGCATCGCACTTTACCTGGGGCTGCTTGACGAAGGCGCACCTTGGACCGAGGCGCTGGACCGGATTTGGACTTGAGGAGCCAGAGGTCTTCCTTGTACCGCTAGATGGCATCGTCGAACACATCTCGTACAGCGGAGGAAGGCTGTCGAGCGCCGATATGAGATGGGCGGTGCAGATGATCCGCGGTGCGTTCGGCCAGGCATTCCCGATATTTGAAGGGTTGCGATCTCTCAACGGAGCTCAGCCGGGGATGATCGACATCGAGAAGCAGGCAGCGATCATTCGGCAGTATGTCCGGAAACTGAGGGGCTTGCAGCGTGAGTTTATCCCGGGAAAGTGGCTAACCGAAGGCGCAATTCTGCACACGCATCGATACCTCTTCATTCAGGCTGAGGCGCGCTTGACCCCGCCGTACTGGTCACCGTGGGCTGGACACCTGTTCGAGGACCCGCGCGCTGATCCATTCGACCAGGCCGACATGATGGACGGAGACCGCCTAAGCGAGTATGCCTTCCATCTCGTTTCCTACCTTCACCGACATGGGCTGCCATCGCCACCGCACGAGTTGGAGGTTGCAATGACGAACGTCCGCAAGTGGGACGAGAGAAAGGCGGCCAGCTGGACGGTACCGTTAAATCGTTAGCCATGGGTTCAAATGCTGGTGTTCGGTACCGCTATAAAGATCTCCTAGACCGTCAATCGAGTCGTTAGAGCTTCACAAGGTTAGGCCGGCCAGGTTCGTAGACGGGAGATGAAGAATGGGCTTTCCCTCTCTGCCGAACTACACACAGATCACACGACGCAAGTCAATACTCGTGGAACAAAGCCTAGCACAGGTTCTCAGTAGTTGCGTTGAGTCAGTTGAAGTTGGTGGAGTGAGAAAGGTGAATCTCGGTGGATGAAGAGATGGAAAAACTCAAGCAGCCGTGGGGAAGGCCATAACTGGTTGCGTTGCAGAGGGATGACGTCAGGCACAATCAGCCAGGATGTAGCACCGATCTCGCCACCGAAATAAATGAGCGGCGAGCAGCTCTCTCCCAGCCATCTCCGTTTAGCGTCGGCGTCGGCGACGGCGAATTGGCTAATCAGAAGGCAATTGCCGTGCGAGGTCAGAAATAACGCGGGAAGCAATGGAAAGTCTAGACAGAACGCGCAATGTCGTCTGGGAAAGGCCAGGCGTGAGCTGTGACGATCGGCAGAGTTCCTGAGAACGTCATGTGACAGGCATCCGTCGCCTCGGTCGTACCTTCCACTCTATCTCCAAAACACCCTTCCTCGTCACAGCGAACGCATCTCTCGCCTTCACAGTTCTTCATCTTCATCACTGTTAGCCCAAAGTACGTGCGACCTGTCATAGCGCCGATATACGAGCTAACGACAGAATGACACTTCTGCCCATTCTTACCCTCGCCCTTGCTGGCACCGCCACCGCCGGCCACTCTCGTCGCTCAGCGGGCAAGAAGCTGGAGAAGATCAACGGCTGCGCTTTCGCCGACACCTCCTGCGCCAGCGAGATCGAGTGGACCTCCCCCTGCTGCCGGGCTGGAAACTGCCACTACGACCGCCTCGAGTCTGGTGTGTGCGTGCCCGTCGTGCCGGACGCCTCCACCTTTGACTCTGGTAACTGCTGGGTGGCCGAGGTCTCTCCCCGCCAGACGGGATTCGGCTCCCTTGAGCCTGGCCCTCTGTTCGACGATGCGGCGACCAATGCCCACGCCGATGAGATGAACTCGCTCACGTACATTGCCCCGACGCGCGAGTGGGACAGCTGGGCGCTCAAGCATGTCACTGTGGGCGCAACGGCTCAGACCAACTTCGAGAACGAGGTCCAGCGCAACTATGCTGCTCGTATGGCGTACCATGCTGCCAATGACAGCACCTCGGTCCACAAGAAGCAGGGAATCAAGCAGTACGAGGGTCCCGAGTGGGTGCACGTCGCCACCTTCAACCTCGGTGACTGCTCCAGCATTCCCCGCGGAAGCATCATGACTGGCAGCATGCGTGTCGCGGTTGAGAAGAAGGAGGAGGGTACCGATGTTCTTCGCTCTGTCGGAGGCCTGCTCAGCTCGCTTGCCAAGCAGTACCTGTAAAGCACTTTTCACGACACATCAACTTAGAAACGCATGTAGTTATCTCACAACCGCTAGACCAATCGCGTAGCCCCATGTCATAGATCCATAGCAATGTATCCGAGTCCGAAGGAGACTCTCAGTCAGAAGAGCGCATGTATCGACATTCACAGCTGTCCTCGGTCTGATTCGAACCCTGCCCCCTGAGTGTCAGTGACATCAAAAAGCAAGCCTCGATTAGGCACGCAGGGAATAGGCGTCCAATATCCCCATCCGCACGTGGCCTCCACCTATTAGGCGCGTCAGCAGAAAGTTCTGACCACCGTCAGATTTGCCGCCCAGCGACAACACAAGGGGAGCCGATCACACCGCTGCTGCTGTCAACATACTACATATCCACTAATCGACATGTCGGAACCTCCCGCTAAGCGATCAAAACCCTCCAGCGGTGCGAGCACTCCCGCTGAGAACCCCTACCTGTGAGTGTGAGAGCTGAGCGCAGTGCAGACACTGCTTCCCGTGGAGCAAGCTTCCTTAAATGAGCAGTGCTAGCTACTATCGTACGGAATTGGCAGCTGACTCTACAGCGCCCACATGAACGACAAGAACGGATCCTCCTCGAGCAATGGTGTCAAGAACCCGCTTGCCGGCCTTGTGCCGCGCAAGGTCACGGCTGACCAGGCCAAGGCGATCATGGACGCGGACGTGAACCCGTTCAAGGGCCTCGCGCCCTTCAGCGCGGGCTACCGCAAGATCCTGGAGGTGCGCAAGAACCTGCCGGTGTACGACAAGATGGACGAGTTCCTTAAGGTGTTCAGCAAGAACCAGATCACGGTGATGGAGGGCCAGACGGGATCGGGCAAGACGACGCAGATCCCGCAGTTCGTGTGCTACGCCGACATGCCGCACCTCCGTGGCAAGATGGTGGCGTGCACGCAGCCGCGTCGTGTTGCTGCGATGAGTGTTGCGAAGCGTGTTGCCGACGAGATGGACGGTAAGCTGCGTGATCGTGTCTGAGCTAACAGGACAGTGCAGCTCGGCAAGCAGGTCGGTTACAGCATCCGTTTCGAGGACATGACGGAGCCGGGAACGACCTTCCTCAAGTACATGACGGACGGTATGCTTCTGCGTGAGGCGATGAACGATCCGCTGCTCGAGCGGTACAGTACGATCATTCTTGACGAGGCGCACGAGCGTACCCTCGCCACCGACATTCTGATGGGCCTTCTGAAGGACATTGCGAAGCAGCGCCCGGATCTCAAGATCATTGTCATGTCCGCCACGCTTGATGTCGACAAGTTCGCCAACTACTTCGGTGACAACCAGCCCGGTGGCAAGGCGCCGATCGTCAAGGTGTCTGGACGTACCTTCCCCGTCGAGACCTTCTTCACGCAAGAGCCGGAGCAGGACTACGTTGAGGCAGCCATCCGCACTGTGCTGTTCATCCACCAGGCCGAGGACGAGGGTGACGTGCTCCTCTTCCTGACGGGTGAGGAAGAGATTGAGGACGCGTGTCGAAAGATCCGAGCCGAGGGAGAAGAGCTGGCGAACAAGGGCATGGCTGGCCCGCTCCTTGTCGTGCCGCTGTACGCCTCTCTCCCGCCGCACCAGCAGCAGCGTATTTTCGACCCCGCCCCGCCGCCGAGCCGCGACGGTCTACCCGGCCGCAAGGTCGTCGTGTCGACCAACATTGCCGAGACGTCGCTCACAATCGACGGTATCGTGTATGTCGTGGACCCGGGTTTCTGCAAGCAGAAGGTGTACAACCCGCGTATCCGTGTCGAGTCGCTGCTCGTCACGCCGATCTCGAAGGCGAGTGCGAACCAGCGTGCGGGCCGTGCCGGTCGTACGCGCCCGGGCAAGTGTTTCCGCCTCTACACCGAGAAGGACTTTGTCAAGGAGCTCGAGGACGCAACGCACCCCGAGATCCTCCGCTCGAACCTGGCCAACACGGTGCTCGAGCTGCTGAAGCTGGGCATCAAGGACCTGGTCCACTTCGACTACATGGACGCGCCCGCGCCGGAGACGATCATGCGTGCGCTCGAGCTGCTGCACTACCTCGCCGCGCTCGACGACGAGGGCAACCTCACGCCGCTCGGCGAGATCATGGCCGACATCCCGCTCGACCCGCAGCTGGCCAAGATGCTGATCGTCTCGCCCGAGTTCGGGTGCAGCAACGAGATGCTCTCGCTCGCCGCCATGCTGTCGGTGCCCAACGTCTTCCTCCGCCCCGCCAACCAGCGCAAGGAGGCCGACATGGCCAAGGCGCAGTTTACGCACCCCGACGGCGACCACCTGACGCTCCTCAACGTGTACCACGCCTACAAGGCGAATGGCGGCGACAAGAACTGGTGCTGGAACAACTACCTTAATGCGCGCAGCTTGGTGCAGGCCGACAATGTGCGCACGCAGCTGAAGCGCAACATGGAGAAGTTTGACCTCGAGCTCGTGTCCACCGCGTTCGAGGACAAGAACTACTGGAACAACATCCGGCAGGCGCTCACGTGCGGCTTCTTCATGCAGGTCGCGCACAAGGAGGGCGAGCGCGGTTCCTACTCCACCATCAAGGACAACCAGGTCGTCCGCCTCCACCTCTCCTGCGGCCTCGACCACACCCCCGAGTGGGTTCTGTACAACGAGTTTGTCCTCACCACCGCCAACTTTATCCGTACCGTTACCGAGGTCCGTCCCGAGTGGCTCCTCGAGTACGCGCCCCAGTACTTTGACCCCGAGTCGTTCCCCGAGAAGTCGGAGGCTAGGCGCGCGCTTGAGCGCGTCATCGCCAAGAAGTCGGGAAAGGTCCGCTCCAACGACAAGAAGGACAAGAAGAAGCGCAAGGAGCGCGCTTAAGGCGAGCTTAGGCGAGCAGCGCTTAGAATACCACAGTAGACATTTGGGTAGTTTAGTCGTCTCAACAAATAGATTTTCTCATTTCTTTCTGTATCATCATGCGAAAAAAGTGCATCCTCGCGGCATCCTCTACTGCCTCCACTGCTGCACATTGATGGCTGCTAAATCTCGCCCTCCTCCCGCTCGTCGTCCACTGTCGATACCCTCCGCCTCTTCGGATCCCTCTCTTCCCGCTTACGGTCGCGATCGCGCTCGCGTTCACGCTCCCTCTCGCGCTCACGTTCCCGGTCCCGGTCCCTGGGATCTCTGTAGTCGAGCCCCCGATCGCGCCGCGAGTCACGCTCACGTTCACGAGCGTACCGCTCGTCCCTGTCTCGACGCCAGTCGCGTTCCGTACGATCCACATCCATCCGGTCCCCGCGACGGTCACGATCGCGCTCAGACGCCTTCTCCTTCAGACGGCGGATGTGCTTGTCAAATGCTGAGCGGCGGTCTGCATCCTCGAGCAGCTTCCACTCGGGAATCGACGACATGTCCTTTGTCGCGTCTTCAAAGGTTGTGTCGGCCGTGATGCTCCGGATCCGCCTCAGCGCATCACGCAGGTCCTCGATCCGGTGTCGTCGCTTACGCTCTGCGCGCCGCTCCTCGTCGGCCTTGACGCGCGCCAGGCGTTCGTGGATCTGCGTGTCAGCTCAAATCTCTGACAGCGTAGCTTTCCACCACCCAACTTACCACATCAAACGCCTCCTTGATGTTCTCGGCCGGCGCCTCGACACCCGCCTCCTTCACGAGCTCCTCAAACTGCTCTCGCGTCGTCTCGAGCGTGACCCTGTTCTTGGGGATTTCGCCCTCGATACGCCCCGCGCGCTCCTCAGCCTCGACCTGCAGATCGTCGACAGCGTCCATCCACAGCTCCAGCGCGTTGCTTCCTGGCATACCCAAGAGGGCCTCGAACCGGGGATCCTTGCGGATGATGGGGAAGACGTCCTTCCACTTGGCCGCGCGGTGAAGCTTGCCCTGTTCCCGCAGCTCGCGGAGGAGCTCCTTGTACCCATCCCTTGCCTTGCGGGCGCGACGCTTGTGCTCCTTCGCCAGGCGCGCTGATTCCTCCTGGTGCTCCCGCTCCAGCCGCTGCATGTAGTTGTCGAACACGTTCAGGATGTCGATCGTCTCCATCTTGCCGAGCTTGCTGTCTTCCTTGAACGCGGACGAGCGGACGATAACGTCGTGCGCCGCCCGCCACTTGGTCGTCACGCTGATGTCGAGTGTGGAGACCAGGTCGGACAGCTTGGACGTCGCATACTCCTTCAGTTCGCGCGCTTCGGCCGCCTCAGCCTGCCGCAGCTCAGACGTGTACTCGTCCAAAAGGATGCGGCGCTCATCGGGCAAAGCACGTCGCCAGTGCTTGTTAGACGCGAAGGCCTGCTCACCCGTTTTGACGGTGTGATAGCTCTTGATGTGTGCCGCCTTGAACGCCTTACGCAAGTGCGGACGCACCTCGGCCATGCGCGCTTCCTTTGCCGCGGCACGCTCCTTCGCCTGGTTGTCAAGGAACTGAGAGTTAGCTGAAATGAACGCGCGCTTTTCCAGCTGTGAGAGATGATGACTTACCTTCTCGAACGCCGCCTTCTTCTCCGCCAACGTCTCTAGCGCCTTGTTCATCGGCTCGACGACGATGCGGCGCAGCGTCTGCTCCCACGTCCACGATTCATCGACGCCGATCCGTTTCAGAAGACGCATAAAGCCAGCCTCAGCCTCGGCATGGTTCTTGAAACCGCCGTGCGGGATCACGAGCGGCTCATTGTCTTCCTCCTCTTCTTCGGGCGAGCGAGAGCGGTATCGCTGCAGCGCTCCGCCCGGTGACGAGCCGGCTGGAGATGGACTGCGTGATCGGGCACTCGGGGCGGGTCTGTTGTCAGCTATACTCAGGCTTCACAGAACTGTTGAAAAGGTGGGTCGATAAGGGAGGGCAACTCACGAAGTCTCGCCGCGCGCCTTGCGTCGTTCCTGCTCGTCGATCTTGTTCTTCAGCTCGACAAGTTCCGGGGGAAGGTCCCACTGTGGTGTCAGCTGGATCGACGAAGACGCAAGCATAGCTGAACATACGAGGGTCTCCTTCGTGAGCGAGTTGACATAGTACGGTTTCCCCTTGGACGTGAACTGCTTCCAGGGCGTCTTGTTCATGGCCCGTTCGAAGGGCGTCTGGATTGTCAGCTTAGCTTCTGACCTGTAGCTCACTTTCAGTTCGTCCGGCTTCTCCCACACGGACTGCTTCGTGAGTGCGTGAGACCAGTACACGCGGCCGTCGGCCGACTTGTATTCTCTCTGCAAACGTTAGCGAGGAACATCTTGGGGAAGGGATGAGGTCGTTCCTCCATGAGCGAGGAAGGCTGAGCTGTCTCGCAGCTCGGGAAGTTCGCTGAGAACGGTGAGCAAGTAGAGCAGCACATACCCATTGCGACTCTCCCGGCGTTCCGGGAACCAGCGCCGAGGCCGGGGACGCTGATGCCGACATAGTTGGTGACGAATGATGTTGTTGACCTTGCTCTGCCTGGCTCGTGATCGGTCGAACAGCCAAGAGCCAGAATTCAGGACGAGCTTAGGCGTCCGCCGAAATGCTTCCGTTGGTGGAGGCTCAATAGCCATCATTTCAACGTTCCTAATAGCCTTCCTTGCCAGGTTTCTAATCAAGTGTCTAATAACGTCATCATTGAAACCCCGGGTGCTGACTGAAAGAGAACGTGAACGACAAGCACAGGTAGAGGATACAACATGCATGAGTAGATATATAAGCATAGCATATGCAGCCGATGCTAAATTAGCTGAGATACACCTGCTGGTTGAGGAGGGGCTTCGAGTGCGTCGCCGCGAGGTCCGCCAACTGGCGGAACCGCGTCATGTCCACCCTCGCCTTGAACACGACAAAGACGTGCGTCACATCGTGGTCCGCGACCTGCTCCGCGTCGGCGCACATGTCGAAGCCGGCCGCGCAGTGCGCGCACCGCAGCCACACGCCGCGGATCTGGTCACTGTGGATGTCGCACAGCGTCTCACGGTGCAGGACGTACTTGAGATAAGCGGTCGGGTCGTGCGTCGGCGGCGCAGTTGCGGGAACTTGGCCCACCTTGTTCTTGTACTGGACGTTAGCTACATTGATGACTTCATGACGAAAGGGAAAGCGCAGGCATGGAGGTGACTCACGAGCAGCGGCAGAAGCGGCCGTGGACTCGCCAGCGGCACATGCACCGGCCGGTCGAACTTGAAGAACACATGGCGCGGGTCGTGGATACGATAGCTGCGTAACTCGCAAACCGAGCAGAGGTTGTACGCCGTGGGGAGGCTGGGGCAGTTGGCGCACTGATACCGTCGGCCCATGATCCACTCATTGCAGTTGTTGCACCGGGCCGAGTGGTCTAAGTCATCCCTCTTCATGCGGCGGGTATGCGTTGCGTGGGTGGCATTGCTGCTCCCACTACCACTACCTGACCCGGCGCCGCTGCCAGGCGTGCCCCTCCCGCTTGTCTGGGACTGCGACAGGGCCGGACTCCGGTGCGTCGGCGCATACACTGTCTCGTTGTCTGGCGAGCTGGACCGCTCAGAGCCCGGCGGTTGGGCTTGGGCGACAGAAGCACTGTCCTGCAGAAACCAGCGGTCGCGCGCGCGGCGGGAGGCAGCCTCAACCTCCGCGCTAGCTAGTGGTACAGGAATCTGGTGTCAGCTGATGAGTGGGAACTGGAGCTCACTTTGATCATGATGTGATCTGCTGTGTGCGAGCCGTCACCGGCAGCCCCGATGCCCTCGCACTGGATACACAGGTCCCTGGAGTCAGCTGGCAAGTGCATCTTGTGAGCTCACCATGACGGACACACTGCACAGTGGAACCGTGGCCCAACAATGTCTTGTAAGCAGCTGACGTTAGTTACAACGATAACCGCCAAACTCACTTGTGGCAGAACGCGCCGTGGTGTCTCGGCGGCCGGGTCTCCGCGACTCGCGGCGGGGCGGGCACAACGTGCTTATCCGGCAACGATAAGAAGGCGTGCACGGGATGAATCTCCTCGACCTTCTGGTAGCACGAGCGGCAGAGGTCGAACTTGGAACACGAGACACCTGCTGTCAGCTTGCCACACCTAGTCTAGCTGCATCTAAGCTGCACTTACACTTGAAGCGGTTATGCATCAGCGGCGTGCGGCAGATGGTGCACTCGCTATCCTCGGCGTACTCGACGTCGACCCACTTGCCGTTACCCCAGATCTTCTCCCGGAACGTATGCCTAAAGCCCCTAACTCGCCGCCCGTGCCGGTCCCTACTCTTCCCCTTTGCTGCCGCTTTTGCATGCACGATGCCATGCGTCTCGATGCAGCCAGGGCACAACTCGTACCCCCTGCGGGTGTACTGCCGCTCATCGAAGCCGATCTCGTCCGCGCCGTCAGGTAATCGGGGGCTCGCAGCGGTAGGGGAAGACGCAGAGCCGTTCGTGACTGCTATACTGAGCGAGCTGGAAGTCGTGCTCATCGATGCGGTGCGGGAGCGGGGCTGTAATAAACACGCACTCGAGTCACCTGGAGCGCCGGGGACGGGAGCTGGTCCCCATGCCGTCGAGTCGCTGCCGTCGCTGTCAGACGGTATTGACGGCGGGGGCACGCGCGCAGCGAGCCGTAGGCGATTGTCGGGCGCAGACTGAGACCACATGTCACCCTCTCCGCAGCTGACGCAGACATACCGCATGTACTCTAGGCGCAGTCCGCAAGCACTGCAGTCGGGGGCGAGAGTCGGTGGTCCAGCATCTCCTTCCGGTTTCGGCGGCACCGGTGGTGGGACGCTGCGCAGGCTCGCGCTGTCGGCAATGCTTGCCTGGTCCTGGTACGAGTAATAGTAGCCTGTCCGTTAGCTGAGGACAACGGCAAAGGAGCTAAAGAGTACTCACGCCCTCTCGCGTCTCTTACGAGCGAAATGTCGCCGATCTCCTCGTCGCTGGCGTCTGGGTCCGGATCGCCGTCCTCGAATTCGCGCCGGCGCAGCCGCAGTCGCGGCATGCGGGAGGCGATCTGGCTCTGCTCCCGCAGCCAGCGCGATCCAAGCTCGCTCTGCGTGAAGTTCGGCGTTGTGCTCGTCGTCAAGGCTGAAGCGCCGTCGTCGATCACGGCGCTCTCGAAGCTGTCGGTGACGGAGGCAAGCTCGCGATCGACGACCGGTCGGCGCTGCGTTCCCGACGTCGCTGATGAGCGCCGCGACGCAGCGTAGTACCGTGGATCGTATCGCTCGGTGTAGTCAGAGCGCGAGTAGTCGCTTAGCCGGTTGGGATCAGCGCGGTAGCCGTGCGAGCCAGAGTGAGCGGTGTATGGGTCGCTGAGGCGAGAGTCGGAGCTGAGGCCACTGCGGCGGCTCATGAAGGAGCTTCCATCACTTGTCGGGAAGGAGGCGATACTGCTAGTGTCGCTGAGAGAGGGACCGTCGTACTCTACCACAACGTCTAGTCGGAGCGTGATCTTTGATGGCGGGATGTTGATGCCCGAGCGAGAGTAGAGAGACGAATGGTCATCGTCGCCGCTAACAAAATACGCGATCGCATCCGTCAGGTCGTCCTCTGTCCGGACAGAGTACTCTTCCCCGTCATCGTCGACGTACGAGAGAAAAAACGGCCATGCCGAGAGCGAGAAGCATTCTTCGATCTACCTGTCAGCTGATGATGCTCTCAGAGCATGATATCCAGAACATGCCCGTTGGCGAGACCGCGGGAGAAGCTCTGTATTCGACACAGCGCAGCTGACGAGATGGCGAGGATGGGCTGGCCCAAGCTCGACCCGATCCGCGCTGTCTGCGGCCCATCTCATCATCGTGCGAGCGACCTCCACTCTCGACTGCGGAGCCCAGAACTGTCTGGCACATGGTCTTCCCTGTCGATCAAGAATCGGTGAACTCACTCTGCTGTGCAGGCTTTCGAGGCGTGCGGTTGCAGCGCTCGGGAACTGCACACGCCGCGTCGCCCCGTCGTACCCCGCTTTTACGACTAGGGGGCGGTTCGGCCGGCCGTTCGCCGCTGGCGAGGACGAGGAGGCCGGCCCGTTCATCGTGCCGCTGCGCTTGTTGGGGCTGCCGAGGTCGTTGTCGATAGAGAGGGACGGGGCAGGAGATCGAAGAAGGAACGAGAGAGGGAAAGGAGGAGTATTATGACGGGCAGGCAGGAAGTCGGAGTCGGCACAGGAAGGAGCAAAGAGAGATGGAGGATGATTGTAGCAAAATCAGACCAGCCGTGAGATGAATGCGAAGTATGGCACGGACGACGACTGCGCCGCGCGCCGCCGTGGGCCTCCACCCTCCACTTTCAGCTTCCTCCACCAGGTCAAATCGCCGCCCGCAGCTCTCACTAGCGTCAGGCATCGGCTCTGACCGTCGTATGCAGTGCCGGCCCGCATGTCTAGGAAAGAATGCTCTATAGGTGTGCATGTATGCGACTACTTTTTCTGCTACGCAACTACGAGGACAAGAGGGGTGTACAACCGAAAAAATATAAGGGACAACTGAATATTCTATATGATGGTCGCTAGGACCGATAAGGACAAGCGCTGTCGCCGACGCAGCGGCACTGGCAGACTCCGATTGCCGAGTGAGGCGGAAGAAAGATCCGCGGCTTAGTATCCATCCAGTTCTGGCGGCTCCATCTCGCGCACAAGAGTGCTCGTGAGTTCGCCGTGGAAGAACATGCGGACGGCCATGCGAATCCTCTCGTCCCACTCGCGGTAGAAGCTGCCCTCGCGCTGCCCGAGGAGGTAGTGCACTCCCCTCGGTCCCTTGTGGAGGAAAGGATTCCTAGGCACCTCCGGGTGCAGCTTGAACAATCCGGGAAGGCGGTCCTGAGCCTGCTGCACCGTCTCCGCCGGGTACGTCGACGGAAGGGGCGGGTAGAACTTCATGGCGTACGTGGATCGCGCAATGTCGTACGGTGCTCCGCCGCGGGCCGAGAACCTCTGCCAGAGCCAGATCATCGGGTAGATCAGCGTGATAATGAGGAGGAAGAAGATGGCCCGGTTTTGAATGAGAGAAGTGAGCCAATTCGAGTCCTGGACCACGAGCAGATCGTCCTTGACCTGGAACTGGATGCTGATCGGCGTATCGGCGGACGGCTGGTAGCCCGTAGACAGAATCGAGCGCTCAATAGCATGGCGGAGGGAGACAAAGTCCCATCCCCAGATCGTCTTGCGCAGTGTGAAGCTCTTCAGCAGTCCCGGGTCGGCGCAGAACGCCTCGCACCATGCCCGCAGATCGGCCTCTGAGCCGGCGTCACCCTCGAGCAGCGCCTCCTCATCCTCCCGCCGCGTGCTTAGCGTGAGCTGGCCCGAGTTCTCGCCGCGCGTAGCCCAGAACTCCTCGTCGTCCTTGAGCGATCCCCACGGCGCGCGAGCCCGGTTCTTGCAGAACTCGCCCCAGCTCTTCCAAACCGACACAGCAGCTTGCGACGCCGCGCGCGGCTTGTTCCCGCCCTCTCCTTCAGTCGGTCCGCCGACTGTAAGAGAAAAAGTTCCGCGGTGAGCAGGCTCAGAAGATGGCTTCGCGTAAAGGAAGATGTTCGCGTTGTTCTCCGGGTGGCTGTAGATCGGTGTCAGGTCGATGTGGAAGTCGAAGTCCGTCACGCGGTACTGCTGTCCGGCCTGGACGACGCGGGGTTGTCCGTTTTGCATGACTGTTTGCGAGTGGTCGGCCGTACGGTTACGGAATGCAAAGCAGCGGACCGTCAGTGACGGCGGCATCAATGTCTCGCGGCGGATGAAGTCGTAGAGTGCGCGGGCTGAGGTCAGTTCAATCCGGCATACCAAACTGGAGACAG